AAGTCGCGCTTCATCATCAGATGCTTCGCAGTTCAGGCAGCACGATTCAAGGGCTGCCTATATTTCGCACCACGACATCCTTATTTCGCACCACCACTAAACTACTTCAAGTAATTTTTTTGCGCAACGCTAGCCGCTTTTGCTTTGTCCTTATAGCGCCGTATATCACGTAATTTCAATATATACTCTGTAATTATTCATACGCCTATTATCGTACGCCTACAGCGCCTATAACACCTATAACGCCTACCACTGTACGCCTATCGCTTAATAGGTGGTAGTAGGCGCACAGTGATAGGTGTGCAGTTACAGGCGGTGTAGGCTTTTAGGGGTTGTAGGCGTTGCGGGCGTTGCGGGCGTTGCAGGCGCTGTAGGCGTGCGATAATAGGGGTGAGTGGTTATGGGCATTATACAACGACGCCGGGGGTATCTTTCGTTAGTGCGCTCTCGCTAGACTTTCCCGAATTGGCCGCCAGCTTAGTCAGGCTCAGTAAAATGACAGTACAGTACCTGTTGCGACAACAACTGCCACACTAAAGCGCAAGAAATGTGTAATACGCTAGTACCAACTGGGAAAGATGAGAAATGATTACGCGCTACTCTACTTATGTACTAGTGTGACACTAACGAAAGATTGCCCAGAGGTGTTGTAGGCGTAGGCTAGTTAGTGCTATAGGTATATCGTAATTTAAGGCGTAACGAGCCTGTAATCTCTAAGCACTTAGCAACCTTATATCAGAAGTGGCCTTGGCAATGGTGCGAAATAAGGATCTCATGGAGCGAAATATAGGCAGCCCGATTCAAGTCCCCGGGCATCACCACCACTGCACCTAACACTGTTACTCCCACTGGCACCTACATTAGAATACACTCACAATTCACGACAACTCTTTGCCTCAGCTGCTCTTTGTTTCGCGACTTTTCCTCTGCTGTATGTTGCACCCCCTTGGTGCTCGCGACAGTCCCTTTACAGAAGCTTCAGTCACTGTCTTCCCTTGGCCAGCCTGACGACCAGATACCAGCATCGCTTGATCTGGCCATGTCGATCCCGCGACCATGTACATGAACGTCTTTCGCATCCTGGGCGATGTTTCCCATACCGCCTCGAAATGTATTCTGATTTACGCCATCCACTCTAACAAGAGTGCCGAAGGTGAGACGTTCTGCCTGCTCTGATGACCTGTGCAGGCTGACTGATGCGACCCAGGGGTCTCCCTCCTTACCCAGATCCTCTACATAGCCGTGTTCTGTACTCGATATCTCGACCTCTTCTGGGTGCGGCCGTCCGTATCATGGTGGAATTTCATCCTCAAGAACTTCTATATCTGGTCGTCGATCTACATCATCGTCTTGATGACCAGGGTGTATGCCCGGACACGAGAACGAGAGAAGGCCTGGAAATGGGGAGCCTATGCAGCGGGAGCATCCTTGGTGGCAGCCCCAATAGTGTCACTGATCTTCAGTGGATGGAAACGCACCACGTTCGTCGAGGCTCTGTGGACATTCTCTATCATCCTCGAGTCCGTCTGTGTCCTGCCTCAGCTCCTCCTCCTGCGCCAGACGACTGTTCCCACGGTTATTGACTCGTTCTATCTGGTCACGCTTGGTTCTTATCGTGCATTCTACCTCCTCAACTGGATTTATCGCGCCTTTACCCCGTCGAAGCCTGATCCCATCTCCGTCATCTTCGGTATTGTTCAGACAGCGTTCTACCTCGATTTCGCCTGGGTATATTGGACGAGACAACGAGTCAAGCTTAGAGGAGGATCGGTTGTGGACACAGATGATTTGCGAAAGGGCTGGTTGGTGGACCGCGTCATCAACCATGCATTGAGCGAACCCGAAGAAGATCCCGAAGCTGGCCCTGAGGAGACCGATGGGGCCCCTCGACAACCCAAGGTCAATCGCTGGGGTCGCCGTGGGATCTCGATATCTGCCGACGACACGCTGCATGAGCATGACAAGAGCAAGAAGCCACGAGCAACGGCGGCGACACCAGAGGAGGATCCTATCCTTGGCGACGAGGATGCATTTGCTTCTGACCTGGATGAGGATGTCCCCGAGCTGGATAGTCCGCGAAATAAGGTATTGAACAACCACGAGGAATGGCGCCACACTTCACCTTCCAACAAGTGAGGTGATGTGGACGCCTTGACTTGGATTGTTTGGGTTAGGTTTTTTGTAGCAGGGTTGGAGGACGTGTATTGCACTGTATGCAGGTACTAGTACCTGGTATTCATGTGATATCTTGGGACCTCCTAGTATCATGAATGGTGGGAAGTGTCCGGCTGAATCCAAGCTAGTATCTTGGTCGGGCGTTGCATCAATTACGGCATGTTCTTCATTATAACACACCTACCTACTATCTGAACAAGAGACAGTATTTGTGTGTGCTTTGCTAACACAAAACCATTCGTGGACAGCAATGGCAGGACTGACTCACCGATTGAATAGAACGAGACATGTTTCACCCTGCATACTACAGTCTTTTCCTATCTCTCCGAGGCTGCGGTTAGCAACGGCAGCCACCAAGTGGTTGTCATGTTTCGGTGCGCGTTCCCGGGCACCACCTGCAGACAACGGCTCCCTAGGCTCCTTATCGGGCGCTCAGTGGCTGTCACAGGTGGCTGTGAAAAGACCTGCTTACTTAGCACGAACTCCCACATGCAGTGCATAAAGGGCATTATGCTCATAGCATGTCACAGGTTCTCGTTCGGTAGTACCAGCTGAAGTTGTACTAATTTACTGTTTATTCGTGTCAAGCTTTGGCCTTACGCCGGAGCACAAGCGACTCTGGACTACTGTCGCCTTACCAACAGATCCACTCTCGTGGTGTGGTCAGGGACCGATCGATGTCTCAGTCGCGGATTTAAGATGCCACCGATGATATAGGCTGAAGTTTGCGGTGCCGAATCGCCGGAAGGTAGGGGTTGCGTGGCTCACCACACTGCGTCCACTACCGCCGACAACAAAGAAGAAATTATGCAGGAGTTGTCCACGACATAAACAGTGTTCAATGCCTCGGGCCCGAGCCTTGCCCCAAGTTGCCGAAACTCTCTGCATGCAATAATTGTCCGAGTCGACGGTATCGCTTACGGTCTCCGCCCAAAGTCACCGTGATCTGCTCGGGCTGCTGCGCAGACAGCCTCCAATGACGCGAGCCAAAGGGAAAAAGAGATGCGACAGGGCGGTCGTATTTGGGTAGGAGTGCCCTACCATGCGAGCAGCCAAAACCCATGCCATGGGGATGGCGGCCAAAGCGACGGCCTATTTGACTTGACGGCAACTACAATGTAATGATGTAAGACCACCCCGAAGAAGGCTGAAGAAGGAGATAAAAACACAATTTCCACCAATCGCCAGGGGATCCATTGGTGGGCCGGGAGAAACGGCACGGAATCCCCAGGGATCTCGAGGCTAATGCGCAATGATGGCGGACAAAAAAACCAAAGTCGACGCCCCATCCCATTTCCTATATCATGGAGGGCGTGGTCCATTATTGCATTATTATTAACTGCGCACATCTGTTCTGCTCACAACGCATATAATCTTGGGCTCGTTCCCGGACAAGGGCACATTTACACCTTGCGAGACCCTTTCAAGATGGCTCCCTCTCCCTCTCACTCGACCGGTTCACTCTCAACCGCACCCACTGAATGTTCCACCGAACGAGACGCTGCGCAAGTTCCCACGCAGAGTGAAAAGACAATGGAAGACCTCGAGCAACAACCTACAAGTCAAACTCACCATCACCACAGACATAAACATGGAGTGCCCCACTGGAGGATAGTCGCCAGTCAGACACTTATAACCGATGACGTGCTGAATCACGAGTATCGCGGTTCTGGCACCGAGGACGATCCCTATGTCGTCGAATTCATCCCCAACGACCCTCGCAATCCCATGGAATTCTCGCAATTGAAGAAATGGTTCATTACCATGACTGTCGCCATTGCCACTCTTGCAGTAGCTTTCGTCTCCTCCTCTTATTCGGGAAGTGCAAGAGAAGTCATCCAGGAATTCCATATTAGCCAGGAGGTCTATACACTTGGAATATCGTTATTCGTGCTAGGCTTTGCTCTCGGCCCTCTTTTGTGGGCTCCTCTGTCAGAACTATACGGCCGACAACTGCTGTTCTTTGGCACCTACGCCGCTCTCACGGCATTCAATGCAGGGGCGGCTGGTGCGAACTCAGCCACCACGCTGATCGTTCTTCGGTTTTTTGCGGGAACATTTGGATCCTCCCCCTTGACAAATGCCGGCGGTGTCATCGCTGACATGTTTGCTGCAAATGAGAGAGGTATCGGAATGTCCATTTTCGCGGCTGCACCTTTCCTCGGCCCAGTCATAGGCCCCATTGTGGGAGGCTTTGTTGGTGAGACCATTGGTTGGCGGTGGAACGAAGGGATCATGGCCTGCTTCACAGGGGCTCTCTGGATATTCGGCGCCCTGACCATTCCGGAAACGTATTCACCTGTCATACTCCGGAAACGGGCGAGCCTCTTGTCGCAAAGAACCGGCAAGGTGTACGTTTCCGTCTTGGAGCTGAAACAAGGCAAGACGACACCCAAAGCCGCGTTCCAAAAATCCATGGCAAGGCCGTGGGCTCTTCTCTTCCTTGAGCCCATTGTGTTGTTAATCTCCATCTTCATGGCGATAATCTACGGTACTCTATACATGCTATTCGGGGCCTTTCCCATTGTGTATCAGCAAGGACGTGGCTGGTCACCCGGTATTGGCGGCCTTGCATTCTGTGGAGTGGCAGTCGGTATGCTGGCCGGTGTGGCCTACAGCATCTACGACAACAAGCGATACGCCAGGATCGAAGGAGAAAACGACGGAGAGGCTCCTCCGGAAGCTCGTCTTCCGCCAGCTGCGATCGGCGCAGCCGCTTTGCCGATCGGGCTGTTCTGGTTTGCCTGGACAAATTCGCCTTCCATTCACTGGATCGTCAGCATCATCGCGACAGCCCCCTTCGGCTTCGGAATGGTGTTGGTGTTTTTGGGATGCATGAACTATCTCATCGATGCCTACACCATTTACGCTGCCTCGGTACTGGCGGCGAATTCGGTTCTGCGATCGCTGTTCGGTGCAGCATTCCCCTTGTTCACTACCTACATGTACCAGAATCTCGGCATCCACTGGGCATCCTCGATACCCGCCTTCCTCGCCCTGGTTTGTGCACCCTTCCCGTTCGTCTTCTATAGATACGGCAAGCCCATCAGGTTGAAGTGCAAGTATGCCGGTCAGGCACACGCCATCATGGTCCAAATGCGCGAACAGGAGAAACGACTGAAGGAAGAAGAGGAGCGAGAGGCTGCCATGGAAAGTGACAGTGATGATACTGGAAGCAATGAGATCGGCCAGGTGGAAACTCGGCATAGTATTGCCAGTCTCAGACCGAGTCTCCTAAACATGGTCCGCACGGGCTCGCGGGCTTCGAGGGCATCGCGAGCCTCACGCCCGACCCGAGCTTCGTCCAACGCATCTCGCGCCGGGCGGACGGCCAAGATGGAGGACTTTGGCCGGGTATACAGCCATGCCAGCCATCATCACTTTTAAACGCTGGGTCTTGAGGAGGACTCAGCGCTAGGGAAATCTTGTTCTGGCTATTTGACTTTGAGCGTTCAAGCGAATTATAGACGGGTTCACAGCTACGGGATGAAGGATAAGGCGGGCAATAGAAATCTAATGTTGAAATCAGGATAGCCGTTTTAATAGATACTAGGATTCATTGCACAATCCAATGGTATTGTACCTACATTGTACAGTAATGTCCAAAGGTGTCTTCATGGCAGACTTCGGGCAGCCCGTATTTCGCCACACTAGCATCCTCTAGCAATTCTCTCAAAGCGGCGACACGTCGGTTATACCGTATTTACGACTCGGAGTCGGTTGAACCTGATCCGAGTCACCGAAGAACGACTGACGCTGACACTTTGCACGGTTGCCTTGAGATCACTCTCAGGCTTATCTCGTTGTTTTCCAACCACCCCGAGTGACACATATTTATATTGCTGAATAGCCCTTCTTCTATATTGCAATGTGGAGGACCCGGCCGTCAAAACAATTGCTGTGTCCCTTTGAGCGAAGGGTGCTGCCTACTGCCTTCCCAAGCTCCCTCAACAAGACTGATAAGACGCACAACATACGCACAATGGCTACGACTCCGATTCCAGCCAAGTTCGACATCAACAGCAGGTACACCATGAACTCAGGCCATAAAATACCCGTACTGGGGTACGGCGTCTACCAGACCCCCGCGGCACAATGCGAAGAAGTCACACTGCACGCCTTCCGCACTGGATACCGCCACATCGACTCAGCACGAGCATACCGCAACGAACAACCATGTGCCGACGCGATCCGCAACTCAGGCCTGAAACGAGAAGAAATCTTCTTCACCAGCAAAGTACCTCCCCGAGCCATGGGGTACGAAGGGGCCAAGAAATCCATCGAGTCGTCCTTCATTCAGACAGGGCTAGATTATTTTGATTTGTATCTGATCCACTCGCCGTACGGAGGCAAAGAAGGCCGCCTTGGTGCGTGGAGAGCCCTCGCGGAAGCCCAGAAGGCCGGCAAGATCCGGTCAATCGGCGTCTCCAACTACGGCGTGCATCATCTTGACGAACTCGAAGAGTATATCAAGACAAATCCTGATGTCGGGGGGACCATTGACGTTGGCCAATGGGAACTCCATCCCTGGCTTCCGCGCTCTGATATTGTGGATTGGGCTCGGAAGAGGAATGTCGTAATCGAAGCTTATTGTCCTATTGTTCGTGGTCAGCGAGCCGAAGAGCCGGTCTTGAAGCGCCTGAGTGAGAAACATGGCAAGACGTGGGCCCAGATCTTGCTGCGTTGGAGCTTGCAGAAGGGGTTTGTGCCGCTGGTCAAGAGTGTTACTCCTTCGAGGATCGAGGAAAATGCGGCCATTTTTGATTTTGAGCTCGATGAGGAGGATATGAAGGCTTTGCATTTTCCGGATTCTTATGCTCCGTGCAGTTGGGATCCTACTGTCAGTCACGATTGAAGGGAATATTTTCGGCTATTTGCACATCATAGCACTACGGCTGTCGGGCTGTTGTGCTAATAGCTATGAAAAGTCTGGTCGTCTAGCTCCTCGGTCTCTAACCCAACAATTGTCGCAAGCCGGGGCACCTTTCTAATTGCCCATCTTGTTATTCGACCCCGACGCATTCTGCCCCAAGAAAACTAACAACACTGCACAGTATCTACCGAAGGTTAGAGCTAGGAATTCTAGCCGTTGGACTGGTCACTCACGCTGCTGTGGCGGCAAACACTTCATGTCGCTTAGCGCTTGTCGCGCTGGAGCACAGTCCCGCGAACATTGATGCGAACGCGAGCGCCACCAAGATTTGTCGATAACCGTCCATGTTCCGAATCTTGTACAATATCATCACTGGCCCCATAATAAGGAATACCAAAATCATTGTGAAGATGAATGCCACGAAGGCGTCAAATCGTTCTTTGTCAATCAACTCCAGTCGCAGAACCGATCCACCATTGAGCTTCCTTCGCTGGGTGCTGCTCCGGAAGCAATACTGCAACATGTTAACAGTCCGAGACTGCATGGATATGGGTGCTTACATACTCTGATGAGAGACCTGCCTGCTGCGATCTTCAAGGACAAAGCCAGCAACACACCATGGATCCAACTGGACTCCTTATCACTACAGAGGGCCACCAGATCGTCCACGTGTCGGATATAACTGCGGTCAAGGCTGGACAATTCTCCATCGTTCCAAATGAACGTTGCCACAGCTTCGCGATCTCGGTGACTCGGAGCATCGTACTGGCGAACTTCTGCGCATCTCCTGAGAAGATCATCTGTTGCCGGTCAGTGAAAGTTATTGTGATCGGGTTCTGCCATGTTGATTGGTCTTACCATAACGTTTGAGCTCTTCGCTTAGTTGCTGGAACAAATGTCTTCTCTTTGCTGGGATTCGCCTATCATCCCCCTGACGGCAGCAAAGCGCTCGTTTATAGGGTTCGTTATTGAAATCCTCCCAGTCGAGGCCTTCTAGCGTGCTCTCAATTTCCCTCAGTCTGTCTTGATGCCAGACCAGAAGCCTTGTTCGCAAATATCCGAAACGGCGGAATATCATGAAGGAAGGATCGCTATCAATGACTGCCGCGAGTCGTGGCCAGCCTTCGGGGTTGCTCTCGACTATCAGACACAGCAATGTTAGCTCTGTGATTGGTCGCCGTGCGGCTGGACTCTTACTCTCCATCACAGTTGTCTTGTTCCATTCTTCCTCAACCTCCTCTGGGGGTGATCTCGATTTTCTCAGTATATCCGGCAGCCATAAACTGAAGCACCCTGGTCTTCATCGTCAACGATCTCTAAATACTCTATTGGAGATATAGATGCCGTACGTCTTCGAGCCGCTACCTGGGCTTCTTCATCTTGGGCTTTCTCGACATCTTGGTTTCCAGGATCGATTGGCATACTAGGCATAAGTTTGGAGTCTCTTCATTGAGTAGTGTGGCTGTTTGGATGCTGTGGTTCGAAGATATCCTCACCATTGTTATACGACGGAATTGTCAGAAGGAGAGTCGGCACCCTCGGGGGTTTTCTATGAGGCTGGTGACGCCCTCTTGTTACACGGCGAGGCGCCCGAGACACACTTGAAGAACAAGATGCCTTTTGTGCCACACTGATTTCTTTCCACTAGCTATATCTATGGGAAACTACCAGCTGAGCAGGACCATGCTTTCCGATTCGCCAGATACCTGGCCTATCTTGACTCGGTGCTGGAAAGTTCAGAGCTAGCCGCCTTCAACCAGGATTCATTGCTTGACCTCGTGGTACATTGTCCAGCTAAGCACACGCACAGGTCAAGGTTCTCATCTCGAATTCAACGCCTGCTGTCTATCCTCCGTTGTCCTCCTATCTTAGCAGACGACACAGCCCTTGTCGTCCTTACTGTCTCTTGCATTATTCTCACGTCTGTGGCTCTCGATCATTTCTTGTCTGCTGTTGGACCGCGCCTCTGTTGTTCTCTGCTGAAGACGGCTCGACTGAGATCTGTCTGCTCTGTGGTACGTCAGCACAACGCTCTTCTCCGAATTGAAAGGGGCAAGAAATCATAAGTACCTGGCTTGGTTTCCGGTCTGGTCTTGCGCATGTTGTCCTGGCCAATGCTCTTGTCCTGCTTGATGATATTGTGTCGACTGCCTAGCCTGCCCGCTGGTATGCTGATGATAACTCTGATGCTGTGATGCCACATTCGAAGCGCTGCCGGGCTGCGCAGAGTCCATTCTTCTATCTCTCTGCTGGCTGGGTTCCTCTCGTCTGACCTGGCTATTTCCACTCGGCTGGAAAGATCGGCGATCCAGCATCGAGGTTGATTCATGAGGGTATCGAAGGTCTGACTCAGGATCAAAGTCACCTATCCGATCGATCAGCATGGTTCTTCAGGTTATGGCCTGGCAACCTCAGGTCTATAATCTCTGCGGTCCGTGTGGGTGGATGGATCAGAGTCTGCATATTTGTCTGGATATTCACCTTCAGAGTCTCCGCTTTCTTGCTGGGCTCTCTCGTTGTCATCCCGGGGTGGGTGCCAGGTATCCTGGTTCTGCTTCTTATTCTTGTTTCTACCAACGTGAAAGGGCATATTGGGACAAAGCAAGACAGCCAGTGGGTTTGAATTGTTGAAACAGTGTGGATGATGAGCAAGACTTACAGGAAGACAATTCATGAAGGTGCCTCCTGGGCGAACACCAAGAGACAACGTGCGTTGAGATCCAACGCGCAATATCCACATGGACAATGTCCAGCATCTCTACTACGCACCCGCCCAACGCCTCTACCAGGGCGTCGTGGCGTCGTCCACTAGGACAACGCCCACACGTTCAACGCCTGGTGTAGCTTGATAGCCCGTGTCTTCAAATCAATAACAAGACACATAGGTTACTATGCTACGAGGCTGCGTTGGATAATTGCGCTCCGTGTCGTCGATTAATCAACACTCGTATAGCCTGCTTCCCTCCGACTGTGCCCTTTGGTACAAGCTATTGAGTGTGTGTGTTCTTCACACATATACACACTTTCCGCGCAAAGTGTCAGGCTGAGCCAAAAAGGCAGTGTCCCTCATGTGGAACCAAGAAAGACATCTTCAGCAGCAACCTGACCCAAGGAGAAACAAAAGACGCCCACTGCAAGTACAGGTACCCGAACATCTTTGGGGTATTGTCCTACGTTTTGAGTTTACTAGGGATCCGAGGCAATGTTCTAGTCGTGTGCTCATGTCAGAGCACAGCAGTGGAAAACCCACCTATTCCCACACCACCATGGCCATCATCACAACCTCAGCACCAAGCCCGGCAGCATCTCTTGTGAGCAAAGGATTTTCAAGTGATGACTAATGGAGCAAGGAACATGACGTTTCAGAGGCCCCATCAGCAGAAAGTCCAATGGCGATACTTAGGCTGTACCGAGAGAAGGCTTCCAAGCTGGTAACTTCATCCGTCACCGAACGCTGTTGGCATTTTCCGCATGTTGCCTGTGCATATATATTACTTTCTGCTACATGACATCCTCTTCCAACTGAACAATCTTATGGACCAAACTAGGTTCCACAACAACAACGCCCTTCACACAATGATCACCAGACTATGCGTGCCTGGGTTCAATGGTCACATTGTTCCATTACCATTCTGTTGCTGACCGAAGTATGCCTGAAACAAGTTCTTTCTCTACCCATGAGCGTCCATGAGGCCAAGCCCAGGCTCCCACTTCAAAAGGTAGAAAAGGTTGCCCAACCGTCTACTCATCCATGTGAGCGAGTTGCCGAGACGAAGAACATCAGCCTCATCATGCCTATTTTTCACTGCCAAACCATGCCAGGATGGTCTACGGCTCACTCCGAAGTCTTATGTATTGATGATCCGTTCCCGGTGCTTTTAATCTGGTTTTCACTGCACAGTACTAAACCAAAGCGGCTTACAAGTGCACCAAACAAATTTCCTTGCGATATGGACACCTTGTCTCGTTGCTGCACTCTTTCTCCGACGGGATTTTCTATCCTTTCTACATCGGGAGAAGGAACAATCAATTTGCATCCAAGTTCGGGAAGCAGTCAACAAACATGCTAAGGAGCAAACGTGGTCAAAGGGATTGATTGCACAGAGCAAGAAGGAGAGCCGTTTGCTGGAAGCATGAAAGGAGAAAGTTGCGTCTCATATTTCTATCCTGAAGCGGGACGCTCCTGACCTTCTGTTCTCCATCAGCGAACACTTTCAAACTTTCCAGCTTCAGGAGTTTATTCTTTCTCTGCCATCGCTTGGGATCAGACAAAATGCTCGTCAAGGAACGGGGTGAAAGGCGAGGGCACAATCAAAACAAGACAGATGTACGTATTGCCTTGCACTTGTATTACTCATGTTGTCTCGAGTGCCCCAATGGAAGCCTTTCTTTTACTTGTTGAGCCCGCCCATACCGGAAGGATCATTTCTGACTGACATCTCATTCCTCAGTTCCGTCCCGACTATGCCAAAGTAGGTGACTGGATCTTCGTTGCAGGTCAATCCCAGCCTTTCAAAATCAAAACAATGGGGGGTGAGCTTGAGTGGCAGGCTGAGCAGCTCGTGGCAACCACCATGGCTAGGAACACAGATCCCATCATTGTGGTTCCTTCTCATCCACGTGTAGTGTTCAAGGTCAGGTTCGAGTACGACGACTATGTGACGATACCGTCGTTGGTACCGTCATCGATACGGGACGGCTTTAACAGCACCAAGGTGAAGGAACTGCATTATCTATATCAGGTCAAGGAAGTCGAGTGCTGGGATCGAGACCGCTTCTGTGTCAAGCGCCACGAGGTTGGGTTGCCGAATTTCCAGGAGGCATGGAAGTATTACGGTGAGAGGGAAGGAGAAGAGCCCTGGTGTGTCGGTATGTGCCGGGTAGAGCGACTGAGTGATGGTAAGACAGCATGGGTCCATGAGTGCAGGCTGGTACTCGCGAACGTCGAAGGGTATTTCAATTCTGATTTTAGGAGATGGGAGCCGGCCGTGCCGGACCATGAGATCGAGGACGCTGGATTCGGCGACGAATTCGGGAGGGACCTGTGGAAGTCTGCACCTATGCAATGGGCGCTAGTGCACACCGATGACTGGAATGAAGGTTTTACAGCGTATGAAGACGAGGGTGAGATTGAAGACGAGTTTGCCGGTGATGGTGGCGGTGGTGATGACGGTGATGGCCATAACGATGTTAATGATGGTGACGACGACGATGAAGATGATGGCGATGGCGATGAAGGTGACGAAGACGAAGAAGTCGATGGCGATGGCGATGGCGGTGACGGTGACGGTGACGACGATGAAGGCGATGGCATGGACGAAGATGACAGCGACGAGGACGATAGCAGTGGCAACTACTACCACGCAGCTGGATCAATCACCATCACCAGCGAGCAAGACGCAGATAGCAACAGCAGCAGCAGCATTGAGAGAGGCTCCAACGGAAGCACTACGCGTTCCAATTCAACTGCTGAAATGGGATCCGTGGGCACAGATACAAGCTCGCGTACTATCATGGGTGACGATTCCCGTGCAGGCAGTACCAACACAGTGAACACATTCACATTGGCCTTGCGCGGCGCGGCTTCTTTCAAGAAGAGAAAAAGTGCAGATGATCATCATGGTGGTGGTGGTGATAGCGACGACGACGATGACGGTAACGGTAACATCGTGAAGAACAAACGCCTCAGGAAGTAATACAGTATACAATTACTACTGCTGCCGCTGGTACTGGTGCTGGTGCTCCTGCTGCTGCATCGACTACTGCCACCGAGCAACAACAGCAACAGCAACAGCAACAGCAGCAGGGACGATGCCATGGTGGTGCATGAGTACCTTGGAAATGCAGGAGTTGACCAACTTGACCTGCGATGCCATGCCTCGGTGCATTCGACCATTGAATTTGTCACGGTATTGATATTGAGTTTGTCGTTGTGTATACGAGTCATAAACTATGCTTGCTTGCTTCCTCTCACAAAACCGTCCCCTCCAGCATTACAGTGATTATTTACTGCCAGATCCAGCCCCGGCGCAAAGTAAGAATCTCCTTAAGGTACGTTATCCTCTCCTTTCATTCTGTTTATTCTTCTATTTCGTCAGCTTCTACCAATAACGCCGAGTTCTATGGCGGCGTGTGCTGCCACTACCAGTTGGGACATCCGTCGCCTGACTCTGCGTCTCTGCGTCCTGCACCCCGGCTTTTCTCTGCTCCCTTGTCGACCTTGAAGTCTTCGACGTATGTGATCGTTCGCTTCGTCGTCTTCTTCCGGACCCGGCCCCAGTCCCGGTCCTGCTTGCAGGCCCAGTCTCCGCACTCGTTCCCAGTTCCGAGTCGGGAGTTCTCATGGAAGTTGATTGTGATAAATTGCTTTGGTGGCTATGACTGTGGCTACTGCTGGAATCTCCTATACCGCCTCGCCCACCTTCAGGCCTCTTGGAGGTATCGTTCGATGGTGATGATAGCCGCCGTCGCCGCCTATGGGGAGTGTCACTGTCGATGCCGAGTTGGTCGTTAGGAACATGAATGCTGGCAACGTCGGTTACGTCGCCATTCTCCTCCTGATTATCGTCATCATAATAATCCGAGACTTCGCCTTCGTCTTGTCTTAGGTGGTCGTCGGTGTCAAGGTTCCAACTCGCCGCGTGCGATTGCAAAGGCTTATCTCTTTTGATCAGCTGCATATCCCCTGGTCGAGTGGTGGGAACCAGTGCACCTGCATCACTTTGACTCTGGGTGAAAGGTGGCGTTGGAATGATGATAGGATTCGGAACAAAGTTGGGCCACTCGCTATGAGTGAAAGCGGAGTGCAGGGGTTCCTCCTGGTCCGTCCGCCTCAAAACAGGTTCGACATCAGCGCGGCCTTGTTGCTTCTGTGTGAGTTGGGCGGCTTTTCTGCGAATTTCTTCTTCTATGAGGTGTGACGACGTCTCGACGAGCTTCCGAACTTCGACCTATACAACAATACGGTCAGTCGCAATTGAACCCGGCCTTGTCACTCCAGCCAGGCTCAGTTGATGGGAAGCAACTCACATAAGTCAATTGTCGAGGAATCGCCCAATGTGCTTCGCCGTCATTCTTGCAGACGAAGCCAAAAAGCTCTACCACCTTCTTCTGCACCCACTGTTTGGGTAAGACAGTCTCAACCTCTCCTTGAGCAAACTTCGCCTCCTTTGGGCCGGGCGTCATCCAATACCGCAAACAAGCTTGGCTGTCCACATAGTAAGTCAAGTCCTCCGGGCTGCGAAGCATCCAAACAAACCGTCCATTGTAGGCGGCGAGGACTTTTGCAAGTGGCACTTCTTCAACGTGCGGTGGATGCCAAACATGCCGTACAAATGGAATCGCCCTCTCTGTCACATGAGGGAATGATGGCCACCCCCACCCTGTTGGTTCCGGCCCTGACCGAGGAGGCGCCTGCGGAGCATATCCTGAGCCACCGCCATTCCGGATATCGCGCTTGTATGGTCGGTGACGGCTTCTGGATCGGGACCGTGAGACAGGTGATGACAGCTCACTTTCTGTCCGATACCTTGGCCGCCGGCCACGCGAACTGTCACTCTCCGCATCCGAGTCGTCTGAGAGTAGATCACTGCATGGGTCCACTGGTTAATGATGCTCCACCAATTCGAGATCTTTTGACTAACCCTTCTGTTGTTGGCGCTGGATTTGCGGCATGCTTACCCCTGTCCAACACGTCTTCAATCAACTGTGGATTCACCTTCGTCCACTGGGTGAACAACAGCTTGAGCGCACTTGTCGCTTCATCTTCTGGTGGAGCTGGGCCAGAGTCGTCCTGCCCTTGTTGCAATTGGGACGAACTTGCAGTAAGTCTCGCAGGGCCCGCTGGCGGGCGAATCGATGCCGTTGGGTTATATGGCATGGTGGCGATCAGCCTTTGAGAGACATGGCAGGTCAGTCTTGGTGGGTTCGTGCGAACTCCATCCTCATGTCCAAGGACCGGTTCATTTCGCACTTCAATTCTGCTCACGTTGTTATTCGTGTGTGGACGAGGCATGGCAACAAATGGATTGTCGTCTATCGACCTCTCCGTCGGCGTAGAATCCGAATCCTCTGATTGGGGAGGATGACTCATGGCTGAGGGCCTGACAGGAGCTGCGAATCGCTCATCAGCGTCACCGCTACCATGGTCATCTGGGGTGTCATGATGATGTGGCATGTTTTTGGGCACGTCCTCTCTAGGATTTGGCTCCGGCCCTGTTGCCATCCGAGCGCGCAGCCTCTGACGCTCATCATTACCAACTCGAATAATAACGGGCTCATGGCCGCGCTCGTGCCGAACACGGTGATGGTACTCTCTCCCTCTTCTGGTCGATGTCGGTCGAATCGAGAGCTGAAGGTTCTGTTCGGCTTCCTGTAACTTGGGCAAGCTGCGGTGATAGGCCAAAACTTCGTTCTTGAGGATCCGAATTTCGTCCCGAAGTTCGCTAAGGCCATCGGGCGTGGAGGTACTGGAGCGCGTTGTAAGATAGTGTGTGCACTGAGCATCGCGAGGACCTTCTGTTGGACACTTACTCAGCTTCGATCCTCTTGCCCATCTGCACCACTTGGAGCATCAATCCTAGAACACCTCTTAGGGCATCCATTCGTCGCTTCAACTCTTCTGCTCTTCTCTTCTTGAACAGCCACCGGATGGGGAGGAGGTTATCCTTCTTTCGACGGATTTGCCGCCTGATTGTCCTAAACAGTCTTTTGCAATCCTTCATCGACGCCTCCACCATTTTCACAGCCTCATCAGTGAAGAAGCCCTTTTGCGCCTTCAGCACGGCGCCGAGCTGTTTTATGATGGTGGTGAATGTGGTTACTTCGCTGGCAATCTCCTCGATCTGGTCACGGGCATAGCGCATAGTATATCCCAGATCGAAGAGGGCCTTGGACACTGAAGCCCCCAGCGAGACGATGCCAAATACCGATGCCACAAGACCGACTTCCGCCATCTTGCTGACTTTGAAGTTATGGGCCTCTGCTAGATCAGCGTAGAAAGAATGGTGAACAGTCACAATGGGGACATCAGGCTGAAGAGGCGAAGTACATTTTCAAGACGACAAGACTACAGGCAAGGCGGACAGTTGCCTGAGCCTGAGCCTCATCCTGAGACTGATGGCTTGAAGAGGCTTGGGGGCTGTGCCACCATCGAGGACGCCGCAGCATTGTCCATTGGCTCAAGCTAGCGCCCTGCATGGTAAACAGCGGCCTCATTCGGGGTGCAAGATACCCAGTAGAGCGAAAAGTAGGTATGATGGTACGGGCGTAGCCCATCCCAGCTCGTCCATTTTGGTGCACGAATTCTAGTCGGCTGTCAGGTTCAGAAGGGACACAGAAGGCAGAACGTGGTTGTTGAATCGGATCGTGGGGACCCTGAGGTCGAGATGGAAGCCCACACGCCGACGATACGAGAGGAGCACCAGCTCCAAGTCAACTCGAAGCAGGACGCTGTTGTGGGTACTAGTATCGTGCTAGTGTAAGAGTCCCAGGTTGTCGAGAGCTGTAAAGAGGATGTAATAATTGCAATGTCCCACTGCAGGAAGATATAGGTCCCCTGCGTACAGGCGCCAGGTGCCAACAATGCCCTCCGAGTCTCAAGCGAAGAACAGCGGGCATGGAAAGAACAGTCACGTTGTCAGTCTGAAGATCCAATTCTTTGTGACTGCCAGTCCTTCAAACTCGGCCGCCGTCTGCTGCAGTGCGGGCGGATCTCAGCCCAATGTCGTCGAGTTACTACCAGTACTATCTAGGTAGTGGTACTTGAAAAATCTCGTTGACTCCATCAACTTCCCGGGGACCGCGCCAAAACAACCCCTTGATGTCAACGAGGATAGACCTCATGATCATATTGCCCTTCTCTCACTGCCAGTGCCCTTCAATCCGACCAACCCCCCCGTCCATGACCAAAGCCTCCGGGCGATCGCGAGCGAGCATACTCCTTGTGTCCATCATCCCAAGTTGCGACACGATTTCTGCCCCGATCGGGAACTCGCCGGCTGGATCTGGACCTCCTTCTAGAGATAGTACCCGTCTCCTTTTTCCGCCTCAATTTCTCGACCTCTCTCCTGCTCGCACCTCCATTGTTCACCTTGTCGCTCCAGATGAGATGTTTCGGCTTGCCCGGGTACACGCCCTTGCGGACCCTGCGCTTCCGGGTGAAGTAGGTGAGGGAGATGTAGAATCCGTGCACGTGAGAGGGTATGACTGCCAGGAGGAACATGAGACAATTGAACAGCAAGTCCTCGTTCGGCCCGCAGATGAGCAACACTGCCAGTGGGGGGAAGAAAATGTTGAAACAGGCGATGACGAGGCGTTTGAAGAGTGGGATTCTCATTTTCAATTCGGCCTTGCTCGCGTGCCAGTAATCATTGCCGTGGCTTTAAATTGTAATAATTTACAGGTGCACTGGCAGTATTCCAGCTGGTAGGTTAAGGGTCATGTGTTCCTTTTCATGAGGCTAGGCGCAAAGGGTTAATTGCAGGTTGATTCAAGTTGTCGTTGCTCAAGGTAAACAAACTCGTGAACCGGCGAGAAAGGAACAAGCATTTGAATGTTTTGTAGATAGAGGATAACTCGTAGTCTTCAGGCTGCTTACCACTCAACGACGGGGGAACCACGCTGTATATTATTGTCTGCCTCTTCCCAACTGGTAAGGTACCTTATGCAGGGACTTGCCCTGCTTCATTGCGTTGGCTTGTAAGAAGCCCCCAAAACATGGAAAAGAAGGTCTTTAGAGCGATCATCACAACTTGTTGTCTTGTGGTCCGCCGTCGACGTCATCTGTGGCTGGTATTTTGGCCTGGTTCAAGATGCTTCACCCTCAGCGACTATCACCGTCGAGATGATCGTGCTCGCCAATCGCCCAATCTCATCCGAGCCATCCATTCCAGTCACACACAGGCTGCTCTAGTCATGTCGAATACATTTTACTTGTATCGGACAGTACATAAATAGGTGACGTGCAACTCTAGCTGCTTGAGCTGTCCGTGGCCAAGGCCTCAGTTGGTGTATAAAGTATAGGGACGCCCAGGATGCCAATGGGTGGTGCCGTAACAGTAGTAGGACTACTAGGGTGGTATCTATTTTATACAAGGCCAGCAAAACAACCCTCTATCGCACTCCACTGACCAGAAGGATTGCGCTCCCCAGCTGCCGTCGAATATCCTCATTCTCCACATCATGAGTATCTTCCACCTCCCCCCACATGGCAGTCTGCCATCGAACCTCGACGGTAGCAGCTTCAGCGGCCTCTTCGATACCAAACCGTTTCTCCGAGCTGCGCTGCACATCTCTAAACTCCTCACTCCACTCGACCACCAGCCTGGCACCCACGAGCACACTCTTCCCAGCCAGCACCGCGCGTTCCAGCGCAGCCAGCTCGTAAGCAGGCAGACCCGCCATCCAGCCTCTAATGACACTCCTCGTCATCTCTGACTGTTGAACAGGCATGATACTCCCCTCCTCCAACACGGGCTTCAACTCGACACCAGGCCAAACAGTAGTCGTAAGATAACTGATGATCGGCGTGGCGGTCTTGATCTGGATCTGTCGTAGCGTTTCTTTTCGATCTGGGTGCGTTTCCAACTGAGTAGCATCATGCGTCGAATGCTCCGGCGCCCAGCACAACAAGGTATCCGTGTCGAGATACCGCATCATGACCGTGATGATTTCCTCACGGATTGCCGTCGACCCTCGTGCCTCAGCCTCACTGATGTCTTGCGCCCGCGCCACAATCGAAGTCATGGGGATATTGTGGTTCTTCAGCGCTTGCTGCGCCGACTCCAACATGTCCCATTCGATTGCGATCGCATGTGCAAGATGCGGCTTTGACCGTGGCACCGTCAAGATGGTTTTCGCGGGTGTCCGCACCGGTCTCGAATCCAAATGTACTTGGTATCCCTCCGGCACTTCTTTCACGTGCACATCTTTCCAGAATCTTTTCTTGAGTGGACTCGTTCTCTTGCCGGATGATTGTTGCTCCGCACGTAGTTCTTTGCCTTGCTTGAGGAGTTCGGCTTTCCGCCGTCGTTCGCCTACTCGGTCGCCATATTGTGATGATGTCGCTACCGGTGCGCTGGGAGGTGGTCCTGTGGCGGTAATGGGTAATGCTGTTGCTGCCCGCTGGGCACTGGTGGTTAGCCGTCTGGAGGGTGCGAGTTCGCTTTGTCGAGCAACAACACATTGAAGTCGGAGAGCTTTCGATCCAGAGGATGCTATTCGTAGTGAACTTGTCCGCATGTTGAATCTGGTATAGATGAGGTACTGGTATATTTGAAGGTGAGGCGTGGTTTCGCGGTTGTACTATTACTGGGTAAGTTGAACGTAGCAGCGGTCGGAATTAAAGTGCCAAGCTCAAGTCGTTAACGCCGCCTTGCGACAAAAAGTTCCAACTGAACCCGGCCGTCGCAGTTTCGAGACTCTACTCAGCTGTACACTTCTGCTCGAGCGACTACGACCATGGGCAAACCGTCTGTCGAAGTGGCAGGCTTTCTGGCTCTGCCATTGAGGCTCCCTTCTTCTACCCATGCGACATCGGCATCCCGAGAAGCGACGCATTACCTCTATCTCAAGCCTCACGACCCCCCAGTGCCGGACGAGGAGACGCCGAGATCATTGTTCTTGGTGAACATCCCCGTGTCCGCCACGGCCGCATCGCTCAAACACCTCCTAACGACGCAATTAGAGGGTGGTCGTGTCGAGAAAGTGCGGTTCACAGATGATCTACAGGAGAAGCCGTCATCGGTCGTCTCCTCGAAATCCGGAGGAGGCCGCAAGAGAAAGCGGATCACGGCCGAAGAGTTAGAGGCCGGATTGGACAGATTTACCCTCCCTCACGTTTTCGACAGTCACATCCATCCCAGCGGGTCTTCGGCGGTTGTCGTCTTTGTCGACCGCCCGAGTATGGAACTCACACTCAAAGCTGCCCGACGACTGGCCAAGTCGCGCACGGCAATTGTATGGGGAGGAGACGGCACAGAACAAAAGCCGGTACTCCCGCATCTGGGCTTGATGAGATATGAACACCACAAACATCGGCAATTCCCGTCGAGTAAAGAGCTCTTGCGCTCCGTGAACGGGTTCATGACCGCTTGGTCGCAACTCGAGGAGGCTAGGAGCCGCGAGACCGCGCGGAAACGGCAAGAGCCTGACGAGGACGGCTTTGTCACGGTCACCAGAGGCGCAAGAGGCAGTGTGCGAGCCGACGAGGCGAAAGAGATCGCAGAGAGACAGAAAGAGAAGAACAAGGCTCTTGAGGACTTTTACAGGTTCCAGACACGGCAGAAGAGAAAGGAGGAACAATCCGAGATGTTGAGAAAATTCGAAGAGGATAAACGGAGAGTGGAAGAGATGAGGCACAGACGTGGGAAGTTGACGGTAGGCTTAGATCTGTGACTTTGGAGCTGTTCGCTGTGCTGACTTTTACTTTAGCCTGGTTGAAAAGCCCTGTGTCGTGCGCAACAATCTAGTATCAGGTTGGTGAACCCTCGAGATTTCCCAGACATTGTCTTCGCGTATGATGAGGCAGCTGGGGCCAGAGAAGCATTTCTGTTCGGTGGGCGAACTCTCCATGTTCAACCCCGGGCGCTGTTGAAATGCAATGCCTACAAAAACCAGCCGAATATCTTCTCAATATTGTCTGATGTCGCCCCGCAGATTGCGTTACCTACGACATTTCTGAAGCTGTTCCTGACTCAGGCTTATCAGATGTTGAACAGCAACAGTACCTTCCTCGAAGCCCTCTGCAGATGGGAGTCTGTACGTCGCTGGAGTAATCCCCCATCGGGCCCATGCATGCCAGCTCGAGCTGACCACGTCCAATGTTGTGAAGATCATGCCCACAATCAAAGGCGACACTATCTGTGCGAGGTGACGCCATCGGCATTATACACGGCTTGAGCGGACACCCATGGGGGGTAGCATGCATCTCGAGCGCATTTACCCAGTTAGTCTCGCACTCACCTGGACAGCCTCTTCCGTCAACCCTCTTCTGGGATGTGGAAGGACATAGCGTGGGGAGTTGAGAGGAACACTTGCATTTCAGAACGAAAGTCGGGTCGAAGGCAGAGCGAGCCGGGTATACCCCGACTGCGTTATAATGATATCGACCCGAGAAGGATTTTCTGCGGGTCGTTGGCAACAAAGCTATGATGCAGCAGCGCGACGTTCTTGGGGTTGCGATAATGCGTTTTGTGGTCGACTGGCTTTTTCTCCGTATCGGAAATGGCAAGGGAGAGACATTGGGTTCTGATATGGATTCGCAGTCAAGGGCTCTGATCGGCGATCACATACCTGGAGGCATGTCTGCCGACACTCCGTATACTTTCTGCCAGTGGTGTTAGCCACAGATGCATGCGAGCCGTGTCAGCCGTGCTCGAAAAGGAAACACACCATGCAGTGTCCAACAACTCTGGGGTGTGATGCACAAATGGAAATCTCATTCAGCATCTTGAGAACCGTCGTAGCTGAGTCTCAATTGACACGATAAGCTCGAACATCCACCATTATTGGACCAGCGGCCATTGCAGGATTCGGTACGGCAATGCAATGCAATAGTGCTCCTTCTGCGTGAGCCGCTTAGACTCATTCGAGAATTATGTCTTAGATTTTCCGACTGGGTTGTAACCGGTACGCTCTGTCGTCGAGGTGGTCCAATAATTGTGAAGAACGTGCACGGTAGGCAAGACTAAAGGCGGCGTATCGTGTACATGCTGAAGCGTAGGTGGACTGTTGCCATGGTGTGGTTCGTAGGATGAGACACAGGTTCGGTGGTGCGATGGGTGGTTGCTCTGTTAAAGTCGGGGTCAACCGGTCGTGTCGGCTCGAAGATCTTAGCGCAGAGGGGATAATGACTGTGGGCGGGCTGGAGAACTCGCCAATAGTCAGGTCATGTGGTAGGAGAGTGGTAACCGACCAACAACCAGTAGTGAAAACGTGCTCAATTGGGGGACAGTCGACCGCCTAGTGAGGTACCTTGCCAACACAAGAGTGTGAGTGGTAAAGAAAAATTTGTCCGTGGCCAGTACTCTCACACATATGAGTACTGGGTAGTAGTGACATGTTCGGACTGCGCCGAGTCTCCTGGCTGTGTGCGAGGCTCAGCCTTGTGATTACCCAAGGAAAATGTCATCTTGAACCCTGGATGATCTTCACACTAGCATCGTAAACCGCTCTCGTCAGATCGAACGTCGGTCTTGGTTTTCCGGCGCTGGGAAATGGGTCTCGGAAAGTGGACCAATGCTACAAATATAGGTACAAGGTATCGTGAGAACTTCAGGCCGGTGGGGATGGTACTGAGAGAAAGATCCTGGGCCGATGCTAGGGAGAGCCCGTACGGCGAACCAGGTGGTGAGCAGAAGAACGTTGCAGTGGTGGCAACGGCTGGCGGAAGCGAGAAGTACAACGGTAGATAGTACAATGTATAACCTTGTAGCAGCATAACGTGGTATGAGAAGTGGACATGCTCAGGCTGAGAAAAAAGTCCTTTTGTCTTAGAAAGTCAGCCACACGCAGCGCCCGCCGATGACGACAAGGGGCTATAAATATGCAAGGCTGTCCAATCAATCTACCAGCTGAAAAACAGCCTCGCATGACCCTTCCGTAAGAGGATAGCGCGGACGGTAGCCTTGCGCTACTTGTTAAAAGCAGCAAGTGACTGTCCGGCGCCGAGAAGCGCAGTCTCAGCTGCTGCTCCCTGCGCCATTTTCCCGCACACTGGCACTGCACCGACCATTTCTCCCACTCCGAGTCGCTGAGTAAACCACTCACCCACCCACTCGCTCACTTCCACTCCCTTCCACCCACCACCACCCTCCACCAGAACAGGCTACTGTACCGTTGCCTTAGGGTCACTCCTACTACTCCATCGCCTCGAACCCTGTAAAACTAATGCATAGCCATCCTTCGGGTCTCCAGCTGTACGGCTCATGTGCTCTTCCGCCTTCTCCGTGGAGATCTGGCCACGACCATCATGGTGACCAGTGCTCTCTCCACGATGCCGCTGGCGTCGATGCTACAGTACCTTCACCTGCTCCGTATACTAAGTATACACTGCCACTAGCAATGGTCAGCAACGGCCATATCATGAGAGCTCGCCACAACCAGGTATAAGTAATCCTATATCTCTCCCAGTATACCAGACCTTTCTTTTGTTCATCATCAAACAGAAACACAAACACAAAAGCCACACATTCGCTACTTGCAAGCCATTCTCACACTCGCTTGGACCATACATCCATCCTCTTGAGACTCCTAATTTGATATCACAGCACTCGTTTACTGTCTTACCAAACAATCAAACACATGCTCGCTTCAATCTCCCTGCTTGTTGCCGCCCTCGCTGGCTCGTCTCTGGCTTATCCATACCCAGAGGGCTACCATCACGGCAACACCACCACCCCCTGCACCACGAGCACAACTTCTACAAGCTTGACCACAACCTCCTCATGGTCAACCACCACAACACAGACCACCTCTTCGAGCTCCAGCACGACGACACCTTGCACTACATCGTCTTCTAACTCTGTCTCGACGAACTCGACCTCCACTTCAACCAAACCCTGCACTACCACAACATCCGGGGTAATCACCACCACCAGTGCTTCTACCACCTCTACCCCTTGCACCACTTCAACCCACACGAAGCCTCACCAAAACTCGACCACGACCACTGTGTCGCCGGTCTCCACCACCCCATCTCCAACCAGCACTGAGATCTGGACTACCTATACCACGACAGAATGGATCACCAGTACCAAGTTCGTTCCTTGCTCAACTCCAGTTGCAACCCAAGGGACCTCGACATTCTATTCTACGTGGCTCACCACTGACATCTGGACCACGACTTCGTGCTATCCAGTCACCACCCACTGGGCACCATCTCCGGCTCCAGCCAAACCTACCGTGACCAACACACCAGTGCCAGCTAAACCAACTACCGTGGTGACACCTGCTCCAGCGCCAGTTACAGTCTATCCATCAAGCTGCCCTGCTGTCGGCACCGAGACTGTGACCGTCACTGTCACTCAACCAGCCCAAGGTGGCGCTGGCACTTACTATCCACCGGGCCACTGCCACGAATGCCAGACCATCACCTACACCGATGTCTGGGGAGTGATCGTGACCATTGCCATTCCCAACCAGCCAACAACAAGTGCCCCGGCCCAACCCACGAGCACCAATGTGATCACCACCACATCTACTCCGTGGACCACAAAGGGACATCATAACTCGACCACCACTGCCTGGACTTCTTCCAAGGTTACAGGCACTACCAGCAGTTCCGTACCCACAACTACACCGTGCACCACATCAAGCCACAACTCGACAGTGACATCCACCACTGCTAGTTCCACTACGACTGGCGCAACTTCCACCTCCAAATGGGGCACTACCACTACCACTACAGCCCAGAGCACAGGTACCACCAGCGCAACCACATCCACTGGAACTGGAAGCTCTAAGCCAACATCTTGGGCCAAGTTCAGGAGATTCTAATCGCCCAGCAACACAATCTCCCAAAAGCACATGATCATCTCTTATCACATGCACACTCCTTTATGAAGTTTACTGCGCTTTGAAGCATGGCGCGGATTGGATACAACCGACCATCTAATTGTCCAGCTCCTGGATTTACTGTCTCTATCTGGTTTTCAACGGCATAGCAAGCATGGGTGTGATTTTTCAGCATAGCATAGCGTGGGACCAGTCCGCGAAGAAGCGAGACTAGGATTGCAATTGATGTTGCAGATATATTTGGTTATGGGATAGTACCCTCTGCACCTATTAGACATGGAACAAGTGCATTACATACAGCACAGCAGAGCAAAATAATTTAATGCATCAGAAATGAAAATCATTAATGATCGACATCCTTTTTCTGTGCAGTAGTGGTGTGACCAATCTTCGAACGGAAGAAGAAGCAGGATCAATCTCGTGAGACTGAAACATGCGGTTCTCATGACGCCGACGATAATTTATTTTGAGCTCGGCTACCTTGATTATAGCCATACCCTTCACCATTGCACTACAGTACGCTCGTAGACAAACAACCCCATTAAAATTCAAAATAACGCACCAAGCTAACTGGTATCCGTCACCGCTCCTATCCGTACCCATGCGCCGTCGCTCAAGAAGGAAAGAAAGAAAAGGAAACAGAAAACCAGTCGACCTGCCGGTGTGGCGTGTGACGTTGAACCCGAACAGAAGAGGCCTTCCTTACTCAGGCCAAGGAGTCCCAAAGATAAACGCTCAGCGGGAACTTGAAACTAAAACTCGAACTCCATAGCTAGATATACATTAAAATCAAGGGCGAAAATAATCGCTGTCGCCGTCGCATCCCTCGGTTACAGGACTGGGGCTGCTGAGGCCAATGTCCGTTTCAAATTCCATTTCAATGGTCGTGGATGTGGGTGTGGTTGTGATCAAGGAAATCTGAACTTCGTCGGCCCATCGGACGGACTTGGGGCTTTGAGCGCTTGATCGCCTCTGCCCGAAAAAGAATGATTGGGCTCTTGTGGAAAACAAGCGAGGCCGCTGTGGAGGTGGGGATTTGGAGAGTGCGGAGCGTAGCTTTAGCTTAGGAGTTGACGTAGATCGTGGTGAAGAAGTGGTGGTGGTAGTGGTAGTGGTAGTGGTGATGCTCTTGGGAGTGGGATTGCGCGGTGAAGAATTTGAGGTATGAATGGTGTTGATCCGAATTATGGGATGGTGATCTTGTCCCAGGATATACCGAATGATGCCTCTTCGAAGAGGCAAGGATTGCCCAAGTTGAAGCTGCTGCTGTTGGATGTGCTCGTTGTGGATGGCTCCAATGGCACGTTTTGTTTCTCCATAATGATGTGGCGCCGCCTTCTCCTGAACTGCCACCCCATTATCCTGTTCGACCTGTTGTGACTGATGATGCGTGTCATGGCGGCCAAGGTATGTTGCCAGGACGGACAGTACGCAAATAAGCAGGCACACCAAACTGCCCAGAACCAACAAAGAGACCACCACACCGCGCAGGAAGCCGAGTTCGAGAATCCGCCGGAACGTGTGTTGAGTGAGTTCGGCGAAGGACAGGGCACCCAGTTCCGGGGTCCCCACGTGAGCGTGGGCGTGAGCGATGGGATATGTGAGGACGGTGGGCGCTGTGACGAGCAGGACGAGGCTGCAGATAATATGTTTCGACGACGCCATTGTCCTTGTTCCAGACACGTAGAGATGGAACCTCATCCGACAAGCACTGCAGCTCAGAGCATTTTTGTATAGGATGCGCGGTGAGGAGAACAGAGAGCGGAGGTGAGGTGGAAGCCAAACGACAGAAGAAGGGGACAGGACTCGCATTTTCTCTGACAGCTGCATGGCTTACATGTCTGACAGATCTTACCTTCAGCTGGTCCGTGAGTCCGTCTGTTGTTGATGGGACCCAGCGCTGGCCGCCGAGGCTGAGGCTCAAAATGGCAAAAGAATGGAATGTAATTCAATGCGGCACTCGACCGCGGCGTAACATGATTGGGGAGGCGCCCTCTCATCAGGCGACAACATGTCTGGGCACAAGGGGCCGAGGATGGGAGGATGGGGAGTTAAGGTCTACTGTGCTCAACACCTCTCTTGAAGAAGCGATTCATCAGGGCAATTATTGAGAGCTAGTAGGCGGGAAGCGGATCTCCCGCTCGTTCGTCGCGTGCACAGTCCGCCGCGTGTGGAAAAGGTGGGATGGCAGTGGAGAGGCGCGGATGTTGAAGTTCAAGTTGCCTGTCACAGCCTTGTCACTCTGCTGTGGAGGAGATTGGATGCCAGTCTCAAGGCGCAGGAGTTAGGAGGTGGGATTGGAACAGCAATTCTCCATATCTGGGTGCGAATCTGAGATACCCGTGTCCCTGGAGTTCGAATTTGAGATATCATTTCGGATCATTCTGGAGATGGATTGCTGCTTGACTTCCTAAGTTCTACAAGGTTGAAGTGGGTGCCAATAGTACACGGCAGGGCTAGGGAGGCCCGAGGCGGCCCTCCTCGTTGTACGTTCAAGCGAGCAATTACGTGAGGAGTAAAACAGTCAGACAAGCCCCTTTTCTGCAGCCGCACAGTGATAATACTGTAGCAATAGCGTAGCATGGCAATGTCTGACAGAAACACCTTCGGCCTCCAGCCTCACCTCAGCGCAGCCACCGCTGCAGCCCCAGGCATACGGCCATAACTTCGATAGCATCGTAGCATTACTACTGCTAGTCTGTCCAACGGTCTCTGACTCGCTCCAGCTCCTTGATCCATGTTCAAGTTGCTCGCTTTCGCTCACTCCTCCAACATCCGCAGTCCGAATCCCGTCAATCCCTGAAACGCCGATGCAGATTCCTTTACGTCCAACGCTGCGGAAAAAGTCAAAAAGTCCTTAACCTTGCAATTACATACTTGCGCTCTCTTCCGGTGATGAATCCGTCGATGGAGAATTCATCCAACTCTCGTCATCCACTTTGAAATCATCGTCTGGCGGACGCTTTCTCGACCCCAACTGGCTGCTCAGCTCTACACTGTCCATTCGCTTCAAGTCTGCTCGCAATCCTCGTCAACGCAAGGGCTGCTGTGTCTGCTCCGACTCGCAGCGCCTAGAATACTACAAGGCTACGCCGCCGTTGCCTGTGGTCGCGCTAGACGGCTCTGCTGTCCCATGGCATTTTGAGCCCTCTTTGCTCAGATCACTCGGAGGCCCGCGCTTCAACGCCTGCGCACCGCTCCGTGCCTGTTACCCTTCGCGTCAAGTATCTACATTTCTTCCACGGCTGGCCGACGCTCGACACGCTTCTGATCCACATTCCGTCGTCCTTTACACTTGGTCGCAACCCTACAATTTCCTGCGAATGTCTACTCCTCCGTCTACTGGCACAATCATGAAGTCGCAATGAAGAGCAAAGGATATTGATATTGTTCTACACCCATTGTTGCACTTAGCGATGGGAAAGACCTATGAATACACCATCATGGGACCTCCCAAGGCTCCTGATGAAGACTCGCCTCGTTTATCTTCCAAAGTCTTGCCATATCGAAAGGAGTCAAAAGGCGCAACGCCCAATTTGCGGTCGCTGTACAGTATTTCTGCACAGGTCCATCCAGACATCAAGGTCAAAGAACAGTCGTCTGGTCCCGTTTCTTCGATCCTTCACACGTCTCCAAATCTGCCGCCCACGCCGCCTGGAGCGAGCAATGGAGACATCGCGGATACCGCGGACGACAACATCTCGGATGCTGCCGTATTCCGCTCCACGTTGGTTACTCCGACTCATCAGCAGAGTCTACCCACACCTGATAACACGCCTCCTCGGGAGAAGCCTGCACCGTTGTTGAGGCCGTTCCTGGGTACGCAGCCTTCGATGACATCCACCGGCGCGGAGTCCTTCCAAACAGCCCGTGAAGATATAAACTCTGACAATGGCTCAGACCTGAACAATCACAACAATAGCGACGAGTCTCAATGGACGTCGACTCCCTTCACCAAGCCAAGTACGGCCGATCATGGTCTGAAACGAAGTGGGGTGGGTCGATCACCCCTAAACAATGTATTCGATGAAGACACGGCGATAAGTCCATATGAAGATCATCTCACCCTCGATCAAACTCCGGAGACGCATGTGCTCGCTCCAACATTAATGGAAAGCGACAATGGCAAAGAAAGATTCCAGGCCAGTCCCCAGACTCTCAGTGAACCCCAAACTCCAGAGGATCAGGTGGAAGAAGAGAACGCGTCGCCCCGCCTTGCCACCTGGTCAGGCAATATTCAGAAAGGAGCTGACAAGGCTCAGCCTCGGGAAACTGCCACTTCAAATGGTTTGGGCCGTGGCAGAAGCCTCAGAGACAGACTCCTCGATGCACAAACCCAGGATCCGTCCGCATCTACAGAGAAATTTGCCGAAATCATCGGCTGGAATAACTCGGTTCCGATGCTGAGCGGCTCGCCCGAAGCCCAGAAAGTAGAGAACGATGAAACTCGGCGGTGGTCCGGAGTTTCAGCAACATCTACCATTGGAGCATACGTTATCGAGCAGAACCCACTTCCAAAGAGGAAGACGACGCTGCGGCATATGAACAAACATGAATCACTGCGGTCGGTAAGCTCGCCGTTGCCGGCATCAACCCGCAACTCGATGATGACGACCGCCTCGGAGTCGACGCGGCGTCTCGTGCACAAAAAGGCAGTTCTAAGCAATCAAAATCGGTGGAGCTTTGGGTCTGAAGTGTCGAGGTCTCACAGCCTAGCTTCAAGCGCAGTCCTGCCTAAGACAGAGATCATTCGAGTGGCTGTGATTCCTGAAAGAACTTCATCGTTGCCATCCTCCCACTACGGTAGCAACCGGCATTCCATGTCGGCCGGGTCCGCACAGTCGCAATCGCGCAGGACTTCAGATAACCCGCCTTCCTCTTGGCAACACAAGAGAGCATTCTCCGAGTCTACGGGCCGCGGGAGAGAGCGGCAACCTGAGATCTCGGTACCTCCCCGCAGTTCGTCGCTTTCTGCGCCCACGTCAAGAAGTACTTCCTGTGCCAATTCGATCACGTCGGAGCACCTTCGGGTGCGTCGGCAACAGGCAGAAAAGGACTTGCGCAAGACGTTGGATAGGATGGAATCCGATCGTTTGGTCCAGACTCTTCGCCACTGGCGCAACGAAGACCATAAGCAAGTTTCAGCGGCACAAACAGCCAGCTCCAAGCTGAGTCCCTCCGTTACGAGGAATCATTGGACTGCTTCTGACCATGGCGAAAACTGGTCGAACAACGAGTGGGCAGATTTGCGACCTCCATCTATTCTAGAGACAGTATTCTCCCAACCATCGTTTCTGTCGGCATCCCCAGAGATTAACGAGGCAAAGGCAGTGAACTTCTTCCCTCACAACAACCACTCTCTGCAACTGATCGAACCCTTTCCCGTGCAGACCTCCATGGCTGTGAGAGAGGTACAAAGACAGAATCTTCCCTTGGAAGAAGTGGAGTCGCCATTGCGGAACCCGCGGCGGCCTCCTGAACCGCCTCAGTTCAAAGTGATTCCTCCTACACCTGGCGATGAGCTGGACAAAGAACTCTCGCTCGACGCGATCCAGGCTAATCGCCCAACCCGGTCTCCGTTGAGACGGCCCGGGAGATCGCATCGGCGCTCTGAATCCTTCATAGACAGCATATCACGAAATTTGAGTTTGAAAAATGCCCGCAACAGGAAAGCCGACCAAGAGCTCGATGGACGACTCCACCCGTTCTGGCGGCCACGTGCATTCTGGGACGACATTGACGATGGTCCTGCCTACTTGGAGCAGGATCGACCTAGCCAACGAGGGATAGTCAGCAACTCTCTCGGCTTGCCTCAGGAGCGCACTGTCATCACAGGGCCTGTATCCCTGGTGAGGCGCATATCCGAGCGACGACGGCAGAAGCGTGGTGTAGTAAAGCAATCTAGTCATGGCAGCCTCGCGAGATTGCGGGCTAGCCGCCGGCTTCACAAATCTCATGGATTGGGACTACGATTCCATCTGATCGGGCTCCGAGATATCCAGCAACGACTGTTGCAAGCTCGAGCACAGCGAGATGATGAAAAGCGAGAGAAGAGGAGGGCACACCTCCGACAAAGTATCGGACCTAACGTAGTCCCTCAGGGTGATTCCAGGTTTCCGGCAAGCGATACAAGTCTTTCGAGAGTTATGTAAGCGCGCCGAAGGTTTCTTGATGACTTGACACGATTTGACATTGCCCTGGTGGCTGAGATTCGTTTCTAGGATGGAGTTTTGGGAGGGTTGCGCGTTTCGTTGAAGGGATTGAACTCACGTGAAAAGAGCAAGAAGTCTTGACGACTGATGACCTGCACGAATGGACTGGACGAACTGGATGAATGAATTGGATGAATCGACGACATGTATGTACGAATAGATTGTATTGAGCATTTCGATCACAGTATGGTAAACGGAGCGGACCACCGAGTTGAGTTCTTGATCAATGGGACGAGGCTTGCGCCCCCTGCTCCGACTGCTGCCTTCGCCTTAGCGATTCCAATGCAACCGAGTCTAGAAATGGTTCAGAAGTGATGCTCGAATCGAAGACGATGACTACAGCAGGAATTAGTTCATTGCCATGGTTGTAGATCGAGCGCGTCATGTGCCAATGAATGCCTCACCTCGCTGGTCGCAAGGCTGCTGTCTAGCGAAGTGGATAGTGTTTGTAGTGTGGCTTGATTCCATGGCACGGGAAGAGATTTTTGGCTTCAGCAAGGGACCTCGCAACTTGGCGTTCGACTGTACGGGCGCCATAGCAGCTTTCGGACTGATGTTGCACCCTCGATGTCCGGTTTGGAAGACGAACAGACCATGAGCCTGGACATGAACTTCTTCCCGCCGCCTCAGGCGCAGGCTGCGCTTCATCAGAATTTTATCTTATCAGATGATGCCAAGTCATCAGCAACTCTCTACCAACGCTCAACCCGCGATTGCGATATCGGCCTGACCGGCTCAGGCTGGGGAGCGGCAGCGCAGCCAGTTCACAGTCTCAGCCCTGAGTATTACGACAGCTTCACCCTGGCTTCCACGTCGGTTGCGACTGATGCGGACGGTCCTGGCTCCGGGCTCACCAGTCCGACCCAGGACCGCAAGAGGAATGCCTCCGTCGCTGGCCTCGAGAGCTCGCCCAACAGCGTCGAGTCGCCCGACCACAATGGCGATGTCCATACCCGCGATGCCCGCCGGCGTCCTGTAAAGAGAGCTTGCAATGAATGTCGCCAGCAGAAGGTGAGCGCTACAGTCTTGTACAGACGATGCCGGCGTGCTACCCAGCTTTATGCTCGGATGCCCGCGTGTTTACCCGCCCGCATCGACTGAGTCACCGAGTATCGCATTTACAATGCGGACTGCCGTTTTGCGTCGACCCTTGCTAACAATGGTTGGTAGTTACGATGCGATGTTGTGCAAGAGCCTTTTCAGACATGCAGTCGCTGCAAGCGGCTGTCGCTCGAATGCAAGATTGAGGACAACTTCAAACGCGTGGGCAAGAGATCACGGAATGCAGAGATGGAACGCGAAATCATTGAGCTACGCAAGCAAGTGGCGGCGGCACAACAACAGTCAGGAGCTCTGTTGAATGGAGCGCTACAGACCAGCACACCAAGCTTCTCTCCAAGGACCGGGACTGGTGCTGGTACTTTCACCCAGGATGCCGCTGCCGCCGGCCTCCTCGACCTGCGAGGGGGTGCATTTGAGAAGAGCCCAGGAAGACAGATATTCAAGCGTCTCGAGGATGTGACTTTGACGTCGGATCGAGTCCAGGAGCTCTTCCAACGCTTCTTCACTTTTCACCATCCCTTTTTGCCTTTTCTCAACCCCGATCGGACTCCGGACGAATATCACTCAAGGTCGCCTCTATTGTTCTGGACCATTATCTTGATAGGCGCGCGCCACTACACACCTGAACCTGGACTGTTCAATGCCCTCACCGGTCCGATGACGCGACTGCTGTGGTCGACCATCTCGGAGGTGCCTCAAAACTACCATGTTGTCAAAGCATTGGTCTTGTTGTGTGCATGGCCTCTACCGACAAGTAGCACGTCGACGGATCCCACTTTCATGATCTGCGGAATCATGATGCAGATAGCTCTGCAGCTTGGCTTGCACCGACCCACGCATGCCCAAGACTTCAGCAAGTTCCGCGTCGAGCTCCGAGAAGTCGAGCTACAAGACCGAGTGGTGGTCTGGAGCGTATGCAACATCGTCGCCCAAAGAATATGCACGGCATATGGGCAGCCACCGCTGACAATCTACGACTGGACTCTTGGCCCCAAGCCCATTGAGACCAATCCCAACTATGAACTGCCCGCTCCCATCTTCAATCGCCTCCTGATCGAAAAGTTTGTCGACAAAGTCTCTCGGACACTGTACATGAACCCGCATGACCCCGTCGGACTTGCCACCGACCTCGAACGGCCGACTTACGTCTCGTTCCTGACACACGATCTAGAAGAGCTGGAAGACAAACTGCGCACCGACACGTCGCCAATCACAAAGATCTATCTCAAAGCCGCGGCATTGCACATGAGACTCAGTGCCTTCTTCTCCCCTCCCTCTCTCCCATCATACCGCGCAGACATGCTGAAACTGTACTACGCCACGATCGACTTTTTGGAGATTTGCTTGAGCTTGGAATCGAGTCTGAGCGTCAACCTGCCCTCGTCTTATCAACATGGTCTGTCGCTATCACATGGGACCAACTACATTTTCCACATGATGTTGGCAGCTGGCTTCTCGCTGCTAAAGCTGATGCGCAGCTTCCTCAGTGAGCACGAGCTTGACCAGAAGGGCGCATCGGAACTCCTTTCCCGCACGGTCTGGGCACTGCGAAGTATGAGCGTGAGTGAAAACGACCTTTTTGAGCGCCTGTCCGAGGTTCTGGCACAGGTGTGGAAGAGTGGGAAAGCCCCAGCTGGCTCTGGTGTCAATAACAACAACAATGGCAGCGACAGTGATGTCGACGACAGCCTTCAACTCAAGGTCAAGTGTCGCATGTCCATGTCTCTGGTGTTTGACTCGGTGTGGCGATGGCGCCGCAATTTCCACTTCAAGGGTGGAAAACCCTCTGACTGTAAGCAAAAGCTGCAAAAGGCTACCTTGTGTTTTCTGTTTTGTGAATATGATTTTGTGTTCTGACATTTTTACTTGCAGTAAGAGACCACGGTACCAGCATGCAGTCCGATAGCCAGATTGTCATGCCAGAGACGACCTCGGCCTCGACCTCGACGTCTAGGGTCCATGATCCCATGCTGTCGAGCTCGGCCATAGTCCCCGGGATGGCTGGGATGGCTACCGGGATGGTGGACGATTTGAGCATGGACTCGGGTCAGGCCAGTTATGATGTTTTTGATCCATTGAACTGGATGCTGGATGGTATCGTTGAGTTTCCATATAACTTCAACACGGTGCAGAATAATGATTTGTCTGGGGTAGACTCGTTGGGAGGGGGGTTATAAAACAGTTCAGTTTTGCACATTGTGCTGCAGCCGTGGCCGGGGGCATGGGGAAGGGGCCGGGGTGTTTGGCTCTAGATTTGAATTTACAATGTTCAAGTTGGCCGTTGGTGGGCTGGGATGGGCAGACCATGCTCAGCCAGATTTGGGTCGATAGATCTATGGTCCTTTGATTTCTTTGTTGATATGGGACTGGGCTGGGGAGGGGGCGTGGTTTGCAACTTGAGGGCCTACTGTTACAGCTTACACACTGCAGCGTTGACGACTTTCACTCTCAGAACCGACCTGATATTGATACTCCTTAAGAGTGATGACTTGATTTGATGACCAGAACGAATATATTATTATACACCCGATATCGCCCGCTGTGGGTGATTCTCTGGAGTCTCCCCGCTCTGCCCTTGTGCTTTTGAGTGTGTTTGTTTGCTCGTAACGTACAGGCGTCATGAATCGAGCAGTGGGAGGGTGGCAGAGTTGAACTAGAGAGGAGACCAGGCCAGGCTCCTCGTGCTTGAGTTGCGTTTGTTGTTCGCATGGTGCCTTACCAGCGCAATGATGGAATCAAATCACTAAGATCTCGCCCAGAGGTCTTCTAGATCCCCGTGAGCTGAGGCCGAGTTTGTTTTTTGCCTTGCAGAAGCTTCCTAAGTTGGCCGACCAAAAGAGCCCATCTACCCCGACGGTCACGTACTCTACAGATCGCCCTCTCCGAGTCTGTCTCCAGAGGCAGCAGAGCCTTTGCACTGATTCTTGAAGGGGAAGAAATAAGGAAAGAATGAAGTCCCAGACCACCTGATAAGACGATCGTTGACTGATACCTAGGTATATAATTACACAATCCCATACACGGATATCTTTCCATATATATATATATGTCAAATATACCTCGGGTCAACCGTTACCTCCGAAAATACCTCACTTCCAGCGGCCTGAAACAGACATACGCGACAAAAGCAAATCCAAAAGCCAACTCAAACCCGACATCACCACCATACGCAGGGTCACCTATCCTTTTCCCAATCGGACCAATGAACCAGACCTGCGCCATCCCCATAACGGCCCCAAAGACACCGAAACAAAAGGCACCCAGGGCCGCAATCGACGGCGGGAGGCGGTTCGGCTGATCATAGTGCGACGGCGTATACCCCCTAAACCCACGCTTGAAGAAAAAATGCTCAGGAAGCGCGATTCCTGAATATACGGCAAGCCAGTATCCAATGACCAACATGAAGTTCTCGAGCACGCTTTCAAAGTGACTGTATCCGGGGATAGCGATTGCGCAATAGATGACAGTTCCGACCAGTGTCCAGAGGAACCGGGGCACTTTTTGTGCGTACCTTGTGAGAATCTGTAGAGAGAACGTCAAGCTGTAGATGTTGGGACAGTTGTTGCCGACGATGGATAAAGCCAAGACCACGAGGCAAAATTTGCCGAATCCGCCTAGTGGTGGGACTAGGACTTGATGCAACAGGCCGCCGACGGCGTCGCGGTCGTAAGCGTCGGCAAAGGCCTTGTCATTGACGATGGCCGTGGCGACGGCAAGACCTAACATCTCCGTGAACCAGAGTGGGAAAATGAGGCCGATGAAGACGTAAAGAAAGACTTTTTTCCGAGGTGTTGTCGCGGGTTGGTAGCAAGTGTAGTCGGAAGCGTAGGATGTCCAGCCTGTCGCGAAGCCGAATACCGATGCTGCAAACGATAGAACTGATCCGGTTTCGGCGGCGCCGCTGCCCATGGACAGATTGGAAAATGAGCCCGAGTGCGCGAATTCCCCCAACACGATGAGGAAAATAATGAAGCATGGCACCCAGCTGATCATCTCGTACATGTGCACCACCTTGTATCCGAACAGGGTGACCAGAAACGTGCATGCTGCAATGACGATAATGCCTGCCCACCCTGGGACGGAAGGGTTGACGGCGTGTAGTAGTTGTGCTCCCACGATCACGTTCACGGATGACCAGCCTAGACAGGCGAGACAGTTGAATATCGCAATCACTTTCACGCCCCAGTACCCGAACCAGAATCGACTTAGGATCATTTGTCGCATGCCGAATCGGGGCCCGAACGTCGAGAAGAAACAGACTGGTAGGATACCCAGCATGTTGATGAATATGATCACTAGGAATCCGTCGATGAAGCCGAGCGCGAACACGGGGACGGCGAGGACGCCTATGGCGAATGATGAGATGACCATGTTGGCGGCTAGCCACTACAAAACGAACCATTAGAATTCCTGCGTCTTTCTCTTCTTTCTCAGAGTGCGCGCGATCGCAGCGTGGAACAGACCCGGAGTGTTCTGTCATAACAGAGTCTTCTTCCAAACAACAACTACCAGCAACAACTGTGTTGTACTTACCATAGTCCCTACTTTCAATGTACTCTTGTCCGTCCGCTCGTCCTCGGGGACTCGCTCGATCCCTCGCTGCTCCACGCCATAGCGGCCCGCAAACCGTTGTAGTCGGTGGTAGAATGTGTCGCCCGTGACAAAGGTTTCGCCATGCACGGCGCCCGACTCGTCCGGAGCGAACACGGATCGATGCTTCTCACCAGAGCCGGAATATTGGTACTCGACATCATACCCGGTCTTGTCGTCTGAAGTCATCTTTGCAATCTTAATCTTCAACAGGGCGGGAACAGAAACAGCAACGTCCTTGTTACTGCAAACAGTGGCCGTGAAGAAGACTGGTAGCGCAGAAGCAGAAGCAAAAGCAAAGCGATTAATTCCAAGAGCGACAAACCTTTTCTGATAGACGAAGGGGGTTACCTCAGATGATATAACATTTTTTCCTCGCCTCGTCCGAAAGCCACCCAAGATTTATCAAGGTAGGAGATACGGGCTCATCAGCTCTCTTACCCTGAACAGGTCTCCATTCGCCAACATCCTGGGTCAGTGCATGTCAAGGAAGAGGCGCCAGTGGCGTGGTCGAGATAAGGAATCCCAGAGACCAACGCAACTGGCTCACTGGTCTGCTCGACATCGGCCGGAAGCGAAGCCAATCACGGTTCAACTGGTTCGGTTCTGAGGGGGTTGGGATATCCACTGCCATTGCCCACCTCGTGAGCGAGTGACAGGCCGGGGTGTTGCTTTTGTTCAGCAACTCGACTCATCAGTCGAGAAGATCGTCAAGTACTGCGGCGTAAGCTTATCAATGGGTGACCTCCAATCGATCGGAGCTCGCCTGACTGGCATGCGGCTCATGGCCCTGCTTGGAGATAAAACATGTCGCAAAACGAGTGATGGTGTTGGATTTACTCCTGTAAAATGTGCGAGGCATGGCAAGACATGCGACCGCAACACAAAATCTGCCGAAGAGGCTTGACGAAAGCTTGTCAATGAATCGCTTTGAATGTGTGGACGATAACTGGAGCGTCTGCCAGATCGGTATTGAAGAAGGGGACCGGGGAGGGGATGGAACCCTTGCCCCAAACTGATGAGCCAGCCCCAGGACGGTTACATCCCCCGGTTGCAACGTAAGGCACTGTAGATAAGCAAATAACCTCCTCGCTTGCCTAATTCCATCCCGTCATTTGTGTTGGTCAAACTTGAAGCCTGCCCTGGTTTCGTTCACAATCAGTTGAACAGTGGTTTTGGGCTAAGGAGGCTCATTTCTAGGTATCAGGGGCCACCAATGCGGTCCTACTATCCTCCAGATTTCAACGGTCATCATACTTCTATTATGCGTTCCTCTTCGAGGAGCACATACTGTCTTCACAATGATGATTGTAAGGCCGGAGTGCTTCTCGTGACACTGATTGACGTAAAGCGGACTTTGGTGATGTTGGCCGATATCGTCCGGGAACGTCGCTCGTCTTCTTTGGTGGCGGGAGAGACGACCTCAAGGCCAGGAGGACGAAAAGCCCTAAAATGCGTAGGTAACCTGTAGATATAGGATATATGCCTCATACAGGGCGAAGACTCATTCAGCTATCTAGCTCCATCCTTGCGGTTGATGGACCCCAGGAACCAGCCCTTCGTCGACTCAAACAGGACCAGATCGAAATCAGACCTGTGCCACGATTTTCGCTCGGACGCCCTTGCTTTCCAGACTCGGCATTCCGACGAAGAAATCACGATCGATTCTGATGTCTGCCTCGTAGGACGTTTCGTAGTTCTCCATTTCAAAACGCGACATGATCATAGCAACGGTCAGGAATAGTTCGGCATATGCGAGACTGTAGACGATGTCCAAAGAATGGAACTATTAGTTGTTTTACTGTCCAGATATTGACATACATCTACTGGACCTTGCTTGGAAAATACGAGAGGAGAAAATGGCGGGGATAGAGAGCAAGGTGAAGAGGAATAGGTCTCGGGATCAAAGGGGGAAAGAAAAGTGCGGCGCATACTTGATTCCCACGCACATGCGACTCCCTTTTGTGAAGGAAACGAGGTATCGATCGAGCCGAATCCCTGCTTTGAGGCCCGCAGCCATCGTTCGGGGTCGCACTCTTCCGGATTGGGGAAAATCGTCTTGTCCATGTGGACGAAGTAGTTCGATTCGCTGACCGGTGTCTAGATATTGTGTTGTCATTAGTCGTGTCGTTGGGATCCGTGACAGACAGAACATACACCAGGGGGAATGATCCAGTCTTTGTACCGAAGAGGCTCGGTGGGCGAAACTCTAGGCAGCCGGGTTGTCACTCCGTGCATGAGACGGATGCCTTCATTGATGGCGGCGGTCTAGATTGGTCAAGCAGAAAACATATGCCATAAATCAGCTTTCTGGAGTTCTTTGATCGCAACCTTGCTCATGGAGATCATCATACCAAGTATGGCAGCTGTTCCAAGTCCGTCAACGAGAATCTACCATCTCCCTTGGACGGGATCGCCTTCAATTCCACTCGAAGTCTTTCGAGTTTCCTCTTGTCCTCGAGTAGAAAAAAAGTGATGATGCTCAATGCCTTGGCGGTCGTCTCAGAACTGGCTCCGATGAGAACCTGCCCTTCATCCTGCAGACGGTCGACAGTCTTCTCGTGGGGTGACAAGTCACTGTCCAGCAGCGTCTGGAAGATTGTGCCGTCGCTCTTCTTGCCTACCTTGTTATCGGCGATGATGTCGGTTACTCGGGCTCGAACCATCCTTTGCCAGATCAGTAGGGAAGCGGCTTGTAGATCCATCTGCTTCATGAAAGATAGCGGATTCCGCTTCATGATCGGCAAGGCCCAGGGAAACTGGCGTAGGATGACACCATTTGCGGACCCGGCAATGACGGTCTCCTTCCAAGAGACCTTGAAATCGTCCTCGGCCAGATAGTTTTAACTCTCGCCAAAGCGAGCGTGTGAGATGATGTCCGTCGTCAGCGCCATATAGGCCACGTCTAGTCGGATAACCTCACCGGTCTAAATCGCTGTGACAGTTGGTCGATCTTGGCTACAAGAAGCGGCTCCAGCCGACCGATTGCACGTTTTGAGAAGAACGGGTTCAACGCCGAGCGTCGCATTCAGTGTAAATTGTGAGGTACTGTTGCGAATGATGAAGTCGGGGCCCCTGCCATGGCAACCCACCCTGCATACTTGTCGCGCTTCTTGGCACCGGGTGCATACAGTTCTTCATAGTAGTCCGAGTCACGGATGTGAAGCTCATCGGGGGAGATGCGGATAACGGGTCCGTATCGGTCATGCAACTCCTGCAGCTCCATATAAAGCAGCCCCTGTGGATGATGTCGTGGTAGAACTCATACCAGCCCGTCAAGGCTGCAAGTTTGGGGCCTGGAAATCCCGAGAGGGGGTGAGAATACAGTCGATATATGTAGGTGCGCGCCAGGTAGAACAGCCAGGAGAGGATAGCCACATATGCAGTGTCATTGAGCGTAGCGGGGAACACAGAGGACGTTGTGATATTCTTGAGCGGTCAAGCTCCGGTGTACTATGCGATAGTAGCCCTGAGGTAGGTTCGGCCCTCAGAAACAGTCCCTCTTCGAGGCTGAGCCTGTGCACAAAAGTTGATGTACTGAAATAATGTACAACAGCAATCTCTCGCACACTCCAGCATCCTGCTGTTGAGTCCGAGGACATTGGTGTAGCCATCGGCAGTTCGTTTAGCGGCGCTGCAATGCCCCTGCATGTTTCTTGATCATACGCTATAGAAGCGAAACTGGTAATGCTAGTTCGTTGAACAAAGCACACTCAAATCCGGCTTACCTTGGGCAACGAAGACCTTGATTCCTTACCTTTACCGGCATGATCTGCAAGACCGCTTTCCCTTCTTCTAGGGACGGGCTGAGAGTCTTTGGCGGGTCGCTCCAGACGAGCTGTGAATTCGGCTCGACGGACACCTACACCTGCGGTGTTCAAGCCTGCAAGGAAGTAGCAAGGCTTGTACATGCACTCCGCCAGCAGCATATAGGCTTCTTTGACAAAATAAAAGCTCTTAGATCTCGGGTCTCAAGTATATGCGATCAGCTCTGGACGATAGGTAATGAGAAGCGTTTAGAGGAGAGAGGATGTAGGCTCAAATGGACGGATTAGGAGGACATCACGCAGAGAGGACCGTGGTCCTCCTGCGGCATTAAATCACGGTGCATGACAGCTCGTGTATAGGTACTATCGCTGCCGTAGACGAAGAGGACTCGTAGGAAACCGAGGACGAGATACGGAGTAAGAGAAACGGCACGAGACAGGAGCTGACAATGCTTGACAGGACACGGTTCGCTGAGGGCTTTGAATGGAACTGAACTGGGCTGAAGCGTGAGTGGAAGTGTGTCTCGCGGCGTGCGTGGCACTGACCCTCTAAAGCCTCAGTCCAGCTGCGCTCCGTCCGACATCCAAACAATAAGTTCAAGCGCGGCTCTACAGTCCAACAACACGACGCTGCCCCCATCTCTTCAAATTATCTCTTGCATTGGTCTTCTTGTTGCCAGTCAAGGGGTTTCGCCCTGATTCTTGACTCTTGTTGTCTTACGAATCCCTTCATTCCTCATTCCACCTAGGTCCGTCCCGCTGCGTGCCTCAGCCAACATGGATTTCGAAAGTCTCAAGAGTCAGGTCAGCAACCTGACGCTTTACGACATCAAGGCCGGAGTGCGGAAGGTGCAAAATGGTAGAGCAGTGTCCGGTTCTCATTCTGTCGATTGCCACTGACCAGTCGCGCAGCCGTCATGAACCTCACCGAGATGGAAGCAAAGGTTCATTTCACCCCCTATCTCTGTCTTCGACTGGTCCTGACATCCATCCTAGGTTCGCGAGGCAACCAACGGAGATCCTTGGGGCGCATCTGCAACTTTGATGCAGGAAATTGCCCAAGGCACACATAACTAGTAGGCCAACACCCTGCTCCTCGGCTTCAGGTGTCTTGCTGACCGTGGCAGTCAACAACTGAACGAAATCATGCCCATGATCTACAAGCGATTTACAGACAAAACAGCGGAAGAGTGGAGGCAGATATACAAAGTATGCTGTTCATGTTGATCCGGTCTTCCTCAATGCTCACACAGATGTCGCAGGCGTTGCAACTTTTAGAGTATCTCTGCAAACACGGTTCAGAACGAGTCATCGATGATGCCCGGTCGCACCTCTCCCTCATACGGATGCTGAAGCAATTCTACTACATTGATCCGAATGGCAAAGACCAAGGGGTCAATGTCCGCAACCGGTCCGGCGAGCTGGTCAAGTTGTTGAGCGACGTCGACACCATCCGACAAGAACGCAAAAAGGCTCGAGCCAACAGAAACAAATACAGTGGTGTTGAGGGCGGTTTGGGTATGGGAGGTGGACTGTCCAGCGGCAGCCGCTACGGCGGGTTTGGCAGCGAGACTGGCGGATTTGGCGGCTACCAAGGAGAAGTCTATGGCGATGGCGGCGGCTTCGGTGGTCGTGAAACCGACTTTTCTGGCACACAACGCCGGGCGGACCAATTTGAAGAATACGACGAGGCGGAAGAGGCGGAGCCCGCAAGACCTGCGAGAAGTACTACCAGCCGAACGACGACCCCAAAACGAGCGTCGCCGAAGCCCAAAGAGCCGGAGCAAGACCTGTTTGACTTTAGCAGCGAACCAACAACGACCACATCGAACGGCAAGGCTCCTGCGACAAGTTCTTCCGGCCTCGGTGAATTTGGGGCTTTGCAGGGCAGCACTGCGAATGACGACGATGAATTTGACGACTTTCAATCCGCAACGCCGGCAGCCCCGGCTGTTACGAGTCCTTTGGCTAGTATTGTCCCTCCACCCACTACTTCGACTACGACCTCTGCTACACAATTTGCCGCTCCCAAACCAGTTGCTCCTGGCCAAGCTGCGGGCTTCGACAATATCTTCGCCACCGCATCTCCTGCTCTTTCAGCAACCTCTTCGGTCATGTCTCCCGCGCCGTCGACTTTCTCTCCCCCTCCAACACAAACAGCAGCAGCCCCTCTTCAGCCGACGGGAGGGTTCAAATCCACGGGGCCAAACTACTTTACTCCTGTTCCCGTGTCAATCAATTCCCAGAGCGGTCCAGCTTCAAATGCGACACCATCAGGAATTGGCGCAACGTCGCCTACTTCGGCAGCCTCGTTGGGCAAGCCAACTCCTAAAGCGACGTCTGGTGCTGGTGGTGACGTCTTTGGCTCGCTCTGGAGCACGGCTAGCAGCAAAGCAGGAGTCAAGACCACAAGCAGTGGGTCCCAGAAAGGACCGGATTTGGCGAGTATGGCTAAGGCCAAGTCTCAGGCGGGAATCTGGGGAGCGGCTTCAGCTGCCAGTTTGACACCCGCCGCGAGTGCGACACCTGCGAGCAGCAATGCCGCGTCGGTGCAGGGGAAACCCAGCGCGTCACTTGGCAACGGGCTGGACGATCTTCTAGGCTAAGGGTTGCAGCCCCAGAATACCTGGGTACGGAAAAGCGACGTTGAGGAGTTTGGACAGACAGACATAAAGTTCTATGACCTGATGGTTGGTACGCTCTTGGTTACTAGTAGCAATTCAGATTACGGTAGTTACCAAAGGTGGCTCAATAGCTCTGCCATCGTTGGTGTCCTCTCACCGAGCTTAACCGGCAAAGAGCATTTGTGCAACCAGATACTACCCGGTAGTAACGAAGACTGAAGAAGCTTTCGAGTTTGGTACAACTATTAATTGGCAGTGAATTTATTTATTATTAGCAGCCGGACGGTGCACAGAGCAGCGGAACACCAAAGTCGTACTTTAGGACGGAACCCTCCACAGTTGGTGCTGCGGTTCCACAGTGGTTGAGGGCGTGGCAGGTTCTTTTGCTGGGAGGCGTCGTTGGTGTTTGTGTTGCGAGAGGTTGGATTAAGATGCTGATGGATATTGAGCACAGGCACAGAGCTACAAGATATATCTCAGGAGGCCTCGAATGACACTGGCCACAAGCTTTGCTCATGTAACACAGCACATCGAAGCAAGACATCTTCGATCCCTCCATTCAACCACTCTCGGTGCTGTACAAACTCCCTACTCTAGACTCTGCCGTCACCGCGCATCCGCCGGACCCTTTGCGACCCTTTTCGCCATCGTCCTTTGCTGCCGCTGCGCCAATCACTTGCAAGATGGCGGGGTGAACAAGCATCATCTTTACCAGCGTTTCATCGCCATCCACTGCTACTACTGGCATCTCGACTAGCACCGTAGCAAGTGCTCCGTGATCACAGCATATTTCCTAATCCATCAGGTCAGAGTGTCCATTGTTGCTGTTGCTTCATCGTCCTGTCTGGCCTCAACTGTGCATATATCCATCCCATCCCTTTGGTCATACTAACATGTCCGACAGGCCCTCGCACAAACGCTCCAAGAGCTCGCGAGTGCTGAATCTGTTGCGCAGCGACAACCCGGCGCGGGACAGTGGCTCAGAGACCGAGTCGCCCAACACCACCACATCAACAACTGGACCTTTCTCCTCGAATACGACTTCATCAACCCAGGCGGCCGCTTCCGACGCTCCTCGAATTGCCCCCTTGACTCCCTCCATCACCAGAACGTCCCAAATGACGATGGACCCCAATGAACACCCGTCAAGCCCGGACCAGGCTCACAAGGTCCCCTCCGGCGTTTCTCCGGGTCCCAGCGGCTCAATAGAAGACTCGGTGCGAACATTCAGAGTATTCGAAGTCCTTCGAAGTAAAGACACGGCCGCGATTTCCAAAGCTATTACCGAGTCTGTCCCCTCTGCGAGCAACCCCCAGCCGATCCCTGGCACGACTATACTTCACCTAGCCGTCCAGTGCGCCGAGCAAGATGTGGTGGAACAAGTGATAAGAGAAGGAAAGGGCCTTGATATCAATGCCCAAGACAAAGAAGGAAATACCGCTTTACATCTGGCTGCGCAGCTCGGCCGGACACCGGTGGTCAGACACCTGCTAGAATTACCCGACATCAATGACTCCATATCCAACAGACAGGGCAAGTCGCCGATCGATCTGGCTCGCACACCCGAGATCTTCCAGCAGCTGCAGCTTGCCCGATCCATCTTTTTGGATGATAAGATCAAAGAGATTCACGCCGCACTGGGGCAAGCTGACTATAAACGAATTGAGGCTCTTTTGGTCGAGCCTCGTGTTGAAGGGACATTGGACGTCAATGCCTTGGAGCTTCCAACCGACCCTGTGACGGTGCAAACCGGAGGGACACTCCTCCACGAGGCAGCACGCAAGCGGGACCTTCAGTTGGCACAAATCCTGCTGCTTCACGGGGCGGACCCCTTCAGGAGGGATCGCAAAGGCAAGCTTCCGCAGGACGTTACCAAAGATGATAGGACGCGAGCCATTCTGAAGAAGTCGCCCGCCGCCGCCGCTGCCCAGAGGGGAATTCAAGAAAAGGCAATCCTAGGAAACCATCCTTCTCACGCTCGCTCCGCCGCAGGGGCACCTGACACGAGTAAGGATGCCCGCGAAATGAAGGGCTATCTGAAAAAGTGGACAAATTATACAAGCGGCTACAAGCTACGCTGGTTCGTCCTCGAGGAAGGCGTGCTCAGCTACTATAAACACCAGGACGATGCCGGCTCTGCATGTCGAGGCGCCATCAATATGCGCATCGCCCGACTGCATATGGACCCGCAAGATAAGACAAGGTTCGAAATTCAAGGAAAGTCGTCGGTCAAGTATCACCTGAAAGCCAATCATGTCGTTGAAGCCAAACGATGGTTTTGGGCTCTCAACAACGCCATTCAATATGCAAAGGACGAAGCCCGAGAGGAGGAAAAGAGACGCACTCTAGACAACGACACTCTACGTCATGCCCGTGTGGAGTCTTCAGACCAACTCAGTCTGATTGCTACGAGCACGCGGTCCAAGCAACCTCCTGCTTCGCTTGGGGTTGCTGGAGGATCTTCCCGAGTGACTCTACGCCCTGACGTGGAGGGAGGTTCCGTGTATGAGTCGAACGACCCCAGCCTTGTGGGCGAGGAACTCCAACTCATGCCCACGAACCCTGCAACTGCAACCATTGATGCCGAGGAGGATGCGGATGGGGATGATGCCAGCAGTCGCGAAGTCCATCAGCCCGGGAGCAAGGATGCCTTGAACATCACAGCACAGTCTGCCAAGCTGCAGCTCGACCTTCTGTCTCGTGTCTCTGAAGGGTTGTTAGCTCGCCAGTCATCCCAACCTGACACGACCTTGTCTGATGAGGATGTCTCTCAAGCCCTCGCCACGTACCAAACGGCCGTGAGCAGTTTGAACGGATTGGTGACGGATTTATTGAAGATCTTCCGTGACCGAGACGCATACTGGCAGTATCGTCTGGAGAGAGACGCCGACGCTCGCCGGATGTGGGAAGAAAGTATGGCCAAGCTGGTTTTCGAGCACGAAGACCTCAAGAGGTCCATTGCGGAATCAGAAGAGAAGCGCAAGCGGACGAAGCGCGCCTTGAAGGAGGCGCTAGAGGGTCAGTCCAGGCCCGCCAGTCGTCCCGGCTCAGTAGCGCAACAAGAATCTAAGGAGCATATTCAATTTGAAGAAGCGGTCGAGGACCAACCGCCACCGGCCGTCCGAGGCGAAGTCCAGCAGATATCCGTCAAAGAACGTTCACGGCGGAAGTCATTCACTCGAGAAGGAAACCGGAGAAAGTCCATCATCGCCCAATTCACGGACCTTTCGGACTCTGAGTCTGGCGACGACGAAGAGTTCTTCGATGCCATTGATGCGGGAATGGTGGAAGTGGTGGAGCCCCCGCTTCTGAGTCCGCCGCCAGTGCAAGTGCCGTCAGGCCAACAAGAGCAGGAACAGGAACCGTTTTCGGAGCTGGATGAACGGGCCAAGAAGCAGATGGAGATTGTGCCATCGTACGCCGGCTACGAAGATGGAGTGCGGCACAGGCTGAAGATGGATGCAGACGACCGGCCGAAGATTTCGCTCTGGGGGATTTTGAAGAGTATGATCGGCAAGGATATGACCAAGATGACATTACCCGTGTCTTTCAACGAGCCGACGTCACTTTTGCAGCGCGTAGCAGAAGACATGGAATACGCGGATCTCCTGGACATTGCAGCGGACAGACCAGACTCGACCGAGCGATTGGTTTATGTTGCGGCGTTTGCAGCGTCGGAATACGCCAGTACAATCGGCCGAGTGGCCAAACCGTTCAATCCTTTATTGGGTGAGACGTACGAGTACGTCCGACCAGATAAAGGGTATCGGTTCTTCATTGAACAAGTCAGCCATCATCCTCCGGTTGGCGCCGCACATGCCGAGTCTGCTCGGTGGGACTACTGGGGTGAATCTGCGGTGAAATCCAAGTTTTACGGCAAGTCTTTTGACATCAACCCCTTGGGCACTTGGTTCTTGCGTCTGCGACCGTCCAAAGGCGGTCCACCGGAGCTGTACACGTGGAAGAAAGTGACCAGTTCGGTGGTTGGCATTATTACAGGTAATCCGACGGTAGACAACTACGGCGCCATGGAGATCAAGAACTGGAACACGGGCGAAGTGTGTCTGTTGGATTTCAAGCAACGCGGCTGGAAGGCCAGTTCGGCGTACCAGGTGATGGGCAAAGTAATCGGTGCCGACGGAGTGACAAAGTGGAGTATAGGAGGGCGATGGAACGATAAGATTTATGCCCGTTTCACTGAAGGATATGAAGATCAAGCTGTGGGTGGTGCGGCTGGTATAAATGGCCAAGGTCAAGGTCAGGGCCAAGGCCATCAAGCAATTCTGGTCTGGGAAGCCCATGAACGACCACAAGGCATTCCATTCAATCTGACGCCCTTTGTGGTGACGCTCAATGCCCTTCCGGACAATTTAAGACCTCATCTCCCGCCCACAGATACGAGATTGAGACCGGACCAGCGCGCCATGGAGGACGGCGAGTACGATTTTGCAGCGACCGAGAAGAACCGCGTCGAGGAGAAACAGCGCGCCGCGCGAAGGAGGAGAGAAGCTGCCGGCGAGGAGTGGAGGCCCAAATGGTTCGAGAAGAAAACTCATCCTGTCACGGGTGAGCCGTATTGGGAGTATAATGGCCAGTACTGGAAGAAGAGATTGGAGCATGATTGGAGCATGTGTGATGATATTTTTTGAGCACAGATAACAAAAAGGGTGTGGTGGTGGGATGGAGGAGGACGAGGAGGTGGTGGTGGTGGTGGTGATCGATGGTACTACAGTACCTCCCTTATGATATGATTTTATATGATACGATACTATGATACTTGTTGTTTTCGTCTTTTTCTTTTCCTTCTCCTTCTGCTACTGCTACTCGCTCGTCGCTCTTTGGCGGTGTCGTTATCACCACCTATGTACTGCGTGCTGTAGGTACCTACCTAGGTATATAGTTATATTTGTGGATTTTGATCTTTCTTCGAGCCGTACTGGGAATAATATACCTAGGTAGGTAATGCAGTGGCCAGTACTCCCACTGGAGTGGAAGAAGAAGAAGAAGAAGAAGAAGAGATTCGACCACGACTGCAGTATCATGATGTGTGATGATATTTCTGGAACAGCCAGAAACCAAAAAGGGCGTGGTATATCTTACGATATGATATGATTCTACGATACCTTACGTACCTACTCTTTTTATTCCCCCCCCCCCCTCCTTTTTCTTTTTTCTTGTTGTCCTTATCATTGTAACTCCGTAGCTACCTTCCGTTTGGGTAGGTACTCCTCCTACTAAGTAATGGCAACAGAAAACTTGACCAGCTTGTACCACTTGAACGATTCCAAAGGTTCAGTTCACATGCTTCACATGCTCAGCGTAGTGTAGTGTTGTGCAGTACTACCACAGTACTACTACTAGTATTCTATTTCCAACTGGGACGCGGGGCAGAAAGACGCCATAAGGTAGTTGCATATCCCCATAATTTTTTTTTGTTGCTTGGTACATACAGTACTTGCCCCTCCGTTCCTCATTCTCACCCCTCGCTCTGCGCCCTCGTCTCTTGCTAGGTATTCTGGCCCCTCCCTCGCCTCTGTCACACATGAGGTACTAGTACTAGAACTCGATGGTGGGATCATGCAAAAAGTGTTGGGACCAGACGAGGCACTTTGAAGGGACATTTACTGGTGTACCTACCTACCTACCTACCTACCATCCAGGTGACCTACTACTAGCAGTTGGTGCAAGAGGACGAGGAACTGCTACTAAAGTACTAGGTAGTTGAAACAGGCACTAACTGGCACCAGCGATGTAAACATAAACAAACATACGAAGCTACAGTTGGAATTGTATGGTTTGAACAGAGGATGAACTTTTTTTCATTCCATTATCAAGCTTCTGACTTTGAATGTGGTCTTCTTTTCTAAGTCAAAGTCATGATAGCCCCGTTTTGCTTGTCCTCCATCACTTGAGTGCTGGTGTGCATGTGCAGCATTGTACAGTTGACTTGTCCCTTTTGATTGTCTGACTGCACACACAGCCCACCTTCCGGTCAAGCAGATCCCGCGGTATTATTTGTTTCTCAAGTACCGCGTGATATAAGCGTTCGTTCATGGGTGATCTGCCTGCCAGGCAAGTGATAGGGCCGTTATCTTGCACCCGTCTATTTCTTTGGATCGGCACCGGCATCGACAATGGTAGGCTTGAAGTTGAGCTTGACCTGACCGGTGCCAGAGCCAGTGGACTCGAGTTCCTTGACGACCTTCATGCTCTCGGCATCGGCGACCTCACCAAAGACGACGTGCTTGCCATCCAACCACGAGGTGACGACGGTGGTGATGAAGAACTGGGATCCGTTGCTGTAGTGCAAAGTGTTAGCAAAACAATATATCCGAAAGAATTCTGAACTGGAATTGTCCGTCCACTTACGTGTTTGGACCAGCGTTGGCCATGGACAACAGACCAGGCTTGTTGTGTTGCAACTTGAAATTCTCATCTGCGAATTTCTCGCCGTAGATGGACTTGCCGCCAGTGCCCTATTGTAACAAATGTGTCAGCACATTGTCGCATTCCTTTCTTGAGGTAGCTGAGGTATACTGACATTGCCGCGGGTAAAGTCACCACCCTGCAACATGAACTGAGGAATGATTCGGTGGAATTTGCTGCCCTTGTAGCCAAAGCCCTTCTCGCCGGTGCACAGAGCACGGAAGTTCTCGGCAGTCTTGGGGACTACGTCGTCGAAGAGGTTGAAGTTGATGCGGCCTCGCTTAGCTGTAGCAGACAGAAAATGTCAGTGACCAGGCCAACAAAAGCTGCGGCAATAACAAAGACAGCCAGAGAAGACTCGATATTTCTCCAAGACACAACACTAGTGCTTCCCTGTAGCTGCAAAAGTTCAAACCAAACAGGGGTCACTTACGAGGAGGAACCTCGCCTCCCGAGCGTTGAGCATCGGTGCGGGCCTTGTCGAGAGCAGCGTCGGTGTACTCGACGTCGAACCAAGCTTTGATCGTCATGTTGGCGGAGGAAGCGTGAAAGTTACGGACAGTCCAAGGAGCAGAAGCAGAAGCAGAACGTAAAGGTGCAGCACAACGGTGAGAAAGAATCTTCGATGAACGAAGAAGAAAAGAAGTGGTGGCAGTGGTGCGCGGGGTTATGTAGCAGGCCATTTCTGCAAAACGAGGGGTGACGCCGTCACTGAGTTCACTTGTCCGAAGTGAAGTGCTGGAAAGTTGCTGTGCTGGGATTAATGCGGGCCAAGTGGCAGCTCAGTGGCACTTTGCGTGGCTGTGATTGGGGCTGAGCAGCACAAAAATCACGTGAGTCTGCGGATGCACTGCAAGTCAGTGGTGGGTCTGGTCTCAATCACGTGATCAGACATCGGCCAGGAGGAAAGGAACGGAAGAGCAATGCTCACTGAAGGTAAATTGCTATAGTATATCTGTGCAGGCCATCTCAATGTCAGACAGTCCGTCAGACCTCAAAGCTGGGTACTAAGCTAGGAAGAGCTCCTCTTACCGACAATGGTCTTCTACCCCAAGCTAGACTGGTGATATGGCGAGAATGTGAAAAGAGGTGCTCAGTCGACGATGTCGTAAGCAGGTAAGAAAAAAGATCGGAACAAAATCCCAAATGGAGCTGAGGCGGATGCAGGTGGGTATAGCTGCAGGTGGAATGGAAATACTGTACAACGTACACAACCGATGTCGTCAAGATTGGTCAACCTACAATTACGCTGGCAGCTGGAATGGAGAACAAATGACTTGACCCGGCAAATTTATACCATACAACGAGCTTCTCTGTTGCCAGCTCCCGACGGTATGCCGACACATTGGCAGCTCTCACCAGACCCACCATGAACAAAAGCAATGTCACATGACAACGGAAAAGGGGGTTCATCCTCAGGGCCAATCGAACACTTCACAGGACATCGTTTTGCCTTCTTCGAGACACTCATCTTATTACAATATCTGCGATTCTTTCATGACCAAGTACTACCTAGGTACCTGCTTTCGGGATAATGATTTACAAGTATAACGGTCCTACGAGGGTCCGCCGCTAGGGCTATCTGAAAGGGTAGCCGGCTTCAACTGAAATCGTCATCGCCATGCCCGACTTCAATGGCCATGATCCTCGACACCAGTTCCTTGGTCTCCCGAGCAATTTGGAATGCCAAAGGCGGTAGTCTTTGGGTGATCTCTTTCCCCTCGGCGGCGTTGCCATAGCTGGCGAATTCCGAGCTCGCCTCAAGCAGCTGGTCTCGGCATCCTTGCAACATGGTCGCACTCACATGTGACCGTTCGGTCAACGTCGCTTTGTACGACGATGGTTCATTTGCCGTCCGATCCACCGAGCTGAGAATGTTTTCAATGGTGGTTGCAATAGCGCTGATGTGGGTGCGAATAATCGACAACGTCTCCTCGTTGCGCACCGCATCCACCATCGAGGTAATGGACTCGACCAAACCATCAGTTTGATCTTCCAGGTACATCTGTGCACAGCGTCAGTTGTAATCCTAGCTTTGAGTAGCCACCAGACTTACCTTGAGATCCTCGAGCTCTGCTGCCTCGGGAGTCGTCGCGTACCCAGCCTTGATGCCAAGTCCAGTTCCATTGACATACGTAGAGCCTCCTCGATGGTGAGAGTTTAGACCCACGTGGTTTGTCTCCTTCTTGATGTCGGACGGCGTGCTCAGGGCACTATAAACACTTTCAACAGCACTACGCCGCCTCAGAGATTTGCCGACGTCGAAATATCCATTGCTTTGCAAGGGTTCCAAGGCATCGTCATCCGCATCCTCGAGCTCGCCATCAGGAGTGGGCCGAATCTTGACGATATGAAGAAGATCCACCACAGCCGCCGTGAGATGCGAGGCAGCGGCATCAACTAGACTGACAGGATAGAGTCCGTTGGCCGAGGCAAAGTTCTTTGAGGCTGTAATCAGATTATTGGCTGTGGCGGATACCTTGCTCTTGAGCTTCACACGTCTCTGTTTCAGCTCATCGTCCTTATCCGTTGGAGCTTCTGCATCGATATCGGACGTAATTCCACGCACAGCCAAGACAACCGTCTTCATATGATCCAAAACGACTTGAGGAGCGTCTGATCGGGCAATTCGGAGCAATTCATCGATGGAAAGTTGAAACCTAGTGACATGGACATCCTTTACCAGTCCATCGCGGTCATGGAGCCCGCTTGCAAGCAGACTAGCATCAGTTCCAGGAACGCCGAGCCCCAAGGAACTTGATCGAGCCTGGCGAAGTTGTGTTTTGGCCTTGACGTATCTCGATTTCCATTCTTTCACCTCTTCCTGAAGCCTGTTGACTTCAATCTGCAACCTCTCCTCCCGTTCAAAGTCGGCTCCACCCGATTCTGCCATTGCTCTCATTTCTTCGAGATACTGTTGCCCTTGCCGGCCCACTTCTTCAGTCAGTTCTCGTTGTTGAGCTAGCTGCTCTTTCAACGCCTTGTGCTCCTGATCCAGTTGGAGATATTTCGTCTTCCACAAGACATCTTCTCCACTATTCCGAGATCCATCGGCCTTGAGCTTTTCGAGTTCTTCTTTCAACGACCTGTTAAGATTTTCGGCCTGTTCCAGCTTCTCCTCTAAGCTCCTTTTGGTAAGGCCCCATTCGTCGCTCTGTGTCACTAGCTGCTGGAGTTGTTCATCTTTCGACTCCAGTGTTGCCTCCAACTCGGCCAGCTTATCTTGTAGCTCGTTGACCGCCGGCCCGATAGTTTTCGGATTGGGCGCCAGACTGCCTCCGCTTTGCGAAGTGGCCGAGGTATCACGATCACTCCTTGGGCTGGTAAGAGAGCTTTCCAACCCAAAGGCGTCACTAGAACGATCATATCGAGAGTCCGTAGCCTGTGCATCATCTTCGTCTTCGACCATGACGCTCTTGTTAGGAGTGATGGTGTTGCTCTGAAACTGCCGGGCCATCGGCCGGCCATAATCGGTTGACGGTGGCGGGTTGTCAAACTGAGGAACGTTCGTGACGGATTCTTGCCTCTGCTGGTAGCCCTGCGGACCAGAACTTCCAAAGGTCTGAGCCCTTTGTGGGCCTGCGAAGCCATTGAGTCCATCCCGTGAAGAAACGCTGGCGACTGGACCGCGTGACTGTGACCGAGAACTTTCCCTTCTGGCGCCTTCGGGCCTGGCGAACTGAGGGAATCGTCTCTCCAATTCACAAAACACATCGGTGGACAGGTCTCTGAACCTGGGAGCTTGAAGAGTGGACAGCTTTTGCCGGGCTTGATTGCGCTTTTCGTGGAAATCCGGGCGCGGCTGTAGAAAGCGGGGGACATTCTGCTGTCGTGGCGGTCGTCCCGGCAAAGGCGCTGATGCTTGTCTCCTTTGCAGCTCGTCGAAGACATCGGTACTCAACTCGTGGAACTGGACCGGCGACAGACGAAGCAGCTTGTCCCGCGCCTTGTTAGGGCGTGGAGGCGCCTGAGCACCTCCTTTCAGATACCCCTTTAGAACAGTGTAGTGTTGGAACAGCTCTGCCTCCATCCTCTTGTATTTCCTGCTCTGCTCGTCCGAAATAGTCCCGTCGCTAGATCTTGAGTTCGCGATCGATCCGGTGCGGGAAGAGCCTCGAGAAGCGCCGTCGGACAGACGCGGTTGACCCATGGGATCCAACGGGCCAGGCGCAATGTTCATGTTTGCCGGAGGCGCCGGACGTAAAGGCATTCCCCTGGGTTGAGGATAGTCCTCTCCTGTGGGAGTATATGGAACATAGGGTCCATCGTTTCGTGGGATCTGGTTATAGGCGTTGACACCAGACCATTCACTGCCATTTGTAGATACGGGGGACATCAGGTCAGAGCCCCTGCTGGGAGGCGCCATGGCTGCTTGCATTGTGGATTGTGGTTTGGTTGCATTCAACCCTGACTGTGTAAGGAGGGTAAATGGATCTTTCGCGCACTCGGTAGACCGCGGGATGTATGAAGCCGATCTATTATGCAGTCAAGCAGGTTGAAACACGATATGTCGCTATGTCAGAAGTTCGCAACGAGACAAGGAGAGGATGGCTGCAGAGGCCAATGCGCAGGCGCGACCGAACCCAGAAGACAAAGAGAACGCTGGCGGTGGGTGTTTGTCAGGGTCTGAAAGAGAGGCTTGTACGCTCCAGGCTGTCCAGCAGACTGTGCATGAGACAAATGATTGTGAAGTCGTGGTATGAGAAAGACAGAAAAGAGTCTTGGAGATGTGACGGGCGCCCTGATCCTTCTCACGGTACTGTCACGGATGGTGCCAGTGGTGGTTACCTACCTACGAGAAAACGGAAGACAAGACACTGGCACTGGCGCTGCGCGTGTCGTGTTTAGGGTTGCGGGTGCCAGTGCCGGTGGTTTCTAGGTGTTGCCGTGTGCGGTTTAGGCAAAGTTATGGGCGGCAGGCGAGGAATGAATCAATCACAATGCTCGCTGCTGGGCTGTCCTAGGGATCCCTTTCCTGGTCCCTGTTCCAGTTTCCGGGCGGTATCACTGCCTAAACTTGAACCAAACTTCGACTTCGATCATTTCTTACTTGCACCTGCGCTACAGTACAACTCACCCCGGCTCCCTCTTCGAGTCTTTGAAGTTCTCTGCTGAGCTAAAGTAGAAGCGACAGCCACACCGAGACCTCAGAATACCACACTCCAGGTCTCTATCTCGAAACTCCTACACAGTGCGTGACTGTATATCCTAATGTGCGCACGACTCGTACAACTACTACTACTATCTCTGATTCTCCGACCCATCAACCTTTTCCTGCCCCTTAAACTAGCTGACACTGCAGTAGTAGCATCGTCGCTAGCCTCCAGCCTTCCGTGCCTTGGGGCGCCAAATGCCTCCTTCTACTGGCTGCAGTGGCCTTGAACCCCTGCCGCTACATCAGGGGTTCACAGAACGCGACTCGATGCCATCGCGTCCCTGACTAAGTAGTAACGTGAATCTGGAGACCCGCGCGGTGGCTTGAGAGGCATGTCAAACCATTATTGGAGCCATCGAATTCCATTCCCGATCCAACATCTGGCCCCAGGGCCGCCCGATCCTTTCCAACGCTTCCAGAACAAATGTTTCCATCGTAGCAAGTGAGAGCGAGATGGCGTGGGAAAGAGCACCAGCTTCTTCAGAACCGATTACGTTGCCTTACAATCGTGTATTAGATGTATATGTTTGCGCTAGGCTGACCGGCCTCGACTACTACTGTAAGAGTGTGCGATGTTCCTGGAAGCCGTGATTAATGGCCGCCTGTCCATTCCTCGACCAGCCTTTTTCCGTCCCCAGTGGCGCCTTTCCTCGAGAATTTCACGGCCCAGAGCCGTGCTTGTACCTTGACCGCCTCTCGTTGAGACAAACCTGATCCGGTGATGCCCAGAGCGCGTTGAAAACTTTTGAACCCAACACCAGGCCGCTCGGATGGCCGTCTTTTGAACGCCGTGCGCTCAAATTCCCATATTTACAATGCTGTTTGTGTGTATATCATCATCAACATGACGACCACGGTGCTCTCATTTCCCATTCGTCATCTTCAGGGACGGCGGCACACCAGATCCAGACGCATTCTGGGCTCGCAGAAAAGGTTCCACCGCAGCAGACACGGGCGTCGCTGTTCTGGTAGGAGCAGCACTGCGATTATGCGCCATGTGCGCCCGGACCAGATGGCCTGCTGCAAGGGCACTGCACAGACTAAGCTCACCCGCGAGGACGCCGGCAGCGATAATGCGGGCGAGTTGACGGGCGTTGTCACCTGGGTTGGTTGGGTGAGCCCCTCGAACCCCAAGCATTTCCAGCATCACCGACTGGGCTTCGAGAATGGTGCCTCCTCCAATGGTGCCCACCTCAAGCGATGGCATAGACACGCTGATCTGAAGGTTGCCGTTGTTGCTGTAGCGAATTAGTCACCGACCTCAAATTCACCAGCAAAAAATTACTTACTTCTTCATGACCGTGATGCAATTACCACTCTCCACCACTTGGGCAGGATCCTGACCCGTAGCCAGGAAAACGGCAGCAACAATGTTGGCAGCCTGAGCATTGAACCCACCGATACTGCCAGCCATTGCGCTCCCGATGAGGTTCTTGGAGATGTTCAGCTCCACCAGAGAATCCACGTCGATTTTAAGGACACTCTTGACAACATCGCCAGGAATGATGGCCTCCGCAACCACCGCCTTCCCTCGGCCGTCGATCCAGTTGATCGCTGCGGGCTTTTTATCCGTGCAGTAGTTCCCGGAGACGGTGATTGTCGTCATATCATCAAAACCGCACTCCGTGGACATGACGGAAAGGGCCTTTTCCACGCCCTTGGATATCATGTTCATTCCCATGGCGTCACCGGTGGTTGTTTTAAACCTGATGTAGAGGTAGGTGCCAGCCAATGCCGTCTTCAATGACTGTAGCCTAGCGAATCGGCTGGTCGAGTTGAAGGCCTCTCGCATTCGCCCTTGACCCTCTTCCGAGTCCAGCCATACCTTTGCCTCAGCAGCCCGGGCAAGGGTTGGGAAAGATACACAAGGGCCACGTGTCATACCGTCACCGGTGACAATCGTAAAGGCACCACCGCCAGCGTTGATGGCCTTGCATCCACGACTCACACTGGCCACCAAGACACCTTCAGTGGTTGCCATTGGCAAGAAGTAGCTCTGGCCGTCAATTGTCAAGGGTCCTGCAACACCCAGCGGGAGGGGCAGATATCCAATGACATTTTCACAACATGCGCCATGGACAAGTTCATAGTTGTAGTGTTCGTACGGGACCTTGGACGATTCCAAAACAGCCGCAAACCGTTTGGTTGCTGGAGTTCTGGAAACAACTGCTCTCCGCACCTTGACAGCGCGGACAAAGGATTCCAGCCGCGTCATGGCCTCAGGGTGCTCAAGGGTTTTTTCAATCGCATAACCTGCGATCTTACCCTTCAGCGACAAATCGATGAGTTCTTCATCCGTGAGGAATGCGGCCTTTTTCTCCTTTAGCATTTGCTCACGTTCCTCTGGCGTTCTAGTTGAGGCCTCGCCGGCATCGAGCTGAATTGGCTTAGGCTTAGGCGCTTGCGGCAGTGCCAGTTGTGGCGCCGTAGCTCCAGCTGGGGAGCCTGTCGTCGAATGAGGCTCTTTCAAGCTCCAACGAGCCGCGTTGAACAAATAGCCGTTGAGAATCAAACTCAAGGTCAACGCGATCAGCACCCATTTGCTGAGGACCGGGTCTTCCAAACTCTTGAGGACTCCTTCAATAACGCGGCCACCCACCACATTGAGAAACTGGTCGGTATACTCGTAATCAAAGAAGCTCAAATCATCGGGCGAGCCAGGCTTATGCACAGAGGGGTGATCCAGCTCATACTTGATTGGCGGCAGAACAGTCACATAGGTTTCAATCTTCTTGCTTTTTGCGGCAACGTAAATGGCATCCAAGCCATTTTCCGCCACCTTGAAGGGGTCGATAGGTGCGGGAGTTAGAACACTGGGGATGGTCGCCCCAGTGGCCTTGATACTGCTGGCCGTGCGGAACGGGATGGTGCAAAGATTGATCAGGTTCACGATGATGAAACCCGTGACCATCCAGATCTTGAACTTCGGCACGCTGCTTGCTCTGATCTTTTGCCCAAAGATATTGAATCCCGCTCCCTGTTCGGGCTGACCAGTGGGCCAGTCGTTGTTGGTGGCAACATTCTCAGCAACCCGGTAATTGATGCCATCTTCTTCGAGAGCTTTACGGAGGGCAACATGTCGCTTGATCCGGTTGATCTCGAGCTTGATACACAGGATGGTGGTGTAGAAGGTGAACAATAGGAAACAGTCATAAGCCAAGATCCAAGCCGCCAGGAAACAAAACTGGCGAAGTCCGCCTTGGATGCCGGAAGCCGCGCCAAGAATGAGGATGGCGATTTCGATGGCGTAGTCTCGCACAATCTCGAACCCGGTGTCCTTGACTGCCAGCTGGATTGCTTCTTGAATCGAACCGGGCGGGTTGGACAAGCTCGCAGATCCACCGGCACTTCCATTCGCTGAGCCCGATTCGGGTCGTCGCTTGGTGTCATAGGAGGCCGAAAGAACAGCCTTTGTGAGAATGATTGACTTTTCAAATCCCACGGTGACAACGAGAAATGGTAGGCCTTCTGACAACAGAACCATATTTATGGGCACACCAAGCTTGGTGGTCGTGACCAAGCCGAACAGGAATGCGAACAGACTGGAAAGTAAGACCGAGATCGCCAACCAAGCATTGGAGCCGAGTCGCTTCATCGAGAGGAACAGGGAAATGAAGGTCAGATGCATGGAAAGGTAGCCCAGTGACATGATGATGATGTCCAGCGTCTCTGCATGTTTGATAAGATCCACAAACGAGCTCCAACCCTCGCTGAGCCAGGTTCTGTATGATCCCCGAGCACCATTGCCGTTGAGTCGGGCAGCTTTCATGACCCAAACCGCATGTTCGTTCTCCTCCGTCGCAACGTCTCGGGCGGGAAGCTCCTGTGCGGCTCGCAAGAAGTCCTCCATTTCCGAAAAATGGGTATAGAAGGCGAGGGAGGTATCGTGCGAAATCGGCGAAAGGAGGTTTGAGGTGGTGGGAATATTGATGGCAGTGACATTGTCAGGTATGGGGAGATCCTGGGGCTCAGGTGCCAGCTGTAACGATGAAGAGTCTGGGAATACCAAGGTGATCAGGGCATAATGATCCGCTCCCTGTCGTAATCTTGTCAGTCCAGAATCCGTCTAGAGTTCCATCGATTGCTTTACCAAAGACACCTGTGGCACACCAGAATCGTCCGCGAAGTGCCATTTCCAGGCACTCTTCTCTGAAAGCTCCAATGTGCGGCTGCCCTTCAACAGCGCTTCAACATCCACCTGGCCATTGTGTTCCAGAGACTTTACGCCACTGTCAAATAAGCTCTCTTGCAAGAGGCCGACATATGAGGTGCTGGCAAGCAAAGCAACCAGGACAATTGTATGGATCGGGTGTTGACAGGCAATGTCTGATAAAGCGAGCAGACGGGAGGTGACGGTACGGTTCAGCCAACTGTCGCTTTTCCCTAGGGCGCGGAGTTGCTTTGGAAGAAGGGAGGAGCCTCGCATTTTGACGGCGACTGACTGACTGGTTTGAAGAAAGAGACAAAGTTTGAAGAGAAAAGGTCAATCCTATCTTGCCATGCTCAGGACACTAAAGGGACAGTTGATCGCGTGTCAGCCGTGCGAATAAAGCGAGTCATTATGAGGACCAATATCCTGCGCGGCGGTCAAGGAAAAAACGTACCGATGCTGACGGGTGGCCTCGTGCCTGGAAGATCTCAAAGCACCGCTCAGCTAGGATATCTCACAGCAGCTGACAGGAGTAAATAGAACGCTGCGCAGGAAGAATGAGGGCGTGTCGTACAAAGGGAGAGATGGTGGATAAGGGTGGTTCTCGAGCTGGCAAGCAGAAGAGGTGTTCCACTTCGCTGCGCGGGTGGCAGTCCAAGTCAAGTTACAGACAGGCCCTTGACTTTTGCTAGACGATATCGGATGCTCTAACATCCCAGTGCTACAAGGACTAGTGCAAAGGGTGGGCACTGTGAGAACAACGACATTCAAAAAAATTTCCCAGATTTTCTGCTGGGGAACGGCAGATGGTGACAGGGGCCGAGAGCCTAACTACAAGCCTAATAATCTACCAATTGGACGCGTGGACGCCGCCCGAAGTGCCTGCTAAGCTCACCCTGCAGTCAGTCTTAATTATGGCCTGCGCCCCTGCAACAACGCCATCACGCCGCAGTCTGCGCCCAGTAACAATTCCTCGTTAACTTCTTCCCATCACCGTTTTCCCTAACCATTGTACCCTTTCCACGCCACTCTACATATTCCCTGGCCGGGATGAGAGAGCCACTGAGCAACGGCCTAGATCCTGCTGAATGACGACTAGCGAGTCCGTCGACGCAACAGCCGCCGTCTCTCCAACGGCTGTGGCAATCGTGGGCCCATCCGGCATCTCAAGAGCACGAGAGCCCCAGAGAGAGCCCACCAATCGTTCCGGCGCTTTCGTCATGGGCAATTATAATGCCAGCAGATCTGTGCCTTGCATGAGTACCTAGGTATACCATTCTGGCCATCATCCCTGTAATTATCCAAATCTCCAAGTAAACATGTTTGGTGGAAGATTTGGACTCCTTGTCGTCGTAGTCAGACTTGCGTACGTTTACCTTCAAGCTGCGATCGTCTCTACCAACCAGCAGAATAAGAACGGTGGCAATCGCAGCCGCCCAACATGATCTCATGAATTTAGCCTCGTGCGAAATCCAACATTACTACGTCCAAAGCAGTCTCGTGCCACACGTTTTGGTCGCTCGTCTTTGGAAGGCGAAAACGTAAGAGAGAGAGACAGAGAAGCGGCAATGAATGATAAGTTCGGTTCGCTGGTGCGGTATTTGCATAAAAGTTGTCAGAAAACTTGGGTTGGTATGATATGTTGATTATGTATATGCTTGAGAGTGGCTCTCAACAGGGGAGGAGGAGATATTTTTTCTCTTCCACAGGTGAATACTTCGCCAATAAACAAATCCTACTTCCAAACACCGTTTGCCGGACTTGACAACTTGTAACGTTGGTATCTACTGAACACAGTGACACCGTAACTGCCAGTACAGTCTGCCTGCTGTACGATCCAGTCAATCACTTCAAAGACTCGGAGCTGATTCCCGGCTGGATCTGATCCAGGATTTCGGCCAACTCCTTCCAGATCTTTTCTGAAGCCTTCTTCCCATCCTCGCTCCTAACGAAAGGCGAGAGCGCGTTGTCATTGGGCTCACAGTCGTAGATGTATTTGCCGTGCGACTCAGGGCCGGCCTCCGCGGCCGAAACCAAGGTGCGACTGCCGACCTCGGTGGATCGAGCAAGGAAGAATTTGAGAATGGACACGAAGAAGGGCCCGTCGCGCGAGAGTTCGGAATGACAGAGACCTGGGTTGACGTAGTTGAGAATGACGCCCTTGCCTGCAAGTTTTGGCGCGAGAGCACGACATGCGAGCACCTCCAGGAGCTTGCTGGCTTGGTACCGCTCGTTCATGTTGGCCGTCTCCCTGTTAGACAGGGTGGCGAAGGTGTTCGGGGCCTTCCATTCCGGGAATTTGGCCCAGGCGTGGACCTCGCTCGAGACGATGATAAGGTGGGTGTTTGTGTTATGGTCCCGTGCTGTCGCTTCAAGTTGGGGCAGGAGGAGCAGTGAGAGCAGGAATGTGCTGATCACATTCACTGTGATAGTCCGCTCGTGGCCCTCGGCGAGCTCGTACTTCGACGTTGCGATTCCAGCGTTGTTCAAGAGGACGTCGAGCCGCGACAGGTTTTTCTTCGCTCGCTCGGCGAAGGCTTTGACGGACTCATATGATGACAGATCCAATGACCATACCTCGAGCACGTCGGGACTGCAGTGGGTGGTCTTTTCAATGTCCTGTTTGGCTGCTTCGCCAGCGGTGGTGTTCCGAACGGCGATAATGACTTTGGATGCGCCCAATCGGACGAAGTGGCGTGCTGCCTCTTTCCCAAGTCCAGTGTTGGAACCTGTCACGATGACGGTTTGGCCGGCGAATGATTTCGTCGGATACCTTGGTGTAACAAAAAGCTGGGAATATATGAATGAAACCATGGTGGGGGTCCAGGCACGGCAATGCTAAAGTTGCGAACCCTCTTGTATATGCCGCTGGCGGACAACAGAGAAATTCTCAGTCCTAGAATGGTGGAACGGAATCTGGTTGACTCAGGAAGCGACGAGGCAGAGGACTCTGAGCAAGTGTAGTATACAGCGAAGAGGAAATGAAAGCGAGCGATGGAGAGCGCAACCCGCGTTTATATAGTCATGACGTCCAGGAGATGGACCTAGTTTAGTTCCTTTTGTTCTTCAACCCTCCCGTGAACTTAATAGTCAGCACCTAGCTATGACAGCAATCAAGCCGCGCATTGCCCTGTGTATCGCCGGGGATAGCAGTTTGGATGGATTGGACCTTGTCAAATTCGGGATTAAGCGAAAGAACATGGAAGTTTCACGTCTTAACGCCGGACTTGCCTTTCGCGAAAGACAACCTGGGTTCTGATAGGACGAAGGAGGAGGACATTTCGAACTTCGGAATCGGAATGAGTCTTGGCCCGGAAAATAGCAGCTAAACCAAGTCGAGAGAAACCTTCCGAGAGGGCGGGACGAGCGAGACCTGCTTGACATATGAGTTGCGTCCGCACCTAAAACACATCGGTGTGTTCCACGGCCATGCCGGGATCGTATTGGCTCTGTCCAGCGGCACGCCTGAGGTGTCTCTCATTGAATACAGTGACATAGCTTCCTCCGCCGGTCGGAAAGTCAACCATCAAAAGCCGGCTGAGTTTCAATAATGTCAAAGGCCCCCTGTAACGGACGAAATATGCCCATACCTAGAACCTGGGTAGATATCATTGCAGGGCAGTTCAGGGAAGGCTTGAGTGGCGTCATAGTTGTGGTCTGTAAATATATCCTGGGCACAGCGACTTGTACACACGCTTTGTTTTCCAATTCTGTGGGAACAGATCGAAGCGCAACCCTCCCGAGGCAGCCTAATCACACCTAACAGCCAGACTGAGGAAGTACATGCTTAAGCTCGAAGGATCCAACGTAGCAGGAGAGTCAACAACTGCTCGATACTGAAGAGCACTTCGACGAGAGAAGGTAACAGATTCCAAGCTCACGATGGACGAATACAACGAACACCTGAATGAAACCGAAGCCTGAAGCGAAGCATTGGAGGAGACTTGAGGGACTGTATGGATTACCAATATCTGACTAATGCCAGAGATGGGCGACCCCGTTTGCACGTGATATGACGGTGCCTTGTCAATGGCACGCCCTTCCGACTCAACTCCGAAGTGCCCGCATCAGTCCCGCCGTGGATCGAGCACGTTATCGGACACAGTCCGAGTCCGCATTTCGAGGTTGAGGACTGCAGTCGTGAACAACACCTCTTCCCAGGCGAACGGCCACAGTACAATCTCAGTTCACCATCTCCGCTCGACTATTCCCAAGCCTAGTGGTTGGGGGTAGAGGATCTGGAATATCCTGCCGTCATAGAACTTCGACCGAGATTGTATTTTGTTCATTTTGTCGACAATTCGTTGTCGCTGTCTAAACAATGGCTCCAACCACCACAAACGGCGCTCAGGTCGACTCCGATGACTTCTCAAAAGTCTCTCGTGGTCCCGTCGACCCCCATACGGTCGAGGACTTCCATACGCTGAGCATCCAGCAGTTGTCTCCTGCGACACAGGCGATTCATGCCGACGACCCGCTCAACGTCGTCGACGATGTCGCTCCGCCTATCCATGTGAGCACGACGTTCCGGTACGACAAAGACCCATCCCGGCTGCGCCCTTACTACGAACGTGAAGAACCCATCTTCGAGCCCACCGAGCATATCTACTCGCGACACACCACGCACAGCAGCTCGCGCCTTGAAGCCATTCTGGGTGTGCTGCTGCACAACCCTTGCCTGACATACTCGTCTGGCCTGTCGGCTTTCAATGCCCTTGTCACCTTCCTGAACCCCAAAAGAGTGGCGATCGGTGCCGGATACCATGGTTGCCATGGTGTATTGAGGTTGCACCAAAAGTTGTCCGGGCTGAAACTGCTTCCTTTGGATTGCAAGCCCGAGGATCTTCAAGAAGGCGACTTGTTGCACTTGGAGACTCCGATCAACCCCACCGGCCAAGCCTTCGATATCCAGCATTATGCCGACATAGCTCATTCACGAGGCGCCTACCTCAGTGTCGACGCCACCTTTGCGCCGCCACCCCTGCAAGATCCGTTCAAGCATGGCGCAGATATTGTTATGCACTCAGGGACAAAGTACATTGGTGGACACTCCGACATGCTGTGCGGTGTTCTGGCGGTGAAAAACAAGGAATGGATTCCAAAGATGGTGGATGAACGATTGTACCTTGGCTCTGTCATGGGTGGGCTCGAAGGTTGGTTGGGCGTGAGAAGTGTGCGGACAATGGAGTTGAGAGTGATGAAACAGAGCGCGGGCGCACAGAGGATTGTCGATGCGCTTGACGGAGCATTGACCGGCCATACTGTCGGCACAGGATTGTCCCAGTCGGACGCGGAAATCATCAAGTCGGTGGTGAAGCAAGTCTTTCATGCAAGCCTGCAAACCGAGGACTACAAAACTTGGTTGAAGAAGCAAATGCCAAACGGGTTTGGCCCGGTCTTTTCGTTGGCCTTGAAGTCCCCTGAGCTTGCCCGCGCTCTGCCCAGCAAGCTCCATCTCTTCCATCATGCCACGAGTCTTGGTGGAGTGGAAAGTTTGATCGAGTGGCGGACCATGACGGACTCGTCTGTGGAGAAGGATCTTTTGAGAATAAGTCTTGGTATTGAAGACGACAAAGACCTTCTTGACGACCTCATCCAGGGCTTCAAGGCCCTCAAACAAGAGTTCAGACTCTGATTGGACTTCAAAGATAGATCATAGACGTAGAAAACAAGAGTGACAAGGCCGTCAGGCGCAGCGATCGGGTCAGACGAAAGGGTCAGATCCATTGAGATGGCTGATGCCCTTCGACGGTGTTTCTTCTGCTCGACGCCGTACTTGAGGTATTGTCGTCCGCAAGAATTGATGCATCCCTCTCAAGATGCAGACGCAGCATGTCTCCTTCTCTAAATGGCGCTTGTAGATCGTCCTTGGCCGGCTCCTTTCTAAGTATAGGATGATCCAGCGCTTCTGGCATAGGTTGTGGTGGACGGACAGGACGCATAGGTCTTGGTGCAAGTATCTGCGTCGCTTGAGGGGGGTTATCTTGGCCAGCTGCCGCGCGTCCTCGGTTTCCCAAGCCTAGAGTCATCTCGAACTCTTTGTCCAAAGGCGATGAGGTGGTGGCCGGTTCCGCTCCTGTCTGCACCCTGCGCAACCCCCTAGGTCGCAGTATATCCGGCATGTCGGGTCGATGTGGCAGGCCTCTTTGAGTATGCGGATTGTTTGCCGATGCTGCCGGATTGTCTGTTGAGCTGGGGCCCTGGTATGATTGAGAACGACTTTCGACTGGTGAGAAAGACCTGGCCCTCGCCCTCGCTCTGGCTTTGGATATCTCCACTGGAGGGATAAGAGCCTCGTCACCGCCTTCCCCGATGATGACCGGCGGAGCTTCGATGAAGGTGACACTTAGTCCTCGCCCACGCCCTTTTCGCTTCGCTAGCGAACTTGCTGATTGACTCCGAGTATGGGTTGCGGGACGGAGATATTCAGCAGATTTGCCTTCCTGACGCTCGTGCAGTATACCGATAGGCTGGGCAGCAGGCCACCTCTGGGACTTCGACACATCGATGCGCGGCACTGGCACGGGAACCCGTCTCGGCGACTGTCTAGGTCTAACAGCAAAGGAGTCTGTGTCCGCCGTCGAGGGTCTTGAGAACTGTTCATGCTGCGAGGTTCGAGCGTTGGCTGACTCGGATATGGGACCCAGTTCAGGGTTGTTGGACGATGCGTGTGATTCATGGCCGGAAGTCCAACTAGAAGTAGAGGTTCGGCCTGCCGATAGAAACTCCTGCACGTCGTCACTGAGGATATCGTCCGACTCTTCACTCCTGTCCAAATGTTTCTTGAACTTGCTCTTTGTCCGCGCCAGGGCACCCTTGAAGCGCTCTCGTCTAGATGTTTTGTGGTTATCGGAAGAGGTGTGGGTGGTGGTGGCATGATTAGCCTTCTCGTCCTCGTCCATCATCTTGAAAGTCCTTCAGCGATCGGTACATTATTGTCTGGCGCGGTCACCTCAAGCGCCTCGGTCGATTGTAGCAGGGGAGAGAGGATGAGGGGTTTGACCAACGCGCGGCCCGCAGGATGAAACAAGTGGACCGACAGCGTGAAGTCGATGGATGTCAAAGCGGACGAAGAAGGTGGTGTGCCCTGGCAGGAACAGGCGCAGGCGGCTGGAATGCAGTGTGCGAGGTCTGGAGTGAAGCGAGATGCCCTGATAAATCATTGTTGCGTGCACGTCTCCAAGCACTACTTAGTAGGTATACACCGACACACAAGGGTGAATGAACCTTTCAAGTTGGCCAGCAGTACGTACTATCCCTTAGCTACACGACCCTGAGATACTACTACCTTCAGCACCACGCACCTTGCCTAGGCAGGTACCTGCTACTACTATCACCTGAGTATTTCCACGCACAGTACCACCTATATCACTCAAATCAATGGCGCCATGCTGCCCTGGACCCGACAACGGGCACATTATTGCAGTATCTACAATGTACTATGCAGTGCGACTACCCCAGCGACAACTTATTAAAACAGTGTTTGCACAGCCCACTTGTGCCTGGATGGTGGACACACGACGCTTTCTGCTATTGGCCTCTGTGCGAACCTGACGGGAGCGGGAGGCGCCCGCTTCGACGGTCTGCCCCACCGTACCTGAGGTGGCATAACGGCTCATCACGTGCTTTGCTGTTTCAATATCTTATCTTATCTATCTGCCGCGAGATCGGTTAAAGCCGACTGTTTGACTGGTGAGCCTCGGCTGAACAGACTCTCTGTAGAACTCCGACTTCAATGATGAGGACGAATCACCGGGATTGACATGAACCATAAAACAAGGCTTCTATACAGCCTTCACTTTGGACAAACAACTCATTCATACCCAGGTACAAAAGGCGTGCCACTGTCTCTGCCGTTTTCAGTTTTGCAGCCCTTCTTTCCGCCCTTCCAGGCCTCAACCATTCATTGCCCTCTTGCAACTGAACTGGCAAAATATACTCGCCCAACAATAAATAGTACAACACCTCTGGAAGTATATACAACGAGAGTGGTACACCTCCTACGACAACTCCTTCTCCGCCATGGCTCAAGAAAACAAAGACTCCAAACCCCCCAGACGCTCAATGTTCCAACTCGACGGGTTCACGAACCTCTCCCTCCGCGAACGAGTCCAATACCTCGCCGACATGGTACGCAAAGACCCCAACTTTTCCGGCTTCGACACCTACGCCTTGAAATCTGGCGTCGAACTCATCGACGCGCGACCCAACTTTGTCAAATGGGAAATGGAAATCGGGCCGCATCTATGCAACAAATCAAACAACCTGCACGGCGGCGCGGCGGCCACAATCCTCGACACCTTGACCTCGACGGCTCTGTTGACGATAGCCAGGCCGGGCTTTCTTGACGGCGGACATGTCAGTCGAACCATCACTATGACGTATCTCCGTCCAGTGCCGAATGGGTCGAAAGTCTCGATTGAATGCGAGATCCAGGCGGCAGGGAGGAGTCTTGCTAACATAGTGGGGAAGATTTTTGTTGATGGGAAGTTGTGTGTTACTTGTGTTCATGATAAAGCTGTTTTTGCGAGACAGGATCAGCAGCAGCAGGCGAAGTTGTGAAATGGAGATGGAAACGGGATAGAACGGGACCGCTGGGGTTATGTAGAGGTCCTGCAACTGGGCGGCGGCTTGAGGGGACCGGCAGTTCGGTGTTCAGAGGTAACTGCATGGCATAGACTGGAGAACAGGACTCGTTTAGACTAGACGAGGGCTTACGGTAGATAGACAAGTCCCGACCATTTTTGACAAACTGCATGAGGAGTGGTTCTATGGCAGTATAGACGTGTGCTAGACACAAGCTACTGGTCATCAAGATGGCGAGCAAGAGCAAGCGAGCTGTACTAGGCACATGAGAGGGTCCGTTCAATTCACACTTACTCACTGTGGGTTACTTTCGACAAACACTGTTACAGTACGAAACAGAAACAAAGAGACATAGTTATGATTTCTCATGTCAAGAATAAGCTAGGTAGACCATGGTTCCAGCCCTCTTCAAGTTTGACAGCATTCTGGTTGTGCATGTCTCCGATGGCATCCTAAGACTCATGATCCGCTTGCCTAGCAGCAGCATCAGCCAGAGGCTGAATGATAGTCCACAGTTCATCCAGCTGTCGGTCCACATCTTCTTTCCATGCCGCCTGGAGCTCATCGTTCTTTGGTGCCGCCGGAGCCTCATCGCCTGGGTCACTTGTGTCTTCATTATCATCAGCGGCCGCCTTGTCTTTTGCAGCAGCCAGTTCCCTCCGCAACTTCTGGATCGTGAGGGTACATGCACGAGCCAGGCGGCCGTCCGGTGGGATACTCTTGTCATTTTCCACCTGTGTCATGATCTCTGGGTCCACGGCTGATCTTGCTTCATCTTTGTAGACCTTTTCTCTCTTCCGTCTTTCACGTGTGTCCTGTGCGCCTTCTATCCAAGAGAACACCGTAGTTAGTATTGTTGTGATCAGGGCGGCGGCGACCCTAACTTCAAACAAAGAAAGGGAGGGAGGAAACTTACTTTTCATAGAAGGTTTTCTTCTTCCTCTTCTTGACTGTGGCGGTGGTGTCGACATGTTGTGTTGTGATCCATTGTTGTCATCAGTGTCATGGCTGCCAGCACGACTTGGTCGCTTGCCGTTCGCATTTAGGTCGGGTGAAATTTCGTCGACGTTGGTGTTGGAGGCTTCATTGTCACGATCGTTGCTGTTGCCATCGTCACTCCCAGCGACCTGGTTCTCATCGTAGTCGGGCTGTGCGGGATCCATGGCTGTTGGGTCGCCGCCAGGGTCTTCGTGGGAGTCCAACCCGGTTCCTATGAAGTGAAGGAAAGAATCGACGGAGCAGATCGAAACTGGCGAGAAATAAATAGGCCGGCTCACCTCGACTCTCTTCCCAAACGGGAGGGGTTATCTCCTCTTTGCCAATGATGTCGCACTTCTTTTCTGCGACCCCTTGGCGAAGAATATCACTAGGGCTTCTGCGCCGCACCTACACACTTCACTGTCGAGGAGGCAGGTCGAGTCGCTGCCGCGCCTGCAGTGACGTGACAATATCACTTACCCGCCAATGCAGCACATACTTCATGGCAAATCTGGTTCTTTCAGCCCCTGCGTTGATATGGGAAACTGAAGCTTCACTCCCCAGCCTCGTCTATCTTGGCAAGGCTGTTCAGTGATGCCGGTGTTGAGGAACGCTTTGCCCAGAGAGTGTACGTCTGCGGTTTCCTGTCTGCTGCACCGGCGTCAAGGCATCAAGAAGATCTGAGTCATACAATCCAGCAGTCATACGCCGACCAAGCGATGTGCTCTTGTTCTGGCATAACGAGTCCCTGTTTGGCAGAAATGCGTAGCCTCCTGAGCCCGACAACTCACCAGCCCATTGTTCACCAGCTGCTCGAATCAGCTTGGAAAAAGATTACCAGGATGGGCTACAAGAAGGCACAACGGCGTTTCCCTCCGCAGATTCATCCCGGGCTATGCTCCAACTTTGATCGAATGCGGATGCGGGCATATAACCTGGCTTGACGTCCTAAGACTCAGTTGGCGAAAGCGCATCGTCCCAAAGAACACCCGTTCGCATGCATCGCGGGCACTGTAAAAGCTCATCCTGATCTCCAGTGCTGTCGTTGGAACAAGGGACGCGGTACTTGTGGAGACCCCCACATGAGGCTTCTCCGCAAAAATCCCACAAGACGACCAGCTGCCTACCCGCGGGGTTTGCCCACTTTCGCGCTGGTAAAAGAGATGCCGAGATCTGAGGTTTGCCAAACCCTTTGGCCGCGACAATGCAGTCCCTCGACTCTCTCTAGAGCAATTGCCGAAACCCCAGAACGGCAGCCAAAGTCACGAGGCCCCAGGGGAAATGTCCCTCTTCAAAGTCAAAATGGTCCCTCTTTGGCCTTAAGCTGATGACCTGCATCAAGATTGGTCAGACTTATCCGTTGCCCTTGCTATTCTCTGGGCAGACTTCGCTTGTCTTGGAGGCACAGCCGGACTTGCGGTCGTGGCGAGGCTTCCAAGACAACTGCCGGGACGGGCCCGTGCCAGCCTCTCGAGCTACCAGCATGATTGGCATAAACCCCGGTCCGGGGTTCGTCTGGTATATCTGATGGCGCAACAGATCCTATACTGGAAATCCCTCGAAGTGCTCAAACTGCAGGAATAAGTATCTCTATCTGCAGTACACCTCCTGCAACGACCGCAACACTGCGTCCCTCTGCTGCGTGGAGTCATAACGGCGAAGATGAGCAGCGAAAAGGATCCCGTTCAAACAGAGACAATTGAAAATGCCCGCGCGGAAGAGCGTCTGCATGCGGTCGAGTTTGAGCCTCCTATGCAACACATTCAAGAGCTCAAAGAGGCCGAGCACATCAATCTGAGCTGGCGGTCATGGCTGGTTGTCTTCGTGACATGTTTTGCCATTATGGCACAGGTTTTCGTAGTGGTGGCAGCAGGATCAGTCATCGCATTCATCATTCGAGACCTGGGTGACGCCTCGATTGCTGGCTGGATCATTCGTAAGAGAACCCTCCCCTCTCCGGCTGTGACTTGCTAACGGCTTGACTCATAGAGGGGCCACTACTCATGCAAAGTGTACTTTCGCCGATTGTGGGCCGACTGAGCGACGTCCTTGACCGCAAATATTTGGCTTCTGTGCCAGCCTTGATCGCTTTTGCCGGAGCAGTCGTATCAGCCAAAGCCACTTCGATGTCGATGCTTATAGGAGGCGGTATTCTCATTGGCGTGACACTCAGTACCATCTCTATCGTTCAAGCCATTCCGAGCGAGGTGCTGCCCTTGAAATACAGGGCATTGGCCAATGGATTCGCCTTCCTGGGAGGAGCAGTAGGCGGACTGTATGTGACATGCAAGAGCTTTTGCCCGAGGTCAACTTTGCTGACATGGTTGTGAACACAGAGTCGGTGTCCTAGGCTCTGGCGGTGTGACCAATGCCAGTCCATCCGGCTGGCGCGATATATTCTGGATGCAAGCAGCGTTCCATCTGGCAACGTTCCTTGGCCTCATGCTGTTCTACCACCCGACGCGCCATTCTGACTTTCCAAAAATGTCTTTCAAGGGATATCTCTGGGCTATAGATCCCATTGGATCTTTCCTTTTCATCGTCGCCTGCACCCTCCTGCTGCTTGCCCTGGATTGGGCTGGCGGGGCATATGAATGGTCTGATGCTCATGTTGCGGCCCCTCTCGGTATCGGGTTTGGATTCCTTGCACTCTTCTGCATATATGGTACGTGGTCAAAGTCATTCCGTGAGATCATACGCTAACAAATTCTTGCAGAATGGAAGGGTCGATCTGACGGTCTCGTCGCCCATGTCTTCTTCAAGGGCAACAACAACTTTGCCCTCTCGGTTTTCGCTTTTGCAGTCGAGGGCTGGCTGTTCTACAGCGCGGTCAACAGCGTCACACCCCAAATTGTGCTCAATCTCGGCTTCGAAACAAACGCTTGGGACATCTCCATCAGACAATTGTCGTACAATCTTGTAACACTGTTTGCTTCCATTCCACTGACGTGAGTGCTTGCCATGCGTCAACCGAATCTTGAGAGTTGGCCCAATCTAACCATCGCATGCAGTCTGTACGCCACCAAATACAAGGATCTAAAGTCCCCACTGATAGTGACCTTCATCATATTCCTGGCTGTGTGAGTACACGATTGCACGATTCGGCTGAGGTTGCTGGCACCATGGCTGACTTGATACAGCTGCATTTGTTATGCAGTCATCACACCAAACATGAACAAAGCACAAATTGGCTTCAACGTGCTCTCTGGCCTTGGTCAGTCGGGACCACTCACACTGATTGTGGCGTTGGTACAATTCACTGCACCTCATGCGTTCCTCTCGACGGCCACGGGACTTGGTTTCTCTGCTCGAGCGATAGGAGGCGCGTTTGGTTCTGCTGTCCTAGATGCTATCATCAATGGCAAACTGAAGTCATATCCAACCAAGGTGGGAAATGCAGCAGTGGAGGCAGGTCTACCAAAGTCTTCGGTATCTGCCTTGCTGGAGGCCCTGTCAACAGGCACAGGGTTCACCAATGTTCCAGGCATCAACCCTGCCATCCTCGAAAAGGCTCTTGACGCAAGCCACTGGGCTTATGCTCGTGCTTACCGCGTTGCATGGGCAAGCATTATCCCATTCGTAGTTCTTGCACTGGTCGCCATTTTCTTCCTCGAAGGCGTCAAAGAGTTGATGACAGAGAAAGTCGAGGCAACGGTGGAGCATGTTAAGAAGGAGGAACATGCCAACAAGGTCTAATTTCAACAGCCTCGGGATCTTTTTGATATGCTAGGCGCCGAGAGAGGAGACATGATGGCATAAACAGGACAGATGCGTTTTTGGCGTCGCAGAGATGCCGCCTCAATACCTAGGTATCGAACAAAAATTTGTCTTCAACTCGCGCCACCAAGAACCTGTTCTCATCTTGTTTGCTCTCCGGCTGACCGGCCTAAGCTACCGCAGCCGCGGGGTAGCCAGCGAAAGCCGAGTTGCACTCTCTTTGCAAAAGGAATAGAACATGAAGCGTTCGTAACCGGAGATTGCTGTTGGCCATGTTGACCCTTGCAACGCTAGAGCACATTTCAGTCATTGGATTGCTATCTGATTGCCTCAAATCGTTCTGTCTGCACGCGGGGACTTTCCACATCAGCATCAGCAGTGCATGATAGCATATTGATCAGACTGCTCGTTTCTGCGGGTGATGCTGGAGACGACGTCTTCGAAAGGGGCGAATGCAGCGACGTGTCAATTCGGACAGGCTCCCCGCCGCTTCCACGATATCCGCCGCAATCTAGCACTAGCAAAAAGCGGCAATGCATCGTCCTGAAGAAGAAATGTGGCTTGCGCGACTCCACGAAGGCGCCACACGATAAGGGCATATCATTGGCCCACGCCTCAGCCCGCAGTCCGATCGGTGATTACCTTAATTGAAAGTGCGGTCAACTTGATATCTGCAATCTCCTGTTGACTCCACCACTTCATCAAAACCTCCCTCTCAAACCACTCCTGTTTCTCTTTGCTGCGTCCCTCTGCCACGGTCTATTTCAGCCAACGTCAAATCCAGTCAATAGCTCCTCTTAGATCTCTCGGCGAGCCTCCCGGCGTACCGACCTGACATTGCGTAGCGTCTTGGGCGACAGGGTCGATCTAAACAACTTGACTATGTCGGCCTATCATGGTTGGTCTACAACCAGACATTTTTCCCGACGCCTCATTGTCTCTACAACGTTGTAAGCTTGGTTCTGGAACTGAGGAGACCCTAGCCAGGAGAAGGCCGATACTGGTCCACCAGGCCACGCAAGACCTGGACATGTGAGAAGTCTGAGCTGACTACTAGCATGGCTCGGAGATGGTCTGGTGCAATCAGAACAAGCTTCACATGTGGAAAATGCGATGCAGTGGGTGATGAGGAGCTGAAACGGCTGCACGTTAGAGGAGCCCGGTGCTCTCAACATGGCGGTGCAACCCGATGGATTCGTATACCATCACACCTTCTGTTGCTCTTCTTCTGTCCTTGATGCTTCCTTCCTGCCCCTCGAGGATGTGATCAGGTCGCTCTTGCACATTCTCGATCTTTGTTGTCTATTCGTTTCCTTGATCTGTTGCACTCACTCGTTCGTGCCTCAGCATCGTCCATTCGTTTGATTTTTTTTTTCTCGTGCTTGTTCAGACTCTCGCGGATCGTCCAAACGGATATCACGGCAACGTGACTTGTCGCAGCAGACAGACTCTGGAGAGCGGGCTACACCATACCTACTTTTAATATCGACAAAGGAAATCAAGGACGAGATTACAAGCGCGAGCACCAGCCAGTGGACGACAATCAGGCATGGCGGGTGTACGCGATCCGGCCTTTTGGCGCCGCTTCTCTATGGCGGTCCACCTCGACGAGGAAAAAGCGACAATTCCAGACTCCAAATCGGCCTCGTCCTCGTCATCGAAAAGTGGAATTAAACACACGTATGTGGTAGCCCCAAGGTGTGACACAGGTTAGCAGGGCCGGGTTGCTAATCGCTCATGGCAGAGATTCATGGCTGGAACGGACTAGGAAGAAACAACGACGTACTCATATCATAGGATGGGTCATTGCGCTAGGATTTCTCGCCGTGGTCGCAGCCGTTGTCCTGGTCTTTCTCTGGTTCGCTAAGGTCGGGCCTTTCGATCAATGAACCGCGCAAATGGTCAGATTACCGAACATATCTTCCGATTGACAAGGGCATCTATCCCCAACACAATAGCCAACTGGCAGCCCATTGAGTGGCCAGCGCATATTGAAGGAGCGACAGCCTCGATGCTGGTAATCTCCATATACGCCTTCCCGTCCGTGCAACAACGCTTCTGCCGAAGCATTTCTTCTACGCCCGACGCCTCCTCCAGCGAGCCAGTGAGACCATGAGATACTGAAGACAAAGTCAGAATGGTGCTACTGCTCGTGTGCACTCAGCCATTTTGAAAGGAACGAAGGCTACGGTCCTATCATAGAACATCATTTTACGACATGACGAGAAACACGCTTAATTGACAGCCACTGGAGGCCTATTATATAGACAATTAAACAATCCCGAATCTCAAATTTTCTACCTACTGAATTTATCCCAAGTCCGAGGTCCGTACAGATTCAGTTCAGACTACATACAATCATAGAGCAGGTTTGAAATACTTTTAATGTAGCAAATCTGCTATGCATGAGCGACAGCCTGAGAAGGACAAATGTCTTGAAACGATTACATTTGCTCCGAGTGCACATAGTCATTGGCACCATCTACGTTCCGGTGCCTGGTCGGTCTGAGCCCCTTGGGCTTCTTGACACACCTGCTTAGCGGCCGGCGGCGCGTCTGATGCCACGGTCGCCACTCGGCCAGAGCCAGGCAGACGAGACGCATAATCTTCGCATTTCAAGCCTCAAAATCCAACGCCTTCGCTTTAGTGTCGATATCCGCTATGGACCGACGCCTTCATTCCCGAACGATTTCCAACTGGTCATGAGGACTTTACCACTTAATTGCTGCACTTCTTCGGACAGTCATCTTTCACGATTTGCGCAGGCCGGGAGCCCTAGATGTGCGAATGACCTCCACGCATTCAGGCCTGGTGATCTTCGCATTGGTGTGTTCTGTAATATTTGCTCAGGCTCGTCGGACCGGGCTGATCACGATGAAAAATAAGCGGGCATGATGAACCCGCATACAGCATCAGGACAGATGATGTGCTCGCAGTGGAAAGTAGTTGCGAGCTGGAAATCTTCAGTCCTCCTGGTCCATGTCTTTGTGTTCCGGACCACAGAACATGTGGCCGCGTTATTTCACCGTAGCCAAAAGCCGATGGATGGTCTTTTTTGCTGGTGAATGTGTAACACATGGGGAATCCTCGATCGACTGCTGCGGTACCAGGGACACAATCTAACGATGGGCATGCCATGTGACCATTTCGCTTGCTTGCGGGGGCGGACATGATCCCCTTCCAGGGTAAGCCAACCCTTGTCCCTGACGAGCCTCCCGCGGCGCACCATGGTCATCTGCCATCTAATATCTCTTCCTCGTAGGTTCGGGACTGGGACTCCGCGAAACGCTCCGCTCATCCCTACCACGCATCTTCAACCATTTCTTCGTACTGAGCTCGAGTTCCCTCTCGAGTTCTGGGCTCGGCTCCTTTCGATGAATGAAATTGCAAAAGCCGCCTCTGACACAACCCTCCCCAGAGTTCAAGCGACAGCACGCCTCCCTGAAATCCGTGACAGGACTCAATTCGCAGTAAATCGGCCGGGCGGCGTACCATCTGCTATTCAGGGCGTCGCAGGCCTTTTGGGCCGAGTCCTCGTACTTGAAGCGCGCGTACACATTGCCGATCAGGTGGTCGTTGTTGTTGTCGCACACCACCACCTCCTCGAGTTCGCCGTACTTGCACATCTCGCACCAGAAGTCTTCGTAGAACGCATCAAAGTGGTTTTGCAGTTGTGACGCGTTCATCTTGTTCTTGGGGTCGTATGCTGGGTTCTGGTACAGGTTCGGGAGGAGGATCGTTTGGCTGTATGACGGTTTGACGTGTTTGCGGGAGCATCGGTCGCCGTGGCGGCAGGCACCGATCTTGTAGTAGAATGAGCAGTTGACCTGTTTGAGTCCTGTTAGCTTTGTATCTTCGCCGAGGAACGCGGTTAGGTACTTACTTTGTCTTGCTCGGTTCCAAAAATGGAGGCGAGATAGTTGGCCATGGTTGAGAGATTGATCAATGGATAATGTCGATTCGGTTTGATTTGATTTCAAGGGTCGTGTTGTGATGTGTAGTCTCTTGTTGGAGGATGTCGCAAGTCAATTAATATGAATGCGCGTTTGATGTCGAAGGCGGAATATGCGTGGCGAACTGGGTGTATAAATAATGTCCGGCTTGAACTCGATGGGTTGATATCAAATCAAAAGACGGCGCAGGAACAAGCGCATCACGTGACTACCTTGGTGGTGGGATCTCATTGGCTTCGCTGCCCGTTGTAGAATTTTCTTGGCGCCAGCCTTGCGGACGACAGAAGACTCTAGCGCAAGGCTGAGCATGTCATGGGGCTACGGGGTAAAGAGAGCGGCAGGGTACCTACCTTAGGTAGCGAGAGGTTTACGTTGTACGGGGTAAGAGAGCGTCTCCGCGGGCATTAGTGAAGCTAACGCTCTTCATGACGAGCATTACCTCCTGCGCTTAAGCGTACTTGCAGCTCTGAAAAACTTCGACTCCAACAGCCCAGCCTTGTGGTCTACAGTGTCCCGGATAACAACAATGAGAAGAAGCTGGAAATTCTATAGAAAGATCTCCTGTGCAGAGCGCCCACAGTACATCATCTCTGCCCTACACTCATATTGTATCACAGTACCTCCGCGACCGGGGCAAGCCGCGCACAGGAAGAAGCCATTTGGGCCGAACTCGGTCCAATCGGAGACGTCCTGATGAAAGTACAGAATCCCGTGAGTGCGGCTGACCGGCGTCGTTCCCAAATTCTCTATGATGCGTTGTCCGTAAACCTTTTCGGTCGCTCGGTTCGTTGTTACTAGGTAGGATCAAGCTGAAGCGAGACTGCGAAGTGAATGATTTGTAGACGGGACGGAGACCACTCCCTATAAGGTGGAAGTTCAGAATCCGCGGCCCCGAGCGAAATTTCTCTCACTTCCATTGGGAATTCTTGACTGGTTGAACGCTTCTCATCGCGAGTCTGATAGGAAGCTGATCAATAGTAACTCACTGTCCGGACGTATTGGTCTCGCGGCTTGAGTTTCTTTGGTGGTTGACATTCCAGCAAAGATAATCATGCAACGTGATGCTTGACCTTTTCGACACGGCGGCCGCCTGCTACAAATAGCAAACGAAATCTGCCGCCCTCGCACGAAACCGTCCGCACATTGCGAAACTCATCGGTTCGAACGACCAAAAAGTATTGCTTCAGCCAGCGTGATTCGAACCATCTCCTTGTTATTTGACAAGGTCTCCGGCAACCACCCACTGAAGGGAGCTTCTCCTGGCGCATAATTAGCTGAACCCGTAGACAACTGACAAAAAAGCAGCCCAAACCTGACATTCAAACCACTGAGCCATCCGGCCCAAAAACAAAAACTCTAGCCCGAAGCCCAACCCCTGGTAGGGGGTTGAGGTTCGGGCCGAGGGAAATCCCTAGGTGTCGAAGGGGTTTTTTCCAGAGCGTCAGTTGCCTCCTACATCGTAGGAACCTTCGTCCAGCTCTCTGAAGTCTCACTCTGCTGCATCACCGGTAAGGTGGGAGGGAATGATTGGCTCTGAGTCTGTCCAGTCAGGGATCTGCCTCTAGGATTCACGGCTTCGCCCAAGACCAACTGTCCCATGCCTGGTGTCTCACCCTCACGCTCCAACTAGCCTAGCTAACACCCACCGCTGGGTGATCATCGCTAGGGTCGGAACCCGGGATAGACATGGGAATTGTTGGAAGGAATTCTGGTACATTAATATATAACCCTTCACGGCGCTACTGGCCCCACCGAACCAGCTCCCCGGGCCCTGCACCGCAGAATGATTTGTTATACGTACCTAGGTACCTAACCTTCACGTGAAGGCGGGCATTCACTGCACTTACGTGCTAATTGGTTTCGGACTGAACAACTCAACTCTGCTGTTTCGCCTTCAGATACCTTCCAAGAATGAAGATTGGATTGATCGTCATTGATCCTCATAACAGATGTTTTCCAGCCCAGCACCTTCCACCAATGCTGAAGTATATCCTTCCTGAAGCAACAAAGCCAGCGATTGAATCCCGGTGCTTGGACTTTATGTTGGGCTCATCATTTGAAAACTCACAGTACCAAAATTTGGTGACATCCACAGTCTGTGTGCCATGGCATGTTCTTCTCCCTTTTATAGAACACTTCATGTCATTCTTTCCTGGTAGCGGGTTGATGCCCTCGAGGCTTCTCCATTCTCTCTTGAACAGTCATTCAGCAAAAGCACATCACACATTACCGTAGGGCCAATATATACTCAGCATCCCCTGCTCAACTGTGATGTTGTCACAATTGCAGTACCTCTCGACCAATGTTTTCTTGCTTTGCCCATCCAAAACAATGAAGGATAGAGCTTCAAATTCTCCTGAAGCTGTAACACCCATCAACTGATGTCACGGATTATGTCAGCACAAAGTATGCTCACGTGATGCCAAGCACATGAGCTCCCAAGCTCCGCGCAACCAATCATCGCTGGTCCAAACCTGGACGCAGTTTCTCGATCTCAGGCCACTTGCTTCAAACGTCTCCCTTCTGTTCCTCTTTCACCACTTCCACGATTCTGTCCGCTCAAGTCACCATGTCGGCAGCACGCGCAGCTTTTTCGCTGGCCCGGCGGGTGCCGTTCAAGCCCGCTCGAATCGCTCCTCGAACATTTTCCACCATGCCAATTCGAAGTACGTCAATGCCTTGGGAAGCTCCATTGGAGCAGGGGACCAACACTGTCTGGACCGCGGAAAGCATCTCTGACTGATGGACATGTTTAGGGGAGAAATTGGACCCAAAGCCTGGCGAGTCGACCAGCAAAATCATCCCTTTCGACCGTGAGTGTCCGATCCTCGTCTTGCGACAAGCTCTTATACGGCGGGCTTCTATATGAAATGGCTCGAGTTCAAAGCTTGTACTGATACAACAGCATCACAGAAATCAGGTCGGAACAGGATCTTCTCCCGCCCGGCGCCGAGCCCGGTACCGTGCCGACCGACCTCGAACAAGCCACTGGTTTGGAACGTCTTGAGATTCTCGGAAAGATGCAGGGAATCGATGTTTTCGACATGTCACCGCTTCCGTCGGACAGAATCGGTATGTGGAGGACCAATGGATCTGTCGAGCGAGCAAAGGACAAGGACGCTCGCTCGACTTTTGGACAATGCTGACCGTTTCTCGTCTGACAGGCACCTTTGAGAACCCAATTGTCGTCAAATCAGCGGGAGAAGAGATGCAGGTCGGCTGCACTGGATCTCCTGCTGACTCGCACATTGTCAAATGGCTTGTGGTATGTTTTCTCTGCCCTCGAATTTTGGGCTCCGCGCGGAACTACCCGGGCACAACTTGAACAGTGGCTAATCACTGTGTTCTGCAGATGTCCCGAGATCGGCCATTCGAGCGATGCCCAGAGTGCGGCAGCGTCTATAGAATGGAATATATTGGACCGGCCGATGACCACCATGGTGACCACCACGGCTACGAGGAGCCGAAGACCATGGCTGATTACGTCAAGCCCGAATACTGGTACAGATGAACAAAGCTAGCAGCATATCGTGTGGATTGTTGAAACAAGTGCATTGGTGAACGTTGTACATAAGGTGATAGCAGGGTCGGTGACGTCCTCGGAAAGATAAACAATCAATCAACCATGATTGGCCTTTTCAGTCCGTTTCATTGCGCTGTACCCGGAGTATCACAATAGGTCGGCCGATGCCTGAAGCATTCAATGCTCAAGGAGTGATATAAGGCCTACGATCTTATGGCAGGACTGACTGAGATGATCCGACTAGGAAGGCAGCTGAATTAGCAATAATCACGCATATCCAGAGACAGTATTGCATCTACCTAGGTACTTACGCGGTAAGAGGTCACAAAGTGTGGTCAAAAACGTCGAGAACAAAAGGGCTTTGGTGACCCTCTGTGACTTCTCACAGACCTACTAATTCCCGAGTCGACACCAAGCAAATCGCAAAGCGAAGCGGACTTCTCCAACTTGAACCCAGATGGAGATAAGCAAGGAGGGGGACGATACGACTGCCGCAACTCCTCCGTCCAGATTGTTCATACATAGGAGATGAGGAGATCTTCAACCTCGGACTTTCAACATTCGCCTTACCTCCAGATTTCTTTGTATTGTGTCTATATCGAAGACAATATTGCAGCAGCATTTCAACAGCATTCGTGCGCGATACGAAAGTCGCGGTCTTGTCTTTACGATGCCACATGCGACAGAATCGGAATGGGAGCCACCGTCGACATATAAATATATCCAGATCAAAAAGCTTGCGCCAACATTTGGCGCAGAAGTCACCGGCGTCGACTTCAGCAAGCCTGTGGAGCTTGAAGTGTTCAAGGAGATTCACCATGCGATTACAGAGGTGAGTCATGCGGAACGCACGTCACATTTCCTTTTGCAACGAGTGCTTGCTTTATGTATCATGCGGGCTATCTTGAGCATATATGGACTTTATTTTGCGGAGAGAGGAAGAGTGTGTGGGAGAGTGTATCCATATTGCGCTCGGCTGACATAGAACATGTCGGTATGTCTCAGTACGGAGTTCTCGTCTTCCGCAAAACAGGACTAGATGATGAACGCCACGTCGCTTTCTCTCGGTTATTCGGCGACCTTGACGATGTGAAACCGTACCTGACGCTGGGGCGCAAGAACCGGTTCGCATACGACGAGCTTTTTGACGTTTCGAATCTTGAGGATGATGGGTCGCTGGTCCAGGTTGACAGTAAGAGGGATCATACGTCTAGGGTAAGTATACACACAGTTATACCTCCTGACTTGACGACTTGAGCGTGGTGAGAGCCTGTTCCTCCGACCGAGTGGAACAGAAACAGAAACACCTGCAAGAGGAGGAGAAGTCAGAGCCAAAAATCACAGGGCAACACTATTGCATCCTCATATCAATTTCTTTTCTTGTTGAACCAACGACGGACCACCATCTTCTTACCCAGTGTCAATACTTGGATACCTTACTTAACTACAACATGGCAGGGCAACTCCCTATTCCACGTCGACTCGTCATTCAACCCCCGTCGCGCAAGCTACTCTCTCCTTCGTGCCCACGAGCTCCCACCAGCAGCATACGGAGGCAACACCGACTTTGCCGACACACGCAGCGCATTCGACGAATTACCTGTTTCTCTCAAAACCAAATTGTTGGAGTCCAATTACATCGGCGCCCATTCACTCTGGCACTCGCGCAAAAAGGCGTGTCCTTCCGACTCGCCGTTTTTGAGTCATGTCGATCCCGAGTCGTACCCGTTCGGTCGCCATCGGATCGTGCAGAGGCATGAAGCCTCGGGACGGATGAATTTGTATATTGCGAATCATTTGCATCATCTTGAATATGAACACGAACACGAACACGAACATGGTGGGAACGATGATGATGGATCAGAAAGGGCACGGGAGCGTGTCCCAGAACCCGAAGGCACCGAACTCATTGAAACACTCTTATCCCACGCCACACAACCCCAGTTTTTATTGTCTGTCGAATGGCATGACCCCGGAGACCTGGTGATCTGGGACAACACGGCCGTGATGCATCGAGCGGGCGAGTACAAGGGCATGGGAAAGTATAGGAGGGATATGAGGAGGACGACGGTCCATGATGCCTCTGGTGAGGCTTGGGGGTTAAACGAGCGGACGGAGGAGAGGATGGGCTTGCCGTGAGTGAAGTCGGACTGTTGAACTTGAACTGGAATTCCCGGATTCTCTGTACAAGGTACCATGCAAGTTGGGTGGGGGTGCCGTGCAGCAATGGGAGATCGGTACAGGTACAATAAGGAGACAATATGGGGGTTTGAACTGCTAAGGTTTGTTTCGCGCGGCCAATGGTTCGGACTCGGGGTCATATCTTATCCTCGACCGTCCTACGGTGAATGTGGGTTGAAATGCTGCTACTGCGTACAGTAGGCCCATACATACTTGGTACGACGATGCGATGGGTTGAGATGTCGTATTGTGTTGTTTTCATACCTAGCTTAAGTCCAATGATGATGTTCTTTCGCAGAGTCATCCTGTAAACTGCCAGTGCTGTGCTGGGTTTCCTTCTTTCCATAGACGTCTGCTCGGCGTGGATTTCTAGGTCAAGTTCAAGTTGTGTGATGGATTCAATGGAAAGTGGCTGAAACAGAAACAGGGATTGGATTATCTGGAAGGGATGCTAGATAAATGGATAGGTAGGACTTTATGTTCGACCACCAGCAGCAGTACTATGTAGTGTACCTACGTCAAGTGTTCGAATATAATTTTGAAATTCAACTTTGACAAAAGTACATTTTACAAATATACCTAGTAGTCAGTTGAGGCACGGCCCGCACTGTAAACACTGCATGCAGCAAACCAGCACGTTCTAGTAAATGATTCGAGACCTCCTGTGGGAACTACATGGTAATGGATCTAATCATAACCGCGGGATAAAAGAAAGGACAAGAACGAGAACAGAAACCGGGACATGGATGAGATCGTGGACAGTCGTGGACAGAAGTGGTTCTCTTCAATTGCCCCATACATGTACCTAGATGCAGGAATGTCCTTTTGCACCGGCATAGCATGGGTTTAGTACTACTAATAACGACTCCAGTCTCTCAATTCACTCCCGATCGAAGGTAGACTTCCGATCCGCCATGTCCTTACGCATGGGCTTCCAAAACCGATTTTAGCCTCTCATTTCAATCTCCAACTACCTGGTAGACATTGATCCATCGTGTCCTCTTGCAGTTGATCGTCTAGTCATGATGATCGCTGGATGAACTGTAGAAAGGAGGTTCCTTGTTTCCCATATCAACACCAGAACTCGAGTTAGAATTCGCATCCGAATCATAACCGGGCGCAGGGTGGACACCTTAGAACAGCGTGATCTCATTTCTCCAGAGCCCGCGCCTCTCTTGTGCCCGTCCACTTGACCTTCTTTCGTTGCTACATGTAGGTAGTTGATATCTCTCTCCCCAAGCGCATATTCTTTCCAGGGTTCAGAAACGTGTGGACCACAACTTCAATGGTAGATCTGGTCGGTTGAGGACTTCCCATTGTTCTGCTTTGCTTTCCTTTGTATTGTTTCGTTTGCTTCGCTTCGCATTTTTCGTGCGGATATCATCAATCACATTGGATCATACAGGGCATTTTCATTACCAACCATACAATATCTGTATCGTATCGGAGTAAAGCTGCGGCTCACCGGCGGCGGGCGGAGGGGAGGGAGGGTAGACGCATCTGGCGGACCAAAAAGCCTCCGGATCCTAGTTAGAATAGGGTAGGGTCCCTAGTCTAGCACATTGGTTCGAGTGGCCCCAACGTCTTATCATATCTCCCTTTTGTCGCGTGAGTGCTTTGTGACATTCACGCTCCCCAAAAAACAATCATCGCCCAGCTAGATTGGCTGGGCTGTAGTAGCAAAGAATAAAAGTCGGCTCAGCCTGCATCTGAATCTGCGCCGGCCCTCGCTTGGGCGGCTTCTTCTCTCTCCTTGGTCGACTGTACGGCACTTTGTTGTGCTCTAGCAGATCCGACATCCTCAGTCTTCCCTGGTAAAGGATAAGGACTGAAATCGCGACTGCTGGTGCTGAAATTCGATTGAACAGACGGATGCTTTTCGAGTGTGGCCCCGACTCCGGTTCCGGGTCCTGGGCCATTATTGCTCTGCTTGTGCGCATGACCGTTCTGTGATGGAGGAGCAGCTTCCTGACTGCCCGGCACCGGCGTGTTCAGTGAACTGTTGGCGTCGGTGGAGATAGGACTGGTCGAGTCCAAATTGTTCCCATCATCCAAAGTCACCGAGTTTAGTCCGTGAAGACCGCCCTCGATGTCCCGTACCAACCGGACAAACTCTTCAGGAACAAGACCGCTTTCGCCCGTTCGTGGATCCTCGGCGACTAACCAGCCTTGGCCGTGCCGGTAAGAGACCAGTATGATCTGCCCTTCTTTCAGAGGCAATTCGTTCTGGTGTTCGCTCTCAAAGTCGAACAATGCAACCGCCTTTCCGTGCATCTCCTCATCCGGACTGGCAATGGTAAAAGAGTAGTCTTTGGAGAAGCGCGCGTCGTCATCGGCCTCAGAATAGTCCTCTTCAGAAAATGGTTCCTCTGCGTTGTGTGGCGACCGACTACCTCCGTGAGACTGGCTGGCGAAATTGGAGTTCGAATTTGGAGCATGTTGTGGAAACAGTAACCCGTGGTTGTCATACGTGTCGACCGCCTCCCCTGGCCCGTCAGTATAGTCAGTATGACCACCACCAACCTCAACCAGTACGCCCCGATTCGGGCCGGCAGCACCCGGTGACCTTCCTCGCTCATTAGACTTATGTTTTTTGTGTCGGCTTGTAGTCACAATGGGTGATTGAATATCTTCGTCCTCGCTGTAAGGCGGTCCGCCGTCCTGGAAGGTCATCGCTGGAAGTCGATCCCGTCCCCACGACCCTGTACTTGTTTCCGATATCCACGGCGGCGTCGCCGACCAATGCACCCTAGAATCTTCCCAAGACGCAATCGCTGGGTCTGACAATCGCCGCGTCTCACTAACAGGAGTCGTCATGCCGGACTGATCCGGCGGCGGCCCGTAATGTAGAGGATGGGTCGGTGGGTACGCGAAATCGCGGACGAGTGTGTAAGGTAGACTCGAATGGAATGCTGGGAATACATGAGACGTAGGCCGAGAGGATGGGCGATGCGATCCCTTTGAATTCGTAGAAAAGGTCGACATGCGCCGCTCAACGTAGGAGGTAGGTCGTTGAGAACTCGTCCGCCGCGGAGTGGATGTCGTGGTGATCAGAGGAGTCAGAGAGGGAGGACTTGCTGTCGCCGTCGCTGCCGCCATTGGCGATGACATGTTGGGTGGTGAGGCTGTAAGGGTTGCCATCTACCACCGAACAAAACAAAACGTGCCAACCGGCCAGATGGCGCAACAACAGGCGGACCCAGGCAGAGGCACGAGGCGGCTTGACTCTTTTGAAGGCGGATGCGCGGTTGGAGGCGCCAGGGTATAGCGGGCGGCTAAGTGGTACAAGAGGTGATGGCGGCTATTGAAGACTTGGACTCATTCGGGGGTAACGAGATTCGGGAGAGGCCTTGACGGGCGCAGGTCGTGCGAAGAGGGAGTAAAGCCGACCGGCCGCTTGATTAGGCCCTCAATGCTGGGTATCTGACAAGGAATGGACGGTTGCGCGCTGATTGTCCCGAGTCGAGATTGAGAATGCGAGGATCTAAATATAGGACGGGCGAAAACGAACCACCCTGTATGGTGGATGGAGGGCGCAGAGAGAAAGCGAGGAGAACAGAATGGTACCGGGGTCAGAAGGAGAGTGCCATGCGTCGGCGCATGGTGAATGAAAGAGGAGAGAGCAGAAAGACACTCGATGGTGTCTCAGTAACAAGAAGAACCTCTGGCGAGTTGAAGTTGCTGGTGGTGAATGGGGGTGACCGACGGCGAGGCCGATGGATGGAGTGGCAGTGGTGAATGAATGAGGAATTCTAGAATCGGTGGAAGATGGTTCGGTTTTGCGGTGAGATGCAGGCATGAGAGAGCCGCAGCCAGTGGTGAAGAACGGATTCGTGCCGTGCAGAAGAGACGCTTTGGCCGTGTTTGTTCATAGAAGTTGGAGATGAATTATTGGCCGGAGCCGTCGGCGGAGCTTTACCCAATACTTGTGCCTAATGCAGCTCACGCCTGGAGCATCCCTAGCACGCTGCGACTGGGCAGCAATAGGCGGCCCGAAGTCTAAAAGGCATACCCAAAAGTGCCCAAGTCCCGCTAATCGGTGCCTGGAGCTCTGCTTGGGAAAAGACCATCAATCGCTCTAGACCAGGATCTTGACTCCACCGCAGCCGCCAGCGTTTCAACTCGGCGCCCACAGCTTTTTGGTCTTCTGCAGCTGCAGCAACAGTCACATCTTCCTTCTCTGTTCTTGAATCTCTATCTCGAATCCCGATTCTCCATCCCGCCTCGTCCCGCCTTGCGCCCCGGTCGATTCGCTATCGTATTGCTACCAAATACAGCAGTCACCGCATGATGCAGGCCATCGTTGCGTAGCCAGGACCGAACCTGCAGCGCGGAGTGAATAGGATCTTAGACAGCTGTACGTGGTTTTCGTTACGGCCTCAGTTTGCTTTACCACTGGCACTGCACTGCTTGACAACATGATGATCACAAATTTATTGGAGCTGTCCTATTTACCCATGCGGACAACCATACATACGCATTTTTCTTCTGATGTTCTTCGCACCGTGCATTTGTCTTTTCGGCATCCGCTTCGCTCGTCTCGCTGCAGTATCTGACTGACCTTGAAGAATAGACACACTATGCTCACATTGATTGAATAACATCCATACCGACCTCTCTTCACCATGTCGACCGACCCTCGACTCGCACGGCTACAGGCTCGCGCAAAAACACCTCAGGCCACGCCATCGCCGCCCCAGACACCGACACCAGCAGACGCAGCGCCGCAACCGCAACCTCCTACCTCATCTCCACCACCGCCGCTCCAGCCGCAACCGCAGCAGCAGCAAATACAAACCCAATCGGTTCCTCTATCACCGACCGCCGCAGACAACGCACCATCACAAGCATCTCCCGGAAGTCCTGATGGCAATGTCGAGGCTGCAATACCAGCACCAGCACCAGCACCAGCTACCGTGCCCACCGCTACAACCAACGAGAAAAGCGAGATCCCTTTCAAATTGCGGTTCTGCACAGTATGCGCGTCAAATAACAACCGGAGCATGGAGGCCCACCTTCGACTGTCGACCTCGGAACATCACTATCCAGTCATATCGTTTGGCACAGGGTCGTACGTTCGATTGCCCGGTCCGTCCATTTCGCAACCGCAAGTGTACAATTTCAACACGACGTCCTATACCAAAATGTACGAAGAGCTGAATGCGCAGGATGCCCGGCTTTATCGGAACAATGGCATTCTGAACATGCTGGATCGAAACCGTAACATCAAATGGGGTCCCGAGAGATTTCACGATTGGGTGGTCGGCCAAGCGAGGATGGATGCTTTGCAACGGGGGGACAAGGGCGCCGAGGGCACCGAGGGGGGTATTGTGGACGTCATCTTCACCTGCGAAGAGAGATGCTGGGATGCCGTGGTGGACAATCTGTTGGATCGGGGCGCTCCTTTGAACCGGCCCGTGCACGTGTTCAACATTGATATTAAGGATAATCACGAAGAAGCCCTGATCGGCGGAGGCGCCATCCTCGAGTTGGCCGACATGCTCAATGAGGCTGCGGCTCAAGAGAGAAAGATTCAAGGCACGGCCGGATGGGAGAATGGAAGCGGCGCCGCGAGGCAGAGTTTTGATGAACGTGTGCCTGATATCCTGGCGACCTGGCAGGAAAAGTGGCCCAATCTACCGGCGCTGTGGACACTGTCGTGGTTCTGAAGTTTTCTGTAATCGGCAAGAAAGCGATTTGTCCCTTTTGAGCAATGGCGCTGGAGGTGTTGGGAAAAAGGAAAAAGACAGTGAACACTGCATGAGACAAAGCTTGAGATGGAAATGCTATCTATGATTTATGGTTGCCTTATGATTCTCAGCAGCGTGGCCCAGTCAAGCCATGACTGCAAGGCATGCCATGCCCGAACATGACGATGTCTGTATGGTTGTATCTTTATAACTTGCTTGGGTTCTGTTTATCCTTTTCTTTCTCTTTCTGCTCCTTGAGCAATCTCTCTTTCTGCAAGACATCCTTCTTCAACGCCACCTCTACCTGTCTAGGACCCTCTTTGCTGAACTTGACCAGGACGACATAGTCCGAGTCACCCTTCAAGTTGGACGACTTCAACTCCGGGCCAGGCTTGTCCAGCGCCAGCACGGACCGACCATCCTCTCTCCCGAATTGCAATCCGATGGGACTGATGAACTTATCTTTCCAAGGCACAGGCGACCCTTCGTTCTCAATGAGATGTCTCAGCTGGGCGCGCTTTGCGAGGATCTCGTCGTGACTTTCTTTAGTCTCGTTACCAGCATCCAATATCCCCGAGATCAACCACAACAGTAAAAACTGCGGCGGAAACAAAATGATTTCACCTGACCGGGCACGACTCAACCAGTCCTTTGCCCTTCGCCATTCAGGAGCCATGGTCTCAATCTTATCGGCCGTGGCCTGGACGGACGGGTTCCCCGCCTCCTCAAGACCCACGAAATACAGATACATCTGCGTAGTGAAGCGTTTAGGGACATTAGGCGGCGTGACCCAATGCGTGAACGGGATGAGACGGTCGGTGTCGAGCACGGCAGTGGGGGAGATGGACTTCAACCATTCTGCTAATGTTGTCTTGCCGCCGTGCACGGCTTCGCGGCCTCGCTGGCGCTCTTCCCTGGATACGGGCAACAGTCTCTGCGCGTCCTTCGATGCCCGCGCTAACAAGATCCCGGTCTCTTCGAATAGTTCTCGGATCGCGCCTGTGCGGTATGCGATACTGTCTAGATGTCGTTGTATATCTGTGGGATTGGGAGCGACTTCGCCATCGGAGGACTCAAGATTACCGCCGGGAAACACGTGTGCAGATGGGAATGCCGATGATGTTTGCACTCGGTGCAGAAGAAGAATTTCGTTGGTCGGGGATACGAGGATCACGCTGGCGCTGGGGGATGCGGGTTTGGGTGCTTTGTGGTCGGCGTATTCCCGGACTTCGAATTTGGGTCGCGAGGCCATTGTGGGAAGTGGTTGGCAATGGGAGGGATGCAGGATGGGTATACTGCGTCTGCTGGTGCTGCTGCTGGTCAAAAGGAGAGTCTTGCTTGTTCGTGTCTTGTGCCTCGGTGCTTGTGTCTGTCCCCCGGTATGTAGATTACGTCGACATGTATTGGATAGGAAACCGCGTGTAGGTTCAACAATGGCCGTCCCGGAGGTAAAGGTGCTGTAACAGGCTACTCTGTCTTGGACTCGACGTACAAAGAGCAGTGGAGGCGGTTTGGTCGAACGACTGGTAAGGGTGAGCGGCAAGAGAACGAAGGTCCTAGTTCTGGAAGCGAAAGGAGAGAAGATACTCATGGCACAGTGCCAGCCATGGACCGTCAGGACCGAGGTGTAAATAGTAGCAACGTGCAGGTGATGTTGGGCCGGACCGTTCGTTGCTTGACTGGAAGTTTGGGCAAAGAGTACAAGATCCCCAACTTTCAAAACGCGGTCCCCCGTGCCCATCCCACTCGCCGCGGAGAACCGGGTCTGCGCCGAGGTACTTCTGGAGATCTTGATCTGAAGAAGCAAACGGATCCGACGGCGCGTGCTTGTCCTACTACTAGTTGTACCTCTACCAGGACGTAAGTACAGGACCCCTGACTGCGTGTACTGGGTACACGGTCCAAACTGCCCTTCCAGTTGTCTCTACTTGTGCAAAACCTTCTACGGAGGTAATCAACCGCCTACAGGCTGCAACATACAATTCATTTCAAAAGCTGGAAGTACTGTGTGTCCATTGACGGCGTGCGCCCGCTCTGTACAGAAATCATTTCGCGTAAATTCATTCAAGTGACAGCCAAGGCAGTAGATACGGTATGCAAAACCCTTGCCACCTCAAACGCCAATTACTCGCCATGCTCTGGCACGACCTGCCGTTTTCTAAGCGTACAATTTCTTGTCGAAGCTGTCCAGACCGTGAACATTGCCTTCGGCCTGAGCACTGACGGTGCGGAGCTCAAAGCGCACCTTGCCGCTGACGACGTTTTCACGTAGTTCAGTCAGACTCTTAACCCCAATGTCCTGAAGGGAGTGTTGCAGCCCGGCCAGCAGATACGGGACAAACTTGGTCACCGTGCCTCGGTCGGGAACTGCGCCAGACACACCTTGAGCGACCAACAGTCTGTCGCCCTCGGAGAAGTATCTCGCGGTACCGGCGTTGCTGGCCTTGGAGTCCTTGGCACCACCACCGGCCTTCTTGTCTTCCATGGCATCGATGCTGCCCATTCCTCTATAAGCCTTGACGAGCTTACCTTCACGGCTCACAAAGTAGTTTCCAGGAGACTCGGTGGTACCGGCAAGGAGACCACCCATCATGACAGCAGATGCGCCCACGGCAAGCCCCTTGACAATGTGACCCACGTTCTGAATGCCACCATCGGCAATGCAGGGGACACCGAAGCGAGAGGCAAAAGACGCCACGGAAAAAACTGACGTGGCCTGAGGACGACCCACGGCCATGACTTCCTGCGTGATGCAGGCACTGCCGCTGCCCATGCCAATTCTCAGGCCATCGGCACCGGCAGCGATGAGATTCGCCGCTTGCTCACGAGTCACCACGTTTCCAGCGATGACGTCGAGTTGCGGATAGGTCTCCTTGACATACTTGAGCATCTCGATTTGATACATGCTGTTGCCTTGGCTGCTGTCCAGAACCACAATATCAAGTCCAGCGTCAACCAGTTTCTGCAGTCTGATCTTGTCCTCTGGTCTAGTACCAATAGCCGCCGCAGCAATGAGCTGCTTCGAGTGGGGCAATTTCGAAGCCAGGGGGTAGTTCAGGTTCTTGAGGAGATCGGAACGCGACAACAGAGAGACTAGGTTACCGTTGCTGTCAACAATGGGAAGCTTTCCCTTTCGTGATTCGCGAAGGACAGTGTTGGCTTCCGCCAATGTAGTCCCAGCAGGTGCGGTGATCAAGTCTTTCGACATGACCTCTGTAACCAGATCATCCGGGCGAGGATGGAACTGGATATCGCGAGTTGTGACAATGCCAATCAACTTGGACTTGAGTTGGCCGTTTTCTGCGCGTCAATCAGTCAGCGAGTGCAAAACACTAGAATTGGCGGATAGGCAGGTGGTGTCAAGCGTTCTCAGACAGAAATCTCCATAAGTTCCCCATTGCAAGTTCATGCTGCGGATGAACGAAAGTTTAAAAGGGTAAATAGTTTTGGACATCATCGAACAGGGTGTGCTAAGTGTTTAACGGGTCAACATACCGGTAACCGGAAACCCTCCAAATCCCCATTTTTCCTTAAGTTCTTTGGCCTCGCCAACAGTGGTCTTGGGTGAGAGCACGACGGGGTCTGAAATGAAACCGTTCTCGTATCTTTTGACCTTACGGACCATTTCCGCCTGATCATCGGCCGAACAGTTGTGATGGATGACACCCAGTCCTCCCAGAAGAGCCATATGGATGGCCATGGAATCTTCCGTCACAGTGTCCATAGGAGAGGACAGAAGGGGAGTCTTGAGCGAAATCCGCTTGGTGATGGGAGAATCAAGGGTCACTTCGGACGCGGCGAAGCCTGCACGAACAGCGTCAGGAACAAGCACCACCAAGACATCAGTTGCAAGGCGTACCAATGTACCCAGGCAAGATGAGGAAGTCGTTGTAGGTCAAGGCGCCGTTTTTGGCCGAATCGAGGAGGGTGTGAACATCGAGTCCATCAGGAGTAGGGTACTCGGCCTTCAGGACTTCGACCGCTTTGCGGTTGTCGAGTTTTTCGACGTTTCGGTTGAGGGAAGGGCCATCTCTGGCAACGTCGCCGTTGGTGATAGGCATATTGAAAAGTTATTTGAGTATAACTACAACAGGAACCAGTTACACGGGGCCTGCTGGGGTCAAAGGTGACCGAAAGAAGAGGAAAAAAAGATTCAGGAAAATGTCGCGATCCTAAAGTATGAAACTTTTTCGCAGCGGAAGCGGGGGATGCCGCTAGTATCTTGGCTTTTTATATGCAAAAGCTCTGTATTGCGGAGTGACAGTAATCATCCCACACGACACTGCACGGCACTGCAAGTCACTACGAGTATAAGCTTCACAGATTGTGATCTTATGTACTCCTTGCAGCAAACATCTGTGTGCGTGATATGCAAACAGCTGAAGCCCAGTCACTGCCAGTGACCGGTACCTTTGCAGGGATAGGGAGGACCAACTACAGGTGAGGCTATGCCGTGTGCCAGTGAGCCAGCATTATCGGTGCCTCCTTCACCTGGCTTTGAGGGTCAAGCACTCCCAAGTCACTCACGTTGCAGTTGTAGATGCGCAAGGTGTAGTTGCACACTATTTCAAGTCCTATCCAACACTGCATCATCCAGGATGTTGAACAATTGGGCATGTTGATGCGGAATCCCTGTTTGAGGCGCTCTTTATGCCCGGCTCGCGTGCTGCAGCCTATCGAGTCTTGCCGTTCCTTGTCTGTACCACTGCGGTTGCCCACTCCCACTGGCTGGTCAAGCCACACTAGCCCATTTCTGGCCCGTGTAAACAGTTGCCCATCTTAATAGTAATAACCCACCTCATCATTGTGCTCTCGCACGCTGCGGTATTACTGTACAAGCCCTGCACTGCATGGGAAGAGCTTTGCTGCTTCTGCTTTGTTGATTGTTGTCTGCATCCCGTAATTTTGGCTGCAAGCTCCCTTACACCGCGTCTTACATTGCAAACATTGGTTGCAAACTCCTTCCCATGTCAACCTGAAAGGCTTCGAGAATGCGACCCAAGTCCCGACCAAGATACGAACCAGACCTCCAGTATTTGACATCGCACTTAAGGCACCGGAATGTCGCACTACGCTCTTCCTCTACGCAAAACACAGACAGACAACCACTACGCTCTTCCCCAGCGGCAGACGTCAGTCACCTCGACAGTGTCCTCCGCCTACTCCGCGGCATCGAGCGCTTATCTCCCCAGCAGGGCCAGCACGATAACCTCCACAAATTCCAGCTTCTACTCTAAGGGATCACCTACGCACAAGAGGGGGGCCAGTGAGGCGGGTGACATGAGTCCTGCTCGAACATACGGAGGACGCAGTAGTGTGGAAAACAGTCCTGACCATCTCTACCGCAATGTCCGCCAAACTCTGCGGCCACTTCCGCAAGCTCCGTCTCCGAAAGGCACCTCGAATGCTCGAAGACCTAGTGGCCAGCATGTTCGCGCCCACACCATCGACCGCTTCCCACAAAGCCATTCGGAAGACCCGTTTATTGAGAAACATCTACATGAGCACCATCACGAGCCAAGCCAACCAAGGCCACACCTACATCATAGCGTCACGAGTCCTCATGCCACCGCGTTCAAAGCTCCAGATATACAAGAGTTGCAGAAATCCTCCACGTCACACCTAAGAACATTGTCAAGATTTGCCCAAGATGGTGATGTCGAAGAGTTCGGGATCACAGCACCGGGACATTCGGTGGTCGGGCTGCAAAATCGGCGCCAGCTCAAGCGCACCGACTCAGTGGCGCCAGGTAGTCGTTCGAAAGCTAAGAGCTACGGTTGGGGCGAAAGAAACTGGATGGACAAACAGAGACAGTTCCTACAGGCCTACGAATACCTCTGCCATATCGGGGAAGCCAAAGAATGGATCGAGGACATCATCAACAAGCCCATTCCTCCCATTGTGGAACTCGAAGAGGCACTGCGCAATGGAGTGACTTTGGCTGAGATCGTACAAGCCTTTCACCCTGATCAGGTGTTGAAGATTTTCCGCCATCCCAAATTACAGTACAAGCATTCCGACAACATCGTTCTATTCTTCCGCTTTCTCGAAGAAGTTGGCCTACCGGACCTCTTCCGCTTCGAACTGATTGATCTTTACGAGAAGAAGAATATTCCCAAGGTCATATATTGCATTCATGCCCTGTCATGGCTTCTGTACCGCAAAGGAATGGTGGACTTCCGAATCGGAAATTTGGTAGGCCAGCTCGAGTTCGAGCATCACGAACTGGAGCAAACTCAGCGCGGCCTCGACAAGGCTGGCGTTAGTATGCCTAGCTTTTCGGGAATGGGTGCCAGTTTCGGAGCTGAACCCGAACCCGAACCTGTTGAGTCAGAGGAGGAAAGGATAGCACGAGAGCTCCATGAGCAAGAGGCGGCTATCGTGGACTTCCAAACCCAAGTTCGAGGAGCACTGGTTAGATTACGACTTGGAGACATGATGCAACAGCTATGGGACTCGGAAGATGCCTTGATTGACCTCCAGTCACGTATCCGCGCGGAGTGGACTAGACAGATTGCCGGGTATCGGTTGGACATGCAACGGTTTGCGACAAGTCTTCAGGCAGCAGCTCGGGGCTTTCTAGCACGTTCTGCACAAAAGAAGAAGCAGCAACATTGGAAGTCAAGGGAGAAAGAAATTTTGAAACTCCAGAGCCTTTTCAGAGCAGGCAAGGTGCGGACGGAATCTCGAACACTCAAGTCCCATGTCCGCAGACACGACGCAGGCATTCGAGACCTTCAGGCAGCCATTCGAGGTGCGCTTTCAAGGCGCGACGCCTTTGACCAATATGAAGCGACGAGGACGGCTGAAAATGAAGTTGTCGCTTTGCAAGCCAATATCAGAGGTATGCTTGCCCGGATACAAGTTGAGAGAACCCATGAAGTTCTCGAAAGACAATCGCGGCAGATAACGCAGGTCCAATCTTGCGCCCGGGCACTGCTCGCCCGTCGTTCTCATGGCAGGCTCCAAAACGCCCTCCATGACTTCTCGCCAAAATGGACTTCACTGCAAGCTGTGATTCGAGCCAGCCAGACCCGGAGGGAACTGGCGGCGCTGAAGCGTGCCCTACGAGCCGAGTCTGCATCTATCAGTCAATTCCAGGCCGCCCTGAGAGGCGCAAACACTCGAGAGAAGCATAACTTGTTGAAGCTCTTATTGCTGAGGCAGTCATCCGCCACCATTCCAGTCCAAGCTTCGATTCGAGGTTTCTTGCTGCGCGGTCGGCTTGAAAAGCAGAAGAAACTGTTGGCTTTGCAGACTCCCAGAATCGTGCAACTACAGTCCTTTGCCCGAGGTGCCATTTTGCGGTTACAAACTGCAGATACGCTCACCCAACTGGAGGAGAGCCAAGACAAGGTGGTGCTGGTGCAAGCGGTTGTTCGTGGAATGCTCTGTCGGGGTCGAGTAGCAGACTTCCTGAGCGAGTTGGAAGCACACGAGGAATCTATCATCGATTTACAAGCAGCAATCCGGGCAGCAGCTGTACGCACCCGGTTCGCAGAGAGGAAGCGCTATTTCAAGGAGAACATGGACAAGGTTGTCAAAATCCAAAGCGTGGTCCGGGCGAAAATCCAAGGCAAAGCCTATAAAAGCCTGACTTCTGGCAAAAACCCACCCGTTGGAACACTGAAAGGATTCGTGCACTTGTTGAACGACAGCGACTTTGACTTCGAAGAAGAGATCGAGTTCGAGCGTCTACGAAAGACTGTGGTTCAGCACGTCCGTCAAAATGAGCTTGCAGATCAGTACATCACTCAACTGGATATCAAGATCGCTCTTTTGGTGAAGAACAAGATCACTTTGGACGAAGTCGTGAAACATCAGAGACATTTTGGCGGCCATGTGGGTGCTCTACTACCAAATTCTGATATTTCTTCTAAGGATCCGTTCGACCTGAAAGCCCTCAACAAGACGTCTCGCCGCAAACTTGAACACTACCAAGAAATGTTCTTCTTGCTTCAAACGCAACCACAGTATCTGTCAAGGTTGTTCAGGCGCATTCGAGAGCAGGCCACGGCTGAAAAAGAGTGTGACCGCATCAAACATTTAGTGATGGGATTGTTTGGATACGCGCAGAAACGAAGAGAAGAGTACTATCTCGTGAAATTAATCGTGAGGTCTGTCAAGGAAGAGATCGATTGCTCCATGTCTCTTCAAGACTATCTCAGAACGAATGCATTTTCCAACAAGCTCTTTGCAGCCTACAGCAGATCTCCTCGCGACCGCAAATTCTTGCGAGATGTCATCGGCCCGATGGTCAAGGAGAACATCATTGACAACGCTACATTGGATCTCGAGAGCGATCCTCTTCAGATTTACCTATCCGCCATTAATAATGAGGAACTGCGGACTGGTCGACGAAGTCAAAGAGATCCCAATGTCCCCAGAGAAGTGGCCATCCGAGACCCAGAAACCCGTGCGACGTTTATCGCACATATGCAAGACCTGCGAGACATCACAGATCAATTCTTCCTCTGTCTGGAAGACTGCTTGCATAGGATGCCATTTGGTGTCCGGTTCGTGGTGCAACAAACCCAGGAATACCTCCTAGCCCGATTCCCTGGGGAGGATCCCGAGTTTGTCCTTCAACTAGTAGGACAATGGCTCTGGCGCAATTACCTCCAACCCGCCCTCGTGGAACCAGAGAAGTTTGGTGTTGCTGATCGAGCAATGACTCAAGAACAGAAACGAAACCTTGGAGAGATTGCCAAAGTCTTGAATCAGGCAGCCTCTGGGCGTGAGTTCGGGGGAGACAATGTCTACCTCCAGCCGTTGAACAACTATGTGCGCGAGGCTATCGGTCGCTTCCGAGTCCTCTGGAAACATGGTAAGTCCTGCATTACAATGAAAAGTTTTGGCTTGGCTAACGACGGAACAGTTATCTCCATACCCACAGCGGAAGAACATTATGACATTGACGAGTTCAACGACCTGTATGCCAAGACGAAGCCGACCTTGTACATCAAGATGTCGGACATTTTCTCGATACACAAGCTGTTATCCCACGAGATCAGTACCGTCTGTCCCAGCCAGGACGACATCCTTCGCGATATACTTCGAGAGTTGGGTAGCGTCCAAAGTAACGAGAGCGAGCTCCGAGGCGTCAGCTCCAGCGAAATCAGTCTGACATTGAGCCCCAAGTTCCTCGATGTGGAAGATCCCGATGCAGATGTCAAGGCGTTGTTTACCGAGACCAAGCGGTGTGTTTTGTACATCATCCGTGTACAATCAGGAGCCAATCTGCTTGAGATATTGGTGAAGCCCATCTCTGAGGAGGACGAAGAAAAGTGGGAAGCACTGGTACGAGAAGAGCTGCGGCCCGGTAACAGGCGGCATGGGGCGTACGCAGATGCCAGCAGCCACCTTGACATCAGCGCATTGTCGTACCGGGATCTCAAACGGATTGCTTTGGAAAATGTTCTGCAGCTGGAGTCGATAGGTCGGCTGACCAGGACGAATCATTATCAAGACCTACTCAATGCCATTGCAGTCGACATACGGACCAAGCACCGTCGAAGATTGCAACGGCAGAGAGAATTGGAGAATGTCCGAACCACCTTGGCACGGCTAAACGAGCAAGCCGTGTATCTCGAACAACAGCTCAAGACGTACAACGACTACATCGAGCAGGCGATGGTGACTCTTCAGAACAAGAAGGGCAAGAAGCGATTCGTCATGCCGTTCACCAAGCAATGGGATCACGAAAGAGAACTTCAACGATCTGGACGGTCTTTCAAGTTCGGCTCATACAAGTACTCGGCACGCACGCTTGCGGACAAGGGAGTCCTCGTCCATTGGCGAGGGTACAACGAGCGGCAATGGGACCGAGTGGACCTGACTATTTCTTCCAATGAAGTCGGAGTGTTCACCATCGACGGCAGTTCGGGTAACATGATGATTCCCGGCGCGAATGCCCAAGTCCCGCTGGATGATCTGTTGCAGGCACAGTTCAACAACACGCAGTTTCTGGAGTTTTTCGAGGGCGCGCTCAGGGTCAACGTCAACTTATTCTTGCATTTGATCATGAAGAAATTTTATAATGAATGAGTGATGAATCGAATCGAATTGAATCAAAGCATATGCATACTCCCAGTTAGTTCGGCGGAAAGGGTCTCGGGGGCGCGTTTTCAATGGTTTGGAGAGCAGCACAGGCTGGTACCACTGTAGACGCTTGGAAATTGTTGTCAAGGCGAGTACATAGGTGATTGTGAGCGCTGCTGTCTAGAAGCTGCGGTCTGGAGAAGTCAAGAATACAATCATAGAGCCATTGGTGTCTTGTCAATGCTTTTCTACCGGTACTTGATCCGTAGCTGGGAGTATCCGTCGTACTAGTAGGAATGTGTTGTAGCCTTGCCGTACACGACGCGTGAGGGATGTGAGCCTTGCGAGTGTTGATTCCTCGGCATGCTGAGGCCTGGCTCCGACGCGTTCAAAGTTGTGCGCCTAGGCACCTACAGTATAGTACCTAGGTACCTTATCCACTCTACAGTGTAGACCGATACTTCTAGTACGAGAACTTGAGGTACCGTACGCATGTAGTAGGTACGTATGTATGGCAAGCCTCAGGACCCTAATATCAGTCTTTTGGTCATTATTGCACGGATTGCATTGGCACTGGCACTGTCGGATGGAGTTTTCGTACCCGGTTCCCACGGATATCACTGCCACTGCCATCGTGACCCGCGGAGTAAGGAGTATCTTTATGAGAGTGACCTGCACCGGCACCGGTACAAACGCGAATACGAACATCGACACTGACAGCGTACCTGACATTGACATCGACATCGACATTGAAACAGCAAGTCAGTCTCGTATAGGTACCTAGGCATGCACGGAGTTAACGACCGTTGAAAAAACCTCGTATTGACTACTGCACCTAACGTACCTAACTACCTACCAGGAGTTGGGTAGGAACAGGATGGCCAGGGAGCTAAGGTACCCTTCGGAGATGAGAGCCGCTCTGTGGCCCTAGTCCTTGGAAGCTGTATGTACTCGACAAGAAGTGGCAGGGAGACAGTTTGCTGCCAGTAGCTACCACGGACATAATGTATTTATGGTTTAGGTTTGGTGCACACCGGCAGCCCACCGCAGTGCAGCACAGGACAGGAACTTGAACAACTCCAACTTACGGGAAGCACTGGCCGGACTGTGTTCATCGGTCGGCTGTAGCGTGGCGTGGCGGGATGGGCTTGTGGTGGCTTGTTCTGCAGTTGCGAGGGCCCGTCTTCGAGAGCCTTGCCTTGTCGTGATACGCTGGGTGAGGTTAGTGTGGAGGAGGATGATTTCGAAAGGTAGCTACCTGATACGGCTGTTCAATGCATTGCACGGAGTACAGCCATAGGAGTGGTCCATTGCGCTCCAAGGATGCTTTGTCAGATGAGGATTGGATATGGGGATCATACCTTGGCTCCTACATGTCGTACATTCCTCCTCTTGGAAAGGGATGGATAGTTGACTAGGTACCTGAGGTAGGTCGGTTGGGGGACGCCACGTCCAAGTAGGTATCGAAACAAACCTCGACACATACCAGGTACACGTACCTGGTATCTATCAGTCGCCATGTTCAGTCGGTAGAATTGAGTTTGGAACGCATAATCATGGACATGATATCGATGGCGGGGTGGGCCAGCCTCTCCATCTGTGCCTGTGCCGCTTGAAGCAGACGCCACCTCGCAACGGTCTGACTTGCCGTTTATTAGGGTGTCTCGCGATGGATCCCTTTCGTCCCGTTTCCTGGAATATGGGTCAACACGGCACGGGAAACGTTTGGAACGGGCTCCATGCATCATTGCATGCCAAAGCATGTCAGTGCAAATCTAAAGCGTCCGCCGTACCTAAGGTAGGTAAGGTAGACAGGAAACCTTATCGGCATCACGGTCAGGATGCTTCAATGCCTGGTGGCGCGTCCACTGGAAGTGTTGTACGTTATAATTGATCGATCGATCGACGCGGTACACAACTTGCAGCATGCCATCGATAGCCGTGTTCTTGGGGCTCAGGAGGTCAATGACTGGCGTTGATTGGCTCTTGATCAACTTACTGTGGTATGTACCTGTATGCTTGCATTTGACTTACATCCATTGAGGCAGTCGCATTTTTTCGAGGAATGTCGTGTGCTGTGCTCGATTTGACAGCTTTCATCTGTCAGAGGTGCCATGCCACTGCAGGAGATCGCAGAGAAGCATCCAGACTCGGATGCTTTGCTGATCAATACCAAATGTGTCGGCGGAGGAGGGCGTTCCGTATACAACGTTGTAGACGTGATGTCGTGGAGGTGATGCCAAGTAGTTTGCTGGAATGCAGTGTGCCAGTGCTGGATGCCATATCAGACGATGTTGGCTCGAAAAAGACATAGTACGACGTAAACACTCAAGACGCGTCGAGCACACCACACCGCGTCTGATGGACGACGATGGAATCGGACGGAGTTAAGACCATAAAGTGTCGACTGCGAACTATAAGCACGAGCCAGTCCAAGGATCAAGGAGCCGGTGGCAGACAAACACGTGTGGCGCGAGATCGTGGGATCGGGCGTTCGAGCGCGACTTGCCACGAACGACATGGCCTGGAAATTGCAGGTGAGGCATGTCACTAATCGGGATCACATCAGAGTGTCGGATGACTTGTTTTTGACAGCACGGCAAGCCACCCCAAGGAATCCGGCGATCGAATGGACAAAATTCGGTTTGGCCGTGCTTTACAAAGTGCTCGCCGTGAGAGGCGTCATCCTCTGCGTCCTGGCTAGTATAGTATGTATGTGAAAGCTCCAGCGCACACGAGGAAAGGGGTGTGTGAAAAAGGTACAGCACAGACCAGGCTGGTACACAGCCTTGTCAGGGGCTGAAGTGAGTTTTCGTAGACTTCATGAACTTGGTGAAGAAGAAACTCGCTGGCTAGGATATGAGCCCAACGGGAACGGAGAGACAGGTGCTCAACATAATCAACCTCTGGAACCGAGATCGATCAAAGCCCAGTCTCCCGATTTCGAGCCTAACATCCGTCCTGGTTGACATACGGAGACGTCAATCAAAGTGGCCCAGATGCCCGGGAAGAAATGGTAAATGCCAGTGCGTTATGAACCAAACTGCCAATAGACCATGCAGGAGGCTTGCTTTCCTTGCGCCAAGTGACGTGCCTTGAACAGGCGTTGACCGTGTGGCTTCTTGGTGGAGACAGTTTGTACGAACTGCTTGTATTTTGTGCCGAGTTCAAGTTCCACGGTGCGTCCTGCTGGATACCTGGTACCTTAATCGTTTTCTGTGTGACCAGTAGGATGTCGAGGACCAATTCTATGGTACGAGTCATGGGTGTTGACAGCTTTACACGTGAGGCTCCCCCTTGCCTCGGATTGCAACTCTCTGTACAGACGATCTGCGATTGTGGCCCAGGGGTAACCAACTTTCTGGAGATGTATCCACCCAGCCATCCCGCCGTCGTCTGTGCTCGCTGCGGTGCTGGTATTCATGCTTGCAAGAGGCTGCGCGCCCAAGGAGACCGGCGCTGATGATCCTGGCGTGCTATCACGGGCACTTCGGGAAGGCTGACGAGAATGAGACCGGGTGGTGGTGGTGGGACGAAAAGGACTGGATATGCCAGCCGGTTGTGCTTTGCTTTGGGTTCTTGATAAGTCGCAAAGAACAGAGACAATCATTCAGAATCTCCTCTGGCCAGAGACACCAGTGTAGCCTTCCATTCCTTTAGCTTTATGGTGTTGGTGTTGTGTATACCACATTGCCTACTTCAACCATCACTCTCTTTGATATACTGCCACTGGCTGTGCCTCTATCGACCCGGAGGAGAGCTCCTCTATCCGTTCCTTGACACTCTCGCATCATGTCTCGTTTTGGCTATCCTTCAACGCCGACGCCCACACCGACCGACAGCTGGTCGTCCTATTTCGATTCCTGGAGATGCGAAGACAAAGAGATGGCCGCCGTCGAGCCGGTGATTCTGGACCAGTACGACGACCTACACCCCGACAGCCTTCAGGTCAAGTTCAATAATGCCAACTTCGACCTGGACTGGGAAATGGACAATCTGCAGGACGGCTGCTCGCCATTGCCGCCTTTGCTTTCCTCAGGCTCGGTTGCGACTACGCGGAGATTGGACGACGCATATTGGAGACCGTCGCGACAGGGGCAGCGACAGGGACAGGACTTGAACGACGATGGTCGTGTTGCTTACCGAGTGTGTCGTGGGCCCAATGACGTCGACATGGGAATGCAGACGGCGACGGAGATGGACATGGAGATTGATGAAACGGGGATGGATCTGGACCTGGACCTGGACCGCGATATCAAGTGTCAGTATCATCAATGCCCGTGGCCCACAATGCCGATGCCACGACAGCGACAACGACAGCCTCGGACAGCGGCGTGGCTGGGCGACACGGGCACCAGCACAAACTTCAGGTTGAACAGCAGAACCTCAAGCTCCGATTTTGGCAACACAGCGTCTTCCGGTACGAGAACGTCGACAGCCGCAGGCACTCGCACTCTCTCTGGCACCGCGGCGAGATCGCAACGGTGGGCACGAGCATCATCGTCAGCGGCACGATCAACGGGGGTCACTGTGTCCGCAGTGCCTGCAGCGCCCGCGCGGAGCCAGCTTATAGGCGACCTCGCCTGGACACCAACCCTGGACCAAGCGCGCACAGGCACCGATCTGCCCGCTAATCACGACGCTGTAAGTGGCATCCCAGCACCTTTTCCTTCCCAAGTGGCTTTTCCTCCCTAAATCCTGCGGCCTGGTTCTTGCTGTGCCCCCACCGTCGACATCATCGCTGGCATCATACCTGGAAGATCATCGTCATCGTCGTCGGCACCATTGATCAATGCCCCCCAGCACGCCCGCAGCGCCGCCCTTAACCCTGCCAATTGCCAATTGCCAATTCAAGTTTGGGTTTGGGCAGGCTGCCTGTTCCCCATTATCTGCCCACCGCTGCATCTGATTATTGTCTGCCGCCTCCCTTGTAGCGTGCGAACTGGAGCCTGAGCCTGAGCCCTCCGCCGCCGTCGCCCGCCCACTGCCAGTGCATTATTGCAGCATCAACATCAGCATCACTCATCAGCTACTGTATCAGCATCATCCACTGCCAGTGCATCACGCTGCTACTACTATTACTTGCTGCCCGGCACTGGAGCTGTGGCCGTGGCCTTTTGCTCTCATTCCCACTCCCGCACCCCTACAGTGATCCTCATCATTGTCCGCTTTCTCATTCTTTCTATCTCCTCTCACACTACCTCCACGCCTTCACACGTTCTCTCTATCTCTGCTCTGTGCCTTTGCAGCCTCTCCTATTCTGCAATACGGGCATCACGAGCAGACCTCACCCGAATAGTTAGTTGGCGTGTCATCAGTCATAACCTTCCGCTGAGAAGTTGTGCTGACCACGCCACTATTCTTTGTCCCATCTTTGGCCCTTCACCTTTCTTGGGATAGTCGACATCATCCCAACTCCACCGCCAGTGCCGCTTGTGCTCTGGTCCCAGTCGCTTATTCATCCTCAGCCGGGGCGCCCCAAGACGATCTCGACCAGTCTCTAGCCCGCCGCACTTTCCACTCGCTGCGCAGACCAGGCCACTCATCTCTCACCAACCCGTCACCACCAGTTTCCATATTCAAATCTCCCTCTGCCCTGCACCGTCATTATCACGTCCGCCTCATTTGTCATCTGCTGGCGCTGGGCTCCCTGCTCTTCAGACGTTCCTCTCCTCTACTCTTCCTTCGCCGACCGTTGTTCAAGCCCTCGGAGCCGTCGCTAAAATGAGCACAATCCAGAATCTCAAGAATTTCATACGTCATGGCAAGCAAGCCAGAGTCGCAGAACCTCCTCGCGATCAACCAACAACCAACGTCTCTCCTATACATGCCCAACAGCAAAAATACCATCACGGCATAAGCGAGCCTGCGGTCGGTCAGCGACAACTCCAACAGCACGTGCAGCCTCAGCCAGGCGAGTATTCCGCCGCTGCCGTAGACAACCGCAATGTCGCCGCACAAGCCGGTGGTGCCGCCGCCAATGTCGCAGGCAAGCATCAGAAGATTCAGGCAGAGATCGAGAAACTTGTCGCCGAAGAAAGAGAGCAGGCCAGCAAAATGCCCAAATACCCCGGCCTTGAAAGATACATACTGCTGGAAAAGATGGGCGACGGTGCATTCAGCAATGTGTACAAGGCGCGGGATACTCAGACCGGCGATGATGTTGCCATCAAGGTCGTCCGGAAGTTTGAAATGAACTCGAATCAGGTATGCTTAAAAGTTATCGTGCATTGCCTGCTCTTGATTGCTGTTATTGCCCCATCCCCGTCTCATTCGTCCTAACCATTTCCTGTTCTCTCTGTACTCGCTTCTTCATTTGTTGCAAAGCGCAAAACCAACTTTTCTTCTAACCTAGGGCGATGCTCATCTTCATCCGAATTTCAAAAAGCAACCAAAGGGCGTGGAGGTGCGCACATCCTTTCTGTCGCTCAACCCCTACCTTTGTCTCCTATTTATTTACTTTCATTATCCGGCTGGTTATTACCGCTCCGCGTTCGTAGACTAACTTTTTCCCCAGCGAGCCAACATTCTCAAAGAGGTGCAGATTATGCGCCAACTGGATCATCCCAACATTGTCAAACTCATCGATTTCTCCGAAGCACGGCAGTATTACTACATCGTCCTTGAGCTGTGCCCCGGCGGAGAGTTGTTCCATCAAATTGTTCGCTTGACGTACTTCAGTGAAGATCTCAGCCGTCACGTCATTACGCAAGTTGCCAAGGCTTTACGATACCTGCACGAAGAGTGTGGTGTTGTCCATCGGTACGTTGAGTGTAGATTTGTCTGGTACCACGGTTTACTGACTTCGTCTGCAGTGATATCAAACCAGAAAATCTCCTTTTCTACCCCATTCCCTTTATTCCCACACGAAACCCAAAACCAAAAGGCCCGGATGATGAGGATAAAGCCGATGAAGGCGAGTTCATCCCCGGTGTCGGTTCTGGCGGCATTGGACAGATCAAGATTGCCGATTTTGGCCTTTCCAAAGTCATCTGGGACTCGCAGACTATGACGCCTTGCGGCACTGTTGGTTATACGGCGCCAGAAATCGTCAAGGATGAGCGTTACAGCAAGTCTGTCGACATGTGGGCCTTGGGGTGCGTTCTTTACACCCTACTGTGTGGATTTCCTCCTTTCTACGATGAGTCAATCCAAGTTTTGACGGAAAAGGTCGCCCGCGGACAATACACCTTTTTGTCCCCCTGGTGGGATGATATCTCGAAGTCCGCCCAAGATCTCGTCTCTCACCTACTCACAGTCAATCCTGAGAAACGTTACACCATCGATGAGTTCCTGGCACATCCTTGGATTCGTAACACTTCTGAACCCACTTATGCCGCTGCAGATGCTCCTCCCTTGGCCACTCCCCTTGCAGTCCGACAGAAGCAATGGGCACAGGCGGGCAATGTCCCTGCCGATGCGTATGCGCTCGGGACGCCGGTCACTCCGGGCAAACGAGCCGACTTCCGATCTCCTGGTGCTCTTAACCTTCGCGAGGTCTTCGACGTCGGTTATGCCGTGCACCGCCAGGAAGAAGAAGCAAAGAGAAGAAAGAACTTCAAGCAAGGCTACCGAGGAGCGGGTGTGCCCGGTGGCTTGAACCCGTTGAACGAGGATGATGATGCCGAGGAGGAAGAGTATGATGAAGAAGTCTCGAGCAAAGTCCCCAAGGCACAGCAACCCGCCGACGTCTCCAGCATGGAAACGAAAATGCGCCAGACGAATCTTGGGACCCAGCCGTCGTCGGCTGCGCAAGCACGTTCGGCTGCTGCTCCCGCTCGAAGTCAACACCACACCAACCAGCAACAAGAGCGAGGCTACGGTCAACACAGTGCTGCCGTCGCGGCCGCAGCCCGGCAAAGCGTTGGACGGCGAAACAAGCAACCGTTTGAGCTCAGCTTGGACAATTCGACGCTTTTGGGCCGGAGAAATAAAGGAGCCAGGCACGACCAAGTGCAGCCCTCGAAATTGCGGGAACAGTTGAGCGTTCGATGATTGCAGCTGGCAAGAATGGGGCGAAAGAGTTGCCGGACTATGGTCTTTGAGAACAGGGATTCGTAGAAGGGCTACGGGCCAGATCAATCGTCTAGACTGCAGACTGACTTGAAGCATTTGGCGTTGCTGGGGTTAGTTGGGCTTGTTTGTTAGTGTTTTTGGCGGCATTGTGAGCACAGAGGCAACGCAAGGACGAGAGTTTGCTAGGCGGCAACAACATGATGACTCTAGAACACGAAGATGGCTGTTCTGTGGTCGAAAGCCTGCCATTAGACATATGATGAATGTACCAATATGACCTGAACAAGGACGGCAGAGTAGTCGTATACCCACAGTCTACTAGTACAGTATGTTGCCAGTAAGCTCAGTGCCGTGACCGCGCCCGTGTTTAGATGGCTGATTGTTGTTTAGAAACCTGGTAGCTACCTAAGTAATTGTCGGGTACTTGGGCACAGTATCTTGTCAGGAGCCCACAGGATCATCATACGGACCTCACTAACGAAGATCGTGGAATATACGACCTGCCACGCTTGATATACGCCTTGAACATTTGTCAGCGCTGCCCGGGTGTCTTTCTGAGTACCATATTATTAGGTAATCCGCGATGCCGCAATTCGACGCAATTGATGCTCGGACCGAGTTGCAACACCGACGTAGGTACTTTTTACATACAAAATTGTGCTGTACGCCGCCTCTATACGCGCCGCCGCGGAGTTGACCGCATTCGTGCTTTTTCTTTTCATGTACGAACCTCTTCCATCGTCGTACCGGTCGGTGTGTGTTCTCTCTCTCGTCGGTGGTCGATATTCTTTTGCTGCGAGCCTCTGCAGGAGAAAGGTGAAGTTGCTCTCGAGACACTCTATATATAACCCACTACTGCTGTCCTCGGAGTTCTATCTCGCCCTTTGAGTTCCGTGTCCAAACAACTTGAAGGCGCAAGTATCCGGTCGGAGTCCAGTCCAAATTGCCGTGATTCGCCCGTGCCGTATCACAACTACGGAGCCAGGTACCTATAAGATACTTTTATCAGTCGATGACCTTCCACTCCACTGATAAGCCGCCTCGCGGAGCGCCCCAGGACCCGGCTGAGAAGGCAAGCCATCTCAATCCAGCGGCAAACGTGCCAGACCAAACCCTACCGCCGTCAAATAGGACCGCGGCCGCTGCGGATCCCGAAAAACAATCATGTCAGGGCGCTGAAGGGACGCTTGGAGCCGCAGATACGGCAGGCGACCGCAACTTCAAGGAGCAGTCATGCATCACCGCAGAATCCAACCATGACTCGGAAGAACTGTCTTCCTGTGGTCGCCCCGTCGCTCTGTCCCGGCAGAACACGAATGGCTCGGTCGCTGCCGCACCGTACACATCCTACAGCTGCGAGTTGGAAAGGCCTCACAGCCGTGAGCGGCCTCGATCCACACATCTTCGTCGCCCCTCCTCGTCCACTTCTGCGTCCACGGCGGATGACGACGCAAGTAGTTATGCCAATGTTAGCAGGGTCTCGACTGATGCATACGGCAACACGTATCCCGAAGGAGGACGGATAGCGTGGCTTTGTGTGTTCGGCTCCTTCTGCGGGCTCATGAGCGGCTTAGGGTAGGGCTGTTGTTTCGTTTGAGCCGGAAGAATGAGACTCACTGACAACTGGACAGGATGATGAACACTCTCGGTACATACCAAGCATATCTTTCCACCCACCAGTTGCGTGATCACAGTTCGAGCACGATCGGTTGGATCTTTGGCATCTATGCATTTTTGTCCTTCGTTTTGGGAATCCAGATAGGTCCCATCTTCGACGCAAAAGGCCCTCGGTGGCTCGTCCTGAGCGGATCAGTTTTTATGCTCGCCAGCCATCTACTGATGGGCATCTGCAAAAGTTACTGGCAATTTCTCATCGTCATTGGAATCCTTGGTGGCACGGGCACGTCTCTGGTCTTCACCCCGGCCATAGCTGCCATAGGCCACTTTTTCTTTCAGAAAAGAGGACAAGCAACCGGTATCGCCGCCGCAGGAGGATCTCTAGGCGGAGTTGTCTTTCCCTTAACCCTGCAGGCACTACTTCCCAAGATTGGTTGGGCCTGGTCGACTCGCGTGTGCGGACTGATCAACCTTGTGTTGCTGATTGCGGCCAACCTCTTTATCAGATCGCGGCTCCCGTCACGCAAGGCCACCAAGGAGAACATTCTGCCCGACTTCCGTATCTTTCGAAACGTTGTATTTGCATTGACCACCGCGGGGATCTTTTTCATTGAATGGGGCCTCTTCGTCCCGCTCACCTATATGAGCAGTTATGCTCTGCGCCACCATGTGTCGACTGATCTTGCTTACCAGCTCGTCGCCATTCTGAACGTGGGGTCTTGCTTTGGACGATATTTTCCCGGTCTCGTGGCCGACAAAGTTGGCCGATTCAACTGCATGGTCATCACGATTGTCATGTGTTTGGTATCGACGTTGGCTTTCTGGGTGCCGGCGGGCGGGTCTGTCGCGTTGTTGATCGTGTACTGCCTTGTCTTCGGCTTTGCGTCAGGAACCGGGATTTCACTGACGCCGGTTTGTGTGGGTCAATTGTGTCGGGTGGAAAACTATGGGCGGTACTACGCCACCTGCTATACGTTGGTGTCGTTTTCGACGTTGACAGGGATCCCCATTGCGGGACAATTGGTTACCGCGTGCAATGGCGACTACTGGGGGCTCATCGCTTTCACCGCTTGCTCATATGCAGCGGCCAGTGCCACGCTGCTTGGTGCTAGGGTCGCGGGCGCCGGATGGAGCTTGAAAGCCATTTTTTGAGTATATACATATACATACATCTAGATCGAGATCTCAAGTTTGAATAATATAAAAGCATTACAGGATTGACAACACTTTGCGGCAGTGCTTAGTGAACGGGTTACACCGACCACTGAAATGACCGGGAATTGTCTACACGCCTGTGCCACGCAAGCGACCTGATTGCACTCTCTTCCCAGGAGCTGTACAACGCGAGGGACCAGTCGCGGCTGTCGCTGGAAGCGAGGATGCCAGCCTTGTGCCACTGCCGGTTCGGCCTGCAGTCAGGACGGTGGACTCCACACGGGGTCCTCGAGTAACCAATCAGACAGTCAGGCAGGGCCGGTCACGTGCGAGGCCGCATCAATTCCGGCCAGACCACTCACATCAAAGCATCTTCATCACGTCCTGCCCTTGCGCTGGAAATTCCGGCCTCATGATAAACAATTACTCAAGAGTAAAAGGATCAAGAGGGGTAGAGGTGGGCTTCTCCTTGACGCCATGGCTGCCACCACAGGCTTTTGTCAGCGATCAGATCAACTCTGGTAAGCAGATCGTGATGCGTACCATCATAGCCCGTGGATGTCTCGCCAGCGACACCATGGACTTTGACAGAGTACAGCCGGGGACGTGGCAAGCAATATATGGTCTACCAATATGCTATCGCAGACACTGGAAGCTATTTGCCTCCTGGGCATCCGTCGAGTCGACAAGTTCTTCCACAGTGAGAGCTGCCATGCTCCGGCAGATGTGGTTCTATGCCAAGCACGACAAGGCTACGATTCCCAGCTCCGACCGTCGACAGCATCAGGTACATTGGGACAACAGATCAAGCTGGGGCCTCTTTCCTGATTCTTTCGACGTGTTGTGGATTGTGATTGCGGTGTGCAGGGCGTCCTGGAAACGTCGCGCTTCTCCTATCTTATGAACAAGTTTGATGAGGGTCGTGGCCGGAATTAAAACCGGCCACGATGATATATACACCTGCACCCCCAGATCTTGTCGAAGTTCTCTTGAAAAGGAAGACACTCAGTCTGGCTACTTTTCCTGAGACTATCGCAGCTGAGCAGCGTCACGTGTTGTCATCATTGGTTCCCCTATCGGTCTTGATCTCACTGTATTGACCACATATTCCTGTCCTCTATCCGTCCCTGACCTCTTGCTGTGCCTCCACAATGTCGTTTCTTACCGAGTCTCCCCCACTGCCGCCCCTATCCACCGTCTTCCCGCATCTTCAGGCCGATGCCACCACCCTTCCTCGATCAATTGACCCCTTCACCATCACAACCTCCACGGGTTTTTTGCCATGTCGTCAGCCTCTGCTGCGTCTGCCTCAACAGTTTGACGCTGCGTCCGACATCTTGGACGACATGCCAATAGTGAAAGCGGATGGCTCGCCTGGGTTACTCGCGACTTTCAAACTCGGACCACTGATTGACTCCGGAGCGCTGCCGGATCTGACCTCCCACATCGAGGACCTCCGTCTCGACGACGGTTCGTACGACTTGGAAGCCATCACCGCCCTCTTCCGCGACTACAGCTTCCTTGCGAGTGCCTACCTGCTGGAGCCATGTTGGGAGAAATGGTCCAAAGACCATGATGCTGGCTACGGTCTAGGTCGGCCTGTATTGCCACAGTGCATTGCGGCACCGTTGGTCAAAGCAGCTGACATGTAAGTATCTCAACCACACCTCCTAGCTTCATACACTTCCAGTTCTTCATTTGTAGGTTCGATGGGTATACGTACACCTGCTCACACAATTCAACATCTAGTCTCGACCTCCCACCCTTCATGTCATATGCCGCCTCGTATGCACTGTACAACTACCGGCTGGTCGACCCAAACCTAGGTGCAAGCGTCTACGAGAACCTACGGCTCATCCGGGCCTTTGAACGTGGACTCAACCCGGCCAGCTCCGAGGCCGGCTTCGTCCTCACTCATGTCCACATGGTTCAGGAAACAGGGCCCCTGATTTCCGGAGCTGTCAATCTTTTGTCTACCATTGAAGAAAGCCCCAAGGACACAAGTGCCGCAGTCAGTGCCTTCCAGACCATGCTGTCGGCCATGAAGCGCATCGAGGAGCACATGGAGCAGATGTGGACGCACTCCCTCCCCAAAGACTACCTGTCGTACAGGACATTTATCTTTGGCATCACATCGCAGTCCATGTTCCCCGATGGAGTTATCTACAAGGGGACCAAGTACGGCGACTCCAAAGCACTCTACTTCCGCGGCGAGTCTGGCGCCAACGACAGCATTATTCCCTTGCTCGACCATCTTCTTGAGATTCCGATGCCGCCGAACCCGCTGACCGAGATCCTGCGCGACTTTCGGTCTTATCGGCCCAAACCGCACCGAGAGTTTCTGGCGTGGGTGATGAGCAAGAGTGCTGAGATTGGTGTCAAGAAGTATTGCACTGGTACCGCTGACAATGATGATGACGACAACTCTACTCGTCTTCCAACATTGTATCTGAAACTGCTCGACCATGTGCGCAGTTTCCGCTGGCGCCACTGGCTCTTCGCCCGCGAGTATATCATCAAGCGGTCGTCGCATCCCACTGCAACAGGAGGCAGTCCGATCGTCACTTGGCTGCCGAACCAGCTATTTGCCGTCATTGATCTTATGGACTCGGTGTATCGGGACAGTGGGTTGAAGGATGTCGTTGAGAAGGAGGCTGGGCATATTGATGCCCATGAGGCCAAGGTCGTCAAGGATATGATGGACAATGTCATCACACAGAGGGAGAAGCTGGATCGTGAGGTCAAGAAGTATTGTGCGGAGCGAGGTGCATGATTGTGATGTTACCTTTGAATGTTGTCCTGCATTGCATTGGCATCTTGCGATATGTATGAGAGTCAGGACCGTGATCCGGTGGCTACCTTACTCGACAATCTGTTCGAAGACCGCTCCAACAAGGGTCCTCCCTATTCAACATATTCCAGCTGTTGCTAAGGTTGACCGTGTCCACTGTGGAAAGTAGCTATCAAGACTCGATTGGTCCAAAGTAGGCCAGCCTGTATGCCAGCCAGATCTATCTAAACTTCTACCGCAGTGGATGACTTGTATCTGACCACATGGTATTCAGCCTTGCCGCCTTCTCCCCAGCTACAACTTGAATGCCATTTCTTGCTGGAGGCACTGTAGCGCAGTATCACCGAACCTCATCGAGTCATGTGAACGCGACATTCAGATCCAAGTGATGTCGTGGCTATAGTGATATCACCTACAATTCAGGTTGCGACAATACCTCACTTCACCTTCACCTTCAGTTTAATTACCACAAGTGACGCTACTACTCTGCCTGTCGCAGCGTCGCATTATTCCATTTTCAGCTATTGTTATTCACCTTACTTCACTCTATCTATCCGTGTCACCCAAGTGACAACACACATCACTCGTTCTATCACTACTTCATACTGTCGCCAAGCTTAGTGATATTGTCCTGGCGCTCCCGTATTCACTCTCGAATTATTCACTGTCGCTACTCTCAGAAGTATAAGTAGCCCCCTTCTCCTCCCTCTTCTCCTCTCTCTTTCTTTTCCTTCTTCATCAAGGACCAACCAACCAGCCTGGCTCTGCACAGCCATCGTTGCCAATTGCAAGGTGCCTTTGGCTTTGGCTGAAGGTCCCTTGGCTTGGCCGAGGCTGTATACAATGGTGTCGCTCTGGTTGGCTGAAAGCCTTCCAAGGGGGTTTGGCTGGAGCAGCCTACAATGGTCTTCTGCCTTGGTATCGCGAAACCCGCAAATCGCGAAATCACCACCACGAAAGCAAGATCGCGAAATTGAAAACCCGAACTTACAACTGCGATAACTGCGAAAACCACAAATGCTCAACTGCAAAACTGCAAAACCATAACTGTGAAATGGTGGTGCAGATCAACAATGGCAATGTAAGTGGTTGATCACTTTTAACTGCGACAATTTCAACATCTCAAAGACACCTTACTAACCTATCTGGCGCAGTTTAATATCACCTCTATCAGACATGTCTGATAGATCGACTTCAACCCTCCTCCTACAGACAAGTGCTCTCTGCCTTGAACATGATCAAAAGACACTTCCTTCGTCAACCTCTTGCTCCTTACAAAAGTGCTCTCTGCCATGAACGACAATCAACCATCACGCCTCAAATTCATCGGATCGAGCCCCGGATCATCAGCCTGGTCAAGTTGAGCAGCTGAACTTGAACTTTGTCGCCTGCCTGCGCCTACGCCCGCGCGACACTGTCAAGACAGCAAAAGCAGCATGCTCTTTCAAGGCTGATGATGCCGGTATATAAATAAAAATACACCCTATGGTGGCGACAATTCAGTCGTTGTCTGGTTAGTGCAGACCTTGCTTCCCTTTCTCTTGTCTTGTCATTCATGATGCTGACTTTGAACAAGAATCCTCCTCCTGCCCGAGGCACTGCAATATGGAGAAGTCAACAGCAACAAGGCTGCTGGCGCTCCGTTGACGTGCAGTGGTCGGCGTGGCGTGCTGCCTGCTTGATTCGTCGCAGCACCTGAGGAAGCTCAAAGGAGTATTCGGCGCGACGGTCAAGTTGACCCCACGCGACATGTTTGGCTGGATCATGCGGACTTGGGTGAGGAGTGGCGATGCCACTCCCACCATGCCATAAAGAGTGTGGTCGTGGACACACGGCGACACTCTTCTGATGGCAATCCTCGCGAAGCTGAGCGATAGAGCTGCCCAAGCCCAGCTGGTCCAACTGGGTGTACATGGGTGAGGAGTGGCGATGCCACTCCTCGGCCTGTCTACAACGCCTCAGGCGGGCCGTGCAACCCCTGCCCCGGATGGGCAACCCACGAGAGGCAGAGCGTATTGGGGCTTCCAAGCGCGGTCCATTACCATCATCTGGTTTCTAAGATGATGTGATTTTCCAAAAGGCAGGAGCGAGCGCCCGTCCCTCTTGTCCATCGCTTCATCCTACAATCAAAACTCCCTCTGACGGTGGGTGGGGGGCAGAGGAAGGTCTCGCGCAAGACCGATATGCTACGCGGCTTGCCCCTGTGGGTGCAAGATACCCCCACCATTTGATCGGAAACCCAGCAAGGTCCTGTCCCAGCGCAACACCTGGGACCGATTCGACTGCCGCGGCCGCCTGGCAGGCCAGATTCGAGCACCTGCCAGGCGGCCGCGTATCGGCCTGCTGGCGAGCATTGCATGGGCTGCACCGGCTTGCTCCGTTTTTCGCTTCAAGCTCTGGTGTGTCCGTCCCTCGACTCCCATGTCCCCAATGGCCGATGGCCGAGTCTTGCAGTAGCAAGACTCACGGGACATTCCACAGATGGGGCCATCGAAGTCCCCTGGTTCCGGGTTCTGGGCATTCGAACGGCCGATGGCCGCGTCGATGATCCCTGCAACAAAGCCAGGAAGAATGGTCCCTCTGGGAATAGAGAGTCAAGGGCCGGCCACTCTGGCTGCAAACCACTGTCGTCGGAAACGCACAGCGGAATTTGAAGGACAGTAAGCGGCTTGGCTTTGGCCTGCTACCGACCCAGCCCGCCAAGGGCCCTTGTGGCTTTCGACAAGCGCAACGGGTCCGAGCCACTGGAATACAAAGGATTTGCTCCTTTGGGGTGCAAGTTGTCCACAGTGACCGACACAGTGGTTGTCCATCTATGTGGGGAACCACGACAGGTTCGGTGCTTGTCATATCCGTGGCGGCTCCGCCTGGAAAACACAGGTGGCCGACAGGCCCGGGTTTCCATGGGCCCCTTCGACAACCTGTTCAATATACCGTTCGTTGGTTGGGGCTGCTCTGAAGCTTCCTACCAAGTCGGTATATATAAAATTATCAACACCTGAACACCAACTGGCGGTAAGTCCTGGCTTGTGCAATGGTAAGTGAACAAACACCCACACAACACATTCTCAATCGATCATTCACTGATATCGCGGATTGGCATATTCACTGCTCAGGTGTTCATGTGGTCGGTTTTTGGATTCACTTTCAGAGAACACAGGGACAATGACAATGACAACAATGATGGTGAAGATGAAGATAAAGATGGATGTGATGGTGCCACTGGTACTTATCTCCCATTTTCTTCAAAGGACATCCACTCTTGGACTTCCCGCGTCATTGTCATTGTCATCTCTTGTGTTCATATGGAAGCCAAATGAATTCCAAGAACCGGCCACGTGCAACAGCGAGCATGAGTGCCAACCAGCATGAACAGACAAACAGCAACCACAGCCACAGCCAGCCGAAGCGGCAGCAGTAACAGGACGGTCAAGGGCCGTGGGACAGTGGTCGCGGTCGCAAACTGGGGCTGCCCCTGTCAGCTGGGAGGAGGGTGGTGGTGCGTGCTGGAAGAGTCAGAGTCGAGGGCTGCGGGGGTCTGTCGCCCGCCCACAAACTGGGCCTGCCCCTGTGCCTTCGGAGGAGGGTGGAATTATATGCCCGTGCCCCTGTTCCTGCCCACGGGGTCGTCGGTGGTAGAGCGAGGATGAAAGGCTAAGCCTCCCGCACGAGGCTTCCTCATCCTTGCGGTGTTGATGGCGATGCCATCAACACGAGGCTGTACAAGATCACATTGATCTGCCTTGCCACGTCAAGTCATTCCCCGGCCGGGACGGTAAATCAGGGGCAGGATGGGAGTAATGTGGTTTCTGACGCAACAACAACAACAACACCAACGCCCTGCTCCTCCTGGGCCAGGGAGTGCCGTCGCAGTTACGCCGACAGGAGCAGTACGACAGCCGTCACCATCATACGACGGTCTCGTCAGTGAGGCCCGTGGGACGGGGGTTAGGGGTTTGCGACCTGAGGAACGGGGGTTGGGGGGTTTGCGGCCCGAAGAACGGGGGGTTGGCTGGTGCGATGCACCAGCTGGTTGAACCCCTTGGCAGGACCTCCAGGTTTGGGGTCCTATTCCTTCCGCGTGCCACCTTCGCCACGGAAGGTGGCTCTCACGCCGCAGCAGCATACCGAGAGGTCGTCCCACCAATGGATCGTCAAACCAAACCAACAAGGTCCCAGGAGTCGCACCAGACTGCGCCTGCGACGGGTTCGAACACTTGCCAGGCGGCAACTCCTGGGACGGATTCAAGTGATCCTGCAGAGCAGCCAAACATCATGGACGAGTATCTGGGAATATCCCCGATGGGGATGAAACCAATGACACGGCCGCCGATCAACCGGTGTTTGCCGGTAATGCCAACAAAAGAGCCTTGGTCCCCTCTAGGGCTCGGGACCAACCAGCCAGGACAGTATCAGACCGGGGCTGCTTACTGCAAACTATACACCCGTCAACGAACAGTCATTTGGTAACACCAACATGAACGTCCAAAACCCCACTAGGGCTCGGCAACACCCAGGCCGAAAATCAGCACGGGCCTACTGCCATTGCCAACAATACAATCATCAAACAACGGCTATCTTCCAGGGAACAACTCCTGGGGGGACAGATTCAAGAACCGGCCAGGAGCGGCCGCATGTATATACGGCCGCTGGTGAGACGGACAGCAACCACAATGCTGTGCCTGTCGACGGCAGGAGTATCCAGCACGCCGCCCCAGCTGGGGCGGCGAGGATGTCCGAATAGATGGACATAGGGGAGGAGTGGCGATGCCACTCCTCCTGCTGTATACGGCCAATCGAATGGGTTCCAAGGGGGAAGGGGTCGTTTTCATACGATTGACACAAGCCATAAAGGGGAGGAATGTGTATCGGACTTCGCCTTGGTCAATGGTACTGCACACCGAGGAGTCGACTCGAATCCACGGGTCGCCAAACCAAATCAGCAAGGTCCTGGGACCCATCGCAACTCCTGGGACAGGGTCGAATAATACCTGCCAGGCGGCCGCATGTATGCGGCCGACAATGCAAATGACAGCAGCAAGGTGCTGTACCTTCCGAGGGCAGCGAACCCGTTCGAGAATCTCCCCTCCGTCTTGAGGTGGGGGGCTGCGGTTGACCGTCAAGGCATGGGCTGGGGTGTACAATTTCCCAGTGCCACATTACGCGGAGCGGCGATGCCGCAGAAGAACCGGGGGTTGGTGATGGTGCACCTGCTGCTACGGCGTTGCCGCCGAATGGACGCAAAGGGATCGAATTTCGCATCATCGGGATAGCCCATAAAACAAAGAAATGGGTGTCGCCGTTAGCGCCGTTCAATAGCAGCGGCGCCGTCGGCCCTCGCCTCTCGAGGCCCAGAAGAAGATCATGGCGGAGATAATGCCGACTATATGGTGAGGGCCACATAATGGGCCCAATCCCCGAGTATCCGGGGTGGTGTCTCTGGATCACAGATCAATCGAAAACAGTCGGCCTCCAACATCCACCGAAGGCACTGGAGAGATTTCCAGATGATCTCCGCTGGAGTATGCCTATCAAATAAGTGAGGCTGCTCTCGCAAGATGGGTGGGCGGATTGGCGGTATAGGTTGAGAGGGAGTTGGCGAAGGGGATGGTGGATGGGACCGGCTATGGGCCGTGGGGTGGATATGGGGAAGGGGGAGGGATCGGGGGACAGGGAATGGAAATGAGAATGGTCGTGGCTATGCGACGGGGGATACAGCTGTCGAGGAATGGATAGGGGATTCTCCGCCTTTACCACCCGAAGGCGCGTCGCTCGGTGGGCGGAAATGGCTGCTGGCCGATGGCCAGCGCCAGCGCCAGCACCAGCAGGCACAACAGCAAGCCCAACAGCAGGCGCAACAATTTCTGCAACAACCGCAGCCTCGGCCCAACCACAACAAGAGTTGCTGCAACAACCGCCGCAGCAGCAACATCTTCTCGGCGACAGCACAAGCGCAGTTCGCAAAAAAGCGGAAGGAAGCCAGAAGAGCATCGAGAGGAAAATCTGGGCCCAGGAGTGGAAGATGGCCGTGGACATCCTTGTCCTTTCCATCACGGCGGATGGTGGTCGGAGCATCATGGCATCCGACCACACAAAGAAGTCGTCCAGGTGGAAAACACCACCATGGAAGAAGTGGTGGCACCGTTCTCCCTGCCCCTGGTGGTAGCGGACCGAGGGAGTCAAGAACGAACGAGTTTCAAAAGTCGCCCAGGTGGAAGATACCACTGTCGAAGAGCTGGTGCGACAAAGCGCCTGGTCTCTCTATCCCCACTGGTAGCGATCTGAGTGGATTAAGAACGAACGAGTTTCATCATCAATGTTAAACAAGAATAACAAATGAACAATTTACTTACACGCATCTTTCTGAGCAGCCCTTTATTTTTCATTGACCACTAACGAGTTAAGTTGACTTGATCTCTCTCCCTGTCTACACTGCTTTCTTGCCCTGGCGTTTGTCCGTGTTCAATCCGGTCGTGCTGGTGCTGCTGCCACTGCTTTTTCCTTTGTTCCCACCTTTGACAAGAGATTTGATAATCAGCCAGACGAACCACAGCGTGCTGCTTGTTCTGCTTGAGTCGTACTCCTGCGGCCGGTCGCCGACCTCTGCCATGGCGCAGACAAGGTCTGCGAGCTCCTTCTGCAATTTATGGTGTAGATACGCTGCTGTCAGGTCAAGACCGTTGGTGATTCCGCCTGTGATACAAACCATCATCCAGTGTCAGTATGGACAGTAGTGACCCACGACGAGCTGGCAATGACATGACAAGCAAGGAAAGGGAGGTATACACTCCCTATTCGAGAGACAATTTGCTAAGGGCATTTACCGGAAGACTGAAGGAACTCCAAGCCCATACGTGCTAGAAGTCCAAATTATCCGATGCAGCAGTCACAAAGAAGACAGGCGGGTTGAAAAGAATTGGTTACAAACGAATAAGGATACTCACCACAAGTCCACAGCCGCCCATCGCTTTCCCACCTCCTATCCACGAATTCAGCGGCGGGGAACTTTTCCTTCAACTTGGGCAACAGGCCCCTAGGACCAGTCACACGCTTTCCATCCAGTAAGCCGGCGTATCCGGCAGGAAAACTGCCCGTGCAGATGACCAGGAAATCTGTCGCGGCGGCATTTCGATGGGCTCGGATGAAATCAAGCACGGCCTGATCGGGGACGAGATTTGGGTCAGGCCCGGGGATGAGTAGGGTGTCGAGATTCCCCGGCTGTACTGCTGGAGAATCCAACCCGTCCGTCACTGGCAGTGTTGCTGAGGAAGTCATCGGAGCGTGTGTGTCTGGACCAGAGGCGCTGATGTAGTGGATGGACACGTCGATGGCCAGGTTGAGCAGCGGTTGTGGCAGACCGCATGACTGGAGGTATGTCGGGGTGAGCATCCCGAAGAGATCAATGGGCGATGCATCCAGGAGCTGCACAGGCGGAATGAGCAGTACTCCCACGCGGAGCGATGTTGCTTTGGGGGATTGCTCGCTCATGGTTGTTGTAAGCTAATTATTGGACCAAAGTACTCGTGACCAATGTTGTTGCTCGTGTCTATATACGGTGTTGTGCACGTCGAGAGAGGTTCTTGGATGGAGCTGAGGACACGGGTTGCTGTTTTGGGGATGACATAGCTTTTTATACCACCAACATGATTCAATGTAAGCCCGACAATGGAGCCATAGAGTATTTCTTCCACGTTACTCTCCCGTTGCAAAGAAAGCTGGTGCCTTCGATCCCAGGTTTGAGAACCTTACAGATGGCAGCAGATAGCCGAACTCTGCTAATCAACTTGAGGTTCCAGAGTGGACCATCGCACAGGCTGCAGCATTTCTCTTGGTCTTGGCTCAGCCTTGGAGACGATGATTGGCCGACAGCGGCGTCACAACACGGAATCCGAACACGCCATGTAGTGGAGCATTGAACTTGACGTGGAGAGGGCGTTGAGCCAATGCTCAGTGCAACGGGAGGCCGGGTCGTCTCTAGAAGGTAATAATAAGTTGGCTGAATGTGGTCAAGAAGTATAAGGGGACTGCAGCATATCATACGATGCAGCTTGTTTGCTCCGATAGTAGTGGTTCAAGTTGCTACTTCGGAGGTCGGGCCACAAGCCTTGAAAGCACCAAACACCAGCAAGGACAGAAGACATATGTTCCGCGGCCGGTCACACAGGTAAGAGGGAGCAAATCAGGGAGATAGATGGCTAGAGCGGTATAATAACCTTGAAGAGGTTGGTGAATGTCCGTGGCCAGTGATGAAGCTGGTGGTTGTCTGCTCGAGTTCAAGTTATTCATAGGAAGCAGGTTCTCCGCCGGGCAGGTTAGCCGATTCGCCGGCCGGACATTGTGGCTCTTGCCGTTCCGGCGCCATGCCGGATGCGGTGCCGTATCACATACTACACTTCTGCATGGTAGTATTTTAGTATTATTACTGGCGAGCAGTTGCGACGCAGTGCAGTGGAACATCTTCATCACCGCCGCCAGCCAGACCCCAGACCCCAGCACGCAGTCTGCAGATTCAGACCAGGATGCAATCGACGGGACAATTGCCTCGAACCTGAATTAAATCATGTCGCTGGCCGCCAGCTTCCAACCACCGCCTTTTCAGTCTCTGTCCTCCCATCCTCCTCACCATCACATCCCACGCCCTAAGACCTACCTAGTGCTTCTTGGATTCACTCGCTTCTTCTTTGTTTATTTTTCTCGGTCGACAGCCGTTTCGTTCTTCCTACGACCTTTTTAATATGCCCCCATTCCTGAGCATGCGACGCTTCTCCCGCTCCAACTCCATCCACAACAATCAAGCTCCCCAGTCTCCACCGACCTCGTATACACCGCCTCTCTCACACGCTCCAATGCTGCCCAATGGCACCGGTAGCTCCCATCACGATTCAAGACCCGTGTCGGCCAACACCGCCTCGAGCTTCGACTTTGCGAACCGGCCGCCTGTTCAATACCACATGAATACGCTGCCTTCCAACGTCGTGGGCAATCTCTCACGAACAGATCAGATTGTCTTGAGACATTTCTGGGAGTCCAAGTATGCCGAAAACAAGGCTAGAGACCTGCATTTCGTACGTACTCACTGCTCATTGACCTCTACTGTTCGTCCTCGACTGACGGAAATGCAAAGCTCAAATTTCCGTATTTCCCACAATACCCCGGCCACCAGGATCTCATTCCATATTGCGAAATCTATCACTTGGTCAAGACGTCGCCGGGAGCGAAGATACTTGGCTTGGGTAGTGCCAACGGTGTCTACATCGGGTAAGTCAAGTGTCCGTGCTCGACCTGTCAACGGGCGGTTCCACACCGCACTGCATGGCTATTCCATTTCCACTGTTTCCATCCCATTCAACTTTCCAAGTGCTTTACTCATTGACTTCACTTCCAGCTTCGAACTCTTTTCCGGTTCGCAACTGCACATCGACATGGACGATGCCTGGCACAACATCTCTCACCATCGCGTGAGTTTCAAGTCCTACGAGAAAATGCTCAAAGACCCAGCTTCGGACGCCGCGTTCAAATCATGGCCGAAGCCTCTGACCATCGAGTTTCTCGAGGAGCAATACCAACGCTGGATGTTGGACCTGACTGCTTTCTGCTGGGATACAGAAGAAGTCACGGAGTTGGGAAGTGCGGCCGGTGGGGGGAGTGTCCATGGCGACATGAAGGGCGAGATGTTGTGACACCTACTCACTATGCCGGCCCGGAGGACGGCAACAGCCTCTCGAACATGATCTGGAAAGTGTTGTGGCATCCAGATCGGGTCTTCCAAACCTCACCGGCTTGGTAATCCCGCAATTCGAAACAACATACGCGAACCACCCGGGCGTTATATGACACAACTCGCTCAAAGATCGAATATCAATTCAGCACACTCTGCCTTCATGTATCTTCCGCACGAGCCTCCTGATCGCATATGCCGACGTTATTCACGACAAAACAAATGAAGGCACTTCTTTTACAGTTTTTTCTTATCCCTTGGGGCCACTGTACCACGCTGGTGTTTCGACTGGTCATCTGACGGGCATGCCATCTGCCAGCCGTATGCAGCCTGCCACACGCCCACACATACGCATAACGAATATGACCAAGCATAACGCCATTAATGCCCAACGAATCACAAAAAGCAAAAGCAAAGGATCTCGGAAATCTACCTATCACGAAGTTCAGCTGATGGCGCATTGAGGGACTCGAAAAGTCCACGATTGAAACGAGACATGACTATGACACTCCTTGACTCACAAAATTGGACATGGCGAAAAATGAGTTGATGAACAAACCATAATTGAGATGAGGATGGATGGATAGACGATGTTTTTTTGTGATATGGGTCCGAATCAGACTTGCGTTGGTAACGAAAAATGGAAATGATTGCTACTCATTCGGTTTGCTATACCTACCTAAGTAGTGAACGGGACTCTATCTTTGCCTCCATCCTGCACCATTGCTCGGGTACCGGCAACCTTGGGAATGCATGTCCACCGCCACAAAGTTTCCACGTCGAGTCCCTCGCTGGCATGACCACTGTTGTCCGTGTGCTGTGCATTTGAGATATCCGAGTCCTCTTGACTACTGTGACAACAAATCGAGCATCAAAAGATACCGGGACGTTACGGACGTACTGCCCAAAGTCGGCACCTGCCCCTGTGGCCGGGCTTTAGATATCATGAAAACAACACCCACGACTCACAAGAAGTAGCTGGATTGGGGGTTTGTGGCAAAGCGGCTTCCATTCCCCGTGGTGGTCATGGATCGAGTGTGGCAAAATGGTCCAGGCTCTGCTCCTGTGGAATGGTAATATCAAAACTGGGATTCAGAATCGTGTTTCCAATGACCGGCAGCAACCTCAAAATGGTGATGTCGAATATGTATTGTTGGACACATTGGCCGTTGCTCCTGACATGAAACATGATAAAACGAGATTTGCTTGCCTAAGTCAGGTTGTTGTGTTGTTTGAAGTACAGACCTAAAACGAACAGACTTTTGTCTGTGACCATGCCGACATCCATCGTCTTAACAGGGTGATCGTGTAGTTCGTGGAGAACTGGCGCCTGCTCCTTGTGCAACACAATTCTGACTCTTGAGAACGCCCGAGGAGCCTAACAACGCTGCACCCACAGGGCACCCATGCTTGCTTCATCCCGTGGCTTCTCAGCTGGGCTTCACCCTCTCGCAATCTTTGTACAATTGTTGGTTGTGGTTGACAACAACCGCCTGTCGTGACACCTGAACATGCAGTGTTTCAGTCTCCCTCCCTTCCTTTCCTCCCGTCTTCTCTCTCTTTCTCTCTCCCCCTTCCACCTCTTATCTGCACCTTTTTGCCACCACATAAATAGGCAATCACGACGCGGATTGTGATATGTCCAGGCGGGTTGCCCCAACCACAACCTGCTGTGACTGATTCCACGTCTCTACTTCTCGCCCGGCCTGACTCCGACAGACGTTTCCGAGTCAAACATCTCCCATGCACGCCTCGTTTGGCGAAACTGCGCATTGCTGAAAGCGCCTGGAGCCTCCCACTTCCTCTTCAGCGCCCTCATTGTTGAAAAAGCTAGCCTATCTGTGCTCTGATGCTTGAGGTGAAATATCAACCCGCCTAGGTTGTTTCTTCTCCAAGAAACACCAAAGCCGTTGGAGCAATTTGTCTATCCGGTGCTGGCTCGTAACTTGGGTATGGATGTCTCCAGAATCTGGGGTCTCTCCGGACTCTGGTTTTGGCCGGCAGGTCGGCATAAACCTGCCGAGGTAGAGTAAGTGCTATATCTATTGTCCGCCTGTACTCGATTATAGCAATGCTTATGATTCTGTCTACAGGAAGGTAGATAACTCCACCGACTTGAGTCCGCGTCGACAGGCCAAGCTCGAAGGCAACGCCTCCCCCACCGGTCGAGAGACTCTCCTAGAAGAGGGTTCAGCAGCTGCCATCAAGCCAGTCATTGAGATACGTGGGTCAGGCTCCAGTGTACCTGCATTTGAGCACATTCAGCACCCGACGAGATCCGATCCCGCCAGTTTGGCATCGCACGTCACCTCCAGTTCAATCTCCGGCCACCCTCAGACAAGTGGAGAAGGCCGTCCAGGAGAGCCGGGCGATATCATCTGGGACCAGCCTGAACGGCCAACCTCACAAAATGGAGCGGACCACCCCCGTTGGGGAGACATTGTCCGCGCTCTTGAAACGATCAAAAACACAAATCAGCAGGTAACTGACACGGTTGGAGAATGGAATGCCTCTAGGACTGCTCTGTTCTTCATGTTGGAGACAACCATGCAGTCATTAGATGCGTTCACACAACGAATGACTGGCTTTGCCAACGACTTCGGACTCCCTTCCGACCTCACGTCTAGGTTTGAAGGAGTTCGCGAGGATTTTGAACGGGTATACTTCGAGTTTTTTGCGCCTTTGCACGCTAGGCAAGAGGTATACACTGAAGCTGAAATGGACATTATCCACAAGCTTTATCGCTGTGACACACTTCTGGACAGATTGATTGCTGGTCATACTGACATATCGTCGCCGGCAAGCCCTTCTCGTGCCTCTCCGGCCGCTCCGGCGCACACAGTCGACGAGAACCTCCTTAGGTTCTCTCCAGTAGCTGAACGATACCAGTCTCAGCTGCATGAGGTGGATAATATCCTGGAAACGCTGGAGGAAGGACGCGTGGAGCGTGCTCATCTGATGCAGGAACAAGAATCCCGAGCTCGATTAGGCCTCACTTTGGACCCCGAATCTCTACAGTCCCTGGCGTCAATCCAGGAGTCGGAACCTGTATTGCTAGAGGAACTCGATTATGCCGAACTGGTCTTAGGTGCCTTTAGATGTCTGATGCATGACGAAGAAGCTTCCCAGGTCCCCGAGGATGGCCTATTAGGCACAAAAGACGATGTCGGCGGTCCGCTCAAGCCTACTGACCCTATGTCCTCGTTGGACTCCTCCAGAATAACCTCGGCCAATCTACAGAAACTGCAACTGCCCAGTCTAACGCTTCAAAGGCTCGAAACCCTGCAAACGCGCTCCATCAAGTTTGCAGACAACCTGACAGGGCCGATCGCAGATCCCATCGACCGGAGCAACTTTGTAAACATTTGGTTATTGCATCGAACGTGCTCCGTGCCAAGTCTATTCCGCCAGTTTGTCGATCTCTTCAATGTGGACAATCTGCCAGGACACCCTCTTCTTCGCAAAACACCGGTGGAAATGGAACACTTCTTCCTGCACATGTGGTTCAACGACGGTTCAGACGTCGACTTTGCTCACCATCACCAGTTCGCAAAAGACCATGGCTCGAAGCTGGTGTATGTCGCAGACTCGGTGTCCGTCGAACACAGCAGCGACTCGTCGTTCACTCGAAAACCTGCCTCTCTTCCGCTGCTGCGGTTGGACCCGTCCACCACGTCTCAGGATATCATTTCCCGAGCAAGTCAGACGAGGAAGGAAGTTCGATCGTCGGTGTTTTACCACGTTGCACGAACTGCCCAGAGCCATCCTGCGTCTGGTATCACTTTCATCTAGACCGTGATTGATACTTGTTACTGGGATATTTTGCATGTCTGGTTCAAGGTGGGACGAAGGAGCCGTGGAAACGCAAGAATGGGTAGGGAGCTGTACAAGATCCTCTCGTGAGATTGGATTGTTTCTCGCGGCTAAACTCTCCTGCAATGCGTCCTGTAGTACTAAGGTCGACTCAAGTCGCCATCTTTCCAAACCCGTCGACATTGTAGTCTCGCCAAACGCCGCCAGCCCTATAACTGTACATCAAAGGCCCCTGAAACCGGACAGAACGCCCTTGCTTTGCGAAAACACTGGACAGAATCCCCCACCTTCGCCGTCGCTCAAGTTGGGACTGAAGCAGAAATTGAAAGTCCGCGCTGCGCTGCACTTCATGACTATTTGAAAACTCATAAGCGGCATACTGCCATAACCGTTGCTCCATTGCCCAAACCCAGCCATCTCGGTCGTAGAAATCGTGAACGTATCATAAAAGGCAGCATTGCCTGTACCAAGACATCAATGAACCCAGACTCGCTTCTCATCGTACGCGAGCCTTGAGCGCATTGACGGCTCGGTCCACCTCGTCGCCTGCTACCTTCTCCCATTTTGCTTTTCCATCAACGTCAAGTGCCTCGAAATCCCCGATTCTGTCATAGAGCATTCGGGAAATATCGCGGTTGATGATAGTATATTCATCCTTCGTGATGGCTTGGTCATGATAATGTGGCTTCAGAGCGGTCGCCACAAGCCTTTGCACGTCGGCCTTTGCGGTTAAGGACATGGTTACTCGTGTGGGAGATGCATTGGTTGATCGTGGCTGCATGACGGGACTGGAAGCGCTGTCTAAAACACGCGGGATACGGGTCCGTGGCCTAGGCTGCACCAGGTTTACCCCCGGAGAGGCGCCATTTCCGGCAGAGCTCTGTCCATTGGTGCGGGCAGCAGGTAACTCTCCAGAGCTCGGCCCACCTGGCTCCGGGGAAGTAGGACGCATCGGTGAATACTCGGTCAAGGGGAAAACGGGTTGGATACTTGAGGTCAAGCCAGCAGGCGAGCCGGGCCTTAGAGCAGTTAGCGGCGGTGGAGTTGCAGACATCGCTCTCGGTGAGGAATGGTTTGAGGGTAGTGGAGAAAGGGCTGGAGAAGACGGTTGTGGCGAGAACTGTTCGGCCGGTGGGCTAGGTGCAGGTCGGGGTGATGGTCGATGCATGCGCATGCTGTGTGCTGTGGATGAAGACTCTTCTACTTCCTGTAACAGTGACTGCAAGAAACTTGGTGCTCCTTGCTCGACAGTCAACTGCCGCCTGGGGATAGGACTCGCCGGGCGGGACGATTGTTGGGGTGCAGGATTGGTGGCACTAGATGCACTATTGTCGGATGCGCAACGAATGGGGACGCTTGGTCGTCTGCGGCGCTTGATCACTATAGCAGCAGATTCATTCTGAGGTTCAGCCGGTGAGCTGGTGCCTGATCTTCTCTTCCTCTTGCGTGACGAGCTTGGCCCAGATGACGAGGCGCGAGCCTGCTCGAATGCATGCCACGCCATGAGCTCGTCTGCGTTCTCAACCTGGCGTACGGGTGAAGGCCGAGTGGGTCGGGTGGATGGGGTATGAACTGCTCCAGGACTAGATGACACGGCTGGTTCTGTCTCCCTAAAACGACTTCCGGCTCCTTGGAGTTCAGCAACCTGCATACGGCGTGACCAAGCGTCATGAGCCTGTCGACTAGCCTGGGTGTATTGGCGGTGGCGTCGCAAATAAGTGGCCGAGTCATCCTCCTCATAGGGGAAGTCAAGATCGAGGTTGATTCGTGACCATACAGATTGCCACACTTGGTTCCAACTAGAATCGTTTCCACGTTGTCGCCTTTGTTGGCCTCTGGTGCGCCGACGGGTTACTCGACGTGAACGAGGTGCGACGCCTTGGAGGCGAGGGTTGACCTCTCGCTGCGCTCTGCAGCCGTCACAAAACCAATGGCCATAAGGCACCTCTTGAAGATCGACACAATAGGTATGCCACAATTTTTGACAGCCGTCGCAGTACATCAGCACATCTTCATTGTCGTCCTCTCCACAGGCCTGACATGGCTGGTCTTCGTCGTCTTCTTCAGGGATCTCGAGGAACATGGAAGGGTCCAACTCCGCCATTTGGGTACGGTCTTCGACAAGGTATGAGGAGATAACATCGCCTGGAAATCGTTAGCACCCCGAGTAACTCACGCGATCCAGTGACGCAACTTACCATTAATGGTGTGCATGAGTTCGACGAGGTGAAAACTGGCGCGACAGATCGGGCAACTGTTGGCCCTCTCCACCCATGGTGTTAGACATTCATTGTGAAGGTAATGCCCACACGGACGAAGATGTGCAATGAGTTCTTCACTGTTGGGTTCTTCTTGTTGTGGCGCTTTACCACCGATCAGTGAAGTAGATGTCTCCGTGACCTCGACCTTGACATTGATCGATGACGGAGACTTGGCAACGGTCGGGGAAGCAGGAACATCACCATTACCGCTGCTCAAGTCTCCAAGACAGACGATACATGTATCGGACATATAGATTTGTTGCCGGCCAAAGTTGAGCGCAATGCACTGCAGGCGGCGGAAAACGCATGGGGACTGGAGACTGCCACTGGTGGTTGGTCGGTGTCGATGTGGAAAAGAGAAGGAAGGTAAGTGGAGGCAGGGCCGAGATGCATTTTAAGCGGTCGGCTGCATCAGGCAACTGAGCCGAGCCAGCTAAGCGGCTCCCCACATCAGTCGAGTGAATGTGACCAGGCTATGGCGGCATGACCTCGACAGACATTTCCCGATTGGCCGCGTCAGTGCCTGGCCAGCTTGCAGCACTGGCACTGGCAGGAGCCTGTTCGTCACGGTGCCTAACAAATGCTTGATAGTGAGCTGCTCAAACAGGAGTGGACGGGTAGAACCAAACCTTCCTACAAATCCGCGAACACCCAATCCGGAGCAAGAGAGGAACTACGACGTATCGAACCGGTATCGTCTGGCGGTGTATCTGCGTTCGGGATGTTGAGGACCCCAAATGAGGACCTCGACTGATAAGATTCGCAACCTAGAGCCAAACCTACCTTCCCATACAACCAGTGAATCCCATCGAGCAGCTGCTCTCGCCAGGTCTTGCACATTGCCCGAGTGAGCGCCTGGAGCTGTGAGAGTACTGACGGACTTGTCAACAGGCATGTGGCGCACTGTCAGCGGGCCATAACTTCTCCACCACTTTCTGGTCCATAAGCTGCTGGGGCTTCATAATCTCCTGAGTGGGATTCATAACGCAAAAAGATGGATTAAATTTAACAACAAAGGAAAATTTGGTTCTTGGGATCGGTCATTCGATTGTGATCTATCGACTCGTGGACGGCCAGCAGGCGGTGTTTCTCGCGACTGTTCGGGAGATAGGCAACCGCCCTGGGCAAGACCGAGTCCAGAAGAAACGTCTTCTGGTATTTGGGAATCATAACATCCTTTTTGATTTCGTGGACTGATAACTCCGGGCCCATGCCAAAACGTGTTTACACCTCCGCGATTTCTCTCAGTCTTCGAATGGTCGACCGGGTAGCAGCAGCAGCCGGGGTACTGTACGATGGAGCTTGTTAGAATCTGCAACAACCTGCCAGATATTGCCCTTCTCTTGACTTACGAAACCGTCCAGGCGCCTCCAGCGATCGTCTTCTGGCAACCCTTGCACTTCCAGATGCCAACCGAGTGTCGCTTGACAGTATTCTTGCCGCAGAATGTGCAGATGTATCGTGCGTGCTGGGTGATTTCCATCTTCTTGACTTGCTTTCGGAGGGAAGCACCATATCGAGTGCCGTACTTGCCGGTCACGCCGACCTCTGTAAGATTGTCAATGAACATTCGACGCTTAGGAGTGGGCGATTGTCGTGGACTCACTCTTCGTGCGCTTCGTCATTTTGGCGAGGAGGGACAAAGATTCGTTGAGGACTATGAGGGTTGAATGTCGACGGCGTCAAGATGCAGCCGGAAGTCCAAAGTTGAATTGTGAAAAGTGCAGTTCAAGTTGTGGGCGAAAGTGGCTAGCGGCTTGGCGGATACAGACCACATTCGCACCTTAACTTGAAGGACTATCACGTGATGCAACAGCCCGCTGTCCCGCTTAGTCATCACATCATCTCATTCTCATCGCGATCTGACTTCCGAGGATTTGTTTCGTGTCTCGACATCAGCCACTACTGCGTCGAGTGTGCCAAAGCCACTAATTACGGTAGTCATGCCACCACAGCATGGCTGGTCATTAAACTCACCTGCACCGGACACACCCTCTTCGACGTGTTTCTGAACAGTATCTCAATCACAAATCAGAAACGGCCCAGGTCATGGCAATGGCTGACATGTTCGACGCGCCGGACTATCAATAATGTACTGGCACCTTTCGGTGCAGTGCAAAAATACACCACCCGTAAACCAACCCCTTTAAGGTTTTATTCCCCCGGGGCCGCCGCCGCCATGATCCCCTAGCAATTTTTGCCCCCAATTTCGACGGTAAGGCAGCCACCGAAAGGCCACATTAGCGTTTGGCTGACCCTGGGCTGCCCTTTCGTGTCATATGAGAAATTGAGAGTAAGGTATGCAGCGCTCAGCCTCTCCTTCAAGTTGCGCGCAGAAGACAGCGTCAGAACTAGTCATATACAACAATACCACTAGTAGTAAGGCTGGTAGCAGGCACCTGAGTACCTAAGTAGATACCTGGTGATCCAAGTACTAGTATTGGAGGCAGCGATCAGGTCATCGCGCTCCATTCGGTTCACGGGCAGCTAATATCGGCTGGAGTGGGCACTACTAAGTACAACTACTAGCGTTGCGGTCGCTAGTCTCGCCTGTCAACCTCGTGCGACTCCTCCTCGTCCTCCTCACTCCCAACTCTTGTGAAGCGTACACCTTTTCTCTTCGTCACCAAAGACCGAGGTGCTATTTCAGGTTCAAGTTGCTGATATCAGCTCCACAGGTCTTACAGCCTGATATCACTCCTGGCTGTATTTTCTTCTCCCTTCTGGCCATCTGCCGCTCTGTACCGACGACTTTGTTTTTGCTATATCCGCTCATTATTTGTCTCGCCGTCTTTTCACCATGGCAGCTCAACGGGAGTATGACATTGTCCTCCTAGGTGCGACGGGCTACACCGGCAAGTTGACGGCGGAATATATCACGACCAGCTTACCCACAAACATCCGATGGGCCGTTGCAGGGCGTAATCAGTCCAAGCTACAGTCGCTAGTCAATGAGCTGAAGTCACTCAATTCGACGCGCGACGTCCCGGACATCATCACTATCGGCGGTCTCAACACCTCTGAATTGAGTGACCTGGTCAAGAAGACCAAAGTACTTCTCAACACGGTTGGCCCTTACTACCTGTACTCGACGCCAGTGGTCGAGGCGTGTGCCCAATTGGGGACGCACTACGTGGACGTCTCAGGCGAGACGCCTTGGGTGAGAGAGATCATTGTCAAGTACGAGGAGACGGCCAAGAAGTCCGGTGCCATCCTGATCCCTGAGACTGGCGTCGAGTCTGCCCCTTCCGACATCGTTGCCTATGTGGCCACGCGTCTTGTCCGCAAAGTCTGGGATTGTGGCGTCATGGATGTGGTGGCTTCGGTGCACGAACTCAAGTCTTCCGGTCCCAGCGGAGGGACACTTGCCAGCGGATTGGGGCTCTTCGAACACTATCCCCTGAGCGAAGTCAAGAAATGCAGCGATCCATTCGTGCTTTCGCCGTCAAAACTCCACCCTTACACCAAAGAGACCATCTATCCTCCCAACCCTGTGCCAAACACCTACTCGCGTACTGCGTTGCAGAAACTCACGGGCGTCTGGTCGTATCCTCGCCTTGGGACGTTGACCACTTCCCTCGCCTCCACAGCCAATGCAGCCATCGTCCACCGTTCCGCCGGCTTAACCCCCTACTTTTACGGATTCAACTTCACCTACGAGGAATATATGGCCGTAAGCAGTCCGGTGGTCGGATTCTTCATTCACATTGCAATCAGCCTTCTGGCTATATTGCTCGCTTTCCCACCAACTCGCGCCATATTGAAACTGTTTGCGGCTTACAAGCCTGGGTCTGGTCCGGCCAAGGAGTCAACAAAGAACGACGCGCTGGAACTGCGCGCCATCGCGACCGCCGAACAGCTCGCCAAAACCCCGCGCAAGGCCCTCGCCACTTTCCGCTTCGAAGGCGGTCTGTATCACCTCACCGCCGTCCTCTTGGCCGAGGCTGGCTTCATCCTGGCCACCAAGGAAGAGGAAATCAAGAAAGCGCACGGCGTCGGGTTTTTGACTCCCTCATGCCTGGGCGATGACTATGTCGAGAGACTGCAGAAAGCAAACGTCAAGATCAATGTTCAGCAAATCGGCGATGTTGGCAGCAAGTAGGCGCTCTCCGGGGGCTGTCGTGTGACTCTTTTACGGATCGTGTTATAGCATTGGATAGGTATGGCGGCATTGAATTGAGTCACGGATATGAAAATTTGATGGCCGATACTTCCAGACAGCCGCTCTAGCAGCGAGTACGAGTCACCGAGGAGAGGAGTTCAAGTTCGGGAACAGCCGGGAATGTTAGAACAGCAGTGACGTAGAAGCTGACACGGAGATGTTCCCCAGGCTATTGGTCTGGATTTAGTTCAGATGTGTTTTTCTATACACCGCTACAATTGTGATTAGAAAATGATGATTGGCTTCAAGTTGCTGGACCAGAACTGAATGGTACCCGTGGGACGTCCCTGCAGCTATAGGTACTTTGCTGGTATGTGAAAGCTTGCCCATCAAGCATCGCTCGAGTCCTATGCTGTAGCCGCAGCGAAGGAAAGAGCACACTGTAAACAACCATCGCCGTGAGAAACTGAAAGTAAACCAAACATTGTTTGCCACTGCAGCCGACGTTCTTCCATATGATTTTACGGCTACTACTAGTAGACAAGAGAATAAAATCGAACAGGAAAGCTCTCAAATATAGCTGACTTTGACGCCCATTCCCACCGTGCCTCTGATCTTCTGCCAACTCGTGTCCAACAGCCTCTTTGCTCTTTCACGGATCTGCCTCTGGCTAAACGCCATGACGAAAGCAAGAATGAAGAGAAGCAGCCGCAGCAGCGTCGTCGGGTTATTTGAAACCGCTCCCGCCATATTGCGGGCCAGGTTGGTCAGGGCCAGAAACAACTGGCGGGCTTGCCTTATTAGGCCGTTTTGAGTGGGCGCCTTTGGTTTCCGGGTCGGACGACCAGGACGTGGCGTCTGAGCTGGAGGAGAGAGCTGGTTGTTGCGACCTTTGGGGCCGGCCCCGGATGGCAGGGGAGGAGACCGCGCGGTAGGCATAGGTTGCGGTGGAAGTTTGTTTAATGGAGCGGGTTGTGTTTGTGTTTGTGTTTTTTGGTCCGGCGTGCTAGATACGCTGCTGACTGATGATTGCGATGAGGAATATGATCCACTGGGATGCTCCTTTTCAATGCCATAGTCGACCTCGCTGCTTGTCCTCTGGTGCCTGGACGACGTGGGTTTGCCGGACCGCGTCCTTGAGTCCTCGTCGTCGCCGTGGCCGGTGCCTGAAGCAGTAAACTCGGGCATTCCCTCCTCGGTATCCTCGAAGATATCCAGCTCGGCTTGGCCAAGCTTTTCCCTTTCCGAAACATCCTGTAGCTCTTGTAAGGTCTGTAGAAACGCTTCTCTCCGTTCCTCATCTAGGATGTCACTGTTGGTGAGCACGCTCCGCGCATAGTCCCATTCTCCGTTTCGGGGAAGAACATGGAGGGTAAAGATTTCAATGATCTTGATCCGAGACGTCAGGTCTTTGGGTGTGTTTGTGCCATCCATCCCGGACCGTCGACCATTGCCACTGCCGGCATTATTATTGCTCAGATGGGCCGAGAGATCAAGGTCGAGTTGGGAAGAGGAAGAGGGGGAGGATGACGAGAGATACGTCTCAAGCCGCGCTTGGTTGACTTTCTGGTCGGGAGCCTGTCCCAGAAGCAAATTCGATCTGTCGAATCAGTGTTAGATCGCGGTCACGCCGGGGAAGAGGGCGTACACAGAGCACACTCACAAGTTGTAGACAACCTCCGCATCCACGGAGCCTTCGCGACCCTGATATCCATCTCGGACAACTTGTTCCCAGATATCTCCGCTTTGCACTGTTCGCACGATACCTTTGTACACCTTCTCGCCAAACTGTTCCTTGCCCTCTTCCAGCCCAAGATCAATGATTGAGTTCAGCAGAGTCACATACAAGCTCCAGATCTTGATCCGTTGACTGGTCGTAGCCGTTGCGATTGGAGCCTGCGCCGGGCTATCGTCGGGCCTGGCCTGGCCCGAGGGCGTCACCACAGGTTTCAGAGCCTCGTACGCCTCGACTAGTCTTCGAGTGAGAAATAACTGAGATGCATGCTTGTAGATTTTGGATATCTCGGACGACGATCGCTTGCTCGACCGGTTAAGCGAGGATTGAGATGACGAGAGCAACTGTGTGCTGGATGTGGACTCCGAGTCTATCGACATGTTTGCGGCGAGAGCAATACTAGCAATGAGACAAGTACATAAGGACTAGTAGCGTGTCGAGCGAGACGCAGGTTCAGAGTTCAAGTTGAGGGATGTCCAGATGATGTAAAGAGCAAGTCTGGGGTTGGAGGAGCTCGACCGCTGGATGGCATCGCGCTTGGGCCTGTCACTGGGTCACTCGTGGGAACCTCGGCTATAATCCTACACTGCACTGAAGTATGGCGGAAAAGCAGCAGAAACGTGCAGCTGGGGTATGAGCCGCTCATCAGCAATCTCTTCTATCCTAGCTTCCAGGCTCTGATATCCAAGATAATGCCCGCCACTATCTAGAAATGAGGATAGTATTCAATTGCGCCGCCGTGATAGATCCAAAATACCCTCCTGGCAGGCATTTGCTTGTAGTTTGTTGCTAATCAGCTTCCAGAATTCGGCGTCCTCCTCCCACCGCGGCAGCAAACGACCCTCCTTCACCATCCGAGCAATCCGTTGTTCCTCTTTAAACTTCTTTTGGGTATCGTCCTGACTTGAAACCTCAGGCACACCATCTTCAAGCATGTCGAATATGTTTGACTTTTGAGACATGGACTTCAATTTCTTCAGTCCTAATCTCGGCAACTGCACCACCTGCTGAGTCGCCTCGGTAGCCTTGACAGTACCTGTCTGAGCTTGTTCTCCGGCAGATCCAGGACGCGATCTGGGAAGGGAGGCACCGGACGCTCCTTGATTGCTGCTTTCCGGCCCAACCAAAATAGACTTGACAGCGGTCACGGGTGCCTTGATTGCTTCCACTATTGCTTTTGTCAAGCCAGGCTTTTGAGCTTCTGATTCCGAAACGGCTTCAGTTGCAAGCTCGTACTGGGTCTTTTCAACCGCAGGCGGCGGAGCTTCGGCAGGCGGAGCTTCGGCAGGCGGAGGAGCAGAAGCCTCAACCAAGCCTCTGAGTTCTTCAAGCTTGCGCTCTCGTTTCAATTTTCCGGGTATTCTGAGGCCAATTTTGGCCGTGACGTAACTATCGAAACCCGCTTCATGGTAAGTCGAAGTATGGAGGTAGCGGTCAAATCCTGGAGCAAAGGTGAAGCGAGGTACGTCCAATGTATCGATGTCGGTTTCCACAGCTTGCAAGGATGTGTCTGCCCAGCGCTTGTTCCCCAGGCCAGCGATGTATTTCGTATCCAGGATAAGAGGAAACAACTCTTGTACTCGCGCACTAAAGTCTTCCACCCGCTCTGGCAGATTATCGACAAAACAGCGGTAAAGATTTATAAGATCTGTCAAGCAATTGTGACCGATGAAAGCGCGTTGTTGACTTTTGAGCTTCGCTTGAAGGTCATCCAGGAACCCTTGAATATTGTCGGGTGCTTTGCCTTCAGGATGAGCGGCTTGCACGTAGCGATGCGGCATTCTAGAAACATCACCACCCATGATTGCTTCGATGATCCATCGAAACCCTACCGCGTTCAGAACTTCACGCTCACGGATCTGTTCCCGTACTTCCTTCTCGTTTGCTTGCTGCTCAGCAGTCGGATTCGTGATCTGAACAAAGTGGCCCATTCCTTGAGTTTTGAGTTTCGGATACTCGTTTCTCACGACCTGGTGCGTCAATCGAACTTGATATCGATTCAGGGCTGCTGGTAGAGGCTCCTTGGCGTTTTCGGCAGGAATGTTGACATATGGCTCTTGCTTCTCCTTTGGAGTGGCTTGCCAATCCTTGATTGATTGCCTGATATGTTCCACAAGAGGGGAGTCATCCTCTTTCAGAATCATGTCAGGGATATTGGCTCTTGCTTGATCATCTTCGAGGAGTTTCTTGCGCACTTGCTCTTCCTCCTGCCGTGACAGATATTGGACGCCTTGCAATATGGGCCGGTCAATGTTGAAACCGTTGCGGATTAGAAACGAGACGGCGCCACTATTGTACGACCATACTCGGCGGAAAACTTGCTCCTTTGTCGCTGGAAGTGGGCTCAGATCGAAGTTATAGGGCCGAGCAACATATTGTCCTTATGAGCAGTCAGCTGGACCGGCCATATATCTTCCATACTTCAACTGGGGTGAGACAAAATTCCCACAGCAGCGTTCGGACCTTCAGGGGTTCGTTCAAGGGACAGGTAAACAAAACGTACGATGATATCGACCCGGGGCTGAGAACAGGATATATAAAGTCACGTCATAAACAAGAACGCACCTTTTTGAGTGTCCTCTGCGACCACTGTCAGTCCAACCTGTAGGATTTGGTAAATCTGAGCCGCAGCTCTGAGATCCTGGTAGTAATCTTGCAGGGTCAACTTTCCGGAGCCTCCTGCCGGTCGTCTGCCTGCAACGCCCGAAAATTCGAGATCGAACGCGACAAACCGACTGTCGGCGATGTTCTGGATAATCTTGATGGCCTCGCCTTCGAATTCTGCGCCTGTAATATTCATTCTGGGAGGGTAGGCTCTGCTATGCGCAGGAAGAAGCCGCGACGACGTGCCAGGCGAAAGAAGACATAGAAGTTTGCTTTGGAGGCCAAACAGGCGACGAAGCAGACCGCTCATCAAACAATATCACTCAGCTGCAATCAACACCGGTAGTGAATATCAGCTGCTCACGACATACTAGCGGCCAAAATTGACTGAAGGTCGAAGTGTTAGAGAGGAGTCTACCTCTCCATATATGTAAAGTGGCTGTAGTCAAGATAACATCGAAACGTCAACTGACGACATTATTGAAATCAACAAAGGAAATATTGCCTCTCTACCTATGGACTTCCGCAAAACGTTGATGGCGGGCTCAGGTTCGAGTCTGGGAGATTCTAAGCAAAGATATTCCTAGATATTATGAAATCTTACGCGAATCGCTTGACTTGTACACAGCAGCCTTCGGGTTTATGAGTTGGTGGCCATGTCGAAACTGTGTCATGTTATAGTTGCGGATTAATTATAATATATTCGATTATTGTGGGGGACTCGCAACTCGTCGACTTCAAATTGCGCTGCCCCACGAAATTCATCTTGCCCAAGTCATTCTTTTGTCTCGTATCTCACCCACGACCAACCACTGCACCGATCATATTGCATAAAAGACCTGCGGTCGACAGTCGCCATTACCCTCCCTTACGGCTCTCCCGAGGAATGACACAGGGAACGGGTGCTGTGCTCTTACACAACTAGCCCGGCGGCATGGCCGTTTCTAATACTTCGTCCTCCCTTTCTGCAATCTTGCAAAAGACGAGCCTCGACGACCATGAAGAAATATTAAACGCGACCAACAAAGCCATCAAGGCGTCCAAATCCGATCTCGAAGCTCAACATGTCAAGGTCGTCGCCCTGATCAAACTCGATCGGTTCGACGAAGCGGTCAAGTTCATTGAAGAGGCAGGGGATGCTTTGAAAAAGAGGGCGGAGCTGGAATATGCTTACGCCTTGTACAAGTCTGGGCGGCTGGGAGAAGCCGTTGAGCTCGCATCTAAGCTCAAGGACAGGGGCGCTCGGCATATCGAAGCGCAGACGAGATATCGGCTTGAGGATCCTTTACGAACATTAGATCTCTACAAAGGCTTGAGAAGCAAGAATCTTGGACCTGAAGATCTCGATCTCCTCGTCAACCAGAGTGCGGTCAATGCCCAAGCACAATGGCTTGGTGTTACACGCCCTGATATAACACGGAGAGCCGAGCGAGATGATCTGGCCACGTTTGAGACCGCGTACAATGCCGCCTGTGGGAGCATTGCAAGAGGGGAGTTTGAACCGGCCCAATTCCTGCTTAAGCGAGCAGAAGAGCTCTGCAAGCAGTCCGATGAGTTGACGGATCAGCAGAAAGCAGAAGAGCTTGTGCCGATACGTGCGCAGCAGTTATATGTGCTTCTGTGTCTGGGTAAGACTGCTGAAGCTGAAGATCTGGCCGCTGGGGTCAAACCCGAGGATGCATTCGACATGTCAACGCGAAGGATCATTGAAAACAACCTGTTTCTGACGAGTCCGTCGTCGAATCCTTTCGTGGCCTACAGAGCCTTCCATTCGAACACCACAATCCCGGTCCATGATAAGCTTTTCTCATTTCAGAGCGTACCTTTGCAGTCGAACGAATTTTCCCTGGATTTACAGACCTTCAAATTTCACGCGGTTACCTCAGCTACTTCGAGAACCCTTCAGCAAGCTTCTTCCACGCCTCTCTCTGCAAATGTCCTTCTCGCGTCGTTCTTCAACGCGGCAGCTCATGCGAGAAACGGAACGGGAAAGCAGGCAATCAAGAGTATATTGCCACAGCTCGAGAAGAGGCCAAATGACATTGGGTTGCTTTTGACTTTGGTGCAATTGTATGTACAGACCGGCAACATCACGTCACCGGTTGAACTGGTGGAGTCGTTCTTTAAGCGGTTGGAGGAGTCGATGCTCGAGACCGAGCAAGATATCAGGTTTAACCCCATTCTTGTGAATCTTCTAATAGGCCTATACAAGAAGAGAGGCCAGACTGGGCATGTCAAATCGGAACTTGCAAAAGCTGCGGTATTTTGGCGTAGGCGTCCGGACCCACCCACAAGCTTGTTGACAGCAGCAGGTATCTCGCTCTTGGAGTCACAAACGGAAGACGATGTCACTGCTGCGGCGGATATTTTCAGCAAACTGCGCGAGCAACTGCCCAACGATAAGGCGACCATAGCGGGCTACGTGGCATCTCATTCCGCCGAAGGCGAGTCGCAGCTTGCGGCAGATGTGGAAAAGCTGACGTCCACCTCGGAGCTGACACGAAACATCGACATTGACGCACTAGAGTCCTCAGGCATCCCACAATCGTCCAACGCTCTGGCAATCGCCCAGCTTGGCCAGTCACGGAAGCGAGCTGCTCCTTCTGATGGAAACGTCAAACCCAAGCGGGTTCGCAAGTCGAGGCTACCCAAGGACTACGACGAAAACAAGAAGCCAGACCCAGAGCGATGGCTGCCAATGAAGGACAGGAGTTACTACCGGGCGCCGAAGGGCAAGAAGAAGGGCAAACGAGCTGGTGATGACAGAACGCAGGGTGGAGTGGTCAATGAGGACCTGAACGTCGAATCTAAGCCCTCGGTTGCACCCGCCGCAACGGGTTCAGGAGCAGGCAAGAAGAAGAAAGGCAAAGGAAAGAAATGAAATGAAAAGCCAGCTCAACGCATGGCCATAGAGGCAGATTCTTGGATGCCGCCGTCAATGTAGAGCACACAACATGTTCCTGATGATAGAGCAGCTATCCAGGAACAGCATGCCTGAATCAAGGTCATACGGTGTTACAGCCGGGTATCCTCTTGGGTAGAGTCTTCCCATGAACGAGCTTCGGGCAGATACCTAGTCACCAGCTCTTGCTTGTACCATGGAACCTCGGCGGATCGACGATGGAATGACCACTTGTATCCTACGGTAGCTGCTGTAAGGCTTCTTACAGCCTGTCAAAGTATCCCAGCGCATAATGTAGGATTGCAGTCTTTCTGAGGTAGTTCGGGACTGCACGTCGCTTGCCTCCGGGTGGCTCGGTCCTTTGCAGCCGTTCTGGCGCATGCTATAGGAGAAATGTGAGACACGTCAATGTGGAAGAAATAACAACTCAGGGCGCTGGATCGACCAGTGCGTGGCGAGCACTGACTCCGAGTCGTGAAAGGAGCAGCTGTTAAACTTAGCGTTCTTCGGATGTACCAGCTAAAGTAGGACGGACTCGCGTGGAGGAGAGAGCAGGGGGAAAAACCACGGATGTTGTGATGATGCTGGCGGTAGTAGCAGTGTAGTAGTAGTAATGATGGGGCTGGTAGAAGAAGGACTACGAAAGGCCACCGCAGTGCCAGTAGTGACAGCTCCAACACCAGCACCAGTCCAGAGTGGGGGGGGGGGGGTTTGAGGTGCGTCGAGAAATAACCCGAAAAACAACTGACAACTGAATGGCAGCGGGAGCGACGTCCTTGACTGCGAGTTGGAACTTCAGAGTTTGACCTGATTCACCCTTGACTTGACCTCGCTTCCCGGACTTCCGTCAATCCTTTTCATTTCTTCTCAGGCTCTTCGCAGGAACCCATCGGTGACAGCACAAGCAGAAGTTTGTCCTGCGCAATGTTCTCTCCTTGGACCGTGTGTTGCCGTCTTGCCCCGTCAACTCCTTTCCTGGGTCCCCCGTCGGCGGTGTAACGGCACGCGAACCCTCCTCTGTGCGGCACGCTCACTGCAGTGCTCAGGCTGTGCTGTGCGGCTTGCCATGCTGGTCTGCGAGTCTGCGGCCGGTCCATGGTTACTCAAGTGCCCTCGAGCCAGCGGTCTCATCACACACTGGCACTGCACGGATCCAAGAAAAAGAGAGGCATCGCAGACGGCGGCTCCCCTCCAGCGAAAGAGTCGGCTCCAAGGTCATGGGGTCACCGCACACGCACTGGCATCGGATCCTGGGTCTTCTGGGTCTTCTCCCACGCCTTGCCGCCTTCGCTTCCTAGCGGCGTCCTACCGAAAATCTGCAGCCCGCCCGGGGAGGCCCGTTCTCTACCAAGGCCCCGGTTCTGCTGATATTGCAATGTGTGATCAAGAGCCTCATTGGCCAGCCCTGGCCATTTCGCTGGCCGTGGCAACTCGTCGGCGCACAAACTAATCCATCTCACCTTCGGTAAGCTCCTCTTTTCACGCGTGCTGGCTACATTTAGTCCCCCTGAGTATCGTTGCTCGTGGATCAAGCCTCATGGATCCGAGACCTCTTCATCATTGGCACTTTGACCACGTCGTCTATCCGGCGCTGGGACTCTGTGACCACCTTCACAAAATGCCCTGGCTGGTAGCACTTCTACCCAAGAGCTTGGACGCTGCTGCTGCGTCTTGACCACATTTTGCACCTCACGCCTCTGCTTAAAACATGTCAACTCTCCTCAACCTTGCCCGCAGATACTCCTCCTGTCCTTGTAACTGTCGTGTCTCATCTGAACTCCGCTTCCCGGTCAACCTGATTGACAGCCGTTGATAATTCTCCTTGACTGTTTGACATATATACCATCCACGCTGAACAAGGCCGACTGTCGCTGTTCTTCTGCTTCCAACACTTTTTTTGGTCTGCCACAGTGGGCCGGTTGGGTCATCCACCGATCCACGTATTAACCAGGCATTTACCCAATTGTCTGGGGTTCTCCCTTGAAGCAGTCTTCGCCTCTGCGGGTTGTGCCTATCTACTCCCAAATTTCTTACGCTCTGGTCACTTCACACTTCAGTCCGGAGTCACTTATAGAAAATGGACCTGGCCTGCAGCGGCTTTACTGCTGTCAATGTGGACTCGGATTTTGAACAACCAGAAGATATCCACGAATACTTCACTCTACAAGCACCACCCAATACCACTATATGGCGGAAGCCGTCCGCTATAGATGACACCACGGCCCCAATGGTGCTGAAGCGCTTGCAACAATCATTCATCCTTGCGGAAGTCACCGTATCTGCCGATTTCGCCATGGAGTTTGACCAAGCTGGTCTGGTCATATTCTCAGGCTCCCTGGGAGACCCGCCTTCATCAAGATCCCCCAATGTCCGGAGGAGTCCGCGTTACTACAGACCCAGGATGGAAACACTTGCTCGGGGCAAGTGGGCAAAGGCCGGCCTGGAGTTTACGGGAGGCGAACTCCATGCCGCGTCTGTGGTGGCCATCTCCAGTTGCGGTGCCGACTGGTCGTCGTCTGCACGGATGCCCTCACCCTCAACCACATTCGACCCATTTTCACTGACGTCGCAATCGCTGCGCATCAAGTTCGAACGGGTCGAAGAATCTTTGTGGATCTGGTATCAGATACCTAATCTCAGCCCCCAGCCCTCGGATTGTCAGCCGCCGTCTTTCGATCCTGGGCGAAGAAGCCCAGAAGATGTAGGGTCGGGCTGGAAGAAAATGCGCGAAATCATGGGGTTCTTTGGCGGCATGGAGGGCAAGGCGAATGTCTGGGTGGGATGCTATGCGAGTCGGCCGATGAATTTTGAGCCCAGCAACAGCTGGGAAGAGGTCGATGCATTGGTCGCCGAATTTGAAGATCTGGACATTTTATGATTGTTTCCAGTGAATTGACTCAATCTAAAGGAAGAGAGGGGCAGAAGTATACGCCAACTAACGTGCCTCAGCGTTCGATATCAGTCCTTGGCATTGCCAAAAACGTTGGGCTGTGTAGAGGTTGTGGGGACGCGGTATTTCAGAAACTGTGCCGACCTCTCGTCCAGAATTGTTGATTTGAGCGTTTTCGTTTGTTTATTTTGTAACACCAGCGTCGGTGTATCATGCGTACGAGCTCTGATCCAGCGAGATGGGAGAGAGGCATGCCGGCTTGGGCGACGTTTTCGGGACTTCGCGAGCGACAAAGCTGATATTGACCGGGTCTTCGGTAACTTGCATTTTGGATAGCTCAATCTGCAGCTCCTGTTTGTTGTGCAGAAGATACCACAATGAGAATCATGACACAGAGCAAACCAGAGCACCATCTTATTTCCCTAAACCAACTCCTTCCGTCCGGTTGGAACCGAAAACAAGCCAATCTCATCTGCAGTGACGTACGGCCTTGACCGACTGAGCCTCTCGTGTGAAATTCAGTAGCATGTCTCAGCGTCGCGCACAGCGTTTGAGAGCCATTGAATCCTCGTCTATTGTATGGATGCAAGCAAGCCCTAATTTCGTGCTTTCAAAGGGTACGCAACCTAGTCTCCGTAGCGCAATCTTCGACCACGGTCGTCGCGAGCATTGCGAACAATTTCGACCTCAACCCCGTGTTCCTTGGCCCAGGGGACGACGTCGTTGGAAACCCTCAGGCAGTTTTTCAAGACGATCTTTCGCAGATTTGGGGGGTTTCCCCGGATCAAGTCCGCGACGAACAAGGTGGTGATCTCGGCGCTGTCGAGGCTCAATTCCTCCAAATCCGGAGTGTACTCGAGAAATTCCCTGTGATAGATATCCCACACAGGTTCGCCTCTCACATGGAGGCGCTTGAGCCCCTTAAGCCAAGGTGTGCGCAAGAGGAAGGAAAAACGAGTGACTGCCTCGGACTCCCAACTGATGCTGATAATCCATTCCTCCAGTGTTCCGGGCTCGACTTCCGCAGCCTGCTCCTGCAAGAAAATGGGATACATCGGACAGTCGTAGACGGTGAGGCTCTGGAGGTTGTGCAGGGATCCATGGCCGGGCTCCCAATTCAATTGCTGAGCGAGATGAAGATCGAATCGGCGGTCGCGGAGTGTGGCTTCCTGGAACATGACCGAGGTGAATCGGAGCTTGCGGATGTTCTTGGGGAGAACGAAAGATGGCAGGGCGCCACGTTCTGCTTCTAGAACTTCGAGTCGTTCCATGTGTCGTAGATCAATCACCTTGCTTGGGACAGGCAGTTGGAAGCAGGATAGGCCTGTGAAAGAGAGGGATTCCAGTGCGGGCAGGCCTGAAAAGAGTTTGTCCTGACATGACAGTCCAGAGTTAGTTCAGTTGACGTACAGTACGAACAAGTGTTGCATTGCACATCACCAAAGGATAGCAACTGTTGGTGCTTACATGATCAAACTCGACCACTATGCCGACGAGCTGGAGTTGTAGGACACGTAGAATGTTGGATTCTAGCTTGAGCCCTGTGCGATCGAGGTAGTTCTCTCCGGGTTTAGAACCAGTAACGTTCCTGAACTGCGCAACCTCGACGTTGGGACAGTCTTTTAGGATTTTGGGTATCACGTCGAACGGCACGGCCGTGGAAGAGCCAAAGATGATGCTTTTCAAGTCGTATTTGGAAAAAGGAAGTCCCGTGACCGAGATCCACTTATCTTGGATCTCCAGGGTCTGAAGCATCGGTAGGCTTTGATACCTTTGCAGCGTTCTGCTGAGGATCTGCGAGGAAGCCTCGGTCAAGTGGCAGGCGGAGATAGTCGTAGGCTCCTTCAGGCGTCTCAAAGCTGCATGCAGCATTTTCGGAGTAATCGCCCTCTCTGCGCCCGGAAAAGCAAGAGTGTCGGTGAGTGGAGGCAATGTTCGAAGCATTCTGTTCCAGGCTTTGCACACCCGCAACATTTGCATATGCTGTCTGTACGGTAAATACCCCAGGATGATGTTGACAATCTCCAGCGGGAGAGTCGTCATGGGATCCTTTGCGTTCGCGAGGAGGGTCATGGTTCTCAGTTCGTCCTTCACGGCGGCGAGTTCTCTCGCGATCAACTGTGTATATTGATGGAATGCCGATACCTGCTTCAGCCCATGTTCGTAGAATTTCTGTGCCGCGGACCTGTTTCCGAGGCGGCGCTCGATCTGTCCACATCTGATGTAGCCTCGTCCATCCGTGCGGTCAATTCGAATCATGGCCTTCGCGTCCTTCAACGCCAGTTCATCGTGTCCCAGCCGGATGTGCAAAGCAGTTCTCAGATCAAGGAGAGTCACGCGAGTCTGAGCAGTCACGCTTCGGTCCCGTTCACAGGTCTGTAAGGCTGTGCCGGCCAGGTCGAGGGCCGCATCGTACTTCTTGTTCCTGGCGGCCTCTTGGCACTTTTTCAGAAGTGCGGAAACCGAGTCGCGTGCCGCGGCCCCAGGAGCCATCTCGGACGGAGGACCAGGACGATACTCATCTGGACATTGCGGACTACGAATATGGAGAAAGTCAACGCGTATTGATTGTTACACGGTGGTTGAGGCGGTGGATGTGAAACCAGATTGACGCGGTTGCGTTGCTGCCCTTCCGGCTCAACTTCGGAATTGACCCTCCAGCGTGTTTATGTCTAACCCGTTTCAGACGCCAGAGATGAACCACGATTCAATTCGGTTCGGGCTTGATCAGTCTTGCAAGCCTGAGCATTCAAGGAAGAAGCGCTTTCTTTAGTCTGTCCACTGACAGCACTCACAATGGAGTCGAACAGTCTCGAGAGGGCCTCCCAGTACCTCAACAACCTTCTGCTTGCCCGCGGCCTCCTCTCCAATGGGAAACCAATCGATTTCGCCAGACCCGACCGCAGCGGCAAGGGAACAGATGCGACAATGTCCCGGGTCATCAATCTTGTCCACAACTTGGTCTTGCGACGCGACCAGGACGCTGAACAACGAGAAATGCTTGCGATGAAGATTCGCGCCACCCGCGCCGACGAATCTCAGCGTGTTCTTGATCTCCAGAGACTACAAGATAAGAATGCAGAACTGGCGCGAGTCGCGGCGTCGGCAGAATCGGTAGAGCGAGCCTTGAAGTCAGCCGCTCGAAAGGCCGAGATACAAGCCAAGGAACTTAAGGATCAAATGTTGAAAATGAAGTCTACATTGGATCAAGTTCGTGCCAAATGTCTGAGTGATGTTCGAAAACGTGATGTCGAGCTGGACAAACTGAAGGCTCATCTGGCCGGACTACAACGCGGCAAAAAGGATGCGTCGGGCATGAAAATCAATGTTATAAACTGGGAGCCGGAAACCAAAGGCCAGGAACGACGGAACGGCCAGAACGTGGACAGTACGGAATGGAGCTTGGAGAAAGAGACGAATGACTTTCTGGCGGCGGTGCTGAACGAAACCAGCGCTGAAAATGTCTCCCTAAGGCGTATCGTCACTGATACCATGAAGATACTTTCGGATCTGACCGGCCTGTCTGAGACAGCCACCGAACAACATCTTGATCCGGAGGGAGTTTCGTTCGCAGGCTCCAAAGAGCCTGGCCACTCAAATCGGGAACAAGATCAGTCGGACCACGGTCTGACATCATGTGCGGCTTTGGCAGACCAGATGAGTTCGATTCTGAGCCATTGCCAGTCGATTCTCAGGGATCCTTCCTTCGTACCAATCGAGGAAGTTCACATACGCGACGAAGAAATCATCAAGTTAAGGTCGGGCTGGGAAAAGATGGCAACCAAGTGGAAAGAAGCAGTGGCCATGATGGATGAATGGCGGAAACGCAGTGGTGAGCGAGGCGAAGTCCTGTCTAATGATGACTTCTCGGCCTTCCAGCTCGGCCAAAGTGTTGCCATGCTGCCCAATGGACAACCTGTGTTTGCCATCGACGAGGATTTACATTCCGGATTATATGAAGACTGCAACCTAGAGAACCAGTCTGTACCAGAGACCGAACAACAGCCGCCGGAGCCTTTACAGGAAGGCTTGGATGAAGATGAAGGCCAAGAATCGGATTTTGAGATTCCACTTGAGCCCACCGCTAAACGATTTGCATCAAGCCCTCGCCGTGCCCGTCTGAACATCGGCAAACCATTGCGACCTTTAGAATCCAATGATCACAATCTAAAAGCATCGCCGAACCGAAGCGCCGTCACCAGGGGCATTCCGAAGCACGCTGCGGAATGGGAACAAGACGAGGAAAATCAAGGGCCTGCTCAACAAGACGAAGATATGACAATGTCAGTGGCGGAGAAGCTAGCCGCTGTCGAGGCTGAGGCAGTAGAAGCGCAAAAACTCTCGTCACAACAGGCTAAGAAACGGAAGCAGGCCGGCAGCCAGAGATCAAAAAGGGCTACCAGACGGCGGAGCACGCTTAGTCCGGACGAACTTGCTGCACTGATGGGTATAGAATAGCTCGAATGAAGAAGTTGATAACTTATATTTTTGGGGCAGCCATGTTAAAGATTGCGCCCTCTGATCTACCTTTCTCTGAGGGAAGGACCAAAATGCTCGAAACGAGTAGTCATTGAATCTATGGCACTGTTGTTTCCGAGACGGCGTATACATCATTTGTCTCGAATATCAAACGAAGTCGACGGACGATGTGTAGCTGACTAAGCTGCACGCCATTTCCTGATTGGCCAGCCTTGGCTTGCTCTCCGGACTCTTTATTCTGCGCGTTCTCGACAACAAACGCGCAACGTCGACGGTTTGAAGTCCACAAACTCTTTCACCCTCCACACAGCTTGCTACGAGGTGATTCAGCCAACATCCTCGTCAGCCTGCGCACCCGTATGACACATCGATAAGGCGACCTCGACATGCGCTCAGCGCCGGCGGTTTAGGCACGATGAACAAATTCTCTGCGGACTACTCGTCCAGCGTCAACTCGACCCCGGCCAAACCGCCTCCTCGCTCACATTTGTACAGCTCCGACGAGCCTCAGCTTGCTAGTACAACCCCTATCGCGCCGCCGCCTTCCCAGATCTTTGGCAGTTCGGCCTTCGGTACCGGCGTCAGTAAGCTGCACCTGTCCAAGCCTTCGAAGTCGTCTCCACCACTTCGTCCGTCGAAATACAACCCATCGCTTCCTCGCACCAAGAATGGCACTCCTGCAAAGATAGCCCCGAGGCCATATCACACCTCCTTCAATACGACTCTAGCCTCGCAATATACCGATCGCACTGAGGATGCATATGCAGACGAAGATATGGAAGAATACGACTATGAGGATGACACAGGCATTCAACTCCCGCGAAAGGGTCGTTCTGTCAATCGACAATCTGTCGCTTCGCTCCTGAAATTCAGCCAGCGTGAGTCGACAATGTCAGCTCCGCGTCGGTCCTTGCGCCATTCCCGGCTTTCGGCCTTGCCCAACAAAGGCGCCGAGTCGGTCGTCCCTAACCTGGCCCGGGAATTGGCTGCGCGAAGCGAGCCTGCTGCTCTGACTGAACCCGATGAAGTGATTCTGCGAACCGAGCAAATCCTTCGCCAGTTGGACGAACACACCCAAAACCTGAGAGACAATACTAGGGCCCTCCAAGAAATTACCGAACACGTCTATATCCTCCTCCCAGAATGGCAACGTTTTGTCAACATCGAGCGCCCGTCCCTTGATAGCAACGATATAGGGCCTCAGAACTCAGCCACACCATTCGCCAAAGCCAACTACCTCGCCTCCCTGCTTCTAGCTCTTCATCATCCACCCACAGGCCCCGACGACACGACTCTTCCGACACCACAAATCCTTCTCGATTGGCTGGACACGTATCATGTCTCTTACGAGCCACTCTACCATGCAGTGGTCTCGGCACGACCTAACTGCACGTCTCATGACCTCTTTTGGGATGCTGTTCAAAGCTTGATGCTGCGCGGGAAGTTCGACATGGTCATGCGCCTTTTCGCGGAAGCAGACTTCAGGTATGCCGCGTCCGCGGTGGACGATGGAGCGGATGAACCTGGGTACAAGGGCGCACAACTTCAGTCGATACAGGGTGTCATATATCAGGCTCGGGTTCTTCTCAATTCTTGTCCTGTTGTTCAGTCCGGCGATTGGAATCTTGCAGGCGCAGAATGGGATCTGTTCCGTACACAGGTGGAGGCAGAGTTGAACAACTTGACCGAGCTGGCGGCTACCCACCCCGACGATGACACTGCATCCTTCGAAGCGGAAAACTTCGGCCTGCGCAAACCTGGAACAAGCCTCCTCGGAAAACTTGGTCAGAGCACAGCATCGGCTTTGCCTTGGACCATCTTTCAAAACCTTAAAATCCTTTACAGCATACTCCTTGGTAGTGCCGAGGAGATCGCCGCTCAATCACAAGATTGGCTGGAAGCAGCGACATCGTTGACGATCTGGTGGGATGGAACCCTGGATGCTTCAGTCGCCCAGTGGAGCTTCGATGTAAGCCGTGCTAACAACATGACTGAAGATGGCGGAAGCGTCAATCCCTATCTTGGCCGGCTTCGAGACTCATTCCTGAGCGTGACTGACCCGAACGACAAGAATTCGTTCCAGATCAACGCCATGTCACCAGTGGAGGTGGGCCTAGGGTGCATTCTCCAAGGCAGTTCTGAAAGCGCGTTGATCATCCTTCGTATCCTGTCCCAGTGTGTTGCGTCAACTATAGCAGAGATTGGCACAAAGGCACAGTGGCTCGAAACTGAGAGTTCCGTGAGGCCGATCGGACTGAATGACGAAGACCTTATGGTCCTCAGTTATGGGGTACCGAAGCAGGTCGTAAGCAAAGACGAAATAATGCTGGGTTATGCCGAACGTCTTTTTGAGAAGGACGTGTTACAATTACCTGATGGGGCGTCGGTCGAAGGTTGGGAAGTCTCCATTTCAATTGCCACCCGACTAGACGATCGCGAGGCGATGCACTCAACTGTGGCCCGGTTTCTCGACCAGCTGGAAGTGGTCTCGCAAGATCGCGCTGAAAAACTCACAAATCTGTGCTCGGATCTCGGCCTACAGGACGAGGCACGTAAAGTGTCGGATCGTTTCGGAGATTATGTCGTTAACAATACCACCGAATATGGCACAGCCTTGTTGTGTTATGCAAGAAGTCACGCCGCGCACAAAATCCGGCAATTGATCGATATGCTTATCAGCTACTCGCTTGTCGAATCAAGGGCTTATCCACCAGAGGACGAGATGGATGAAGGGCTGCAGAGTCTGGTGCAGAGTCCCAGAACAGCATTGGCAGACATCGTCGAAGTCGATCCGGAGGCCGCAGAGATGCTACAGTTCTACCTCGTGGGGTATGCCTGTCTCCGCAGATTCTACACCCTGAGAGATGAGGATTCTTATCCAGACGGTCGGGGCAAAGTGTCAAATCTGCGACCTCTCGCCCGAAGACGGGCTGCCTCCAAGGCTTTGGTGGCGGCCATCAACAGTGCGGCGGACAGCATCTACGGAGGCTTGTACGACCCTGAGCGCCAATCTGCCATCCAAGTGGACGGATTGCTGACGTTGTTGGGAGAGGCCACGGCATTGCTTGCACGCAACCGCCCTTCCGCACAACACATCTTCACCTCACAACAAATCTATGCGCTTCTGGCGGCCATCGAGGATCTCTCCACCGTGTCTTCACGCGTCTACGAGGCCACCGAGGACTGTCTCCAGGCCTCGCTGCGCAATTATCACGGATCTCAGCCGCCCAGTCCCCATGCCATGTTGAAGAAGAGCATGTCATCTGGAACCAACTCCAACTTTAGCTTCAGCATGATGGGATCGGAAATGTTGGCGAAGAGTGACCTGACCAGTCGAGGCACGGGCGGAAAGAGTGCTGGAAGCAGCGGAGTCTTGGTCCCTGGTCCGCAAGGCAACGTCTCCCGAGGGTGGGACTGGCGCGCCAGCTTCAAAGACAAGGATGTCACTGGACGGGATGTGGTGAAGGTGTTGAGGATGGGACTTGCAGAGGAACTGAGCATGGTCGCGCTGGAAGGAGGCTCATGATCGAGTTGTCAGTGTAGGAGTCGACAAACGTCGAACAACCGTCTGTTGGTGTAATCCAGTTGAGACCAATTCCTGCATTCCAGCTGGTATGCGGCTTTTCATCCTGATCATGAAAGACGTAAGCTGATGTCACAGGAGGCTCTTTGAGAGTCCTCACGAGGCTGTAAACCCCTGAATACCATTGCAACTTGAATGATATCCTAGTACTAGTGGATCGTGCTTGTCCCTCGACGCTTCAATACACCTTAACGTACTCTATAGTCGACTTTAACCATGTCTCGTACATCGCCTGCAACCTACAAACCGAGGTCAATACTCCCTCTTGGTCGGGTTGCCCTCTTCCGAAAGAACGAGAAATTATCCAGGGGCTGTTCGGCCACAATACAACCAGCACGAACGAAGACTTGGCTAACGCAGTCTCGAGACGGCTGCCAAAAAAGGCTTTGTCTAGTACTCAAACAGATTTGAAGTCCTCCTCTAGAGAGGATAGATGAAGAACTTGTTCTCCATATCAGTCAGGTCCAGCAAAGCCAGATCGACCTTCTTGCGCACCACGCGGCCTTCTTCATCCACCTCCTCGACTTCTCCATCGGCATGTGCATCACCTCCCAGCTGTTCGATCCACTTCTTGCGCTGCTCATTCCGTCGTTTCAGAATAAACCGGATCACAAACAAGATGGTTGGGGTGCCGACCCAGCTGACGACAATCATGGTAATCCAAGCAGGATAGTAGCGGGGAGCATCTTTGGGAACCCAGATCTGGGGCGAGATGAGATTTGCAACGCTATATCCCAGCATCCACATGACGTTGCGCGTGAGCTTCTTGGTATAGCCGGCACAAGAAGACGAAACCCAGCCAAGAGCGATAATATATGTGTTTCCAAAGGTGTGGCCGGCAATTAGCAGACAAACCAGCATGCCCAGCTTCTCGTCCCAGCTAATTGCGACCATGCCAATCCCGCCGGCCAGGGCAGGCAAGCACCAGAAGGCGCTGTGGATGGCTTTGTTCGAGGGCCAGATGTCAAGAGCCCACGCACCGGCGAAACACACCAGAACCCCAAACCCGCCTCCTGCGGCAGCCACGAGAGTCGAGCCCAGCGCGTTCACGCCAAGAGATGTCGTGATCAGATTCTGCTGTCCGTAAGTCAGGTTGTTGGCGATCATCAGCGTAAAGGCGGCCAGAGCGAACAGCCACGAAATCGGGTCCCGCAGGGCCTCGATAAATTGCGACTTTTTGAACTGTTTCTGCTCGATGGAACTCTGATGGGATGCATGCACTCTTCGGATGACGTGGATCTTTTCCTCCAGACTCAAAAATTTCGCATGCGCTGGGTTGTTGGGATACCGGAACCAAACCCAGATCGACAGCAACAACGAGATCCCGCCTGTTGTGATCATGAGCAGTTTCCAAGGCAGAACGGAGCTGTGGCTGTGCAATAGGCCGTATGATATAAAGGCAATGACCACCGGTGCCGCAGCAGACGTTACCCACAGAATGGGTTGGAGGACAGATTGTTCATGCCGGTTAAAGAACATTCCAATGGTCATTTCCATTGCTGGAACGACCACAGACTCGACAGCGCCCAGTAGTAAGCGCACGACGACAAGGCCGCCGTAGTTGACTGCCACGCAATGAAGAAGCAAAATCGCCGCCCAGAGGAAAACCAGAGTGGCCACGAATTTGCCAAAGGGTAGCTTTTGCAATAGGTAGTGTCCTGGCCATTGAGCCGCGAGATATCCTGCAAACGCCGTTAGCCTATGAAACAAAACAGGCACGACTGAGCTCAATTCTCTCTCGGGGAAACTTGCCCACATAGAAAAATGTGTTGAGGTTGTTATATTGCGCTTTGCTGATGCCGGTTTCCTCAAACAGTCCCAAGATGGCCGCATATCCCAGAGTCGATTTGTCGATCTGTGCGGCCCGGTTAGCAGGCTGGCGACTTCCAGGGGTTCAGGTTGGTGCACGACTACTCACGAAAAGCAAGATGTTGATGGCCGACAAGAGTCCCATCACATGCCAATATAGCTTCCTTACCAGCTTCTTCTCCTGCTCCGGTGTCAAGGGCCCAAAGTCGTCCCCATGTTCCTCGACAATGCGCAAGGTTTCGTCCGCATACTTCTCCTTGACGGTGACAGTGGTGGGTTGCGCAGTGCCCTCGTCTTTGACGTTGGTTAGCTCGTCCTTGCCCATTTTTGGAATGCGTCAATCTCGACGTAGGAGCTGTTGTTGGGCGCCATTCTGCTGAATCCGTCCCAAAGGTATTTATCACCAGGGCCAACAGAAAAAAGCTGCCTCTCGCCAGTGGCAAAATATGCTTCTCGATGGTGCAATCAATTTAGCGTTGCAGAACGAATGATGGACAGGGCCAGAGTTCGCCATGCGCCTCAGGCTGGGAATGCACCTCAAGTGCGGAACCACACTGCAGACACATAACGCCAGAACAGGACTTCAACAAGTTCCGGAAAGTTCCCGAGACTTAGTCGACATTCTAGAATGCTTCAGCGGTGAGCTTGCTTCTACTATACCTTACCTGGCTGATCATGATGGCGAAGCTTTGGCCGGAGGAAGACGCAGGCCTCATGAGACGTGCAAGGAATTCACGCCGCCGCGCGGTGCGGTTTGTTGGGCGTGATATCTTGGATTCTCCCATGCCAAATGCCATTATTGCACGGGAAGTCCAAAATCTAGAGAGAGATTTAGCGAGGAAACATCAAATCGCGTCCAGGCGCGTATGTTATACGAAATTCTAGGAAGATATTGCGTGATGCAGGGCTGCTACCTTGCGGTGAGGCGCCAGGTGCCAAGGAATCTGAAGTCAAAGGTACAAGATTGCCTCACTCCAACTCGGCCTTGACTCGGGTTTGTTTGATATCATGTAGGTTTCCACCATCATGCTATATTGCACTTCTTCACGAAGGTGGCAACTCTAAAAGGTCGAAAGGCGCGCGGGTTGCGTGGCGGCACCATGGTCTCAGCGACGACTTTGCACAGCTCTTGTCGATGGCGCTTCACTTCGGTGGTCTGACTAAAGCCGTTTGACGCGCTTTCCGACAGTAATTCCAACAAGACATCTGGCAAGTGTAGCCCTCAGTACCAGGGTACGACCTGGGCGTCAAGGGCATGTGATTTCCTGACAGTGGAATTTGAGCGACGAGCGCCAGTGTTTTAACGCCTTCTTTTCACCATCCTTCACCAGGATAGAGATAGGTATGGCCTATCAAGGGATGCTGATAAGATCATCAACTCTCACACTCTGGCCAGTTTTCATGGACTGGTTGGCAGCTATCCCGGTCAGGATGGACAGGGCACCATCAATATGGGATGCTGCGCGATTGAACGCGTCGGGCTTTGGTGTTCCAAAGATGTCGTTGAGCAGTTGAGGATCTCCTCCTCCATGGCCGCCTACGCCTGAAGGGATCTCAACCTCCATCGGCTTACCGAACATGGGCCGCAAGAGGATGGATCGATGTTCGAGCGCACCCTCTTGGCTTTGTTCACCACCCGAGTTGATATATGCCCTTTCAACCACATCCAGTTCCAGGCGCCCTTTGGTTCCAATGAAACAAACCCTGAAACCCTCCACAGGTGAATATGCCGTCAGTGAATATGTGAGGATCGCTCCGGACCGATATCGAACCATGACGCCCATCGTGTCCTCAATGCTGATTCCATCACCAAAGACACTTTGATCCCGATGATAGCCGTCCTCCTCCTCGGCATCAAGGTACATCGCTTTCAGCTGCGGATTCTCTTCCAGATGCAGCGCGAATGGATCGTCTTTTGCGTTTTCACTTCCGTGAGCGCGGGCATAGAAATTGGTTACTCCTCGCTTCTCGGCGTTCTCACGACCATAGAAGCTCAGGTCGCCCATGGCAACAACAGTTTCGGGCCGACTCTGAAGCCAGAAGTTGACCAAATCAAAATGGTGGGTTGATTTGTGGACTAACAGACCTCCGCTGTTGCGCTTGTCCCGGTGCCAGCGTCGAAAGTAATCTGCTCCGTGGGAGGTGTTGAGATCCCACTGGAACGATACTGAGTTTACTTTGCCGATGGCCCCGGAAGACAGCAGCTCAAACACCTTCGTGTTATGGGGAGCATAACGGTAGTTGAAGGTGACCCGGAGATTGCTTCCGGTTCGGTCAATGGCGCTGAAGATTTCCTTGCATCTGGGAATGTCGATGGTCATTGGCTTCTCGGTCACAACATTGCAGCCAAGTTCCATTGCCCGGACAATGTAGATGTTGTGTGTTCGGTCGATGGTGGTCACAATGACATCGTTTGGGGTGGTTTCTTTGATCATCCGATCGAAATCGACAGCCTTGTATGTTGGAACCGCTCGATGTCCCAGCGCCCTCAACTTAGAGTTGGCATATTCCATCCTCGTTTGATTTGTGTCGCAGAAGGCCACCAATTCTGCGGTATCTTTGAAGTCTTGCGCGATAGCCGTATAAAAGAAGCCCGCGCGGCCACCGGTGCCAACGAGGGCATACCTTTTGCGTGTCGTTGGGCTCATCTCGGTCGGTATCAGCAACTTGTGGTTCTTGAAGAGTGACGCCCTGATGGATTTGTTGAAGAAACGATTCTCATCTTGAACTTTTCAATCCAGATTCAGCCCACAGCACCACAACACTCAAAGCCCTGCTTCGGCGCAAAATCACCCGAGCCAAAACGGCGGGGCTATCTCGAGGATCTTGTCTAGGTCAAGACCATGTAAGTTGAACCAAACATCTTGGTGGGTAAACAACTTTCGGCAGATCCCCCGGAGCCCGAGGGGTCCCCGCGTCTCCACTACAACATACCAGCACGTCTACTAACTTGGAAAGGATGTTAAAGCCTAATTGACATCAGGCTACGGGCACCCTCCCACAGCACAATATGTGCAATCAGACCGTCTGTGCCCAGCTCGGCATGCTACGTTTGCGCTTCCTTGGTTCGCATGTCCTCGTGCCACGCTCTCCCACCCCTCCCCAAATGGAAAAAACCCAACTCAATATCGGCAATTACTGGGCTGGCTGGGACAATGATGAACCGAGGACTTCTGGTGGGCTCTCTGAGGGAACTCGATATCAGTCGCATGGAGCGCCTCCCTGTGACCTCCTCATGTGTCCTCAGCGTAACGCCAACCGCGGCTGTGCTACAGCATTATCTTTCCCAGCATGCCTTTCGTTGAGCAATCCAGCGTCCCTCCTATGGATGATTCCAAAGATGCCATTACCCACGCGGAAACCATCATCCCTCTCCCGCCAGTCGAACAGAAAGACAAAGCCGCTGCTTTCTTGAGCGAGGTCGACGAGGACCCAGGCTTCACCTATCAAGAAGAGAAGGACGTTCTGAAGAGAATTGACTACCGTGTCTTGCCGCTTCTCCTGGGAGCGTATTTCTTCCAGCAACTGGACAAATCGTCGCTGTCGTATGTCTCGGTGTTTGGTATCACGAGCGATGCCCACCTCCACGGACGCCAATACTCCTGGCTCGGTTCCATTTTGTATCTTGCCCAGCTTGTTATGCAGCCACTTGCTGCATACCTCCTGGTCAAACTTCCCACAGGAAAGCTGATTGGATGTGCCATACTGCTCTGGGGAAGCTCTCTGGCTATTATGTCCGCCTGCACGGACTTCAAAAGCCTCATGGGACTGCGCTTCACACTCGGAGCCTTTGAGGCAATGATCGGTCCGTTCTGTCATCTCTTACCTCTTCCTCTTCGGCTGACACAGATGCATAGCTCCCTCCTGCGTCGCAGTGACGCAGCTGTGGTGGCGCCGTAGTGAACAGACTTTGCGCAATTCCTACTGGAACGGAATGAATGGTGTCACGGCTGTGGTATGCCATGCTTGGATTGCCCGCCTGGAGGAATAGTTTGTGCTAACACTGCTCTAGGTTGGCAGCCTTTTCACTTACGGACTCGGTCATATCCACAGCTCCATCTTGCATCCATACCAGGTAAGAGAATTCCGAAGCCGTGGATAAATGTCCATGCTAATCTGTCACAGGTTATTTTTCTGTTTTGTGGTCTCCTTACCGTTGCGTACTCAATTTTGGTCCTTATTCTGATGCCTGACTCCCCGATGGAAGCCAAGTACCTTACCAAGCGAGAGAAAGTCGTCGCGGTAGAGAGGCTCAGAGCAAATCAGCAAGGCACAACGTCAAGATTGTGGAGATGGGACCATGTCTGGGAAGTTGTGATCGATGTCAAGACATATCTATGGTTTTTGATCATCATTTCCATCTCGTAAGCAATGGACATCCACGGCAAACCCCCTGTACTGACCCGTCAAAGCATTCCCAGCGGTGGTATCAGCACTTTTGGCAGCTTGATCGTCAAGTCGTTTGGATATAGCAGCTTCGCCACGATCCTCTTCAACATCCCTTTTGGAGCCATCCAAGTGATCGTGATTCTGGGCTCAGGCTGGCTTGCGACAAAATGGCAAAGAAAGGGCTTGGTCATTGCAATCGCTGCCATATTCCCCACGGTGGGGACAATCATCCTCCTGACGGTGCCGAGGGAGCAGAAGGGTGTCCTCCTCTTTGGTTATTACCTGGTCTGTCCGCACTCTCACGTTTTCATAAGTTTGACTGACTGCTTTAGATCTCCTGCCTGGCCTGTATCACGCCTCTGATTTATGCCTGGCACATCCAGAACTCTGCCGGAGATACCAAGAGAAAATGCACGTCAGCTGTGGTATTCATTGGCATGTGTGCCGGTAACGTCATCGGACCGCTTCTGTACTCGACCGACCAAGCTCCCTTATATCGGTCTGGCTTGATTTCCAACCTGGTCATGTTCGTGTTGGTGGCCGTCCTTGCCATTGTGATCTGGCTATATCTCTTGCTTCTGAACAGAAGACACGCTCGACGTCGGGCCGAGCTCGGCAAAGCTGCGGACAAAATTGATGAATCCATGGTAGGAAAGGAGAAGATCGGTGCCACCAAGGCGGTAGAATTGGAAGAAGCTCATCAAGCAGGGGTTGCGAGCAATGCCAATGGGTTCACCGACATGACGGACCTGCAGAACGAAGATTTTGTCTTCGTTTATTGATGTGCTGGTAGATACCTAGTTATCATCGTCATCGTCATCATCATAATCGTCCTCGTCGTCCTCATCATCGCTATTCTTTGCAGCTGATTGGATTTGCTGGCTCGCTGCAGCTAGCACAATGTCCTCCTCACCGGAGTCGTCTTGATCCCGCTCCGCAATCTCCCCAAGGTCTGCGCCGGTGTGCCCAACTTCTTCCACCAAAGAGAGAAGCATATTATTCATTATGTATCGGCCCCCTGTACCCCAAAAGTACTTGCCCAGCTTTTTTCGTAAGATGTTGTATTCGCGGTTTTCCTTCCAAGCTTGGCGAAGGACCGAGACGCAGAAAAGGAAATACAGATATCGTGCCCGCGGCCGGAAATCGCTCCGAAACTCCAGTTTCTTTCCATCCAGGTCGTTATAGGTTATGCCGTCAGTGTCGATTATCTTTGTCCCATAGGGGTCATTCGGGTTTAATACCCTGAGTTGGTACTCCTTCGGCTCCGTGGTCTGCCATTGATGATGCTGCTCGGGCGTCGGATTCTCGGGCAGCAAGGGCACGATAACATAGTACCCTGAATCGATCTTCTTCTCTATGGCCGTGTGGATGATCAAGCCATTCCGAGGCAAGAAAAGCTCCGGCTCATCGCGTTCCCCAAACAGCGTGTCCATCATTTGTTGACCATGCATCACCCCAAAGATGTGTGCCGCCGTCATAGTGTCCTTGTTGAACCAATTGGAGCGGATGGGACACCACAACAACTCTGTGGTAGTTTCCCCCTTGTCACAGGTAGAATTGTACGCCTGTATCATGTCGGCACGGAACCTGCCTTGCATGGTGGAATCCCGCTTCCCCATACCCGTACCTGTAATGCCGATGCCCAGCTTGCTTGATGTTGATCGCCGGAAGGGTTTCATCCTTCCATCCGGTGGTACTGCTACCCTTTCTGCCTGCCGGCGACATATGTCCCCACGAACCTTTTCAGCCTTCGATTCCGTTAGAAAATTAGCGGCCGCCTCCGATCTTGCCCATCCTTCTTCATCTCCACCGGCATTGATGAAATCTCGAACCGAAATCTTGCGCCTGACCTCGCTTCTTAGACCACGGATCTCGTGCACTTGCGCCGCTGTCTCCCAATAACTTTAGACAATATTAGCTGCTGTGCACCGGAGAGAAAGAGTAGAATTGGGCCATACGCCGAATTGAAGCTGTTTTGCGGCTTCAGTTGTTTCGTCAGTCGTTTATACTCAAGGTTCAGAGAATCCCTCTCATGCTCCAGCGTACTTTCCTCCTCCGTACGTTGCAATACCCTCTTGATGGGGCGACGTTCGGGGATCTGGGGTGCGTTCATGGCTGGCGGCGGTCGCAGTTCGCTGTAAGGGCGTAACTACGTGGACAACGGATATACTCCGTGGTGGCGCCTAGCTGATGGCGCGAGATGGATAAAACAAGTGTGACTGTGTGGCGTTTAGGGAAGTGAAAGAGCGTTGAGGCAGTTGTAAACATGAAGTAGATAGGTTTGTCTGAAGGGATATTTATGAGGCTCTGGATTTGGAACGCGTTCTATGACTCATGTCGGAGCCGATCAACGTTTTGCCAACTTGGCGGAATACCAAAATTGAGCAAAATGCGTGCTTGTAATAGCCTTATAGGCCGGTGAAGGCAATTTATTTAGGCTTTTCGACCTTTTATAGGCGTGCATTGTGCAACCTAGATACCGAACCCACCATAATAGTGTTCCGTAGGTGCAAAACCACCATATACATAAAATGCTGGCGAGTCTTAGCGGAACCTTGCCAGGGTTTTCTATAATGGCTTTTTTAGGTGAATAGTGCTTTGTATCATTATGTAAAATTGGCGGTAGTTGGCGAAGACTTTATAGTAATTACAGGAAATGACAACTACTAACGCTTCCATAGCCCAGCTTAGGTCCAAGTCTCCTTCTTTTCGTTGAAATTCTTTTTCCCCATCTCTGGCAGCACCTGGGGATTCGCCCGGGGGGGCCCCTCAAAAGACTGGCCGCTGGGCTTGTATCCCACCGTGCACATCAGGTCCCCTTTGTCGGTCATGACAGGATTCTTGTAGAAGAAGGCTCCTGAACATGGGAAGACCAGCTTGCTCGCACGGCCAATATCTTGAGCGAGGACATTCTCCAGATCGCCGAGGTTGCCGAAGTTGAAATCATTCCACCACTTCTCAATGGCATCCATGATTCCGCCGAACTTGTCCTTGAGGTCACGCTTGTCATCCGAGCTGTAGTCGATCTTGTGCTTCCGATCAGTCATCGTGATCTGAAGACCGCCATCGTTGACAGACTGCAGATTCAGATTGAAACTCCATCGGAAGGTTCGGTGTAAACTGAAGACCACAGTAAGTACTTGCGCACAACTATAGATTGTCCTTTGCATACTCGTCTGCACTGCTTTTCGCATGCCCCTCAATTCCCCACCAGACCTCGCTGTAAAGGCGTATATAAGCAAACCCTGACACCTTGATGACCGGACTATCTGTAGTCGCTGTGACGGTCACTTCATTGAATGCTGATAACATCAAACATGTTAGCATCAGCTGCTCATAGATGCCTCATCGCTTACCTTCGGCCCCCACCTTGGTCTGTTGAGCGCCCTTGCCATGCTTTTCATCCCAGGGCCAGTCTTTCTTGAATTTCCAGATCGTATCTTTGCCATTCTGACTCTTGCTCCATTTTGTGCTCCAGTCCTGGTCGGTGACGTTACCTGGGTCGTTGATGTGAAAATTGATGGCCCTGTGCTCGGAAATCAGTCTTGACATATCAACTGTGGCGTGGGAGCCTTACATTCCCCACGTGGAATTCGCCCAGGCGTCGGTCCACAGGTCAGACCATGCAATGGACATCCTGGCAATGATATCTCGCAATTTTGGAAGCAGATACTGGCCCATGAAATTGCGAGATGTCATAACAAATGTCCCCAAAGGAAGGTCGTCTGGAATATTGTCCACTCCGTTGCTCGATGAGATAGATCCTGAAGTCCAGTTGCCGTCAGGGTTCAGATACTTTTTCTCCTTGTCTGGCATGTCCGGTTCCTTCGGATCTCCCGGGTTGAGAGTTTTCTCCAGGTAGCACAGGTAGTTCAGCCTCGAGTTGCCGCTCGTGCCGTCCCCAGCACGATTGTTGTTGGACATATATGGATATGTCTGAAATTGGACCCCACATGGGACAAAAGTCGCGGTCGGGGAGTTGACAACATTCTGATTTGGTCCGCCATTTGTAATATAACCGAGGGTTTTCAGATCAGCCAGTTGCAATTTGGACACTGTATGAATAGTTCAGCTATTCGAATCTTACATGTCTCGGTAGACTCCACATACTGCCTTTGCCGCCGCTGCCGATGGTTGTCATGAGCTCCTTGATGTTACGCAAGTTGTCGTCGGACAACTTGGGTTCTTTGCTTTTTTCGTACCCGCCAAAGAACGACTCACCAGGAGCGGACTTGCTGATGTCGGTATCTGAACACATTTTAGAGATGTTGCGGTCATGAACAACTCGGGAGGAACTTCGTTACCTTTCATGTCCATGATGAGTTTCTGAATCGAGTAATCACCCGGGATGTTATGTTTGGCACGTAGGTCGTCAGCCATTTTTGAATCAACGTCGGCAAGAGCTTCCGGAGGTCAGCAAGTACACTTCCCGGTCGAGAGATATATGCCTTACCAATGTTGACAACGTAAGAAAAAATCCAGTTTTCGATCGGCCATGTGAGAACCTCTGTGGAGTCCCAGTCTTTTTGAGTCTGGATTTGGCATCAGTAGGCACATCTACTCTCGGAATGAATGCCAAATATACAGCAAACTTGCCGCTCAGAATTCTGATTTGGTACATCACATGGTATTTGTCTTCGTCACTGTAATGGACGACAACTCTCGGGCAACCCAATTTAAACTCCTTGAACGAATAGTTAGGGGGGCCAAATGAGGGTATGGTGGTGTCGCCAGCGCTCGATTCGTGGATTGCAAATAAGTCCTGGAGTGCATTATTGATCATTTGTCTGCTCGATAGGTCAACAACGAAGATGAACTACTGTCATGATAGGAGCGTACTGTGTGATCGCAACCACCTGGTCGTAGTCCCCAATCTAAGTGTTAATCGTAATTAGCCAATGTAGTCGAACACTATTGCGCGAAGGTAGAAACTGGTTGCTTACCGATGGTGCCATGTTTTTTTGCAGTGCTTAAATTACTGGCTATGACCACAAAGCAGAGTGGATGATTTGGACAAGACTTTCTCAATGGGGGACCTTGTTCAAATATCCTGCTACATGTATGATCTTGAGATGGTCTTGAGCAAAGCGCTCGCTAAGCTGTCGATCCAGGTTGGCAGTGCTGAAAGCAGACCATGATTTTCCCATATGTTGAACCATGAGGCTGACGATTGAGGGCTGAACAATGTGCTAGAGCCCCTGCAACAGACCCTGAAGTGGCTGGTTGTGGAGGAACTGAACGCAATCGCAGAACCTACACAACGAGCTGCCAGCCTGACAAACGTAGAGCTGAACATGGCTCTAGAACCTGTGCAAGGTACAGAGCTTTGTGTATTGAGCTGAATGCTGGACTCATAACCATGCAGTGAATCATAAACAGAAGCACCTTTGCAATACCATTGGAGCCACCATTTTCTCAATGCAGAGCTGAGCATGGTTCTCGAACGCGTGCGACAAGGTACGAAAACTTTGAGCTGAACGAGGTTTTGAAAAGCACCATGCACAGGTGCCATGTGAATCATGACGATAGACCTAGAGACAGAGCACCAAGTTGCAAGGTCATTAAGCGCTTCTCCAAGCAGTGAGCTCGACATCATCAACAGTCTAAAGTGTTCATAATCTCATTGAAGAACGGAAATGCAAGTTTGCGCCAGCCACTTCGAGGTTCATTGGCGAACCGCACATTGCATTAAGCTTCTCCAAGCTCTCGAGCCAAGCAACGCCGTTTTGCAGAGTAATCTTAACCGTACCAACCATAGTTCTTACACTTGCTCGAAACGGGACAGACAACGTCCTACAAGGCCAAAAGGAGATGCAAAGGGTGATTTTAACTCTCTGGTCCGCTTACAAGCCAGGTACCCCGCGCTTGACTAAGTTCATTTGTAGCATTCAGCTCTCAGCTCTCAGCTCTCGCCCTCGTACCGCCTCGGTAGGTGAACCAGGATATGCAGTCGGAAGTCTAGGCCCGGCCTTGGACAAGGTCCACCAGAGCTTCCGTGTGCATACAGTTAAACTGTGGTTGTGAATGTGGCGGCACGGTCAAAGGCTCCCCCAGACTGGCTGCCATGTATGTGGCTGGCAATGGATGCGAAAACTCAGCTGAACATGAAGAGCCAAAAAGCCTTCCGGGACGACGGGATTGATGATCACACACGTGAAAGAATTCAAGCTGAGCCAGTGCAAAGCTGAGATCTTGAGCACTCGGCACATCCATGCACAGCGTCCAAGATGTCGAAAGAATAAGGATGTCCACAAGCCACGCTGTTTTACAGATTCTTTGAACAGCCACCAGACACCAAGATGGCGAGTATCACTTTCGACACTGAGCTTATGGTCAACCATATTGCCGCAACACCGGCAAAACCAGGGAGTGCGTTCACTACTGTGCTTGAGCCCAAGTCACGCAGACCTGCGGTCATCAGCCTGAGCAATGAGAACCCTCCTGTGCTTGAACTGATCAAGGTATTAGTTGTTCATTCCATGTCGTATTTGCCGCACAGAATAACAGCTAGCAGGAGGACGATGCTGGCAACCGCAACTTGATCAACCTTGGAGGCAAGTTGAATCTACCAGCTGGTGCTGTGATTCAAGCCTTCGTGGCAGAGCAGGCCGAGGACTTGAAAATTTATATGGCTGTTGCCGTCAAGAATGACAAGAACTCCGATGTCTATGTTTGCAGGCCTTTCCTGCTTGATGATCTCAGCAATATCCAGCAATATCCCAAGCAAAAGATGGAGATGATTAATAAACTGTTCATGGTGAGCACACTCAATCAGGTCCAAGCACGAAGCTGATCCAGCATTAAGGGAGCGGTAACGAAGTCCGGTGATTATCCGCTGCTTGTGGCAGACATTCAGCCTCCAGGGAGAGCAAGCAGCAAAAGTAGTGATCTCAAGGCCATCTGGGTTGACGGCGACAAGACAAAATCGTTGCAAACTTTTCAACCGCCGCAGAATGCAGATAAGATCATGTCTGTTGCAGTCGCATCATATGGTGTCCTCGGGAAGGGTCTATGGATTCTTTATTCTACACAGAACGAGTCCAAACTCATCTGTAACCTCGCTCGTCCTGGAACCGACGGTGAAGCTTTACACTATCAACAATTGGAGCCAGCGTGCCATCCCAAAGCAACCGCTATTGCCTCGTATACTGACAAGGACCAACGGTCTGGCCTCCTCATGGGAACTCCGAACGGATTATTCACTATTTCTGCCGATGACTGCATCCACTCAACGAAATCGCATACCCTGATTTCCAATGACAGCTTCTTCAATGCACCTACCAGCCTTTTCGTGGCGCAAGACGGGCCATACTTGACGATCTGGGGTCTCAGTCAAGACGGGCAGTTAGGTTATCTCACGACAGATTCTGCAAACATCGAGAAAAAACAAAAGCCTGGGGCTGTGCTGCTTGGAAAACAGTCGTCGTCGTCATTCTCGCCTTCCATTTCTCAGCCTAGCCCGGAAGCCAAGCTCAACACTGTCACTCAAATCGTCATATCAAATGACTTTCAGGGGAAGCTGACGATGCTAGTACAGAATCAAGACAGTGGGATATGGAGGTCTGAGCCGTTTGGCATCGCTGACTACAACAAGACGGTTGAGATTCAAAGCTATGCAGTAAGACTAACCATCAGAAACGAGAAGAGCATCCCTATCGTGAATGGCGAGGTGTGTGTGGTGGCTTCCTCTGACACAACTGCTTATGTCAACGGTAGGACGTACAACATCACGTCAGATCTGGATGGAACCTGGTTGCCGATGGATACGTCCGGTCAGGTTTCCATGATTGTGGCTACCAACATGATCTCAGGCCGCTCGTTCCGCGTCGTTCAAGTCAGAGACAACCAAAAATCGGATGTCGAGCTGGCAGATCGTACGGTCAAGATTGACCCAAGCTTGAAGGTGGTGCACACTCTCTGCTCCAAACTCGGTGGTGATACAGATTTGGGAAGTCTAAAGACGCAATCCGGCCAAAATCTCTGGTCGGAGAGCGAAAAGCCCAAGCATGAAGACTTGAAAGCGGCCCGAGAATGCTTCAAAAGTATGAACCAAGCTCGCTCCGATATCCTGAATCCCACCTCCTCGCGGCGTGCCGACCTTGGCACGGCATTGGCAGACCTTGGAAACATGACTATGGACGCGTTCCATCACGTCAAGGATGCGATAAACCACGCAGTGGACTGGGTGGTCGAGAAAGTGCAGGGAGTCTGGCGATTTGCGTGCCAGATTGCTGGCGAGATGAAGAGATTTGTGCTGGACACCATCGAAAAAATTGGTGAAGCTGCACAATGGGTGAGTACTCGACTTGTGAAGCAAGACTACCTCGTCTGACTTTGCGCTCCAGGTGTGGAACAAGATCAAGCTGGGCTGGCAGAAGCTGCTGGACTTCTTGGGCCATCTGTTTGGCTGGGATGATATCAAGAACACGAGCAATGATATCTACGACCTTCTGGTCGGCAGTATCGACTGGGTATCGAATGGCATCGCCAAGGTGGAGCCGAAAGTCGAAGGGTAAGGTGCTACAGGCCAGGTGACTGAACATATAATAACCTGTTGCAGTTTCTTCGACAAGTTGAAGAGTGAAGCTACAATTCCGAAATTGAACGAACCAAAGTCGACGAACCAGGGAGCGAGCGGAAAGAGCAGCTCCTCCGCAAAGGCATCAAATAGTCCAGCATTCAACTACCTCACAGACAGGATGAAGCATGGTAACCCTGGATCATCTGCCGGTTCATCGACGAGCAACCAACCTCAAAGCGGGCAGCCGTCCTTCGAAGACATATTGAAGCCGCTTGGCGAAAGTTTGATGAAAGTGGTGACTGATATTGCCAACGATGTCTCCAAGCTTTTCAACAGCGCCGGAGACATGTCGCCAGCGGACCTCTTTGCAAGACTCGGGGATAAACTCCTTGTCAATGTAATTGATGTCATCAAGTCAATCGTCCTTGGGGTGTTGAAGTTTCTGCGCAAGTCGATTGGCCTTTTCAAGGATATCGCCACCGGCAAGATCAGCGTTCCGATAATCTCTGCACTGTACAAACTATGCACCGGTGATGACTTGAACTGGATCAAGTTGGTCTCCTTCATTCTTGGCTTTATGACTTGTACCCTCTCGAGAATCGTCACCGGTAAGCCACCTCCCAGGCTCCATGAACCGGGTCAGAAATTTCTCGATAAAATGGTCGATGGCAGCACCACCTCGGATGAGAAGAAGGGGAACGCACTTTTCTTCTCTGGAGTCGGTTTGAGCATAAGCGCCGTCAAAATTATTTACGATGCCATCACCGTCGCTAAAAGCGTGACAAAGGTTGGAGCCGTCGAAACGGCTGTTGGCAGCGTCAAGACGGAAGCATTCGGCATCGTCATGGACATTGCCAGTGCCATCTGCATCTATCCCAGCGATCCCAGGGCCCCGGGCTACGACATTCGCAAGTGGATAGTCTATCTCAACGGGGCAAGTATCTGCATGGATGTGGCGCTCAAGATTGGCAGCAAGGGGCCGAACCCGGCGATGGAGAAGGGTGTTGCAATATTCAAGTTCATCACCGACGTGGTCAATGCTTGTTTGTATGGCATGGTTTTCTCAAAAGAGCTCCAGGCGGATAAAAAGTATTGGACAGACAAGGACGACGATCTGACGAATTGTGCCATCTGCGAGGACGTTTTTGGAACGGTGAAGAGTTGCGGCAAACTGATCTGTGGCGTGTCTGGCGAATCACCACAATCTGCTGTTGTTGGATTGGCTGTTATGGCAGCGGCTGGGCTGGGGTTGACAGTCAACAAGGGATTTACACTCAACCGTGTTGCTGAGGTGAATCCTCAGTGTTATCGTGGTGCACTCTGTTAGTCAAGGATCATTCTGAAGTTTGAGGAGACTCGACCATTCTTGGCTGGGTGTAGTGATAGTTACGATATTATGAAAGTCAGTCTCGACGTTTTCCACAGTCACATGTAGCTGCGTTTCAAGTTGGTGACCGCATAACTCCATCCATTCATACTGTTTATGACTATAAGCTTGCCTCAATGTCCTCTAGAACTGCAATCTGTGACTGGATTGACTTCTTCTGTTCCTCCGAAGGCTCGATATATGGCCGTCTGGGCTTCAATTTCTCCAGTGGCGAGTCAATCCCCGCCAGCTTTGCTGTGTGCAGAGCAGCAGCAAACTTGACTGCAGCAATTCCAGCTTTGCAAGGCTGCTCAGCAAGTGCAGCCTTTTTATGTAACTCCATTGCTTCTTGGAACTTGCCCTCCTTGTATAGATCATAGATTCTCACAAGAGTCTTCGGAAACACATTTGCAAACCCAGCGATCGTCCCCTGGGATCCCGCAGCCAGGCCACCAATCAAAAAGTCCGACTGTCCTCCAAAGGTCGCGAAAGTCCCTTCTGGTAACTCAGCTGCAAGACGCGTGATCTTGGCCACGGCGCCACAAGTCAATTTCACGCCGACAATGTTGGGATGTGTCTTAGCGAGTCCAGCAATGGTCGCTGAGTCCAGATCAATGCCATTGCAGACGATTGGGAAGTTGTAAATGACAATGGGTAGTGGGCTCGCACTGGCGACATCATTGAAAAAGCTGTCGAGGACAGCTGGCGTTGTCTGTTTGCCAAAATAGGCTGGTGGCAAGAGCAAGGCGTAGTTTGCACCGGCATCAGCTGCGTCCTGAATGAATTCCAACACTTGTTTTGTTGAATGACCGCCCACACCGGCCATTATGGGGTAGGATGGCCCGCATGCTTTACGGGCAGTTTCCAGAAGTGTCTTGCGCTCTTCGCGCGTCAGGAGGAAAGTTTCGGAGTTGGTGCCAAGTACAACAAGACCGGCAAGACCAGTCTTTGATAGGTACGAGTAGTATTTCGCCTGTGAATCCGTGTCCAAGTTGTCGGTGCTTTGGTCGAAAAATGTGATAGCTGGAGCCCAGACGCCGCTTGGGGGTACTTTGGGCATTGATTTTGTGGCTGCTTTCAATGCCGAGTTTTCAGAAATCGAAGCGTTTTCGATATGCGATGTGACGGCAGAGACACCATTGACTTTCGCATCTTCCCGAGATTCATCAGATGATTGCCGTTCCGCAATCTCAAGGGGTCTTTCATCGACTTTGGGTGTCTTTTGCCAAAGATCAAACCCTCCGTCTCCCGGCAGTCGCTGTGTCGGCAGATTCACATCTAGTACCACGCTCATCCTGGTAATCGGTATAGGTACACGCAAGCTGAATCTGTCAATCAATGCACCATATTCTTTGCCAGGCATATATAACGGGGACGCTCCTTGTCGGCTCCCGGGTATGACTTGTGGAGATGTCCCCGGCCGGGGTTATCCGCCAAAGAACGGAAAAGTTCAGACAGCAACTGCGTCGGATATGCGCAAGCATTGCCGACGGATAATCTTCCACTCTCTCCTCGCACGGCTCTTCCACCGGTGGCACCACCCATGTACAGCTGTGCTCACGATAGGTATGGAGTCTTCCTTCTCCCTGGCTGCAAGTAGACGACCGCGCTTACGGTGGCCATTTGATATCGCCACATATGCTGAACAATGGTGAATTAGTTCGTGTTGGCCTTTCTTGACTTGATCTTGCATGTAACCCAAGTCTTTGGTCAGGTCAATTCCTTGAATATATTTGTTACAAGAGAATTAAGGTCAGACAACGTGGATAGTTGACTATGGTTTTCGTGTTCTTTTGATTCTTATGACAATTCTTCATCTATCATCCCGGTAACCTGAACATATCCATTGCTCACATCTACATTGATAGACTTGGATATGTACTTGCAAAATCTAGTTCGATTTCCGGTGCATGATAGTAGCACTGGCTTGATGGTTGGGGAAAATCAAGGTATCAGCAATAACAACGTTTTCCCTCATCCCAGCAGCAAAAACGATAACCTCAGCGACATCATCAGGTGTTAGCGGCTCACAGCCCCTGTCGAAGGTTAGTACATCCTGAGCTGTTATACCCTGACGGAAACACTCACGCATAGACAGCATCGGCCTTGCTCTTATCGCCGTAAAATCTCACGACAGAGAACTCGGTCTGAACTTGACCGGGGTCAACCTCAATCACCCGAATTCTCTTCGAGATCAGCTCCTTTCGCAAGCTTTCGGTGAATGCCTTGACAGCAGACTTGGTTGCACAGTAGATACTACCCCCAACGTAAGGCTCGCGGCCTGCAATTGAGCCGATGTTGATAATGTCGCCAGCGCCGTCCCCGTTGTTCCTTTTCAGCATGCCAGGCAATATCACCTGAGTCATGTTGATCAGGCCAAGCACATTGGTGGCAAACATGACATTCATGTCTTCTTCGGCTATGTCTGGCGCTTTTGCCACGCCTCGGACCAATCCACTTGTCAGAGCAGTTAGCCTGTTGTTTCTGCCACTGGTGGGAAGATCTCATTGGTGAGTGGCATGAGGAAAAGTACATACGCGTTGTTTACCAGCACGTCGACCTCCTTGAACTCTGCAGGCAATTTTCCGGGAAAAGCGCGGACCTCATCTGCGTTGCTGACGTCAAGCTGTACCGGTAACACTTTGACACCATCTCCGACCTCCTTAGCAATATCCGCCGCGATCTGCTTGAGGCTGTCGATACGGCGCGCGGTCAGGATCAATTTGAGGTTCTTCGGGGCAGTTCGTGCAAATTCAAAGGCTGTAGACCGTCCTATTCCAGATGAGGCACCTGTGATAAGAACGGTCTTGCCTTCCAAACGTTTGGACATTGCTGATGACATTGTGCGTGTTTGGTATCTGGAATCTGCTAACGTCGAAGAGTGGTCTGCCAGTATGGGTTATACTAGGCTGAGAATGGCTTAATACTGCAACTCACGGGTCGTTGTATTCTGGTTTAATACTGTGACTTATACTCAGTTGGATCCTGCCATAACGGTTTCATGCAGAGAACTCCGAACTCCGATCTCCACACTTCAGAGTTGTGTATCCACGGTGCTCAATCCACCAGCATTTTTCCGTCGGAAAAGCGGAAATGCACAGCTCGTGTGGATTTAGCTTTGTCGATCGGTGGAGGATGAACCTTGGCTCAGGAGACATCGGCTGTCGGCAAGCCAACAAAAATTACAATGTTGTGGCCCAATGATCGTGGAGACCAACAAGACGAAAACCAGCATCTGCGAAACCGGCTGCTCTCCTTTCGAAACAGGTTTGACGGAATATGCTGTTCAAAGCTTGAAAGGATCGTCGTTGAAAAAGACATCAAGGTTTCCCAACCCTGAAGAAACCATTGAAGCGAATTGACCCCAACCTGAGTAGTCAGAAATGGCAGACTCCGGGATATCGCTAAAGTCAATGGTAGGATCTGCCGTCAGATCCGTGTAGTCAGTTGATGCACCAAGTTGGCCGTCCAGTGGTATCGCTGTGGACTGGGGGCGATTCTGCTGGGCCTGACCGTCGCTTTCGTCCACGGCTGTCATGGGATGGTGAATGCGTTCTGTCTGACGAATGGCCTCGTTCCGTAATTCCTCCAAGACTAGACAATACCGTTCTGAAAGTGAACCCTTTTCAGCTATACTCGAGATGTGAGTTTGACATCGGGTGGCAGCGGCAAAATATGCGGCATATGTATCTGGTGGAGATGCTCGTTTTTGGATCACGTAGATGTACAACACAATATTTGCAGTGAATGCGAAATACGCCGTGGTCTGCAACAGGTCAGTCTTTTTCCGCCGTTGCAGTACAATGACAACATACCCAGAATGAGCGTAAAATCTGTCCATTTTGTGTCATTTCATCGATGGTATTGACGGTGTTCATTGCCGCTGTCAGACACTGCTGTACACTCTCTTCGATCCTCGGATCTCCCTCACCCGTGGTCTTACTTTGCTGTGAGAGCCGGGTAAAGTTGGTCAGCAGAAAGGGTCGATGGGTGAGAATGATAGCATGCCAGTATGTGAGGTTGAGCACGTTGCGTTGGCGTTGGAAAATCGGCATCAAAAGCGACGTGGTAAAACAGTCGGCATCCAGAAACCGTGACAAGTCAACTCGCCAGTCACTCAGATCCTTCGAGACTCTCTCCGTCAGCACCGCCCGCCGGTTTGCCGATATTGGTTTGATTGAGTAAAGATCACGTAGTATCTTGCTAATGATACGAGCAAGTCTGCTTCATCAGCCTGGTTCAATTTGTAGAAGATAGTGCCACCTTACTTGATGTGTGCAATTGAAGCAAGCATAGTTGACTGGCTCTTGCTAGATGTAGACATATTCACACGAGAAGATGTTATCTCGTCATCTTCCACGCATACCGGTAGTTCCGTGTCAATATCGTCATCATGAAACGACCGTGGCCTTCCCAGGGCAACGCTGAGGTACGTGTCCAATGTGTAGGCGCACCAAAAGGTCCGACGGCGGCATTCTGCTTCGACCGGGCTCAGTCCATTGGTGATGTCAGGGCGCCTGTTCCTGTTGAGCCCAATAGCTAGCCCTAGATGTGAGACAGTGCCGAAAAGGCTCCAACAATGGTTGATACGAGATTGAGTTAGGAGGTAATAACATTGGGTGAGTCGAGCTTGTACACTGGTCAAACGGATTGAGCCTCTTTCTTTGGTGAGTTGATGTTCGGCTGCAAGAAAATACCGAGAACTACACTCTTCAAATTAGCACGCTCTCCAGCACCCATGGAACAACATACTGCAAATCAGGCGGACCCGGCCTATCATTGTCCGGCATGTACACCCTTCCTTGTGCAAAGACAATAAACAACAATGCAATCTTGGCTGGAGCACTTTGCGGGTTACGCATAATGCCCAGAGTGTCATAAAACTCGGTAAACCATTTCTGAACCGTAGGTCTGTGAAGGAAGCGGTATGTGGGCATTGCAAAATCAAAATATCGGTTGACCAGACGCTGAGCATCCTCCCGCGGAAGCATCATGCAAAATGAAGGGTCGAATTCTGGGGGATGGAGAGGAGCATCGCCAAAAGTAAAGATACTGTTTGGGTCTGTGAATGAGATGGCCTGATGCAAGCGCTTCTGGATTCTGAGCAGAAAAGAGACACCGGATGCAGGTCCGATATAATGCCCCTGCAAATCAGTCTGAGAAGGCTCTGGGGAGTTTTGAGATGAAGCTGTCATGTATGCAGGTGCTGGAGTACTCGACATAAGGTTCTGATGTTGTACCCCTCTGGTAGGTCGGCCTGGCTCTGTGGTCGGTACGGGAGAGTAGTTCTGCCCAGAGACAGACGGACTTCTCACATCGACGATTGGATTGCCATTCATCTCTGTGGTGTTGCCCCCAGCGCCATCAAATGCTGAAGGAATAGATGGGGCTCGACCTCTTGCATAGGCAGAGTCAAATGTACAGCTGGCATTCGCTCGCAAGCAGAAGTCACAAGGCTGCCTCCCATTGCACTTGATTTTCCTCCTGGATGGATTCGCACAAGTCAGAGTGGTGTTCGCAACAGGGAGATTCCATGGGACGTAATTACTTTTTACACCGGTCGCAAGCCCGAGTGACCCTCGCCCTCTCGCCATTTCGTTTCCGCTTTCTCGACTCACGGGGGCTGTCATCCGCTGTTGTTGTCAAGGATTGGCGATCCGGTGCCATGCGAGCATTTGATTCTCGGCGAAGTAGAGAGCATCCTTTGAAAATAGGCTGTTGTAAAAGCTAAGAAGTGGGATGGAGTCCGGGTTGTAGGAAGTAAACAGCCTGAGAATGATGACAGGAAACACTAACCTCAAATGGAGTTTAGGTTACGTCAGCAATGTCGAGAATTGAGGCGGGAATTTCTACAACAATGTCACCTCTCTGGGCCTTGTCATCTACAACGACTTTTGTCAAATTCAAGTTGTGGCTACAAACATTAGGTGTCGTTTTACAACCTGCGTATTTTGACGAGGTATTAGGTCTATTCCAACTATGTATATTTGCATTCCACCTCACCACTTCGGAATTTTGGCCGAAAAGTCGGGGTGGAACTTCCTCATATAAGTGGTGTCGTCTCGTTTTCTCAAACCACAGTCCAAGTATTGTTTATGAAGCTTGGCCAGTTTCTCTCGGTCCAACTCGATGCCCAAGCCGGGTGCAGTGGGAACGTTCAAACCGCCGTCAGCCCATTTCAGCGCGCCATCGACAATCACATCCTCATCGCGCCGCTTCCACGGCCAATGAGTATCACAAGCATAGTCTAGGTTCAGAGTTGCCGATGCAAGATGTGTCATGGCAGCAAGGGAAATGCCCAAGTGGCTGTTTGAATGCATCGAAAGCCTCATACCCCAGATGGCACAGATAGCGGCCAAAGTCTGGGATTTCCGCAAGCCTCCCCAAAAGTGGTGGTCAGACAACACCACCTGAACAGCATTTTGCAATATGGCAGGAGGCAGATGGTCAAAGGCGACCACAGCCATGTTCGTGGCCAACGGCATAGAAGCCTCCTTGGCCACTGCGGCCATGCCTTCAATGTCTGGAGTCGGATCCTCCAGGTACTCGACAATTCCATCCAGCTCCTTGGCCACCCATTTTGATGTTTCCACAGTCCATGCTGCGTTTGGGTCGAGCCTGAGAGGTAAGCCTGGGAAGGCCTTATGCAACGCTTTGATAGCTGCAACCTCCTGATCTGGCGGGAAAACTCCTCCCTTCAGCTTGATGGCTTTGAAGCCGTACTCATCGATCATCTTCTTTGCTTGTTTTACCACACCCTCCGGATCAAGTGCCGGGCCATATTCATCGTCCGGTTGACCGGGATGTCCTCCCCACTTGTAGAAGAGGTAGGCAGAGTACTGGACATTGTCTCTGACCCGGCCGCCAAGCAGATCGCTGACCGGCACCCCTGCAAGCTTGCCTTGGATGTCTAGGCATGCAACCTCAAATGGAGAGAAGACTTTGTCGGCAGCAGATGCCGTAGTTACCATTCCTGCCATACCATCACCACCGGTGCTGGTGTCCCCGGCCAAGGAGTCGGCACAAATTTGGTAAATGGCATTTGTGTCGTACACTGAGAGGCCTCTGATTTGCTCGGCTGCTTTCTGGAGGCGACCAAGGTGCACGGAGTCACCGTATGATTCGCCCAGCCCATTGGTATCGTCCGTGACGATTTCAATGATGCTGCGCAGGGCAAATGGCTCATGCACACCCACGCTATTCAGCAAGGGCATATCATGGAACGCCACTGCCGTGATGATAATGTCTTTGATCTTGGAGGACTGAGGCATGGTGTGTGCTTGACGTTACAGTGAACTGGACTGTTCTTGCGAAGGAGACAAGTCCAACGTCTTGGAAAGCACACCTTGCTGCCTTTCTTAAGCGAAATGAATTGCGGGGCCCCATATTCGAGGATGTATCGGTTACGGTAAGGTAGCATTTTCCGTGCCGTGTTCCGCAAAATTCCCACCCGCCTGAACCGTCTGGTTGAGCCGACGGCACACGGATGCCCGGGTTTACCGCGTGATCTTGTGGCTGGGAACAGGCTACTTTTCCATGGTTAGCCGCTCCGCAAGGCGTTACTTATCCGTCTCTTTACGCTTGGCATACCCCGGAGTTGCTTCGACCCACCGCATTCCCCAGCACTGGATACTTATCCGTGTCGCCAAGGTCCTCTCTCCCCGCGTTTGAGAAGACGGGGACGTCAGGTATCCGGGGGAGTGCCGCTATGTTATCCACCCACAGTTACATCCAAGTGGTATACACCCATGTTCAGGGTTGCGATCTATATATGTGTCCTTCTGACCCGGTGTTGGTTTAATCAACAAGCTCTCCATCCCAACCCTGTTGAAGTCAAAGGCACAAAAGTTTCAACTACCTCATAGCCATGGCTTCCGTCAGGGTGCATGAAGACAAGAAGGAGGATGTCAACGTTGTGGAACAGTGCAGTCATCTGGAGGCTGCCACACACATCGTCGAGATTGACGAGTTCCGTGTCCTGGGACTGAGTCAGGATGATGTCGACTTTTACACCAACTTCCCAGCCGAAAAGACCAGAAAGATTTTTCGCAAGGTGAGAGAAGCAGCCCTGCGCAGACGGAGGTCAGTTACTAACGGGCTTAGGTCGACATTCGACTTGTTCCTATGCTGGCTGTCATGTACTTGATCTCCCACATCGACCGCGCCAATATTGGAAATGCAAAGATTGAGGGCATGATTGAAGACCTGGGCATGACAGGTGTACAGTACAACACAGTCCTCGCCATCTGTGAGTACAATCCGATTACCTTTCTCACGAACTTGCTGACGGGATCACAGTCTTCATCCCATATGTGCTCTTTGAAGTCCCCAGCAACATTCTGCTGAAGAAGTTCAAACGGCCGTCAACCTATCTCGGTATCCTTCTCCTGGCCTGGGGCATTGTGATGACATGCACTGGACTTGTCCAAAACTTTGGTGGCCTCATGACAACTCGAGTGTTGCTGGGCATATTTGAGTGAGCTGACCGCATTATTTGCTAAACTCATTTGCTAATCTTGAATGACAGAGCTGGTTTCTTCCCGGGAGCCATCTACTTGTGCTCATACTGGTACATGCCGAAGGACCTGGCCACTCGAATTTCGTACTTCTACTGTGCAAGCGCACTCTCTGGGGCGTTTTCAGGTCTGCTGGCCGCCGCCATCGCGCAAATGGATGGTATCGCCGGACTTGAAGGATGGCGATGGATCTTTCTCCTGGAAGGACTCGCTACTGTTCTCCTGGGCATCGCCTGTTTCTTCTTCCTGATCGACACCCCAGCCTTGTCAAAGCGCTGGTTGGATCCCGAAGAGATCCGATACCTGGAGCTGTCCATGTTCATCAAGCAAGGCGGAAAATTCCACGAGGAAGCCGGCTTCAAATGGAGAGACCTCAAGATGGTGCTCACCAACTGGAGGGTCTATGTGCAGGCCTACTTCTTGCTGTGCCAGTCGGCGCTATCTTACGGTATATATCATGGTTGCCTCTTTCAATTGACACGAATCTGACTTTTGTGAACAGGTACCAAGTTCACCCTCCCAACCATCACCAAAGCCATGGGCTTCACCTCCACCGTCGCTCAGCTTACCTCTGCACCTCCGTACGTGGTTGCCGCCTTGTCTGCGATCTTCTTTGCACGACTATCCGATCGCTATTACTGGCGAATGCCATTTGTTGCCATTCCCATGCTCATCGTTACCGTCGGCTATGCGATTGTCATCTCGCTACATGGAGAGCTCGAAAAGCAGAAGGGTGTCGCATATTTCGCAGTCGTTGTGGCAGTTGCAGGCATCTACCCGATCCAAGCAGCAGCAGCCTCATGGAACTCGAACAACATTGCTCCCACCTCCCGTCGCGCCATTGGCATTGCCCTCATGAACTGCGTTGGAAACGTCGGCGGCATTGTCGGCAGTTTCATGTACATTGAGAAGGAAAAACCAAAGTACTACACCGGATTCGGCCTCAGTTTGGCTTTTGGTGTCACCGGATTCATCGTGGCCCTATTGCTCGAATGGAGTTACAAGATTGCAAACGCGAACAAGGCGAAATTGGAAGAGGAAGCAAGGACAAAGTATACCGAAGCGGAATTGTTCGACATGGGAGACAGGTCACCACTGTTCAAGCATGTCTTGTAAACTCACGATTGAAGAACAGACTGCGGTCTTTTCGCCCACGCTCAGTACATACCAGTGATAACTCTACCGTTAATTTCAGTCCAGATCTCATTTGCGTTCCATATTTGATCTCAGAAAACAGCCATTCCTTGAGAATTCTTCCCGGCTCCCAGTCCTTGTAGCGCAAAGTGTTGGATCATTTTAGCCGAGCCTTGCCCGCCTGATACATCAAGCACACTGATTGAGGCCGGCGTCGTGCCGTTGCCCGGGGATAGCGCGTAGACAAAATTTCCAGCAGCCTTCAAATCGATCAAGCCTGGATCGCCATTGGCGGAGAGATCTGTGATGGAGAGGGTGCTGGCGTCCTTCAAACTCATTTCCACGAGACGATTGACACCCACGTCGGTGACAAATGCACTACTTGTGGCCGGGGAAATAGTGGCCCAACACGTGGCCTTCTGACCGTCAATGGCTTGTTTGGCAGCAAGGGAAGCTTGGCCAGATTTTGGGTCCACAGCAAGAATTGCAGCTCCAAAGGAGGCGTCGGTGGCGAAGATAGACGATGTTCCAGGTATGTTCGCTGAGCCAAAAAGGACAGCGGTTCCATTAGGAGAGCTGCGAACATCTTGAGCAGACACAGACGCACTCTGGTGACGACCGTGACCGATGACAGGAAATGCCGAGAAGAAACCAGTATTGCCCGTAGCGGGGTCTCCTTTGACCGTAGCAAACAACTTTGATTCGTCTTGAGAGAAGAAAAGCTGCGATACGCTGTTGGTCGGGCCGACGGGTGGTGTCGATTGCGTCAAGCCAAACGAACGCAAGTTGTCCATGCCGACCAGACCATTTCGGGAGAATCTCGAGCATGACACTCCGTTTGCAGCACCAGTGGTGCCGACACACACAAGCCGATGTCGTATTGAAGCAGCAGCTGTGTTGGGGAACTCTCCAGGAAGATTGACTGGTTGGCCGACCACAGCAAGCTGAGTTGGATTTTGAGGATCAATGGACAACATGGTCAGAGTATTGCTGCCAGCGTTCACTGCGAAAAGGTGCTTGGGAGTTGTCAGCCTCGGGGTATGGAAGGCCCAGGGGTTTCTCACATTGCCTGCTACGGTCAGAGCGGACTGTCCGATAAGCGCATCTGGTGCAGCCGGTTGGTTGGTGGTCCCATCAATACTGTTTGCACCTGCTCCGCCAGTGCCCGTAACATTTCCCAAGGACAGCGTTCCATCCGCGGCGACAGGAAGTGCGACGACCGCATTGTTGGCCTCGTTCGTCAGAAGGTATACTGCTGTTGGAAACCGACTCCTGCCACTGCCCGCCTGTCCACGATGAGGGGATGGGGCTGCAAGAGTGAGAGAGGCAGCAAGCGCCGCCAGGGCAATTTGCGCAAAGCCTATCATATTGTTTCAAGGTTCTGTCTCAGACCTAATAAATTGGCACCTTCTTCACGTTCTTCGGGTTGCGGATGCGGCGGTGCCTGGAAGAACAAAATCCAAGGAGCCATGGTCGTAGGATAGATAGGCTGTCGTCTTATATATGCTGCTCCGGCAATATCTTTTGAGATGCGCAGTCGAAGAATTCGAGACAGCACGAACTGCAAGAAGATTGACCTCTTCGACAATCGTTTCGCATATCGATGTGGAAGGCATCAACAATCAAAACGGGCAAGGCTGATTACCTATCGGTGTCACTAGTATGCGCCGGACATTTTGCGGAGACCCCTGCGGAGCAGGATTATGGAATCAGTGGAGACATACTAGTAGCCACTGAAACTTGCGACACCAAATCCTGCGCCGCAACTTGCTCCCAGACGCCGACATTATTATCAATATTTCCTGAGTTCAAGTACAGCTCTCCTGAGCAAGCGCCAAACATCTATATGGTTCGACATTTCGGTTGCCTCAAAACCAGTCTTCCTGAATCCTCATCAAGAACTGGAGTGTTGGTTCGATCCCAGCCACGTCGCTAGACTCCAAGCCTAGCATCCTGCTATCCGGCCCCACCCATGCATCAATGGCATCGTGAGAACCGTCTGTCGACATGTCTCGACCAGCCGTGCCGCTCTCGCCTTGCTCCGAGTGTTCTAGCGCAGGGTTAGGGTGTGTAGTTGGGGAATCGAGGCCGAACGCTCTCATTGTAGTAGACATAAAGTTATCGGGGAGTTCTTGGATGAACTGGTCCAGAGAAGTAACGGGCGCGATATCGGAAAAGAGTCGGACACCGTTAGCAGGCTGAGCTCCCTGTGTCTGCTGCGCTGCTCTCTTCTCCCGAGCTCTTGCCATCAGTTGCCGCAGGGGTTTCCATCGGACAGCCCTTTGTAGCCTGTTGTTTGTCGGCAGATGCTCGTGGTAAATCGATTCAATGGCTTGCCAGGCCCTTTCAACGTCCGGCCCGGGAGGTCGAAGGCAAATCTCGGACAACGCGAAGGCCATCGACTGCCACTGCATGTAGGAGCGAAATAGCCACGCCCACTTTGCGGTGTTCGGGTTGCTGCACAGAACGTGGAAAAATTCCATTACTTCCACAGAGGTGATGAAAATCCGATCCCGGCAGGAATTTTCCAACAGGGTAGCGCCACTTGTGCAGTTGAACGAGCGAGGTTGGTGGACCATAAGCCACATCTTTGCCAGGATTAGCCGGGTGACGGTAACAGCAACATAGTAGATGGGCATTTCCAAGTCGCAGTGTCGCAGGTACTTCTCTTCCAGCATGCGGTGACAGTCGTCGATCATTTTATCTTTTTCCTCCATCGTCCACTCGTCCGAGCCTGGCACAACCTCGGCTTTTGCGAAGCCCATAAGACGACGGAAAAAAATGCTGAGCTCGAAACGGATCAAGGAAAAGGTCATCTCTGTCGCGCCCTGTCTCTCTGGCGGGTACTGCTTCATTCCTGGATGAATGTCCTCGTCGTTGTAATTCCGTGGCAGCTTGGTATCGTAGAAATGTTCGGTGAATGTGGGGTCAGTTCCATGATCCTCGGCCGAGCGGTTGTCCAAGACGGAGAGATTCCACCATAACCGCCGTCTCATTTCTATGTCGAAGGGATTCAATCCGAAATGCGATCCGTCACGGTGGATTCCGAGGCCGTGGGCCAGACGAATTGCCAAACCTCCTAGAGACCACACGGTTCGTGAGTCGTCACAGGACCGTACGAACAAAAGGAAAAAGGCGAACGCTTGTAAACACATAAGACTGGAGCTGTTTAGAAAGTCGGCGCGAGCCAATGCCTGTTCGGTGGCAAAGCGGTACTTTTTGATCAGAGTATCTTTGTCCTCGTCGAGCAGTTGCCGGCACTGTTCATCACTGAGACTGACCACAGCTCCAAAGTAGATCGAGAACAGTAATGCTTCGGCAGGCTTGGAGAGACTCCCAAGGTGGGTGGCAGCATTCATCAACATTGTCCTTGCGGTCGGTCGGTGGACGATTCGGACCACTGGATCAACGTTCTCCTTAAAAATCTCCCAGAGAATGAACGTCTGGCTCGGGGTGGGATGTAGCTCGTGCAGGTCAACCATTGCTGCCGAATAGCCGAAGAGGAATGTCTGGTGGTTCAGCACACGGTTGTTCTGCAAAAAGAAGCTTTCGCCGTCGTCACCAGAACTCGAAGAGTCGAGCAAATCTCGCATTTCCGCGATCTCGGCGTTCATGCTGGTCCAAAAGGAATTGCTGAGGTATCGACTGCGATCATCGCTGATGACCAGCCGGCCCAGCTGTTTGTCAACTGACTGCCGGCCTGGATCTGAACGGTCGGACGTCGGAGAGTCTCCAGGCTGAGACCCGTCGCCAAACCGCGCTCGCAGATCCGAAGAGCCTGCCAACGTGGCCGAGACGAGCCCGTTTTCGTCGACATTGGCTCCCAAACTGCGGACCACGCCTTCCAAGCGCTGTAATCGAGCCAGGAGCTCTGAATCAGGAGGCTTTCTGGATTTTCTGGGGGCTCTGCCAGGGCCGGGAAAGACACACTCAATCCCAGCTCTTACGCAATTTGCACATGGGTTTTGTTTGTTACATCTGACCTTCCTTCGGCGACATGTGACGCAGCTTCGCGGGTTCAGTCGTGGGACCGACGGGTTCGACGGAGGATGCGCCCCAGTGCTGCCATCGTGCGTGGGACGGTCAACGCTGGGTGCTGTGGAATCTTCGGGCGGCTGCGAATGCGAGGCTTCCATGGTCGTGCGGCGTAATCATATGCCAGTCATGGTGCGCGGGATGGACGAGGGAGTGAGTCCTTGGACGTTGGACGAAAGTCGATAAGAGGTTGCCGTCCATGCCCGCATTGCGCATGAAAGATGGAATGGACGGTGGAGTGCGAAAGGGCTTCCTGTTCGGTCGCCTGCCACTGCAAGGAATTGAGGGTTTATTGTTATAGTAATCAGATACGAGCGAGAGCTTCCAGCTGAGTCAACCTGCCAGTAGTGAGTGGCCTGCGACTGCAATCACATACGAAATACACTTTTTGGGTCCTCAGGCTCCCGTCCTTATCCCCGCGGGCGAGCCGCTGACCCTGGGGAATTAATACGTTCCAGTTGCTTCTTGCGCGATTTAATACCACCTGCACTTTTCGTACACCAGCATTGTCGCATGTGCACAGTGTAGGTACCTAGTTATATAAGCTAGAACATCAAAGCTGAAATCAAGATGCTTTCGATCCCTCCCGCCCGGCCACGAAGTCGCTTATACCCACTAAACGCCTCTCCAACCTCGAATGTGGTCAGATGATGTCCGCCACGACCGAGCATCTTGATGGAGACTGCTGGTTAAAATACAGAGACCAATATCAATTGCAGTGCAGGAGAATGCTTTGAGCAGGGTCCGTTAATACGGCACTGAGGACCCATCACTACCTGGACTAAAGGAGCGCCGCTCCAGCAGAAAGATACACGGGATTCATTCATGGTGCTACAAGAGACCGGTCTACACCCAGCCCTGTCCACAATGGCCCGTAGAAAAGGTTGCTCCGCCACACCGGAACGCCCTCGTAGGCCGTCGGTTCCAATTCATATAAAGTCCAGCACGCGCGATCGAATCAAACACAGTATACGAAATGCAAATTGCTTTCCACAATGCTCCTCGCTTCCCAAAGATTCCCGTGCTTAGCAGAATATTCCAGCGCGCTGATGCAAAGCTCATGTACTATGAGATCTTAGAAGAACCTGATGCCCAATTAGTTGATGCCCGCCCTCATCTTGACCATGACAATGAACGTACACTATTGACAACCGACATCGGGTCCGCCTCGTCGTCTTTGTCGGCCGAGGGGCTCTCCGCGCTGCCTGAAGTAACGGGCCCTGTCGTTGTAATGGATCTTTCCGCAAAAGGCGGCCGCAAAGTCATGGTTGACGATGAATCTGGTTGTGGTGGCGGTGGCGCTTGCTGCTTCGGATTCGGCGGAGTGCTGTTTCCTGTCACATTCGATTTGGTCCGAGCATGTCTGTTAAACATGGCTGTCACCCCGTCGGAGGCGACGCGCAGTATGGTCTGCATGAGCAGGTTTTGTTTCAGTGGCTTGGACAGGTATTCATCCATTTGAGCCTGGATGCATTTCTCGCGATCTCCCAACATGGCGTGGGCCGTCAGCGCAATGATCGGCGTCCGGGGAAGTCCCATTTCTTTCTCGTACTGCCGGATCTCTCTGGTAGCCTCGAAACCACCCATGACCGGCATCTGCACATCCATGAGGACCACATCAAATCGGTCGGCTTTGATGGCGTTGACAGCTTCCAGTCCATTGCCTACCACGGTGACCACATGGTTGTACTTCTCTAGAATCTTGATGGCGACTTTCTGGTTGACTTCGTTGTCTTCCGCCAGCAGCACGTTCAACGACTTCTTGTAATCTTTGATAATCGGAGTGGATCGGCCTTCAAGCGCCGGAATCATGCAATTGCCCAGATCAATGAGCTGACATGGCGTCGTCATGTATGAAGCAATGCCCAAGTCGAGAACCGTCTTCAGGTTGATAGATACCGTCGGATTTAGCAGAACCATGGGAATGTACTTGAACTTGTCCATCTCACGCAGTTTGAGCGCCGTTTGAAGCTGGTCGATCACAATTACGTCGAACCCTCCGTCGGCTGCTTTGGTTTTGCCATCACTGGCAATGACCGGATCGGGCACCTCAGCCTCATCGTGAACCAGAAGCACCTGTAGACCGAGATCCTCAATCATGGCAGGGACGCGCTCAAAGAAATTGGAAACCCCTTTGTCCACCACCAGCACCTTGTGCTTGCGGAAGGGATAGAGCTGGGAGCTAATGACGCTGATATCCTCACCAGCATATTTCACAATGCAGGAGAAGTGGAATTCACTGCCATGCCCAAAGTCTGAAGTGACCCAGACTTGGCCTCCCATGAGGTTGACCAGACGCTTGGAAATTGACAGCCCAAGGCCCGTTCCCCCAAACTTCCTGGTGGTCGAGCCATCAGCTTGCTGGAAGGTATCGAAGATCAGATCTAACTTGTCAGACTGTATGCCAATGCCGGTATCGGACACCACAAATTCGAACGGGAACTCGTCGGGTGCACAGTTGGACATAAGGTCTTTGGATTTCTTGATCGTGACCTTAACTTCGCCTTGATCGGTGAATTTAATGGCATTCCCCACGAGGTTGAGGATAATCTGTCTGAGACGGAACGGATCTCCGACCACATAATCAGGAACCGAGTTGTCTACATCGAAGGCCAAGCACAAGTTCTTTTCGTTGGCTTTGACTGCAAGCGATTTGAGGGCATTGAATACGGTTCCGCGGATGGTGTAGGGAATGGCCTCGATGGCCATGCGATTAGCTTCAATCTTGGAAATATCCAGGATATCGTCAATGATAGTGAGCAAGCTGTTGGCAAGGTTGTGCACCGTATTGAGCATCTCTCGGGAGTGTGGTTTGAGATCATCCGTGTCGAGGGTGAGTTGAGTCATTCCGATGATTCCATTCATGGGGGTTCTGATCTCATGGGACATGTTTGCCAGAAATTCCGACTTTGTTCGGTTGGCCAGTTCGGCAGCCTCTCGAGCGGCCGTATTTCGTTGAATGCTGTCACGTAGGTTCGAGATCATCTGATTGATTTTCCGCTTCAACTCATCCATCTCCCCGGACGCGTTGACGCTGATCAACTTGGAGAAATCGCCTTCCGTCGCCGCATCTGTAATTTCTCCAAAGGCACGCACCTGGGCGGTCAAGTTTTCGGCCATGGTGTTGACGTCCTCGGTGATTTCTTTCCATCGGCCACTCACGTCGTGAACATTGGCCTGGCCACCCATCTTGCCGTTGACACCCACATCGCGAGCGACTCTTCGAAGCTCGTGGGCGAATGTTGCCAGTCGATCCACCATGTTGTTGATCGTGACTTTCAGCGTGAGGATCTCGCCCTGCGCTTGGACCTCGATCTTCTTATCCAGGTTGCCTGCAGCGATGGCTTGCGTCACGTCCGAAATGCTGCGCACTTGATCCGTCAGGTTCGAAGCCATGGTATTCACATTGTCGGTCAGATCCCGCCATTTGCCCTGCACATTGTCCACCTTGGCCTGTCCACCAAGGGTCCCATCGGTGCCGACTTCTCTTGCGACTTTGCTGACCTCGAAGGCAAAGGTGTTCAACCGGTCCACCATGGAGTTGATCGTGATCTTGAGGTCGAGAATCTCTCCCTGAACATCGGCTGTGACCTTCTTCGAGAGATCTCCGTTGGCCACTGCAGTTGTGACCGCCGCAATCTCTCGCACCTGAGTCGTCAGGTTCATGGCCATGCCGTTCACGTTCTCCGTCAGGTCTCTCCACGTGCCCTCGACATCATGTACCGTGGCTTGACCACCCAGTACGCCGTTTGTGCCAACTTCCTTGGCCAGATTGGTAACTTCCTGGGCGAATTGTTGCAGTTGGTCAACCATGTTGTTGATGGTACTCTTGAGCAGGAGAATCTCGCCTTTGCATTTAGCCGTCACCTTCCTGGTCAGGTCACCTTTGGCAACTGCGGTCGTGACCATAGCGATATCTCGAACCTGGGCGGTAAGATTGTCTGCCATAGCGTTCACACTCTTGGTCAGTTCATTCCAGGTCCCCTGAACCCCCTCGATCTGGGCCTGTCCACCGAGCACGCCTTCAGTACCGACGTCTCTGGCAACGCGCGTCACTTCTGTGGCGAATGTCCGCAGCTGATCCACCATGGTGTTTATGGTGTGTTGTAGTTCAAAGATCTCTCCTTTCGCTCGACTCTGCACTTTCTGACTCAGATCGCCCCGAGCGACAGCTTTCGTGACAGTAGCGATCTCTCTGACCTGGTCAGTCAGATTCGCCGCCATGATATTCACTATCACAAAAATGTCAGTTTGATGCACCAGATCACAATTGGAAATGCCTACCATTATCCGTCAACTCCTTCCAGATACCCTGCACACCACTGATCTGGGCCTGGCCGCCCAAAATACCCTCAGTGCCGACTTCCCGGGCTACACGGGTCACTTCACTTCCGAAGATTTCGAGTTGGTCCATCATGGTGTTGATGGTCACTTTGAATGCGGCAATCTCGTCGTCCATCTCGGTGGCTTGGATCTGGACACGCTTGGACAAATCGCCGTTAGCAACCTGAGTAATGATGCCGCCGATTTCGCGCAGGGCCTTCTGGAAAGCTTCATTCGCCTGTTGGTGCTTCCGTAGCTCCCTTTCTAGGATTGAGACATCTTCGTTTTCCACCCTGATGAAAGCTTGTTTGGCCTGCTCTTCCGAGTTTCGTAGCCCACGACTGATCTCGGCAATGGTCTCACGTTGACTCTTGATCTGTTCCGCCTGTCTTTCCACATGTTCTCGGAGTATGCTGATATCATCCTCGCTGACGGTCCGAGCAGGCTCCGCCGCGACCAATGACTCTCTTGCAGCAAGCAGGCTGTTTACCCTTCTTGACTGATTCGAGTTTGCGGACGTTTTGTCGGCCGCTGGTGCTATCTGGTCATTGTTTGATTCCCCAGACGACTTTCGGGGCTCGCCAGAGCGCGACAGCGGAGATGTAGGACTGTGGAATTCACCCGGCGTGTCAGGTAGTGACCGCCCAAGGACGTCGGCCCTGGACTCGAGATAGTGTATTCGGCGTGCCAGAGACGCGATTTCAGTCTCTAATTCGTTCTTCACCGGGCTGTCATCGCCGGGGAGCCGATACGGCGGGAGCTTGAGGCCATTGGTATAAGTTGACGTGGCAGTCGAACCTCTGGCCAAACCGCGTAATATCGCCGCCGCGGCTGCCAATGTCTCGTCCGATGGAGACATGGACGGTGGTGGTGTCTCTAGATCGTGGTCCTCCTCATGAGTGGTCGTGTGAAGGGGTTCGTGACAAGCGCGGTCGAGGTGCCAAAGGGTTCTTGTTTTCGGCTGCGTCCAGCAGCGCAGGCAGAACGGCGGCAAAGCCACCTTGCCCGACTACAAGGACTCTGCAAGGAGCAGATTCAAAGAAGAAGTGAATGTGCGATGAGAGCTTTGGTCATCAGCGTCGCAGGCAGGAATAGAGAGAGAGGAGGAAAGGCGTTGCGATCAATTTCCGGGGGCTTGGTCTGAACGGTTGCGGTGGCGTAGACGGCTAAGGTGGGATGGACATGCCAAACCAACAGCGCTAAGCAGCGGTTGACAGTCAAAGGGACTGGAAAGAGATGCCAATTTCTAGGACGTGAAAAGATGAAGGACGGATTGATATTATTAGGATACTAGTCGAGGATAGAGGCATCTGGCACTACCAGTGTTCGGAGTCTAGGATACAGGAAAGGACAACAGTAATTGAAAATTGCTTGTCCCGCCCGGTGAAGGAGAAGAAGGTTTCCCTTAGCGAGACTTGGAGGATGGAGTGCCAGTGTCGGCAGGCAGGTCAGTCTCTGGCTATGGCTCTGGCTCTGGCGCAGGTTCGGGCTCGGACTCAGGCGTAGGAGCGTGTCCGCCCTTGGGCTGTAGGGAGTAAGGTGAGAAGGGCAAGGATGGGGCTAGCAGCAGAAATTGGACGAATAGGCTGACCGCCTCCTGAAAGATCGCCGTGAACTGGGCGACAAGACAAAGCAGCCGACAGAGTCTGGCGAAAAGACGCCCGCTGAGGCCTACACTGGCAGCGAAGGAATACCCGTAATGGAAAGGCTGTCCTACTTCAGGTACCGCTAGTAGCAGTAGCAGTACCGTTTAAACCAACAAGAATCAAATCAAAAGATCAGGTGCAATCATTATGGCGCAGGTCGCCATTATTCACAGTCGGGCTGCAGCACTGTCAAGTACAGTACTATGTACGAGGACAACACACAACCCCCCTTGGCACAGTCAGGAAACGGTCGGCTCACACGCTTGTTAGCCAGAGTAATAATTGAGGTGGACGGCGTTTCAAGTGACCCGTCTCCTGGAATGTCGTCGGTGGAATCGGTTCGGGCAGTGGGGACAGTGGAATCAGAATGCAGCACTAGCAGCCCATAGATGCACGTTGACGGCAGAAACGGGGGCCCGTCTAACCACTCGGTGAGGTGCCTTGACCATAGTCCCAGATCCATAGGAGCTTAGGCAGACCCTGAAGCTGGAGCCGAAGCCAGTCCCAGGTGGCAAAGATCAAAAATGACTGCTTAGCGCTTAACCTCCAGTGTCACAGCTGCGCTCTGTGTCTGTTTACAAGAACTCGTGACGGAGTAAAGCACCTATGCCGTGGAAATATAAGGTAGACAGTCAGTCCAGGAATCTGAAGAGCTTCCAGTTCGCCAACAAGAAACTCGGAAAAAACACTCGAGGATGCGTGTCAATCTACTTGTGATTGACTGGCAATACCACTCCATGGTAGAATTAGTGCTATGCTAGGATCCATCTTGTATGCAAAGCTTTTGGCTAAGCAGCGCTACTGGTAGCGTTGGAGGTGGTCCATGTTGACTTTGGTTTACGATATTTATATCGACCATGTGCGTGGTAAGGTGTATGAGCAGCACTAGTAGGCCGCCTGGTCTAACAATCCAACGTGGTTTTTAATCAGGACTGATATGTCCTACAAGATTGCAGTATTCGTACTACACCTGTCGATGGACGATGCCGATTGTTCCGCAGCAGCTCACCACAGGCATAAAATAATAATATTGAACAACCACGGGAGTGCTCTTCGACCTCTTGTACGATGCAGCCCGTCAGCTCGAAAAGTGCTCCACACAATAAAAATATCAAAAATAATAGCCCGGCGTTCGCGCGCAAGTCCTTGCCAAATGTTTCCTCCACTTATCCTGTAACCACATAACCTCGCAAGTCAGCTGGTCATCAGGGTCGATAATATGGCTATCTCGAAATTGATTTTGCACAGCCAGTGTCTTATTAGATCAACCTCGCTCCCACATTTAGATCGGCATGCGACGATGAAACCGGCTGATCGTCCATATGATGTAACTCGTGCCAAAGCTGAACGTGAGCTAGGATGATGACCAGGTACCTGATATTAGACCAAAAGCATTAGAAGCTATGTACAACGTAACCCCTTAATCACTTCTACCGAGGAGACATGGTTCTAAGTTGGGTGTAATATTAATTAGTATATCGTACTCGCATAACTTTGTGTAAGTAGTCCCGTCATATCTGCAAACCAAATGGTCGACATCCAGCTTTCGTATATAAATGATTGCACAACGTCTCTCGTAGCTCATATCAATCATACTTCGTGAATATACATGTAGATAAATCAAATGCTGAGTCCTTCAAGGGCTTGTAAAAACCCAGCCATCGCCCCCGCCCCTAACAACCCCTTGGTGGCCCCCTCGCGCAAATTGTGCTTGGTGCTTTTTTCCCTGGAATGCCTCTTGTCATCGTCTGCTCGGGCATGGCCGCGTGCAGGCGTGCTGTGCTGTGAAAGACGAGAGGGTGATCGCCCATGTTTTCCATCCTGTGAGCCAGGTCGGGGTGAGAAAACAATTGGATTCGTGGCGGGCGGCATGTATCTGGATGGGTTCCCTGGTTGTACGCCATATGCGGTACTAAGCTGAGGCGCTGGAGGACCGGTGTAGCGAGGATATCCGGGATAATGCTGCTGCGGTGGTGGTGGCGGCGGCGGCACGTACGGGTTGCTAGCGATGCCGGGATGAACAGGTGGAAACGGGGATGATATACTGTGATGAACCGGATTCTGATCCGGTGTCGGCCAGGGCCGGTGGTTAGGCGGCTGGTGAGCCGGCGAGGTCAACCGTGGTGCTACCGGGGGAGCCGACGTTATGGAAGGCGCTCGATTACCACCACCTGCCCCATTAAAAGCCGCTCGTCCTGCCGGTGGTATGGGTACTGCATGCGTATGTGATGCTGAATGACCCTCCTGAAACGACACTTTCCTCTCACTTACGGGACCATCACTGCCTCGTCGTATTGGTGGGGGTTGGAGTTGGTCAGGTTCCGAATCGGACGATTCTGAATCAGACTCGATGACATGCCTCGTCGCGGCTCGCTTTTTAAAGGTGTTGGTCCCGGGAGTCTCTTCATCAACATCACTCGTAGCTGTGGTCACAGTGGGCTGGTAGTTGGAGTATTCTCTCCGTCGTCTGGATGCCTCTTGTCGGGCAGCCGCAGAGTTTGGCCTTCGCCAGTCCGTGGTACTTCCTTCTAGATAATATCCCCGAGGACTGTCCTCTTGATCTCCGAATCGCTCATACAGCGGCCGGTCGTCGTCCTCGTCCAGCTGCTGCACTGTTGGCACAAACCGACCTCCAGAACCGCGCTCGTGTCTCCTTTCTCGAACCTGTCTCCAAATCGTCCATCTTTCGAGGAGAGGGTCAATCGCGCGATCGGATACCTGAATCATGTCCTTTGGAGAGTCTTTGATCTGATGGAGTGTCTGATCAAGCTCACCTAGCGAATATACTGGGAGCTTCACCAGAGCACTCGAGGGGGCGTACTCTGGAGGCGGAGCGTCTGTGGTCTGCTGAGAACTGTTTGTCTCTGCCAGAGACAGGTCATCGTCTTCGGGTGTGTCTGCGCCGGTGTGGGCTTTCCGATCGTCCTCCTCTTCTTTCTGGGACGCCTCAAACAGTCTGTCCATTTTGCTCATCTGCCAGTAGCGAACGATGACGGCATTTTGGGCCTCGGCGCGCTCTTGCCTAATGGCTTCGGTCTTTACAGCGACTTCTTCTGGACGGTCACTAAATCCAAGTCAGCGCAGTTACCACAGATGAGGGATCATAACATACTGGCGGGATGTCGATGCCATCAGTCTTCCCAGCTCAATGATTTGCAGCATGAGGAAGAGGCTCAGTTTCAGGTTTTCCAACTGCGCCATCAGATACGTGACCCTGTGTTTCCGAAAGCACCATCTGAACCGCTGCTGAATGGTAGGAACTGAATTTCCATGGGCTTGCTTCGTGCGTAGGCGATCCAGCATGTCATTGATCTCGTCAAAAACCCGAGTGCTTTCTTCGGCAATGGACTCGGCGGTTTCGACAGCTTCGTGGGAATGTACCGGATCGGCGCTGCGGAGAACATTGCCGGTCTGCTTGAGCATCATGGCAAACAAGGTGACACTTTTGGAAATGCTATGGACTTCGAGCCCAGCATTGGCAACTTCGCAGCTCACTGCATTTAACACGAGCGAAAGTCTGAAGGCTTCGCTCGCAACCCCCATGATCGAGGCAACCGCTCCTGCGGAGGAAAGTCAGACTCGGGGTGTCTTCGGACTGACGCATTTTCCACGAACCTGTGTCGGCCATCCTCGATGCAATTGAGGTGGACATCGACAAGACGGCGATTCTCACCGCAAAGAAGAACAAGTGCAGACAACGGCGAAGTCGAAAGGGCTACAACCTTGTAGAGTGGCCTCGTGGGAAGAAGGCAACAACAACCCCACGATTCTAGTGCCACTGCAGTGGAAGATGACCACGCCGATGCAGTGCGGAGTTGGACACGCACACTAAGTTACTAGCAACTGGCGCGAGGCTAAGATCGGGACAGTTCGCAGAGCCAGATCGTAGCCCGCAAGGGCAGAAGTAATAAACCACCACCACTGGCACTCAGCCGATGATTCAATTTCCCGGCGCGAGAAAAAGGCAAGCCTCAGCTTGGTAATTACCGGCTACTCCTCCTCTAGTCCTTAAGTTATCTGCACTGTTGGCGGATAAACAATCTGAACTGCTTCTACAATTGAAACACGTTTCGCGCGAAAAATAAAACCTCAATTCATGGCATACCAATAGGTAGTACCTAGGTAGTAGGGTTGCCCTTCGTACCGGCGACAGATCCTGCACTGCATGCTGTGCCAGGTAGGTAGTTTTGATATCGTTTGTAGACGGTGTGGCTAGCATCGAACAGGCCGAGACGCAACGTTGTGGAGTTGGACGTGGACCTGACGGTGTGCTTGCATGGCCGTTTGTGAGATGCCATCCCAAATGCCGTTCGGGCCCTGGGGCCTTGGGGTGTCAGTGGTAGGTTCAGGTACTGACCGTGAGATCTCTTCCATCATATCAAGAAGCATTCATGTAGCCCATGTAGCCCACGTTGCCCTCTACTAGTATCACTTGTGCCGGATAAAGGTGTCCACTCAGGGCCGGCCAGCGAATGGAATGTTGATGGGAGCTGGTCGAACTTCAAGTCGAACCATCGGCGGGTTGGAGCCAGCCAGACCCTCGCTTCCAACGCTTCCTCCAGAGTCCCTCAGCCGCTAAATTGGTTTCTCCTGGTCGATCCTCCTCCCTCTACTGGCCCTGCCGGGGACATTGTTGATCCTTTCCTTGCTGTACCCTTCTAGCTGCGCACACTCTTGACGACCTCAACTTCGGATGGTGCAGCTCTTTAACCCTCAACAACAGCATCGCCTTTTCTCCTGTCGGATGGTGTTCTGTGACTTACTGATACCCCTGGCTGGAGCGTCTGACAGTCTAGGCCGCAATTCTGATCCGTTGCGCCAACCATTGGGTCCCCTCGCCACGAATCTTCTTGTCCCTCATCCTCGCGGTATCCGAATCTGCTCCCGTTTATCGCCCTGTTCAAGACGACGAACAATTTTGGCCGAAAGGTCGTTCTTTCGCCAGGACGTCTGGCTCAAGATTTCGGAGCTGCAGAGCCTCTCTACATCCTGCGCCAATTCACTACTGTTCGTTTGCAGCAAGGTCCTTGGCTGGTCATCATGAATAAATGGAGAAGCTGAGAGGGAGGGAGCACACACTGTCTGTTAAGAGTTGAGATGCGAAAGAGCACGAAGCCGGTGTCACCGCAACCATGCGGATCTCCATCCGTGAGCAGCTCGGCCTGCTCGTCCTGTTTTGTTCTCTTATGTCTTTGATGGTACTTGCGCTCGCAGTGGTATGTTGCGATCACATCTGCACCGAGACTCATGCTAAAATGCCTTGCAGTGGTTTCAAAATTACAACTTCATCATAAGCATAAGGTTAGCATCTTCTACTGGCAGACAGGGCGATACTAATCAACATGCAGACTGTCGGGACTTGCATTGACAGCTTCGCTGAAGGCGGCACAACTATCCAACACTCTGCTGTTATATACCTCACAGGTGGAATCAGTGTCTACCCGTGTCCTCATTCAGAGTGCCCTTTCTAGGTACAATGCGGGTGAGGACTGTTCGAAAGTGACTTGAAGCAGAGTCTGTGCTAATATTAACTCCTCTGCCAGGCAACACAAGCAGCGCAAACTGGGATCGATCACAGGGTGACCTCGAGGGCGCGTTAGCCGATGGATCTCTTCTAGTACAAGCAACGATCTTTCCCAGCTTCTTCAATGGAAACGAAACCGCTAGGAACGGGCTGTTAAATGTCACCGCCGACGGCGTGGTGGGGGTGGTGAAACTCCCATACACGAATCCCGACGGTTCGGCTGTCTATCTTGGAGATCCTGGACTGGGATACCCGCCTTCACTCTATCCCAATCTGACGTACGGCCCTCCAGCACCCGGCACAAATTACTCGTCGGTTTCCTATAATGGTCGCAGGATCAGCGCAGGCAGTCCGCTATTCTTGGGGCCTTTGATCGTGAACGATTCCTACTCTCTGCTGTCGGTCACGGTGCCAATGATCAACAATACGTCGCGCTCGGATGTCCTCGGTTGGTTGACGATCGTAGTGAACATGGAGATGATCTACACCGTCCAGGACTCGCCAGAAGGGTTGGGCAAGACAGGAGAAACCCTTCTTGTCGGGCCAGCGACTCCAGACAACGTCTTTCAAACGGAAATCAGGGGCACCACAGCCAGCGAGTCCGGATCCAAACAAGTCCGGTTCCTTCTACCGCCGCACAGCAATTCTACACTGCAAGGACGACACCAAGCTAGAAGCTCGATTGCAACCTCCACCATACCATTTGCAATGTCTTCCTATCCCGCCGTTCTGGCTGCTTGGACCAAAGACAACCGTGCCATCAACAACGCAGGGGCTTTCATCTCGACACACGACGAGGATGGCACCAAGGTGTCTGCCGGATATGCCGTCGTATCTACGCGTTTTGTTGATTGGGTGCTCATAGTGGAGCAAGCGCACCAGGAAGTGATTGCCCCAATCAACCACTTACGCGATGTAGTCCTCATCTGTGTTTTCTCCGTGGCTGGTCTGCTCCTGGTAGTGATGCTACCTATCGCCCATTACTCGGTTACCCCAATCCGGCAACTGCGTGCCGCAACAGCAAAGACTGTGGAGCCTTATCAACCGGACGATGCGAGTGAATACTCAAGTTCAGTGGGCAATAATCTCTCGCCCAATGACGGTGGCAGTCCCGATCCCGTTGACCATGGAGAAGCCCGGAAGGAAGGCTTCTTCGGTATACTGCCAAAAATAACTAGACCGAAACGTGAACGGTCCACAACTCCCAGAAACTTACGGCGGAGGACGTTCCGGATACCGCGGAAGGTCCCAGAGCGTCGACACTGTATCACGGATGAATTGACCGAGCTGACACGGACTTTCAATGAAATGTCTGATGAGTTGACCATGCAATATGAGCGCCTGGAAGAGCGGGTAAAAGAACGAACAGCGGAACTGGAAAAGAGCAAAAAGGCTGCAGAAGCGGCAAATCAGAGCAAAACTCTTTTCATCGCAAATATCTCCCACGAACTCAAAACACCATTGAATGGTATCCTTGGACTCACTACCGTTTGCATGAACGAGGATGATTTGGGCCGAATACGTTCGACTCTAAGCACCATTTACAAGTCCGGTGACTTACTCCTCCACCTTCTCACTGATCTCCTCACGTTCAGCAAAAACGAAGTCGGGCAGCAATTGTCTATTGACGAGGCCGAATTCAGACTCAGTGATCTGAGCACACAATTATTGCCCACTTTTGAAAAACAGGCGAGAGAGGCGCAAATCGACCTCAAGGTTCTGTTCCTAGGGACGAACGACGCATTTGGCGACAGTTCCGAGAACTCTGGTGAAAAGCTGTACGGCCCAGTTGGCACGGGACGAGTAAGGGATATGTGTTTGTGGGGGGATAAAAATCGCATCTTACAGGTATTGTCACGGTTCCTGAGCATTCGACCGCCAATCTAACAGTCCTCTAGGTCCTGATGAATTTTGTTAGCAACAGCTTGAAATTTACGCCCCCTCATGGCTCAGTCACCGTCCGCGTCCGCTGTACTGGACTGCTCGAACATCAACCAAGCCGCGCGGGCAGTACCAGGAAGTCGTCTTTCAACTCGCGGAAGTCAAAATCCTCAAGCAACAAGAGAGTACGAATGTCAGACGGCTCGCTTGTGATCCCAGACACTACAGACCACGAGAAAACCCGGTCGAACTCGCCACTCGAGGAATCCAAGCTTAGTATCAATGTTGCTGGCGGAACTGCGCACATACACAAAGTTGCCGAGCGACAGCGGTCAATGTCGCCTCCGCCGATCAATACGAAAGACTTGCTTTTTGAGTTTGAGGTCGAGGATACCGGACCGGGAATTCCTCCCGAGCAACAGAAAATGATCTTCGAACCATTTGTGCAAGGTGATCTTGGACTGAGCAAAAAGTATGGCGGTACTGGCCTTGGACTCAGTATCTGCGCACAGTTAGCCGAGCTGATGGGCGGCGACATCTCTCTTGACAGCCAGCCCGGCATAGGGAGCAAGTTTACAATGCGAATCCCACTCCGTTACGTTTGCGAACGGAGTGCGTCAACAGCTTCCTCGACGCACCGAACCCTGTCCAAAGCGAGCAGTTTCGTGGGACAGGCGCTCCATGATTCAGTTGATCAGACCCCGCTCCACAACACAGGCTCAACGACGTCCTTGGGATCGACGAGAGACGATGCGCCTGAGCCACCCAAATTGGCTGATGTACCGCGAATAGTGGGGTTCACTCAGCCTTATGTCGCTAAGGAAACCAAGAAAAGCGACGCCCGTGAAGCCAATCTCCACGAGATGAAGAAGGCAGAGAGCGAAGCCGTTGAGAAAGGCAAAAAAATTCGCGTCTTGGTAGCGGAAGACAATAAAATAAACCAAGAGGTTGTCCTCCGTATGCTTAGGTTAGAGGATGTTTATGGTAAGTTGTCGCAGTCTGTCATGCTGTGCTCCGTCTAACGCCTTTGCAGATGTCACGATTGCGAAAGATGGTCAAGAAGCATTCGAAAAGGTCCGGGAGTCGATGCATAGCGGTGAGCGGTTCGACCTCGTCTTCATGGATGTACAGATGCCAAATCTCGATGGCATCCAGTCCACTAGACTCATCCGTGAAATGGGATTCTCGGCACCCATTGTCGCCCTTACAGCATTCGCAGAGAAATCTAATGAGGACGAGTGCATGGCCTCCGGGATGGATTATTTTCTGGCCAAGCCGATTCGAAGGCCCGCTCTCAAGCAAGTGCTGAAGAAATATTGCGCAACCATTCCCGAAGAGGAGAATGAGGGCTCTGCAGCCGCCACAACCCGCGGAACTGGCAAAACAGCCCCAAAACAAACAAAGCAAACGAATGGCGGGCCACCTGCTTCGACTATCCGAGTGCCTGACGCTGATGATGTCTCGCCCCTATCGTGACCACTCGAGGTTCGGTTTCATTCCGGACTTGGGGAGACCGAACCTCCATACTAATGGTATTGTACGAATCATAATATGCATTTGGGCTCAAATCTATCAAAAAAAGGCTACAGATTTGGACGGCGTTCAAAAATTGACGGGAAATGAGAAAACCTTTGAGCATTGGTGCCCGACATAAGGCAGCGTTGGTGTCAGGCGTGGTAGATACTCTTGTTTTAGGTATGGTGAGGCTGGTTCATGACATGAGCGGCAGCGCGACGACAGCTGGCAAACAGCGATGTAGGAAGTGCTCGATACATATCCTGTTGGTTGCGCCTGTGGATGTGACACCCTCTGGACTGGGTCAAGGAAATGGTACGGCAATACTCTGTATTCGTAGATTGACTGCAGAACCAGCCCTCAATCTGGGAAGAGAGTCTAGTAGGCCTTGTATGATTTGAAAATGATTCAAATTGGCTTCCTTGCCGGACTCGCTCACGATTCAACTTCGAGCATCACAATCATCAGGCGGAAGTAAGGACCCCACGATTTGGACAACAAAGGCGCATTAGTAGTAGTGGACAGCTCAGATCTTGCATGACATCAATACTCCAAGCTGGCGATCAGCAACCTCCACGTACTCACAAAGGTACCTAGGTATATTCTTGCCTGTCCAACATTATGATACTAGTATCCGGCCCTGGACATCACTGGACTTTGATTTCCAATCCGACATTCCCTCTGCATGATGGACACTGGACATAGGCATAGGCATAGGTGAGCCCTGGGTTGACGTTCAGACTGTGCGAAACCTGCAAGCACAATCCTGAACCACATATGCCTCTCAAACGCAAAGCATGTGAGTACTCGTCTACCTCCGATCAAATCGTGCGGCATAAGATGCCACTTGCACCGCAACCGCCTATAAATTCGGCAAACGGAAGCCAGCATGGCATCATTCTTCGAAAATATTACCCTCCTGAAATGACCAACACCCGGGCGGTTGATTACATTTCTGGCCGCCTGGAGCGCCCCATCGATACACTGCACAGGGTGCTCCAGGAGACTTGTGCGGAGCGCAGTTTGGTGGCTGCGGGAGACTCTGTGGTGCACTGGTTCAAGTGCGACACACGGACTACGGACAACAAGGCCCTCCACCTTGCAGGGAAAACAGCAAGACAGCACGGAATCACCTTAATCTGTGTGTACCTCGTGTCTCCACAGGACTTCGAGGCCCATCTCACCGCTCCTGTCCGCGTTGACTTCATCCTGCGTAATTTAAGAGTATTGAGAGAAGATCTGGGAAAGTTGAATATCCCGCTGTACGTCGAAACAGTAGACAAGAGGAGGAATGTGGCCACCAGGTTATTGGAGCTGTGCATGAGCTGGGGAGCGAGACACGTGTTCTGCAATATTGAATACGAGGTGGACGAACTCCGAAGAGAGGCGGATCTAGTCAAGGCTTGTTTGGCCAGAGGAATATCCTTCAATGCCATTGCGGAGAGATGTGTGGTTGAACCAGGAAAATTGAGAAGCAGCGCTGGCGGTGCAATGTCTGTCTACAGCCCGTGGCATAGAAGATGGTGTGCATACCTCAACCAATATCCAAATGAGCTGGATGCTATTCCAACTCCAGATATGAACCCCCCCGACACTCGGGAAAGATACCCAGATCTATTCAACTGCAACATTCCAGAAGCTCCTTCATCCAAACGGTTATCTGAGCAAGATAGTGTCAAGTTCTCTCTGATGTGGCCGGCCGGAGAACACCGTGCGAAAGCAAGATTGGACAGGTTCATTCAGGAGAAAGCACGCGAATATCATAACGTGAGAAACATCCCGTCTTCCAACGGCTCTTCTGTCCTGAGTCCTCATTTGGCAGCTGGCACACTGGCGGCACGCACTGTTGTCCGCGAAGCCAGAGATGCAGCACCAAACAAGACCTTGACCGATGACCGAAACCAAGGACACTCCATGTGGATTGGAGAAATCGCATTTCGGGACTTCTACACATCAATCCTCTGTTACTGGCCCTATATATGGTAGGTCGCGTCCACGTTTTGAGGAAGCCGGCTGAATCCTGCGTAGCATGAACAAACCCTTCAAGCCAGAGTACAGCAACATCGAATGGCGATATGACATGGATGAGTTTAGAAAGTGGACGGAGGGAAGGACGGGCTTCCCCCTCGTCGACGCGGCGATGCGTCAATTGGCTCACACGGGCTACATGCACAACAGATGTCGCATGACTGTGGCCTCATTTCTGGCCAAGGATCTTCTCATTGATTGGCGGCTGGGTGAAAAGTGGTTCATGGAGCACCTTATCGACGGAGATTTTGCATCTAACAACGGCGGCTGGGGGTTTTCTGCCAGCTGCGGTGCTGACCCGCAGCCGTACTTTCGCGTGTTTAACCCCTTGCTTCAGAGCGAGAAGTTCGATCCCCAGGGAGATTATATTCGCAAGTGGATCCCGGAGCTGGCGAACGTTACCGACGCAGAAGCAATCCATGATCCTTACGGTCGCGGATATGCCAAAGTAGCCCAAACCAACGGGTACCCGAGACCCATGGTAGATCACCGGCAGTCACGCGAGCGGGCTTTACTGCGATACAAGGCCGGATTGGGTAGAACCACAGCGTGAGCTGAGTTTGAACCTGGTGGAAGCCCTCCAGAGCGCCGACTGTGGAGCGTAATCACAGTTTAGATTTTTTTGAGGACCAGCGAGGGTCAAAGAAGGACGGAACTGAAGGGGCCGACATGAACTGTAGCGACGGAACTTTGGAATGTTTGGAGATGCCCAATGTCGCCTAGCTGGATGCCAAGTGGACTTTAAATGAGCTAAGCCTCATAGCCGCAAACCTTATCTGTCCAAGCCGTCACAGCGCCGGAAACCTGCCGGGAAAACCGGGACCTGGCATTTGTTGTGTCGCAGCCTTTTGCCAGGTCTGTGACGAGGAGATCAGGCCATCAGCAATGGTTGTCCGCAGCCATGGTGATGGGCACACGCATGCGTCTGATCATGAAACGCACACTGGAGACTCAGCTGAAGCAGGCCAAGGACCGGTCCTGTTGGAACCTACCAGGGTCTCGGCTCCCATGTGATGCATGTCGGACTCGGCACGCGACACCGTCTTACGTGGCTCGCTCGACTGACAAGCGGATGGGGATTGATAGGTAGCGACCCAGCAACAATGACCCATCGACTGCAAGCCGGGCCAAGTTATGAAGGGTTCCATTCGAGACTGGGTCTGTGATTGTACGCGTACGCTTCGATGGAGCACGTACCGTAGTTCCTGGGATTGAGGACACCTCAATAGGAGTCGAATTGCAAATGTACCTCTACATATAGTAGGACATGGGATCTTCAGAGGATGTTTGCAGCCACCCTTTGCAGCTCCTGATATTGCTTGACGAGCGCCCCTGAGTAGACAAGTTCTCTCGCTTGAGTTCTGTCTCTGCGAGTTAGCAACTGTGTGTTGCAAGTCTATCGTCTGCCACCGCTCTGCGTCGTCATTTTAGGGGTGTGAAGATTCACAGGCGAGATCGCCTACTAAGACTGGCACCCGGAACTTGGTGGCTTCTCCAATTATTGAGCCTGCACTACCGAATCGCTCGGCTCCGCCACCACATCATCATCACCGCATTTGCAGCTTTGCAGCGTTTTTCCGCCCGCGAGGCCGCCCAAGCTGAGGTCTGCGATCTCGGTCGCAGCCCAAGCCTCAACTTCCTCTGCCGCTGTGCACATAGTCGTCCTTGTTGACCAGGGGTGTTTTCTTTTGCCAAAGCGGGTTGAGTGTACAAGCTTTGTTTTATTTTTATCGTCCACCGCCGGCGACTCCTAATATCCGGCCGAGTCCGCCGTCTTCTTCACCATCTCGCGAGCACACGACCACTTGCCTTTTCTGGCCCCGAACACCACCCTCACTATATTTGGGCTGATCAGTGTCCTTGCTGGCCAAGGAACACCATCAGTGCACCAGGTGATTGCTCACGGTTGGCTCTAACAAATATGTCTTGCTGCACACCGGAGCAATGACATTGCACGCTGCGACAAGGCTTTGCCTGGCTGTTCTCCTCCTTCTCCTTCCAATCTACAATCATCGAGTCTTCGTGCGGGCCGATGCCGACTTTCTCGACGTCCGGACAAAGCTAGATCGAGATCGCAGTGGAAAAGGAGGAGACCCAAAGGACAAATACTTTCACGAGTCCACGTTCCATCCTCATTACGATGGTCGATTTGCCGCAGCCCAGATCGGCAAGGAGGAGCGCCTACCCCATCTCACCGCACTCATGCAGACTTTCCTGGCCACCATGGCGGACATCGGTGCTGAGACATGGATCATGCATGGCACCTTGTTGGGTTGGTGGTGGAACCAGAAGATCCTACCGTGGGACTCGGACATTGATGTACAGGTTTCGGAAACCACCATCGCTTTCCTGGCCAAATACTACAACATGACCGAGTACCATTTCAGACTGCCCGGTGTCAAAGGGGGCCGGACTTACCTTATGGAAGTGAATCCGCACTACACCATACGCGGCGTCGAGGACACGCTCAATGTCATTGATGCAAGATGGATTGACACCGACACTGGCTTGTTCATTGACATCTCTACCGTTCGACCAAACTATACCGCAAGGGCTGAAGGAGTTGAAGGAGCTCTGATGTGCAAGGACAAGCATCACTACTTGGTAAGTGAACTTCGCTCGGCGGAGTCTGTGCGCAACTGTTGCTGATGCCCATTCCAGGAACAAGACATATTCCCTCTGCGAGACAGCTTCTTTGAAGGCATCCATGTGAAGATACCATTCGAATATGCCGCGTTACTAGAACAAGAATACGGGGAGAAGGCGTTGACACTCACCACTTTTGAGCAGTGAGTACCCTTGCACATTGCCCCGTCGGAGGTCGCCACTAACCTTTGTCTCCAGCCACAAATTCAATCATACGAGCAAAATATGGGAGCCCATCCAGGATCCGGTTCCTGGCCGAGGCCCAGGGCGAGGGCCGAGACGACACGGTCGAGTATCTGGAATGTCGCCAGCTTCTTGATTTTCAGACGTCAGCTCTAGGCCTCTTTGTCCATCTTTGGCATAGCGACGGAGTTTGGTCTTCATGATCTGTACCTACCACAAAATGGTCCACAGAAAGGCAGTATATACCGGTGAGAGTACGGGACCAACAGCAAGCAGCAACAGTTCTCATATGTCCATGGTAGATGTTGCCATGCGAACACGCGAGACCAATTTCTCGAGTTATGTACGTACATCAATGACCGATGTAGAATGTTTAATCATGGTAATTCTAACAACACTCGTTTTTGAAAAGGGGCCAAGACGCAATCTAAACTTACCTCTTATTCCTCATCAGCAATCATTGAAGAAAAGATTGCTCTGGTCTGGCACCTCTATCCCTAGATCCTCGTTGCGGACAAAAGCAAAGACGTAGAGCAGATATGTTCGCATTTTGGAATTCAGTTTCACCCATGATGGCAGAAAGATGGCTTTGTCAGGGAACACGTCTCGGCCTACTTTCCTTCTGGGTTTCCGGAGGTGACGATGTCATCGCCATCGAGGACCATGATTGCGCTATAGTATCGTATCAATGTGAGAGTCTTCGGCAGAGTGGGAAGAACGGCTTCAGTCAAGTTCGTCGTGAGCCTCGACTCCTTGGGAGGGGGGAATGCCATCGCCATGAATGAGCGAACGCCCTTGATATCAACAGTGCGGGTGACTCGTTCACCACACGGTTTCCGTCACTCGACCGTGCGCCGCTTCTGCACCATCGCACTGGGCAGCACTCTCGTTGCGATCGTGATATGCTTTCTACTCCCTTCTGCTATTCTGCCTCGAGGTGACGACTCTGTCGCTTCTTATCTCCCCTGGTTTAGACCATATCCGCGCTCATGGCCGCACAGCAATGGTATTTCCTTCGATGAACTCACCGAGATCCTGTCGACAACACCGGACGAAGACAAGATACGTTCATGGAGCCAGTACTACACGGCCGGTCCACATCTGGCTGGAAAGAATTTGAGTCAGGCCATATGGACTCGGGAACGATGGGAAGAGTTCGGGATCAAGGCGGAAATCGTGGCGTACGATACTTACATCAACTATCCCGTTTCGCACCGATTGGGTTTGCTGAAGGGCGATAAACTGCAGTATGAATGCAGTTTAGCAGAAGACGTGCTGGAAGAGGACCCGACTACTTCTTTGAAAGATCGTGTCCCCACATTCCATGGCTACTCTGCCAGTGGGAATGTCACAGCACCGTATGTCTATGTCAACTTTGGGACCTTCCAGGATTTCGAAGACTTGCGGGCAGCCAACGTCAGCTTGGAGGGAAAGATTGCTTTGGCCAAATATGGCGGCATCTTCCGTGGCCTCAAGGTCAAACGTGCCCAAGAATTGGGGATGGTCGGCGTCGTGATCTACTCGGATCCGCAAGAGGACGGCGAGATCACCGAGGAGAATGGATACAAGCCATATCCCAAAGGGCCTGCGCGGAATCCGAGCAGCGTTCAACGAGGCAGTACGCAGTTCTTAAGTATGTCTACTTGAGCTCCGTCCAACTGACACTTGCTAACAGGTGTGGCAGGCACGCTTCCCGGCGATCCTACGACCCCTGGCTATCCCTCCAAGCCGGGAGCGCCTCGCGTCGACCCTCACGGCTCCATTCCCCAAATTCCTTCGCTCCCCATTTCCTACCGCGACGCGCTTCCACTGCTTAAGGCGCTGAACGGCCACGGTCCGAATGCGACCTCCTTTGGCAAACATTGGGAAGGTGGTGGGCTCTCCCACAAAGGTGTAAACTACAACGTGGGTCCGTCTCCTAAGGGCGTCGTCCTCAATCTGGTCAACGAGCAAGAGTATGTCACAACGCCCCTATGGAACGTTATTGGAGTGGTGAACGGGACGATACCCGACGAAGTCATTGTTCTGGGAAATCATCGTGATGCTTGGATTGCAGGAGGCGCAGCAGATCCCAACTCAGGCTCGGCGGCCCTCAACGAGGTCATTCGGTCGGTTGGCCGAGCGCTGGAGGCCGAATGGAAACCTCTCCGCACCATTGTCTTTGCTAGCTGGGACGGCGAGGAATACGGTCTGGTGGGTTCAACAGAATGGGTTGAGGAATACATTCCGTGGCTCTCGAAGAGCGCGGTCGCTTATCTCAACGTGGATGTGGGTGCGCGAGGGAAGCATCTCAGGGTTGCGGCGTCGCCATTGCTGAACAAGGTCATCTACAACGTCACTGCTGCTGTACCATCGCCAAACCAAACCACCGAAGGACAGTCCGTGGGCGATGTCTGGGATGGTCAGATCCGAACCATGGGCTCCGGAAGCGACTTCACGGCATTCCAGGACTTTGCAGGGATCCCCTCCTTAGATATTGGCTTTGACAGTGGTCCCAAGGACCCGGTCTATCATTACCATTCGAACTATGACAGTTTTCATTGGATGGATACATACGGCGACAAACACTGGCATTACCATGTCACTATGGCCAAGATTTGGGCATTGCTTGCTGCCCAGCTTGTGGAAACCCCGATTTTGTCTCTGAGCGCCGCTGATTATGCCAAAGGGCTTTCGGCCTACCTCGAGGACGTCAAAGAAAAGGCCATGGAGTACACGGCCATGTCGGAGTTTAGTTTTCATGAGCTCGACAAAGCTACGGCGAAATTCCGCAAATCCGCGGCGCACTTTGACGAATATACGCACAGCTTGGCGCAGAGGCTCGGCGAAAATGTGCCCTGGTGGAAATGGTGGAAGAAGGTCAAGCTCTTTTACGAGGTGCGCAAAGCGAACCAGAAATACAAGGCCCTCGAACGACAGTTTCTTTTCCCCGGTGGTTTGGACAACCGGTCATGGTTCAAACATGTCGTTTTCGCCCCTGGGCGGTGGACTGGATATGCTGGGGCAACCTTCCCTGGCCTGGTGGAGAGTTTCGAAGACCGGAATCTCACAAACGCAGAACGATGGGATCATATCATCAGGGAACGACTACACGCAGCTACAGATTTGCTCAAGTGATCTACCAACGAAAATTGTTATGCACATATGTGGGAGCGGACTCCGCTATCTGGGTCATGAGGTTCGGACAATGTGGTGTTCTTGACCGCTTTGGTCATATATCTGGACCGTGACTATCTGAACAATATATGCTTTTCTCTCAAGGCTTTAATAGTAACTCGTGCCTCCGGCGCCCAAGCCACTTCTCGTGGCACCAAGATCACTGCTGTATCTCCTCGCTCCGTGAGGAATGACTCCCGGACCCAAACCGATGGGACTTGCGATCCGATGCAGATTGAGGCTGTGACGCCGGGCTGGAGTGTAGGAATCCCTAGTAGTCGACCTTGTCAACGGCCCGGAGCCTGGCAAACTCTCGTCTACAAAAGGGTCCTCGCTAATAACACTTCCAGAAGGATGACGAGAGTGGGCTTGGGTAGAGGGGATGGCCGACGTTTTTGCGTCGTTGTCTTCGTCCTCCTCAAACTCGTTCTCCTCATCGTCATCGTCGTCGCCGTCCTGGTTTGCACTGAACCCCTCCATTTCCACCAGCGACCATATAGGAACAGCGCCGATCATGGCGACCGTAGCCAATGTCCACCAAGAAATGACAACGTAACCCAGGTCAACTCCGGCAGTGAAGGCGTTGCCGGCAAGCGCAGGTCCAGCCGCTCGGCCAACAGCCGAAATGCTAGTTGCAACACCATTCAATGTACCCAAGATCTTGAGACTAGCGGCGCTGTTCGTAAGCAGGATTGTCGAGCATGGAAATGCAAAAATGCCGCAAAACCCCTTGACGAGCATCAGCAGCAACATAACTCCCTGCCTTGACGAGTCTGTAGGCAATAATGCAGTAAACGGGGTTGCAATGTAGACGAGGGGAAAGGTGAGTGAACACGCCTTCAGACAATTCAAGACCCCGAATCGCCGTGCAAATGATGGGAAAATAAAGAACTGGACGAGCATGCCAAAGATGCCGTAGACAGTAAACAAAAGACCGATTCTGTTCGAGTCAATCCCGAATCCACCGGCAAATTTCAGTGGCAGGTGTACGTTTGGGTCCCGAAGGGACTGGACAGGGTAATGCATGAAAATCGGTAGCAACTGGTCATAAGCCACCGAATGCATGGCAAGAAAGGTATAGACCACGAGGTTGATGTTTGACTGCCTCGAGAAAACTTCCGACCACCCAGACGGCTTTTGAGCAGGCTTGGCTGCTGACGTTGCGACCGGCGAAGACATCTCGCTTGAGGCGCCAGGTAGGAAAGGATCGGACTCATCTGTAGAAAATGCCCGCACGTGTCGCTTCTTCCGAGTGCATGGTGCGGTGATCAACTTTCCCAACAGCAGCCCATAGTCCCGTCTTGACTTTTTGTCCTCCAATGTTTCGCGGAGGAAAAGAAAGCCAGCCGATATTCCGCACAAAAACAGGATGCTGATGAGGAGGTTGGGTAGGGCAAAGGGATATTCTTTGAGTAGTTTGAACTTCCCAAAAAGCTTGGGGTATCGTTCGGCAGGATGGACCAGCGAGCCGCCAAAGGAAGGCCCAAATATGCTTCCGATATTCCAGACCAGCGGCATGATGCTAAATGCCAATGGCTGCAACTCTTTTTGTGGTACCAGTTCCGCGACCGCCGTTCTTATAATGCCCACATTGCCGTTCGACAGGCCTTGGAACGACCTCGTTATGAATGCCCACGTCAGATTTTTCGAGAAACCGAACAAGATACTGGATATCATGGTGCATGTCAAGGCGAGGAGGATGACGGGTTTTCGACCGAACCGATCGGAGGCCCGTCCCCATGCTATGCCGGTCGCACATTGTGAAAGCGAGAAGGTGGCAGACATGAGACCAGCCCATCGAGCGACCTTGTCGGCGGGGACGTTGAAGGACTGTATCATTTCAGGCTTGGGGCAGTTAGCATCACACACAACAACGACTTGACAGCCCAACTCACAATGTAGGGGTAGACCGAGGTCATGGCCACTGGCTCTGCGAAGCGGCATATTGCGAGAATGAGCAACTGCTGCTTGGGCAGCTGGAGTGCCCGCTTCTCTTCCTTGACCATCGCTTGAGGTTTGAAAAGCAGCACGATCGCGCCATGGAACTCAGCGTACGCGGCGTAGGAGTGTCGAGAGCGTAGGAGGCGACGGTGAGTGATGATGACGGCAAGAGAGGGCTGGGCTGTCGGCGAGGGAAGGGCGCTCTCGTGCCGTGTTTCCCACTGTGACCGCGTCGAGTCATTTTTAGTTAGTAGCGGTGAAATCCTCTCCCAGCGTGATCCAGTAAAGTCGGAGGCTGCAGAGGCGGCAACGAGCAAGCAAATAGGTGCCACAGTGAGGGGTAGGGAGGGTCATGCATAAGGTAAGGGTCCATGTCAGCTGTTGGAGAAATCCGTGCCGGGCGGGCAGATCAGCACTACATATATTGTAGGAGACGGTAGTGGGACACTTCATTAGCTTGAGGCAAAGTCTCTCTCGCGGTCGTCAATCACCTACCAGAGGATGACCGAAAATCAGGAGTCGTGTCTTTGGGATACCTCTTATGCGAAATGAGGCTGGCCGAAAGTCCGCATGCATATACATACATACAGAACCATCAACTGTCTGTCGTTGGGACGAGGGCACGGGGACAGTCACTTGTGTGCAATACCCCACACATCGAAAGATGCTTGATTGCATGGAGTGAGCGGAATCAACCATCTCTCGTTTCCCAAGAGTCGGAGGGATCAGTGGTTGGAAAAAGAGGTTCCGAATTCGATCATCTGGGCTGTCTTCGGGATCATTCTGGGATGTGCATGAGTGGGAACCTGGGATCGTTTACCACATTGGACTAGGGAGCTGAAGGCTACGTCGCTAGTCTTGGAGGCAAGAAGGCAGGGTTACAAAGACATGTGCGGTCCAGGTCCAATGCTCTCTTGGTTGATTTGATGGTGTCGACCTTTGCTCAACTCTCGCTCAGGCCAGTGTTCTGAAAGACGATGATTGATACTCATCATCCTTTTGTCCCGTCTTTCTATGCCAAAGGTAGGTAAGGCTCATGATACAAGATGGCTGGAGGGGTATGGAGACACCAGTGCTGACGTGCCGCAGCTGTTGAGGCCGCAGGGGGTGCCCCTTCAGGCTATCCCGTTCCCGAATGGAGTCTTGAAGCCAGCGAGGCATCGTTTGACAGGAATGCAGCCTCGGTGGCCATTCTTTCGCTGACCTCTCCCGGAGCTCCTATCGCGCGGTCCAACCAAGGCTCTCGGACCCTGGCCTGTTAGGCGAATGATTTCTATGCCCAAATCCGAGACCAGCGTCCCTCTCGATTTGGCTTCTTCGCCGCCATGCCCAATCTGCTGGACACAGAAGGCTCGCTCGACGTTCTGCACGCAGACGGTATCACCTTATTCACCCGGTGCGGTGACGGCAATTACTATCTGGGTCACAAAGCGTTCGAACCCATTTGGAAGCCCTCAACGCCCGCGCCACCGTGGTGTTCGTCCTTCGCACACACCCTGTCGACACGAAAAGGGTCAATGAAAACTTGAAACAGCCGGCGGTGGACTATCCTCACGAAACCACCCGAACCGCCATGGATCTCCTCATGTCGCAAAACCGCCAGCGTTATCCTCGCTGCAATGTCATTCTCGCTCATGCGGGCGGAACGCTGCCGTGGATAGTCCCCCGGGTGTCAAACTGGCGTCGTGATCTTTCTCGGGTTCAGATCGGCAACGGCATCACCTAATGACATGATCAGGGACTTTCTATCCTTCTACTTTGACATTGCCCTTTCAAGTTCTCATCAGGGACTTGATCTGTTGCTGAAGGTGGTCGCGTCCGACCACATCCTATACGGTACGGCATTTTGGCCTCCAATCGTACTACTTTACCTTTTGACTGACTCACACTCTCCGTACAGGTTCTGACTTTCCCTATGCTCCTCAGACCAGTGCCTCGAACTTTCGAGTTGACCTCGAATCACGCCCTACGGACCAAGACACGAGGGCGAAAATCTACTATCGCAATGCTCTGGACCTGATTCCGAGATTGAGACACTACCTTCACGAAGATCACAGCAGGCTATGAGTAGTGCCCGAGTACCCAAGGCCGTATCAAAGCACAGCGGCTAAACTGGGACGGGATTGGACGGAGCTGGAGGAGCCAAGTCAGCGGCAAAGAATTGGTCTACACCTTATGATCTATGCTAGTATTGAGAAAAGGACATGGACAAGGTACAGTAGAGCCTTACTTCCGGAATCCAAGTACAAGTACAAAGAACTAATTGGTGTTACAGCAGTTCGAGTTCCCCTAGGCGTATACCGATAACTAAGCATAAAGGTACTACTGTATGCTTCAAGATTCCGCAGGAGAGACATATATGTTTGCATTGACCAGGCCGAAGTATGGCGCCATCCTCGCTGGTACAGACAAGGAAACCATACTATAGTATTGAAAATGGCGGCTTGATCGATCGGTCGATCATAAGGAGATACTAGTACTATTGGCTCAAAGAGCTGCATCGAACTCTGGATTGACCCAAGCTGGTACACCACTTATCAACCTGATTTTCCCGCCATAACGATGAAGGAGAGCGAAAATAGGAAGCGCGCCGAACAAGACGATCAAACCCTGTGCCGCGAAGCACCAAGTCCAGCCCGAGGCAACTTGCCAAGGTGAGATAAAAAACTATGAGTCTGTCAGTACGTGGTACGTGATACGAGAGCAGGCTGTGCGCAGGGCACACAATACTTACCGGTTCAATGAAAGCCGACATGTTGATACATACGGCGTAAAAGGTAACCATGCTCATACTCTGCAAGGGATAGCAATCGACGATATAGGTGCAAACCACGGTATTACCGATCTGGATACCTGCTGCGAAGAGGAAGAAGGCCACTTGTCCCACGATCCAGTGATATCCCTTGTCGATGCTGATACCCCAAACGATAAGTCCGGTTGCAGTCAGTATAGCGCCGGGATAGATCAACCATAGTCGCATTTCAGGAATCCGGGTATGATTATTTCTCTTCGCCAGTTTCATATAGACATAGTCACTGAGCTGTCCACCCAGGACAAATTCGGCGAATAAAGTTCCAAGGAGTAGTCCGATAAACAGCAGCCCTTGTATTTGTGGCTTATAGTTCGGATATGCAGCTGGTAACATGGTCAGGATACTTAACATCCACCAATACCAGAGGAAGCAGTATATGAACACTGCAATGAAAACCGTAAGCATTTTGAACGTCAGGAGAAATCGGAACGTGGAGTGCCATAGCTGAGGATGACGAATCCCTGGGATCGGTCTTAGATTGATGAATGGAAGTTTCTTGGTCCGCGGCAGATCCGGAGTGTCGGCGTCAGCATCGTCTGTCTGATGTCGAGAAGATTTGAAGGCTTCAAGTTCAAGATCCGTGGGGTCGCCTGCACCAGATAATACAGGAGCCGCGGGGCTTTTCGAAAGCATATAGTTTCGCGGGTAAAGTGTCTCTGGCATGAAGCATAGCTCGAGGATAAGGAGAACGCCGATAAAAATAGCCATAAGCCACTGGACCCATTCCGCCGAAACGATATTCATAAAGCCGCCGATGATCGGACCGACGAGTAATCCAGTATCGATAGCAAGGACCCAAAGCCCGATCTTCTGGCCTCGCTCGTGGTCGTAAAACATATCATTAATAATAGCCAAACCGACGGTGGATGCTGGAGCGGCACCAAGCCCTTGGAAAGCACGAGCGGCCATGTAGGTACTGTATGTTTGAGCCTTGGCCGCACCGATTGTTGAAACGAGTAGAATTGTTGTTCCGACAATAAAAACGATCCGGCGTCCGATCGTATCGGCGATGGGTGAGAAAATGAGCGGGCCTAGTGCGATACCCAATGCGGGAATGGCGATCGTCCAGTTGGTTTGCGCATAAGAAATATTGTACTGTTCCTGCAGTTCCGTAAAGCTAGCGATGGTTGTTGTCGTGAGATAGGTAAGGAGAAAATATCTTTTGAACGAATGTGTTAGCTTCATTGAGAACTTGGTAGCGGATAGTAGGTGGGCGGAGGGGGCGCACTTGAGCATGACCACCGCCACGATGCAATGCTTTTGGAAAATGGTCCAGTTCAGGGGATCAAGAGGATCCGAAGTGGGTTGGGGATGGACACGAAAGCCGTTCCTGGTGACAACGGCCCTTCTAGGTTGATTTGATGCGTCCGTCTCCTTCGCCGTAGCAAAGTCGGTGGGTTCTTTTGTCAGGGATTGAATCATGACCTCCTGACCACCAAGAGGCACTTTTTGCTTTTCATTGATTCCCGCCATGGGTGTGTGTAACAACGACTGGGACGAGCAGGGTAATGGTAAAGGATACAATGGTCGAATCAACGAGCGACACCACCTTGAGAAAGAGCAGGCATTCAGCCAGCTTTATAGAAAGCGATGACCTTGTCTTAAAGGAAAAGATAAGAGAGAGGTCAATCTTGCCTTCACAAGTATCAATGTGTCTGCGTAGGGTATACTTCCTTATCATGGGCATCCCTTCCTAAATCGCAGTTGGTATCATTACGGTGTCCTTCGGAAATGACGGTGTGTTTCGACACCGTTTATCGACATCAAATGTGATGATTCCAGTCATCCTGAGGTTCTTCGGGCCATTCAACCATAAAATGGCCAGAACTAACTAGTACTGGGTACTCCGCAGGTCACAAATTTAGCTACTGTAAGGTGGAGCCAGACTCCCGAGATAAGCCAATCTATTGTCATTTGCCCAACGGCGCCCACGAGCCGCCATCTATCCGGATCTTTATATTAAGTTCGGCAAATGACTTTTCTGACCTTGGAGGTCCATCGCCGCTCCTCCTCTAGTTTCCCATTCGGGGTTGGTAAGTTAGTACAGTAGGCATTTTTCCTCACATTCCGCCCCACTTGACAGATGGCGATTCTGGAATATTGTTTACCCGTGCGGGTCAGTTACCGAATACCTGGTATCCTCTTGCTTAACGACCTGGATTGGGAATCAGGAAACGGGGTCAGACGAGTCTTCTCTAAATTCCAGACCTACGTATTGTCGATGGACCGGTTTTGGCTTATCATCGAGACATTTCTGTACCGGAAAACACAGAGGAAGGTTCTTTGACATAGAACTTGCCTCCAAAGATTCTACCAACACCCTGTCCTTCAGTCATGTCTTCTACTTCTTTTCCATCACATTTTCAAGCACGTGAATTCTGTCCTCCCCATCTCCTCCTGCAATCATCTTCCCATACTTTTGCTCCCACATATCGGCAGCTTGCGCCGTCAACGGGCCCCTCTTCACCATCAATGTCAACACCTCATACAGAACATCTGCCGCTGCCATTGTAGTCAGCTCGGCATTGGTGTCGTACGCAGGAGCAACTTCCACCAGGTCGGCTGCCACCAAATTCACGCCTTCAAGGCCGCGAATAATTTCTCTGAATTCGCGCGTCGACCATCCGCCGGTTTCGGGCGTACCAGTAGCTGGTGCGAACGCGGGATCCAGGGTGTCAATATCGATGGAGAGATAGACGGGATTTTTGGTGCCTACACGCGCCTTGATTTTGTCAACGACGCCTTGCGTCCCCAGAGTATCTATCTCGCGGGCCTCCACTCGCGTAAAACCACAATATCCATCGTTTTCGTAGTCAGAAAGCCCAGAGAGTGTGGTACGAATACCGGCGTGGATATTGGTGTCATTGGCGAGAAGACTATATCAATCGGAGTCAGAAAAGTACCTCAACTTCGAGTTATCATTGGAAACTCCTTACCCTTCTTGGAATGCCCAGTAGAAATAGGTGCCGTGGTTGATGGCCGCTTGTTTAGAAGGAGCACCACCAAAGACTTTGGGCTTCCATGTATCCAGGTGCGAATCGAAATGGATAACAGAGATCGGACCATACGCTTCGTTCATACTGCGAAGCAGCGGGAGCGTAATCGTGTGGTCACCGCCCAAAGTAATGATACGAGGAAGGGTGCGGCCGGACTTGCTGACTCCTGGTTCCCGCGCCATAGTGGCAGGCGCTCGATTCAGGAGCAAATTATGTGCCTGTTCGATCTGCTGAAGCGCGTATTCGTTGTCGTAGGATGTGACGGGGATATCTCCGCAGTCGAGAATCTTGCCCCAATTGTCAAACGGGTTGGAATTCAGAGGCCTGACGTTCGATTAGTTCGGTGGAGATAATACATCATCCATCGTTCCTACACATTATAACCACCTGTGAATCCCAGTTTCCGGGAGCCTACAAGACATATGTCAGCTATTGGTCTCATAGGAGATAATAAAAGGAACGAGTCTAGTAGTACCTTGTCTGATGCCGTTGGGACCAAACCGTGCTCCTGGTCGATAAGAGGTCCCAGTATCGAAAGGTGCACCTGGCCGTCATTAGCGATTGTGCTGCTCAGTGCTCACCAGGGTTGCTGCTTTCCTCACCTATGAATGCGATGTCAAACTTTTCATCATCGCTGGCCAGGCACGGGAAATACGGTAAGCGGGCGAATGTTGAGATCCCACTGAAGACTGAGTCGGCCTGGACCGGGGGTTCAGCAAGAATTCTCAATTCTGTGGCGGCTGGAGCTCCTCGTACCTGTTTACTTGAGTCCCCTGGTATTGTGTTATACCAAAGAGACTGGTGAGGCCCTTGCATCGTCGTCTGGCCATGATAACTATGGGCAACGGCACAGCTGGCACAGGCCAGGGCGACAAGGGATGGAGTGTACATGTTGCGACCGAAAAGTGTGTCAAAGAACGAGAACTTCTCTTCCTTAACAATCAAGAGCAAGAACACTCAGTCAGAGCAGTCCGGGCTTGCGTGGCTCTTTCTTCGAGCCCTGGCTTACACAGCTTATATGGTTCGAGACGAGAAGCATACTTTACTTTACTAAGTACTATTATTTATGCACCGAACTTCGGGCGTTGGGCCCATGGTTGAGAAAGCTGCACACATGGAACCGAATAGTCTCCCAGGGTTTACAGGGATTATTAGCGCACTTCTTTTGGGCCAGATTCTGATTTGTGGATGAAAGCGGAGTCTTGTCTATCAAACCAAGTCTCCACCAACCACCTCCTCAACCTTCCCGAATCGGCTAAATCAATCCCTGTCATGCTAAGCTAAGTTAGACATCATCCCAGAAAATCTGCAATCTATCTTGCTCGAGATGGACTGCGAAGCCTTCGGAGGGTTCAAGGTTGTGACCATTAACACCGTCTGATGTCTATGACTATGGAAAACAACATCCACCCCCGAAAGACGCAGCAAACGCATCTACAGCGTTGTGGACCCTTCAGACGTTAGTCGTATCTTTGCCGAGCTCTTCGATAGCACAGACGATATAAGTTTTTCCGAACGCTTCCACCGTGTCGCCATCTTTACATGTCCCCTCCCATTCCAGTCGACCTTTTACCCCGTGAAAGTAAGAACTCATACAGGGCAGGCTCTCTAAACCCGACCACTCCCCAGTCTGGTACAATGTGGCCCAGGAGTTTCGCGTTTTGTCCCAGCTCTCTCGTGTCGCACAGAAACCCAGAGAACTGCCGGGGCCTTCTCCGCCTTGGAGGCCAATAAAATTACCTCCAATCTTCCCTAGAAAGGTCTTTCCGTCCTCACTTCGCAATATCCATGCTTTGGGAAAGTTTTCTCTGCCGACCGGGACCAGAGACCGCCAGGTTTCCTCATAGGGCGTCAAAAGCCCAGTTTCGGGGTTGACCATGCTACCTGTCTCGATGCTGTCGGTGGCTAGAGATCCAGGCTGGAAACAGCCGATGTCCGGCTCCGTGGATCCTCGAGAATCGATCCAATGAGTCCACTTGAAGGTTACTGTTCCAAACGTTAAACGTTGGCCAGTCTGTAGCATAATCGCCATCAAAAATAGTCGCCAGTAGCTGAATCTGGACAAGCGGAATTGCAAGATGATCAATTACTCACATGGTGCTTCTGATAGTGTCTGCCTCTGCCCAGCCATGGCCCAGTCGATCGACCCGTTGTCCTTGACGATTCGAAGGTCAATGAACCAGCCGCCCAGGTTCATGACCATTGTGTCCGTCGGCTCATTCTTCTCTCCTGGAATCCAGCGCATACCTACGCGAGTGGAAAGAAGGCTTGACATTTTCTAACCGAGCGACGATCGGAGTAACCTAGGTTGCCAAAAAGAAGGTGAGTGATTATTATCATCTGTTGGTCAGGTGCGGTGTTAATGATATTGACACAAAGACAGCAAGTCTAGGCTGATAAGAAGTGATGCTGCTACTTACAATCTGTGAGGGCGAACGATCTTCCTGGCAGTGCGATTTGTCATTTTCATGGCTAATCAATAGCCTCATGTCTCTCTCTGGTTCTAGAATCTGCAACGTCGGGTACCAACCTAAGTTACCTGGTAGGTACCTGACAGTAGTACAAACTGTAATTCCACAGTCAACAACTAGGTCATTACAAAGTTGATCCTCGTCGCCCCAAAGAGACGTGGCCACAGCAAATCAAGACTTTGGAACGTCCTGAATGTGGGCTCTCCTTCTGGCAGCTTTCCGCAACGTTTTCTCAGCGCGGGGTCTAGTCCCGAGCTTGAAGCGGCATATCAGGTGGATACGGAGTACGGCTTCAGGATCAGACACATGGCCTCCTGAACCTTCCCAAACAGGTAGTGGTTGCGCCCTTCACCTGTTCACGACTTATCTCCCCTTTCCTGCCCGTTGGCGTGTGTGCGAGGGCTTATCATCCCCGCCATGCATGGCCTGCTCTCAACTGTGGCCGCCAGAATACATATCTACTTCGATAAACTCACTTCGAACACTATCTTGTAGCAAGGCAGCCGTCCAGATTCCGGCATTGCTACAAACATGGGCGCAGTTCCGATTGTGCTCTGCGCATGGCTGCTCTATGTCACAATTCGCACCATTTTGGTCTACAGGACACAAGTGCCGGGCCCGTGGTACTCAAATGTCACAAGTCTAGTGCAGAAGTACTATGAATTTACTCGCCGTAGACGGTTGTGGATTCATCACCTCCACAAGGTGTACGGACCCGTGGTTCGATTGAATCCGAATGAAGTATCGTTCGCCAATTTGGACGGAATGAAGGAAATATACCAGAGTGGGGGAAGTGGTTATGACAAGGCGAGCTTCTACGACCTTTTCATGCAGTACAACTGTCGGTATGTTGATTGATACATTACAAATTCGCAATATCTGAGCTGTGTTTGACCAATGTCGTGATAGGACCATGTTTTCCATGCTGAAAAGGAACGATGTATGTCTACCTCTATTATGAATCAACAATTCGAGAGAGTTAATCATTGTCTACAGCACGCACGACAGAAGAAGATATTTGCTGAAAGATACTCGATGACAAACGTCCTTTGTCCTGACGTTTTGGATGGGATCCAAGTTCGCGCAGCAAAAGTGTTGCAAAAGATCAAGTCGTCGACAGATTGCTGTCTGGATGTCTATGTGCGGAAGCAAACCCTCCCCAACTTTTTAAGGCTATCGTTCTAACTGAAGAGTCTGAAGGTCACGCTTCATTGTTACGCTGTTGACTGCGCGTCACACTTTCTTGCCAACCCGAGAGGCTTGAACACACTAGACGATGTGAACGACTTTAAGATGATGCAGGAGCTCTCATACCATGACACCCTGAGGCGTAAGAATTATTCCCAGCGCTAGAAGAGACACCCTTCATTCACTGACTGAAATGGTCTTTTAACCTTTTTTTTTTTTAGAAAAGCTGATGGAACAATATTGTCCTCCTCTTGACAAGATTGCAAATATCTTCCGACCTGCGCCGTGGCCCTTGACCAAACATTTTATCCTCGAGCGAGCGCGAGATACACAGCTGAATGGAACCTCACTCGTCCACAGCCTGCAAGCCAAGTCCACCGAGCTGGACACCGTCCAAATAGCTGCGGAATGCCTTGACCACTTGGCAGCTGGGATCGACACGACGGGCGACGGGCTTTGCTTCCTGATGCACGAACTTTCGTTACCCCGATCTGCGAAGATTCAAGAGTCCCTATACGAGGAGATTGTGCAAAACCCTCACGTCAAAGCCACTGACTTGCCCTATCTCGATGCAATCGTCATGGAAGGTCTGAGACTCTTTCCGCCCTTGCCCATGAGTTTACCACGATCCGTACCGGTCGGTGGCAGCACCATTTCCGGGTACAAGCTCCCCGGAGGGACGACGGTCAGCTGTCAAGCATATTCTTTACACCGACTTAATCCGGACATATATCCCGACCCTGACGCTTTCATTCCTGAACGATGGCTAGAAAAAGAGAAAAGGGTGGAGAGAAACCGGCTCTTTTTTGCCTTTTCTGCAGGAGGGAGAGGCTGTATTGGAAAGAAGTTTGTCCCGTCCTCCCTCTTTTCATACGGGAAATTGATTACTAATGCTGCTGTAGTTTGGCTCTGGTGGAAATGAAAACCTTACTGCGGGAGATATATGGAAAGTTCACAACCCGGCTGTCTCCTCAGTTCACCGCAGACATGTCTATAGACGATCAGATCATTGCGTCACGACCGAAGGATCAGACATGTGTGTTGAAATTCGAGGAGCGGATATCTTCATCTAGCCAGTGATTGTCAAAAAGACTTGATCTCTGGCTCTTGCCTTGACATTCGTTCCGGACATTCAAGTAGCTGCATATGTACGAAGGTGCAACTCCAGAACATTGATAAGATGCCGGCGTGCCCAGCAGGGAAGTTGTGCATAGTGTGTTTAGAGACATGGGTTTCGAGAATTGGAAGATTGACAGAATTGAGAATAGCATAGATCGCTTGCTCGGCCAGGCTGTCATGGGTAATGATGTCTCTGCCTCCCTCAACATGCCCAGAGATTTTCCCTAGAAGGTTATGAAACTAGAGCCCGATTCTACTCGGGAGGTCAGGTCATAAGGTCACTCACATTTGACAGCATCGAGGCTTACCTGCTGTGTGAGACCAGATCGAAGGCACCATCAATGATGAATCCTTCGCGAACATTTTCAAGTCCCAAGACTTTTCCATAACACTCCGTGCATGATGGATGTTCTGAGCACCAATCAACTGCTCCAGCCCTTGGAGATATCCGGAAGCCGCTGCTCTGCTTTCAGGACTATGGGCCTCGCACCCTGCCGTAAATAACGGCATCACCATAGTGATCCACGGACGACCTCCTTCGCCTTTGACCATCTGCTCCGCGCAATGAAGGATATTGTGAACGCTGGCCTGAACTCTCAGAAGGTCGATCCAACAACCTCCGATAGATATGAATTTGCGTTGCATAATGATACGCTGCACTTGACAAGGCAAATTGATGAGCTTCGACTTCAGGTGTGCTTGCATGTAGGGCGCGCCTCAGAGGGGGCGGATCACGTTCATGACGTTCAATCATGGCATTGAGCTTTCGTAATAGGTCTTCTCCATGTGGGACACGAGACTGCCGAGGCTGCTGTTCAAGTTGACCTATCGATAGCAAGATCGGAATGAGCTCTGTGCTGAAAGCAAGAAGTTCGTCGACAAAGTGTTCTCCCGACGTCGTCAACATCTCTGTACGAAGCCAGTCATGCCCCCATAGGTTTGAACACAATGAAGCTTGGATGGTGATGCTTAAAAACAAATTACCCCATAGGAGTGATGATTCGCGTTGATCGTTGGCAACTTCGGAGATGGACCAGTCTCGAACGGCCATCAGAGCTCTGGCGCCTTTGAGGTGCACGATCCAGCTTTTCGACTGTGTCCGACCGCCATATATCTCTCCGAGACACAACAGAAGCGTCGTGGGAACAAGAGAATCATTTTCGGGGGATGTCGAGATGGCCTGTTGTAAACTTCTGAAGCTGGAAGAGGAGAATTGTAACATCATGGTCTCCGTGTCTGCGCCCATAATTGAGGAGAGACCGGAACTGAGACAGCTCCGGCAGGCAAGTGCAAGTATCGACCACATGAGATGTGGCGTCTGTAGCGACATTGGGACGAGCTCGGTAAGAACTCGACGACAGATACTGTCGTGGGAAGAGAGAAAAACTGAGCTCAGTTTAACAAAGTGGTCAAGCAAGAATCGATCAGAAGGATTCATATCAAGTGTGAGGAGCTCTTGATATCGACGAAGAGGAATGCCTGGTGGGTCGGGTTTGATATGACGGTTCGCCAGGTAAACTTCAAGCCATCAATCAGTCCAGTCGGTGACCATACTTGAAAGACTTACCTTTGGGCGATTGGGCCTGGTCTGACTCTGCTGAACTATCCTCGCTTGCGTCAGGTCCGGCAGATGCGATCACCAACGAGTTCACACCATCGACGCCGTAGATGAAACCGGTATTAGGAGTGGCTAAGCAAGGAAAATTGTCAACAGGCAGGTATTCTGAGAAGAGAAGCAGATCTCAACTGACTTGTTCTTGTCATGCTTATATCTAAGCACTGCCCAAATCTGGATTTCCTAAAGTTTCTGCCTCCCCATGAAAGCTTGACGGTATACTGACAATGAAGACTCAGCTCCAAGCAGCGCGCACAAGATGGTCTCTCTTCGCTGCACTTCCTGCGAAGTTTCTTACAGGGGCCACATCCATATCTCGAACGGGGCCGAGAAAAGGAATAGCGAGATGGTCGTTGAGTCTCTTTACAGTCCATTGGATTGATTCTGTAGTGTTGCGACGGCGGCAAACGGACCTTGGGAACTTGTGTCGAGAAATGCACTGAGAGGCAGGAGTTTTGGCATTAGTAGTCGAGTGATAAGGAGTCGGATATTATTGGACCGGAGCGCGTATCGATAGTTTACGTTACGGTTACCTGATAGGCTAGCACCGTCATAAGGTCACTTGAAGTACGCCGCTTTTACTGACTTGACCTCGCCTCTTTAATACTTTATACTCCATTAATTCTCGGTTTTAGGTTGTTACATAATACGGTCACCTAAAGGTTACACGGGCTGTGTGACCGCAGAAGGATGCTCCGCTGGCCCTCGGCAATTAAGGGGACCTAAAACCCACTTCCAAACCTGCACTTAGGGCCTGCTCGGCCCAAGCATTTCAAACCGACAAGGAGTAACCGCGATTCACACGGTCCGTCACGTATGTGAAGAAGCCCATAAAAGGCGTAAAAATCGAGCTCCGCGTTAGCGTCTTTTTCAAATCGACAGATAAAACTGCATATCGGACACGCAGTTTAAAATAGCGGTTAAACTTGGCGATTTAGAGGCGCCGCGTGACTTTTTAGAGTCGCTCTCGAGAGACTATAGAGTTATAACTTATCGCTATATGCTAATTTCCTACTAGTAGCTTTTTTGTGTAATTTTACTTCTTCTCCATAACGATTACGTTATACGCCAAGAATCAATTAAACTGGCATATCGCGGTCTCGAAACCGTATCTACCTAGGTACTTGCTAGTTGTCGGTTTGAAATGCTTAGGCCGAGCAGGCCCTTATATCTGTTCCTTCTTGTCACGGATGGTATGGTTGATATACCCAATACCTGGTATCATGCTGTACATAATATTGGCACCACGTGACTAGCACGTGCTCCGACAACGACAAAGGCTTGGCACTATCTCGGTGCCAGACTTACTCGCGCTATCGAGCGCAACTCTTTTCATAGTCCTTGGTCTTTGGAATTCATATCATAACACGCACATACGCTTAGTTCGTACCTCGTAGCGGTGTCCGTAATATAGCCTCACCCTATAGGTAGCCTTGTTGCTCAGTCACAACCTATTTGTCTTGATGATGTAGAAGAGCCCCTCAACAGCGCAGGTAGAGGTAGGTATCGAAGTTATGCGCACTTTGGCACTGATGGGCCGCTCTTGCACAATAAGGGCCCATTCTTTTTCAGATATTGCGTGCTTTCAGCTAATCCGCTTCCAGCATTCTGAAGTCTGCCGACGACGATACATCAATAGCCTCTCAGTGCGGTCGCCTGCATCAATAAGGTTTGCTATCGCATGTCTGAGTAACTTGCAGTAATGTCAAACGATAGGATCTTGTTACAACCCACAGACGTTGGCTTATTGGCCGCATCGGATCCAGATTAGAGTGAATTCTTGGGCAGCTCCAGCGGCGTCTACTTTATTAACACGGTATTTCAAACCTTTGGTTAGATCCCTTCTGAAGACGACGACGACGCACAAGAGCCGGATATTGTGAAGGACTACTTTTTCGTCTCTGAGAGCTCTAATCAGCATGACCAGCATATAACATCTCCTCTCCCAGGGACCGCGGCTCCAGCTTCCAGGACGATTTACGGCATTCCAGACCAAGGACTGGGCTCTACACCGGATGAACAGCTGGCACGAGAATTGATCCAGACCTACTTTCGTACCTGGCACCCTCTTCTTCCCTTCATGCACGGTCCGTCACTTCTCAATAGTTTGGAAGCACTCTACAGCAACTCCTCCAGACAAGGGTCCTCATTCAGGAAAGCTTTCTCTCAGATAGCCACATATCAGTGCCTATTTAACATCAGCTCCATATGCAATAGTACCGATTCTGGGGTGCTGCCTGCCGAATGTCAAATCCGCTCAAGCATGACCCTATTGACTTGGGCGGGCTTCATCGCTACGGCTCATAATATGGCTTCCTTACAATCCTTAATAGCTATACAGCTATACCTTGTGTCGAGGATAGAGCTACGAGACGCAGCCACCGTTGGCGGACTTCTTCTCCGTGCTTTGATAGCCGCCGGGTTTCATCGCTGTCCATGGCGCTCTCTGCACATGTCTTTACACGACCGTGACATGCGGAAGAGAATCTTCTGGAGCGCTTATGCAATTGATCGATTCCTCTGTCAGGCACTTGGGATGCCCTTTGTCTTGGGGGAGTCAGACATTGACATCTGCCCTCCTAGTTCAAACGAATTACACCGACCCGTGCAGTCGCGGGGTCAGCAGGCAGTTTCGGTGGAACGGGTGCTGGCTCATCTCCCTTTGAACCATCAAAGCTTTGGGCGGGGCCAAAATATCGCTCAGTCTGGTCAACCCTCTCCTGAGCTTGACCAAACCCCCTCAGCCGTCGTTTCAGAAACGGGAGGCCAAGATGTACTGTTCATCAAATTCGTCGCGTGGTCCAAGATCGTGAGTCAAATTCTCTCGCTGTTCCACAAAGCGATTCGACACCGAGTCATAAGTCGAAACAACGTTCTTGAACTGACTTCCCGAGTTCATGAATGGTGGAATTCTCTACCTGATAACCTTGAAGATGATCAGAACGGTATTCGATACAAGCCCCGCTTGGGTCCCTTTTTCAAGTTTCTCTATCACCAGGCGATCATCTTGATCAACCGGCCTTTCCTCTCGCTACCTCATACGAATCCAGACTGCCGTTCAAGCCTTTAAACCAGCATTAATGCGAGTCGAGCCATGCTCAGTGCTGCTCAAGAACATATGAGAGAAAACCTTTTCCTCCCTTGGGCAGGCTAGCCTGCCGGTATCTGGACCGCCGGCTTGGTATTGGCTCTAGCTTGTAAGTTGAGGGTGTTCCCTGTCTGGAAGGCTTTTCCGTGAGTGCAAAACAGTTTTCCTATCTCTTGCTTTTGGCGATGTGGCCAGCTGATATCGGGGATTAGTTACTTGGAACAGTGTATGTCCCTGCTGCAGGGTATGAAAAAGAGATGGCCAAATGCACATCGGTGCTACATGTCGATAGATGCCTTGGTAAACGCATTGACGTCTGATAATTCCACGTCTCCAATCAGCCATCACTTTTCGCCAACCGAAGGGCGACTCGGCTTTCGAACGCCTACCGTAGCTGAAGATAGCGGCATCCTTGAGACGGATATTCAACATCCAAAACGACAGAAACTGGATAATCCGCGAGGTCAGGAGCATCCATCGTTACATGGAACCCATTCTGAAGAAAATGCCCTCAAGGAAATACCTCAGAGATACCTACATCTTCACAGTCCTGTGAACAACAATATACAGACAGATGTCACCACCAGGCCTCTTCGATCTCCCGACTACACTGAGGCCGATTTTGATATTGACGTCGCACAATTCGCCAACCTTGACCGGTCTCAAACCTTGTTATTACCAATTATGGAAGGCGATCTTTCAGACTCAACCGGCGTTTTCGGTAGTTTGAGCTGGGACTTCTCTGCGCCGATGATGGATCCGTTATACCAAAGAGATCGGCACTAGCATATGACCCGGGCATTTGAAAGAAGCCAGATATGTCCAATCATTTACCTGGCCGTTTACCAAATGAGACCTTGCTCAAAATCTTGGGAAAGACCGAACTTTCCGGCCTGTCTGACGACTGCCGAGCTTCCTGCTCCATCCGATAAACGCGCGAGTTGGCCGTCGCAAGCATGTTCTTCAATACATGGTGTATAGCCCGCTCTGTCACTTTGTCTGTCCTCGTTCCAGCCGATTCTCCCTGAATTATTAGCCATGCTGCTGCCTTCGGGCTCCGGGGATGGTGGCAGGAGCCCAGTTGAGCTCGCTGGAGTCGATGTGTTTGCCATTGCGTCCGAATCCTGTGCACTCCAGGCCCTACTACCCTGCTCTATAGTACCTATCAATCGGTACCAAGACTTTTTATATAATAGGTACTAAGGAAATTTCGAGCGCCCGTATCGCTTAATATCTATTAAGTAATCTCTTTTTTTTTTTCGAGATAATCTATCTTTAGACTATCTACTACTAATATATAAAGTTTTAAGTAAATTAAAGTATTATTTATTAATTAAGAGCTAAAACTCTAATTATATAATTTAGTAATAGAAGAGTTACTAAGATTTTAAATATTTATTATTAAAATCTAAAAATAATAACTCTTCTCTAATAAAGTATAGCTAGTTTCTAATATATTATATCTTTTAAAACTAGACTTAATTTTATTAATATATCTATTAATCTTATTAATTTAATTTATTAACTCTAATATTATAATATATATCTTACTCTATTAAAGACTTAA